ATATTTTTATATCTCATATTAATTAATTATTAAAATTTAAACTTAGAAAATATTTTATTACGCATTCATATTTTTAACGGTTAAAATTTTAAAAATCGATTCGCAATTTTCTGGTCGCAATAACATAGATGGGGAATTTTTTTTTCGCAATGCTTTTAGTTGGAAAAATTTATTCTTCTCAGTTTTTGAACATAAAGCTCTTGGTGTGTGTAAATCGTCAACATCATTACAGGTACGTGAAATCAACAGAAGCATAAAATAAATAGATACAAATTATGAGACGTCTAATAATTTGAAACTTTATTCAAAAACTTATAGNAAAAATCGATTCGCAATTTTCTGGTCGCAATAACATAGATGGGGAATTTTTTTTTCGCAATGCTTTTAGTTGGAAAAATTTATACTTCTCTTTCTTATTGTTCGCTATATTTTTGCCATAAAAAACACGCATTTAGTTACTTTCAAATAATGTTCTTGAATTATCATTGCGAATTTTTTGACTAAATAAGGTGATTATTATTGGTTTAATATTAGTTATTAATGCTTATTGATTATTGCTATTCCCAAAAGATTGTAAGTGATTCAATGAAAAGGCTTTTAAAGTTTTCATTGTTTGAAAGAACGAAGTCACTTTCTTTAATAAAAGAAAACGAAAACAAATTCATCTTCTAATATGAACTGAAAGGAATAACGTCGATTGGCAGTTGCACAAACAAAAAGCGACATATTGTATTGTATTCGACATTTTTTTAAAAATTTTTTTTGCTTAAATACCTAATATTTAAAATAGCATGAAACGTCGAGAAAGGTGAAAAAATTGGAAAATTCACAGAACAAAAAGTCGTTGTTCAAATTTCTTGCAATTTTCAGAAATCAATGTTTATTAGTTCCACAACTTCTTCCGAGTTTTTCAGATTTTTCACTCAAATACTTTTAGAGAATTTTGAAGTTGAAAATTGAACGTGAAAAGAGGTGGTGAAAAAAACGAACACTAGCAACGGTACATATAACATCATAAAAATTTTACTGCTTGGATATTCGCTTATATTTTTCTTTCTAAAAATAGTACTTGGTAAGCTTTATTTAAAAGTGCAATTGGTTTCAGTTAAAGCTCAAGCTATACATAGTTTATTCAGCTTTGAATTTTGTGACCGTCACACTAGCAACGATAAAAATAGCCATATCAATTTGACAATAATTTCTTTCGCTCATTTTGAAACTTCATCAGTGATAAAGATGCAAAGTTTCTCAAAAGCTCATTGAAAGTTCTACAAAAAGCTAATTTTTTTTAATAAAAGGAAGAGTTTATGGCATAACAAGCATCATTGTCTTCAGTTCATCATAGAATTCACTTGACTTCAAGATGAAAAGTTTAATAATTTTGTTGTTCGCAACGTTCTAGTGGTAATTCATATTTTATTTTAATTTTCTTAACAATTCTTAACTTTTTTTATTCTATAAAGATGCTGCTCAGAAGTGTGAAGAAGTTACAGATCCGTGTGCTTCTGTTAGGGCAGCTGCAGCTCCCATTTACGAGAATGCAAATAATACTTACATAGCTGTTCAAGATAGATGTACACCACAATTAGAAGCTGCAGACTCGAGCGAAGAACTCGACCAAATTTATTCACAATGCACGGGGGAATTGAGTGATGCCCTACGAAATGTCATTTCAGCTCTTGGTGACCTTGTAGGAATAAACCCTCCTGAAAATTATATAAAAATAGCAGCGAAACATGAAGAAAACCCCTGTCTTGCTGAAACTGATTTCAAGATATTATCAAATTATGATATCGTTACCCACCATTTTTACTATATTAAAAATCCTGATGCGGAGAAAATAAAATTTGGATCATTTTTATAAAGAACGAAGTCACTTTTTTAAATAAAAAATTATAAAAGAAAGAAGAAAATAAATTCGTCTTTGAATATGTGAATGAATTTGCCTTTGATATCCGCTGGATGATATCGACTTTATTTAATTATATTTAAGTCATGAAAATATTTTTCATAAAGTTTTAACATTATAATTTTACTCTGAAAGTGTCAAATGTTTCTAATCACTTGTTTAAATAGATTCAAATTTAGAAACATTTCAATTAAGCAGATGTATCTAAAACGTCACATGTTTTTGTATGTTTTTGGATAAAAAAACTCTTTTACTTATTTTTCAATAGTTATCGAAAATTGCGAAAAAGAATATTTTTGTTAAAAGTTTTGATTCATCCAACTTAATAAGCAGTGAAAAGAGATTTATAGGATTAGATTCCGATGAGATGATAGACAAGACAAATGTATGAATAAAAAAAATTGTTTTAAAAGCAGCAAGAAGCAGCAACATAAATTTATTTCTTTGACATTTCCTTTGATTTGTAATTTAATCTAATAATTCTTATGTAAAAACTGAGATTTTTGTGGTGGAAAATTTACACCTACATACATATATGGTTTAATAATAAGCAAACTTAAATATCAAACTTTGTTACTGAAAAATGAGATTTCTTCTCCCCGTGCAGTTTCAAAAGCTTTTCCATTTATATTCCTGACTGTTCTTGTTTATAAACAGCATGAAATGCATTGCGGATAAGGGCATAAGGGAAGCAAGATTCAAGAAGATCCATTGTCAGAAATGGCGATTCTTGCACGATTTGATGAAGCAACAAATAAATTGATTCACGATTTTTGACATTATCTTTTTCAGTTTCTTGTCCAAGACGCAACAGAGACGAACTTGCTAATGCCAAAAACTCTGCCATTCGATCTTCCAAATCATTTTGTCCGCAAATCGTAAACAACGCTCCAATGACGCTATTAACGGCTAAAGCAAGGCAATGAGTGTTGTTTGTGTGAGCTTCGTAAGTAGCACGATAGAAAGATTCATCATCTTTAGCTAACTTTGGAATAGAAACAGCAACAAAAACCATCAGAAGCAAAACACTTAAATGCTCGCTACTATCAGCATCTGACTGTTGAGCTCGCAATGCTTTCAACAGTGTCGGATCAACTTTACATGTTAATCCAGCAGCAGATGACATTTCTGGATAACCATCTGGGGTGTTCTTTTGAAAGTCTTTCATGGAACTTACAAGAAATGGAATTCTTTGTTCAAGAACATCTAAAAGAGCTTCTTGTAGCAGTTGACGAAAGCTTAATATGACGCCAATTATTGTCATCCTTTGAAGGACATTGTCAACATGTTGAAGTTTCTTGAAATGTTCTTTCATAACTTCTGGTTTATCAAAATTACTCCTCAAAATGATTAAAGTTTCTTTGTTCATTCCAACCATTCGTTTCAATTCCTGCACTTGACTTGCGATGTGACACATGAGCTGTTCATTGATCAACCGTATGCCATACGGCCCAATTAATTCAGCCAATGAACGGAGTTCGTTAAAGTCAGAAAACTCTTCGGGATTGAAAGGAATGAAACCTTCAGGCGTTAGAGATATGAAAGCTCGTTGATTCATACTGAAGACAATGTTTCCTCCACTCACTTTCCTCAACAACACATCAGAATACCAAGAGTTGTAATGAGCTGCAATGGTCTTCTCACCTTGACTGTCAATCGATTGAGTTTGTTGTAAAAGACAATTGTTGAAGATTCTTGTCATATCAATATTGACATAATGCTCAACAGTTTGTAACACGTTCATATATGCGCGAACTGATGCGAGAAGTTCCGATGGCTTCGCAATTTCCATAGTTTCTGCATTGTACATGACCATCCCTACGAGTGCTCGTGAGAAGCGCGTCTCTAAATGTTGACATAAATATTCACGTGGTGCAAAAGCATAATCCCAAACATTAACTGTTGGACAATAATTAATTGCAAAACATAATTCAGTTAATGCCATATGTAATTTATCCATTGTTGTGAGTTCTTCTCGAGTTTTTCGAAAACTTTCATCGCCAGGTTTTCGAACATCATCTGAAAGCTTCTTCAATTTATCTTTCTTTTTTCGTTGTGTTGAAACTGATAAAATTTTTGCACAATGTTTTGGTAGTAAAGCATCAGCCATCATGCATTGTTCGTCGCAAATTGTCTGGGGAAAGAAATGTAACTTACATTATTTAAGTCAGTTCAAATTTAATTACTGATCACTCACCGTTATAATATTTTTAGCTTCTTTAGCCATTTCATCAAGAAACATGTTAACAACTGATATCGAACGTTCAAGTATATGATGACGCTCTTCTGGGCACATTTCATGAGTGCAATTTTGAAAGTGACTGCAAATTAATGGAAATGCGATGATGTAACGATTCTGAGCTGGAAATTCAAGACACATGTGAAATTGATCTTCCAACATTTTACTATAGAAGCAGAAGAGTGACAAATCTGAAGTTTCGACGAGTGTTTCGTCGAGATTATCAATCATTCGTGTGTGAAAACTCATCGAGTCGAAAAGACGAGCCAAGTCAACATGATCAGTAAGTTTTATAGCAGCTTTTGGAACACTCATGAAGGTTTGTAATCGGAACCAATCAAGACGAAAAGCTCGAAAGTCAAAAGTTTCTCCCATTTCAACTTGCTTGACAGTCAGAGATGTTATAGTTTGATAAAGTGAAGAAATTATGATACTTTCTTCTTGTGGACAAACTTGAAGATGTTGAACTTTTATGCTCAATTCAACAGCATCGTATCCAGAAAGATATTGCACGTAATATCTTTGAATCACTTGACTATACTTTCGAACTAATCCTCGAAGTTCTTCCATGTGAAATAAGAGTTCAGGAAGTTGACGATCGATGAGATCTTCTGTTGATTTTCCTTTGACTTTCGAGCTGATTGGTGGATTATCATTGTGACGAAGCAACCACAATATTTCATCCCGAGCATAGCATAAACCGTTCAAAACGAGAAGAACTTTTGGGCCAAGTAAGCCTGGTTGATCGGTTAGAATTAATGTCAACTCTTTGAGAGCAGTTCTAAGAAACTTTCTTCGTTCACGATGCATTAACGACGCCTTTTGCATTGAATGATTGTAGCAATCTTTAACTTCTGATATTCTTTTACTGAAACCTTTTAATCCTTCGAAAGCATTCTGAATAAATTGATGAATGTAAATAACTTCATCTCTGTACAAAGCAATCACCCATGAAGATTCAAGAGATGAAATCCACATATTTGTAACTTGAGTCGACTGTCCAAGCATTTGATGGTTTAACATTAATCCAAATATTATCCAACGGTCTAATGTTTCTAGCGAAATGTACTCACAAGACATTGTATCTGATTTTGATGGTTTCAATAATGCAGCTTGATTTCCAACAAGTGTTAAAATTTGCATTTCACGCCATTTCTCTGCTGGCACATTACGCATGGGATGAATTTGAACGAGTGACTTGATTGCACTTGATAACAATTTTTGGTGTGGAATAAATTCTTCCGAAAGCTTTCGCATTGGATGTTCATAGTCGACAATAAGTTGACCCAATCTTGGGAAGTTTTCATCACTTCCATTGTTCTGCATTTCAAATGCTGCGTTAAATAAACCTAAAACTGCTTTGCGATCTTCAACGCGTGAAAGCAAAATCATTAACGACACATAAGTTGTGACAAGCTCTAAATAATTTTTGGTTAATTCGTGATTGACACTGATATCGAGATACATTTGTAGTGCATCCATTGTAGTTAACATTTCACAAACATTGTCTTTGAAATCGAGTAGATCGACAAATGTATAATAATAAAGTGACAGCGATTTTATAATGTCCACTTTGATGTTGGTAACAGCTGTAAGTCCCTTCGTGTCAATATTTGGAAAGCGCTTAACAATTAATTTAATAGACGATTCAAGCGCCTTGTCGGAGAGAAATCCTGGCTTCGATTTGACATCTCCACAAGCTTTTTTAATATTATAAATGCGAGTTAAGATTCCTGTGCCTCTGTCGTTTAAAATTATCAGTTTTTCTGAGATCTTTTGATATGTTGGATTTAATTGGCGGGCCATGATTGTTAATCTATCCTAATATCTAGGCAGTCGAGAGTCTCTCTAAATTTTAAAGAAAAAGTAAGCAATTTAGTCAGACTTGGGAAATCGATTCAATGATTTTCTTAAAACATTTTTCTCATGTTTTCTATGGAAATTTATATATTTTGGGATTATTAAACTGTTAAACTTTATAAAAAACGCTAATCTTGCTTACCAAATAGAAATTAGTAGATTTTTAATTCTTTATGTCAAGGTACAAAATTGTTTATAAAAATCAATCAAACTTTTTGTTTCTTTGAGTCTCCTGAAGTGAGGAACTTTTCGATATATTGCTGAAAATTTATGCTAAAGCGTTTTATAACAGTTTTCATGTGTTATAATTCTTATCTTACTTGCATGAATCAAAACAAAAACATTGAATATTGGATAACTTTCATTATTCATTTCCTTCTTCATTTTATATAAAACATGGCTTATTCAAGTTGGTGCAGGCTTTGTGGAAGCACTTTAGGTAGTTTTGAAATTTCTGGTGACATGGAACAAATCATAGACGATGTTTTAAGGGTGAATTGTGAAAATTTGTTATTAATAATGTTTTTATTCTTATTTAATGTTTCTTTATCGGTTTAAAGTTGAAACTACCACACTTGCTGATATGCTTAGATTGTGTAAGATTTCTCAACAATTTAAGTATATTTAAGACGAAAGCCCAAATGTTACAAAGCATGTTTAAAGAACTTCGTGATTATTCCGATCTTCATTCTACTGAATTATCTGAAAACGAACTAAACACTTTTCGATCTCGCTTTGGCCTTAAGAAAATTAATGGAAGCGGCGAAAAGGACATTCATATTGAAAAAGAAGAGGAAATTCACGAATTTGTAATGCCAAGCGAAGAAGATCATCATAAAGAAAGTGGAATCGATCAAATTATTGAAATTAAATCAATCAAAGAAATCACAAATCGAAAAACTAAAGAAAAGAACGAACAAACTGATACAGAAAAGCTGTATGAATTCAAATGTCATGTCTGCAACGAAGAATTTACTAAAATGCCACTTCTAACACGACATTGTCATGCCGTTCATCAAACAACTCCACAAGTTTTATGCTTTTGTGGAACATTTCTTAGTTCATGGAAACGTTTGATGGCACACAAATCAAAACACATTAAAGATGACAATGGATTCAAATGCAATAAGTGTAGCATATCATACAAAACTTTAAGTGCTTATGAAAAACATCTCAATACAAAACATGGACCCAACGCTGTGAAATTTATTTGCGAAATTTGTGGAAAAGAATTCAAAGAACGTCACATACTCAAAAGTCATGAAAAAGTTCATTTACCTGATGAGTTGAAATTAAAACATCCTTGCACGTACTGTCCAAAGAAATTTGTTAATAATCATTGTCTCAAGATTCACATTGCTAGAATTCATGAGAAAGTTGCACTTCATACATGTGAGCTTTGTGGTAAAGGCTGCATAACTAAAAGTGATCTTAAATGGCATATGGTGAGAAAAATTCTGTTGTTTTATTTGAATTTTTCAATATTTTAAATAACTTACATTAGGACAAACATATCGAGGAAAGAAATTACGAATGCAATATTTGTCATTTAAAATTTAAGAGTACGAATTCATTAAGAATTCATAAACGTCGGCACTTTAATCAAGACACGATCATCGTTTGTTCAGTTTGTGGTAAAAATTTTCACTCTCCTGGAGCGTTAAGCGCTCATAAGGTTAGTTATTTAATAAAGCATCGTTGCTATCAAATTCATCATGTTTTTTTACATTACAGCTTGTCCACTCTGATGTCAAACGATATAAATGCTTTTGTGGCAATGAATACAAACGTCTTGAGTCTTACAAATGTCATTTATCAACACATACAGGAGAAGTAAGTTTAATAATTAAATGTCATATTATTAAAGTTCTTTGATTAATTAATTTTCCTTTCCAAGCGTCCATTTAGTTGTTTATGGTGTACAAGAACGTTTGTTAATTCTGCAAACTGTCGAAAGCATAAACTAAAAGATCATCCTCAAGAAGTTGCGCAACATGAAGGTTATTCCAAAATTGTTTCTCAATAATTAATTAATCTATTAAATTTAGTTTAAAAATCTTCTCTAATATTTCTTTTTTACTATTTACAGCAATATATGGAAAGAAAGGAGTCTCATTGGCAGTAAAAACACAAAGCAGTTAGTTGGAAATGACTTTTTATTTTTTATAAGCTTATCAGAAGAATAATAATTAATTTATTAATAGAATTATAAAAAAAAATCAGTTCTGTCTTTCACCTTGGTTTTATTTAACGAACTATTAGCGTCATCAAAATATTCTAAACCATTTTCCACGTTAATTTAGCATTGTGCTGGCAATGAAACGCTACGAAAAAATATTTTTTTAATTTATTTATTCAATAATATTGAGAAAAAATGAAATGTTATAAAGAAACTTACTGTTCAACTGTCATCTCCGTAAACAAAACATCAGATTTCGAGTTGACAATGTAAACGATGACAAATGAGAGAATCATGACTACAAAACCGATTGAGAATGTCAACGACTCGTGAGTTGGTGATGGTCGTAAGAAAATTCGAGCTGAAAGTTCGTTCCAAGTTGATTCTGTCCATGTTGAATATCGATTACTTTTGAAATTGTAATCGACTTCTTCAAAAGCTGGACTTAAAGCTAAACTGAAGTTCTGAGTCGTCAATCTGCATTCGCCAGTCATATTACTGCCAGGAATCCAATAATCTGGCAAAACTGTGCAGTTGTCTTTTGTTTTGCCTTTAATATTCTCGCTTAAGACAAATCCTAGAACTCGATATGCCCACCAAGTTGCTTCCAATGTCACTGTAGCTTGAACGCTGATGTATCTTTGAGGTGGAAAATCATTACCATGAAATGATCCTTGAAACTCGAAAATTGATGAAAATAAGCGACATTTCGATGCAATCAAATAACAGTAGAGATATTCATCAACAAGCTGACTGCTTGCAACGTAAGTTCCATTATACTTTTGACCTTTGTTAAGAATATCGTAGATTCCCAATGCTACAAGAGTTGCAGCGTTTCTTATTTTAATCTGAACTGAAGTCACTGTAAAACTATGCGAATCTCCAATTGAATCCAATTGATCAAAATCCGCGCTTAAATTGAAGTAAGTGAAGTTGAGATTGTTCATATCATCATAAACTGAATGGTAAAATTTATTTTCTGGCTTTGTTGTAGCCACGATGAATGCTGGAAAACTTGAATTTTCTCTCAAAAAGGTTTGTGCTGATACAGGTGGAAGATTGTTTGTGGTTTTTGATGTGAAGTTTATGTTCAGCTTTAATTTGTCGTTGTAATATTGAAACGATGATATCAAATTGTTTCCAAAATCTGAATCTTTTAATTGATACATTGTTATGTCAGTAAATGAATCTAAGTTTCCAATATCAATCATCAGCATGATGTTACTAAGATTCAATGGTTTTGTGTAAGATGATGGGGAAGGAAATGCGTCGCCTTTCTTTAAGTCGTAAACGAATCTCTGTGATCCAATGTAATCGTAAGATTCACCATTGAATATCATAAACATGACGTTGATTTTCTTGTCGTTTAATTTCTCCAAAGAAATTAACTTCTTCAAGTAATGTCCACTTGTGATGAGAGTTGCAGCAGATGCAAGTGAATCCATTGCACCCAAACCAAGTCCATCAAACATCGATGTTGTGTCTAATCTTGCAGTGACGAGAATAATTTTCTCACTTTCGTCAATTGTTCGGTTCTTTGGACTAACAATCTCTCGAGGAAATAATGTCGCATAGACGTTCTTTCCTTGAAGTGGATCACAATAATGAATTTGATTTAGAAGTTTAAAGATTTCCGTTCGTCTCATGCAGATTTCTGAATTTCCAGCTGCTGACATGAATGAATTGATTTCAATGCTGCAAAGTGATCTTTGCTTCTGATTTGTGAAATCTTTATTGAAATCATTGAAGCATTTTATAACTTTCTCAGATTCGTTTCGATTAGATAAGAAAATTATTGGAATTTCAAAGTTTTCTTGAAGTAATCCAGTTCCAAATGGATTCCACGTTGTTTCCGGCTTTAAAATGTCACATGTTGGTTGTTGGGAATGTGTGAAGAATTCATTCGGACATTTTGATTCTTGACTGAAGCTTTCAACTTTTTGTGTGTCGTTGATAAGAACAATTGCAGATATGAACGTTGAATCTCTTAATTTAAGAATATTTTCACGAGTAAAATGTTTTGGAGTAACAATAGCCGCATAAGGTGGTGCTGGTGGCTTGTTTAAGAGGAAATTGATGTCTGAATCACTTGAAATAAGATGAAGTACTCCAACTGATCCTCTTGACTTTCCGTTTGCTTAATATTTTAAAATTTAATTTTTTATTGTGTGAACTTACAAAATTAATTTTTAAAAAAAAAATTGACTTACAGGAACATCCAGTTTGATGTGTTGCATTTAGCCTTCTAAAACACATGCTACCATAAACATCTTCATACATGTTCTCTTTAGTTCTATCACAGAATACTGAAACATAAGAAATTTTAATATTTTCTTCCCACGATAATCTAATTTTTTTATTTGTAAGTTTGTTTGAGATTTTATGACTTATGTGACACTACTCAAGACTTACCTGAACTTAAAAAAGCTCCTAAAAGTGTAAGAGAGATCACTGCTAGCTTAGTTTTCATGTTTTTAAGAAGTTTTATTTTCTGAGTCACTCGAATCAAAACAAAGGGAACATCTGAAAGTTACGTATGTGAATATGTACTAAAATTTAGAACAGAAAATTTAGAACAAATTGTGATGTTCAAAGCTCAAATAATCTGCAAAAAAAGTTAATAAAGATGGAATTAACGAATAGAGAAATTGCTAGATACAGTCGACAAATTATTTTGCCTGGCATTGGTGTAAAGGGGCAAAAGCGACTTAAAGCATCATCAGTTCTAATCGTCGGTGCCGGTGGTCTTGGTTGTCCTGTTTCTTCAAATCTTGCTGGAGCTGGAATTGGTAAAATTAAATTTATTAACTTTTAATTCATAGCTTTAATGTTGTTTTCTTATGATTTAGGTACTCTTGGAATTATTGATTATGATAACATTGAAATCACAAATCTTCACCGTCAACTTTTACATTCCGAAAGTTCCATTGGAAAATCTAAAGTTGAATCAATTAAAAATTTCATAGCCAATCTTAACTCTGATGTTAAAGTGCAGACTCATCAAGTTCTTTTAAATTCGAAAAATGCGTTGGAAATCATAACAAAGTATGATTTAGTAGTAGATGCAAGTGACAATGTTGCTACCAGATATTTACTTAACGATGCTTGCGTTTTGGAAAATAAAACTCTGATTTCTGGATCAGCATTGCAAATGGAAGGACAGATGACAGTTTATAATTATAAGAATGGTCCATGTTATCGTTGCATATTTCCTAAACCACCACCTCCAGAAACTGTCCAAAATTGTGGCGATGGAGGAGTTTTAGGAGCAAGTAAGTTAATTAAATAAGAAGAAACTTCAAAATTCTATGTTGGTATTAAATTTAATTATAGTCACTGGCGTCATTGGCTCTTTACAATCAATGGAAGTCATTAAAGTAATTTTAGATCACGATGATGTTCTTGCTGGTAAACTTCTCTTGTATGATGGTGCTTCTTGCTCATTTAGGACCATAAAGTTACGGAATAAAAGACAAGATTGTGATGTGTGTGGTGTGACACCAAATATAACAAAACTTATTGATTATGAGCAATTTTGTGGCATGGCAGCAAGTGATAAAGATTCGGGATTGAACATTCTCGAAAGCAATGAGAGAGTTACTGTTGAAGATTACAGAAATTATAACAAAGATCATCTTCTCATCGACGTTAGAAGTGCGAATGAATTTGAAATTTGCAAGTTAAACAACGCAATCAATATTCCTATTAAACGTTTACTTGCTGACAAAATCGACAATGATTTGAAAGAAGAAATGAAAGAGAAATCAGTTTTTGTCGTTTGCAGACGAGGAAACGATTCACAGTTGGCAGTTCGACATCTTAACGAAAAACTTGGTATAAGATCGAAGGATCTGATTGGAGGATTACATTCGTGGACACATACAATCGACAAAGATTTCCCAATTTATTGAAAAGAATTTTAATATTTATTATGGATTTTTAAAAAGTCAAGAAAAGGTTAAGTTTATTAACATATGAAAGGTTTTTTACTAATTAAAAATATCTATTATTAATAAAAGGTCTTTTATAATGTCCTATTCTTATGAATCTTCTGTGTTTTTGTATCGTATGTGGATCTTAATCACTTGGATTGTCGCTTTCTTTCTCCATTTTAGTAACGATCTCATGAACCATTAAAGAAATAATGTCTTGTAATGAAAACGTCTTGTTTATTTTTTCTAAAATGAAACAAGTTTGATTTAATATTTTGCTGTCATAAATAATAAGTATTTTAACCTGATAATTTCTGTGAATTTATTGAAAATTTCACAATTGAAGACATTTCACCAAATGCAAGTTGAAAATATGCATTTTGGCGATGATCTTCCATATTGATCATTTCCCCGTCGCAGTCACTGCTACTGCTTCCCTGAGAATGCATTTGTTCTGGACTTGAATCCATTATTTATTTCTAATTGTTGAGTTTTAATATTTCTTCCTTTAATTTAACACTTACAGTTTAACGTTCAATTAAATTTTAAAATTTATCATGTGCATGCGGCTGACTTTCAATCCGTCAATGACGTCAAAAAGTTTCATACGTGTCAGAATATTCTTTTTCATTTGTAAAATTAAAAAGATTTACTTCAAATTTATCTGTTTGTGAATTGTAATTAGTTGCTCAAGTATTATATCAAGTGAATGGTAAGATCAGAATTGTGAATTTCAACATAGAAGTGCTTAAATCAATAAAGAAAATAATTTCAGAAAAAGTGAAAGTAGTGAAAATATTTTTTGCCCTTTAATTAAAATTTCTTTAGCACAAAGTGTCTTTATCTCTGTTTTTTACTTTTATAGGTCAAATTAATGCATCTGCTTTAAAAAGAATGACTTCGCAACATTTTGGGGCTGATGAAGGTTGGGGAGACGAATGGGGAGATTGGGGAGAAAATAATTCAAAGAACAACAACAATATAAAGCCACAAATATCACAAAATCAACCTGTTCAAGTAATTATTTCGATAAAATATTTATTTAACTGGTCTCCACAAAGATTTCATTGATTCTTTTGATTTTAGATGTCACAACAACAAAATTACTCAATTCCTCAACAACAACCAACATCAGTTGCTCCGATATACTCTCCGTTTGCTTATCAGCAACCTCAACAACAGCCGCCTCTTTTAACTCATCATCAACCACTTCAACAGCAGCCTCCTCCTCCTCTTTCAACTCATCATCAACAACAGTTCAACAATTCTAGTTTCTTTTCTAACTCAACTTACGACAATGTAAATAATAATCAACATAATCAAGCAAACACAAATGTTGCATTCAGTAACCAGACATTGACATCACCTTCTCAAGTTCAACAAGTTCGCGGTATGAACAAAACTCAAGCAACTCCTTTACTTGCTGCCAATACTGGCCATCAAGAAGAAGTCAAAAGATTGCCGATCCAACAATATCAGTCACCAATTAATTACCCAGGAGCACCTCAAACTCCTTTCATGCCGTCACCATCAACTTCACCAATGCAACTTCCACCGCCACCTCAAACTGAAAACATAACTGACGATCTTTACACATCAAGTCAACAAAAGAATTTACCGGCACCACCACCAATTCAAACTTACGAGACAAATTTTAATCGTCAAACGCCCGATCAAGTCACTCAAACTTATCATTCGGGTAATTGGCAAAAGCCACCAATTTCTTCTGTTTCGGTTGGTTCTGAACATTTCAATATGAATCAAACCTTTCAAACTAATATCAATCAACAGCAACATCAACAGAATGTGTCGCCACCAAATCAAATTGTTGGAACTTCTTACCGACCACCTAATGAAGCTGTTTTCAACACTCCTCCATCACTTAATGATTTCCCACAACAATCTTTTCGTGGTCATCAAGAGCCGCCAACAACATCATCAACAGCTTTCACTCAAAGTTCTTCACAATTCTTTGATCCTTCAGGACAGCAAATGCAACATGAGATCAGTGGACAGCCTTTTGTACCACCACCATCATCATCATCATCTAACGTCGTACAAAATAAACCAGAACAGCAAGTAAATTTTTCACCAATGACAGGAACAAATGTTGAAACATTTTATCCTGAAAATCGTGAGCGACTTGACGATGTTGCACCACCAGCTTCAGTTTCATCAACAGCAACATCATTTACTGATCGTCACAATTATTTAGTGACAGGTCAATTGTCACAAGATCGTGTGGTTGTGTCATCGCATTATCAATTTCAAGAGAATGTTAATCTTCCTCCACCAGGCTTATCTCGAATGGTTGTTGGTCAGCCGGAAAGTAATCACGAGCAGATTCCAACAAGCGATATTCCACCACCAGGTCTTAATCGTATGGTGACTGGTACAGAAGGTGCATCACATAATTACATTAATTATCAAAGACAAGCTGATGGAGAAGTTTCACAAGTTGGAACTCCAATTCAAAGACCACAAACGAATTCACCATTTAACCATCAACCACCACAGCCTGAAACATCACAACATAACTTCAATACTTCTGATCGAAATTTGTATCTTGTCGCTGGTGAAAGTGATGCTAATAATCAACGTGTTATTCCTGGTGTTGAAAGTGATGGAAATTTACCGCCAGTCATTATGAATCCATTACAGAATCTTCACATTCAAGATGACGATGATTTTGTGAATGTTTCTGTTGCTGTACAAGAAAGAAATTTAAATGTTGATGGAATGGAAACTGGACAAGATGTTCAACCAAGAGAAGAAGTCATTGATGGTGCTAATGATAACAATGAAAGTTTTAATATCGTTCAAGTGTCACAAGTTCAAGATCATGGTGCAGTTTTAAAAGATCCCGAACCTGATGTACGTGAAGAAGCAATTGAAGGTGCAAATGATTACAATGAAGATGTTGGAAGATCAAAGAATTCAGATTCAAAGAATTTAATTGGTAGTAAAAAATCGAAGCCGGAATCGTCTGAAGATAGTGAATTACGTGAATTAGAAGCGAATATGAGTTTATCGAAAGCACGTCGAAGTAAAAAGTATACCGACGATTCAATAGATTCAGAAAATGATTACAGTGACATTGATAAAAGAGAGAAACATGATGACAGTCGAAGACGACATAATCGTGAGAAAATGTCACGTGAAGAATATGAAAGATATCGGAAGAGAGAGAAAGAAAGAAAGCCGAGAAGGAACGACGACACCGATGGATCGAAGTATGGTGATTCGAAGAGAAGAACCGATGAAGAAGATGATTATCGAAGGAATCGAGACAAGTATAAGAAAAGTTCACGAAGTAGGAATCAGGATGATGTTGATGTTGATGAAAAAGATAAAAAAAAGCGAGAGAAATATCGTGAATCGGGTTCAAGAAGAAGTAAGTTGACATTTTACAAAGTTTTTACGAAAAATTTTAATTTAATTTGTTTATAGAAGATCACGGTTACGATGATGATCGCAGAGAACGCCGACGACGTGAAAGATATTACGACGATGATAATTATTCAGGGAGAAGAAGTCAAAACACTTCTGATCGTGAATACAGTTCAGATCGTTACACGCGTCGATCGCGCGATCATATGGAAAAAGATAGAAAATTTGATGCCAATAGTTACTATCAGCAATATGCGGGATATGATCCTAACTATAATTATAATTCATATTATCAACAGCAACAATATTTTGAAACATTACGACGAACCAATCCGCAAGCTTATTATGATTGGTATACGAAATATTATGGAATGATTCAACAGCAACAAGCTCAACAAGTTCAGCCAACATCAACGATTGATGACATTGGTGGATCACTTCGTTCTGGTTATAGTTCCAGTAATGAGAAAGAAAGGTAAGAAATTAAAAGAAAATTATAAGAAATATTTCAAATATCATTGGAAATAACATTCTGTAGCATGTTTTATTATTGTGAATAATTATGATCTTTTGCTTGCACAATCTTCGCTTACAAATCTTCATCTTTTTTTCCTTTCTTTTCGTTTCGTGTGACATTTTTTCTCTTTGTTTATTGTGTGATAAAAATCTTCAGAAGCAATGGAAGTCGGTTTCTTCCTGGTGGAAATGTTTCGAATCCTGTACGTGGAATCAACACTTCGTATATTGATAACACAGAATATCCGTCGCTGCAAGGATTTACAGCAGCTGTTAAGGATTTAAATCAAACTTATGCATCATTGAATTATAATCAAGGCTATGGATACGATAATTACAGGTTTGGAAACATTTAAATCTTAATTATCATAGTATAGTATGGCATTACATTCATTTTAAAATTAAGGAGATCATCATCATTTCATGCTTAGCTTTAAAAATTATTTAGTTAAAAGTATTCAGTTGATTACAAGATTTTATGCTTTGTAGTTTACGTACAATTTTTGCGTATCTTACGTAACGCAAGTGTCTCAACTTGACGCTACGTTAGTTGAAAGTGAAGTTTAACGTACGTAACGTATGGGAAATCTTGAAATTCACTGAATTTAGATCAAATTTCATTTCTTTAATTTCTTCCTTTATATTATCTACAGGGATAAAAATGTAGTTACTGGAGAAGCTCAGAGACTAACACCTAAAAAGTTTCAATCACTTCATGGCTTCGTTAGACTTGGCAGTGGTATGATGGCTACAATCGATTCATCAAACGCTGATAATTTCATAATTAAAATTGGAAATTTACCAATTTCCGACAAGACAAAACGATTGTATCATCATTATCCAGGTCCACTTGTTCGGGGTGTTTCACATAAGAAAACTGTTATAGAATTTTGTGAAGAAAAGTTGAAGCAAGATCAACTCGTGTTGGTTTCGCAACGAGCTTCTTATTCACTTTTATGGAGCTATTTGATTCTAATGCTTCGACAGAATGGAAACTATACAGAAACAGATATTTCTGAGTTATTGATGAAGAATTCAGAAGATTTTAAAGGCATGTTGAATAGCAGTTCATCGGATGACCACAAAATCATAGCAAACGAAGACAACACCGACATAAGTGAAAGCGATGAGAATGCTGGAAGTGAAAAGAACTCAAATTCTGTGAGTCAGAGTCATGAAGACACCACAACATCAACAGTGTCTGATAAAGTTGTTATTCACAAGTTCCGTGATTATCTTCTGTATGGAAACGTCAACGATGCATTGGATTTTGCAACGGAAAATAATTTATGGGGTCATGCGCTGTTCTTAGCATCAAAAGTTGATCGACGACAACATGCTAATGTCATGTTGAAGTTTGCCAATAAATTGCCTTACAACGATCCACTTCAAACACTTTATCAAATAATGAGTGGACGAATGCCATCGTGCGTGACGAATTTGGATGACAAATGGGGTGATTGGCGGCCACATCTAGCAATGATCATTTCAAATTGCACTGACAAACCGGATCTTGTAAAACGATCAATTATGGCTCTTGGCGATTCATTGGCAACACGTGGTGACATCTTTGGCTCACAATTTTGTTATTTATTGGTTGAACCAAACTTCTGTGACTACAATGAAGATGGTAAAATGTCATTGCTTGGCATGTCACGTCAGAAATCATTTAAAGAATTTGCGAATGATGACGCGATCATTATGACGGAAGTCTATGAATATGCTCGAAGTTTAAGCGATGAGAACTTCTTCATTCCATCGCTACAAAAGTTCAAATATCTTCTTGCTGGTAAAATTCTTGATTATGGATCACCATTAAAGTCACTTCTGTACATGGAACATATTGCAAAATGTATTTTATCAGATCCGAGTATGTTCCAAATATCTTTTATTTTGAAAATTTATTCGCTTGCTGATCGGTTGAAGTTCTACGATCCGGAAATGGCAAAATCTTATGAAGATAATTTCAATAATAACGAACCGATTGAAGATTTAAAATGGCTTCAAGATCTTTCGTCATTATGCCGATCATATGATGACTCTTTGTTAAGTTATCAACCGAAGCTTCAACAACAAACACCCCAAGTTTCGTCTGGTGAAATCTACAGCCCTCTTAGCTATCAATCAGCTCCATCTGGAATTTATGACCCGATGAGTCAACAACAGACACCAACGCATGCATCGTCAACATATGGAGATGATCAATTACTTCAATTTAATCAACAACAAGAACAGAATCAAACGACGCAAATGGAAAATTCTTATCAATATCAACAACATGATCAGAATTTTTCATATGAATACAACAATCCGCCAGGTGCAGTTGATTCGACACAAAATTACGTTAACCAACAAGAGTCATCAAGTGGTCATAATAATTATCAACAACAACAACCGACGATGTCAACTGATTATGGATACAGTTGGGATCAGGTAAGATTTTTATTTCTTAATATCAATCAAAATTAATTTAAATTTTCTCAGCATCAACAGCAGAAACCGACAATAACGATGGGAAATACAACGTCAAATAATTTCGATGATAATTCGCAAAAGTCTGGGACTAATGATGCAGCAAAACAACAAAGTAATAAAGCGGAAGCTGATAAAATGAAGGGAAAGAAACCACAAGATGGAACGACACAATCTGGTGGTGGTGGTTGGTTCGGTGGAATTTTTAGTAAATTATCCATGAAACCGAAAAATCAAATGATTCTTCCTGATGATAAAAATCCTACTGTAAGTTGTTCATTCAAATGATTTTTTTCTGTAATTAATCTTTTTTTTATTTAGATTGTGTGGGATGAAGCGACAAAAAAATGGGTGAATAAAGACGAAGATGCAACTGAGGCTGAAAGCTTTAAGCCACCGCCAAAAATGGGCGATATGATGGGAAATAAAGTTCAACAAACAAACAACATTCAGTCGCAAGCTCCTCAAATCCCAACAATGTCTCAAATACCACAAATGCCTCAACAATATTCACAACCGTTGCAGTCTGAGTTGAATCAGCCAAGAATTGAAGCTAATAACGTTCATCAACAACCGATGATTAATCAACAACAACAACAGTCGAATGTAATGAGTGCTGGTCAAGATACCATCCAACCACAACTGCCAGGAACTTCAGCTCCAAACATGTTTAAAATGCAGAAAGGAAGAAGTGAGAAGAATTGTCAAATATTCAATTAGATTATTTTATAATTAATCAATAAATTGTTTCAATAGATTTGAAGAAATCTTATGTAGATATTCTCGGAAATTCTGGTCAAACAGTTTCGCAACCAAAAGAACTTGCACCACAAATGGACATGCAGTTCTTTAATCCAGTTCAACAACAGCCACAGGTAAGTCAAGAAAATTTATTAAATTTCTAAAACTCATTTAATCGTTTCGGTTCCAGGGAATGCAATTCTACAATCCAAATGATTTTAATTAAGATATTGGTGGACAACTTTGAGTGCACATAACTTGGCGAAAATATTTTTACTTGCTGTAAAATTTCTTTAGTTTTTAAGAATTCTTATTTTCATTTTGGTAGAGCCAACGGTTTGATAATGTAAACGGTGATAAAGGCTGATGAGACAAGATGTATGTGCATTGTATCTACATAATAATTAGTATCATAGTTGAAATATCTATAAACCCAAGGTTTCTTCTTTAAAATATTGTTTTCGTTTTAATTTTTCATAAATATTTTGGTGATTGATATGATTTCGTCCGGTATAGAATTTTATTGATTTTTTCTTTTAGTTTCTGTTATGCAATGATTTATGTTGAAGAAAATATTTTTGTTTCATAATTACACATCGTGAGTTTTTGATAAGTTTATTTCGGTAAAATATTTAGTTACGAGAAGAATGTTGGATGAGGATTGAAATCACTTCAACAATAAATTTATTAGCTGGCGAGTCGATAAACTGAAACGTCAGAGTATTAAAACTTTTATTATGCGAAACATATGATCGATAACTACTAGCTAGAAATTTTTATTCAAATTGAAACATCGATGCTTGAAGCAAGTGTCTAAGTGTCATGGTGGAAGCGATTAATTCTTGAAATTTTGTTATTGTCGTGTTCCTAAGACATATTAAGAATAATAAAATGAAAAAATTATAAGGAAGCATTTTAATTGAGTTTTTGATTAAAAGTTTGCAGCAATCATCTCCAGATTTGTTATAGATTTTAGCAAACTACCTAAATGTCATTCTTTAGACCAATTGTGCAAAGGGTTTGACATACGAAAACTGTCGTAGAATTTTGTGAAGAAAAGTTGAAGCAAGATCAACTCGTGTCGGTTCACAACGAGCATCTTATTCACTTTTATGGAGTTATTTGATTCTAATGCTTGCTATACAGAAACAGATATTTCTGAATTATTGATGAAGAATTCAGAAGATATTAGAGGCATGTTGAATTAGCAGTTCACTGGATGACGGTAGAATTTTATTGAAGAAAAACGACATGAAAAAAATAAGTGAAAGAAAATGCACTTCAATCATTATTTTAAGAAGTTAAAAATATTTTAATGTTTAATTAAAATTCTATGATAAACAAGGAGCAAAGGAGTTTGAATTCGTATTAAATTATAAAATTTGCAACGATAATTCAAGAACAATATTTGAAAATTGTAATATGAGCGAAATTATAAGTGACTAAAGTTGTGAAGCGTCAGAAAAAGCTTGATTTCAAGCGAATCAAAGTCCGTCACCCTACTCGGAAATTTCATCGATGCTTCTCAGGAAGAATAAATTGCTTTTCCAAGTAACGATTTTAAAATTAAGTAAATTGATTCTTTATTTTTCACTTTCGATTTTGATACAAAAAATAATTAACTGTAAAGCACAGCAAGAAAATCTTAATTAAGAAACTTAACTGATTTGTATAAGAAGAATGATAAGATGACGTCGTAACAGCTTATTGCTGAAACTATTTGATTATCAGATTTGTTAAGTTTTTAAAAGCATTGATAATATTTATGTAATGAAACTATTACAAATTTGAATTGTCAACTTTCTTCCATTTCAAGTTGTTTCTATTGCCTCCAAATCTAAAATCGTGTTTTGACGAAAGATGAGTTTTCTTAAAAAGTTTAATTTCTGATTCAATTTTCATACAAGACTATTCATTTTTGTTCTGTTTGCTTAAACACCACGGATGCCGTTTCTACAACATTAATTTCACTGTTTGATGCATGAAAATTACAAAAGATAAGGAAACTCATCTTTGTTATCGCCAGACTCATCACTTGAGCTTGGCGGAGTTTCAAGTTGTGGTAAACCTAAGTCTAAGTATTCTTCATTTGCAGTTATGCTTAAAATTTTATCCAAATCTTCAACAATCTCGGAAAAGGATGGACGTTCCATTGGATGCCAGTGCCACGTCTCACGCATCAGCATGTAACTACAAAAAGATGTCAATATGAATTATTGAAATCATGTGAATTGTCAAATATCAACTCACATATCAATGGAACAAAGCGCTGGTTTCTCCATCCGCTCGCCTTTTTTTAGGAGCTCGAAAAGATTCTTTACTGATGGTATTGATGGGTAAGGTGTTCCACCTAACGTCATAATCTCCCATAATAAAATACCATATGACCAACTGAAAAGAGTTTTCAATAATTTCTTATATTTAAAAGTCATTGAACCATCAGAACTTACACATCACTCTGAGTGTCATAAACTTTATCAAACAGCGACTCTGGCGCCATCCATTTCACTGGTAATCGACCATCGGTTGTTTTTCTATAATAATCTTGAGTGTGAATATCACGAGCCAAACCGAAGTCAGCAATTTTCATGACGAAATCATCACTGACTAGAACATTTCTTGCGGCCAGATCACGATGAATGCATTTTCGACTCGCCAAATATTCCATTCCACGTGCAATTTGATAAGCAAATGAGACAAGATCTTTCTGCGTGAGTGTTTGCTTTTCCTTTTCTTGAGCATTATCAGCATAAGAATTTGGACGATGTTTTCTTAAGAAATCTCGAAGATTTCCATGAGGTGCGTACTCAACAATGACAAAAAGTGGTCCGTCTTGACAACAACAACCAAGTAAATTAATTATGTTAATGTGAGTTCCAATCATTTTCATGACTTCCATTTCACAGACAAGATCTTTGACATCTTCATCTGTGTGTCCTTCTTTCAGCATTTTCACAGCAACAATCGTCGTTTGTCCAGTTTTGACGAGTCCATTAGCATGAGCCATGACGACTTTTCCAAACGCACCTTCACCAAGATTCTTGCCCAACTCAAGTTGAGCTCGAGGAAATTCCCAATTAAGGTCGATTGGGAATTCATACTCTGATATCATGTTAGGATCATTTGAATTTCCAGCCATTGCCGAACGATGTTTCTCTATCCGAACAATTGGCATTTGCTATAAAAGAATTAAATTTAATAACAAACAACAAAATATTTACAATGAATTTAACTCACAAGAGTCTCTGATAGTCCTGGATTACCATTATCAATACAAGGTTGAACAACAATAACTTTCTTTGTCCATTGATTAACTCTTTCCATTTGACGTTGCAATTTCTTGGTTTTGGTATATTTCTTCCACACAAATAAGATAATCCCAAGAGCGACAACAAAGAATATCATCAGAAAAGTCATCAAATAACCGTACCACTCATTATTTTTAGCTCGTTCCTTTCTCACTGATAACTCGTCAGGGAGAGAATCGACAACACGAAGATATGCACTTTCAGAAGTGCTTCCAAGACTGCTTGCTGCAACACATGTGTACCAACCTTCATCGGCATGTGTCACATTAAACAATTGAAGTTTTCCAGCATTATCTTCATCACGCTATTTTTTAAAGTAAAATGTAATTAATTTTTACTGAACATCAGTAATGACGAGTGCTTCAATTTGTTAATCAATTATTGTTGTTGTTAATGTTGAAAAATAAATAAATTTGCATGCTTATCTTATCTAAACATAAATGTCAAATAAACTTCTACATACTTATAGAAAAGAATTATTTAATTATTTTAAGTTTTCTTAAGTTACAAATGATCATTCCAATATTAGTTCAAGTTCATTCCAAATCAAAAATTCCCTTTCACCTCAATTTTTGTTTTCACACAATTGCTATCATTTAAGCATTTCTGCACGAACCAACTCCGAGATGAATGAAAATCAGAAAGAACTTGTATCTCAAACGTTACATTTGTTCCAACAATTGCTGTGACATTTTTTGGGGATTTTTCAAAAATTGGCTTGTGATTTACTCGATCTGAAAGAAAATATTTACGTATTGAAAACTAAAGTAGATCCATCACCAAAATCAAAATAGATTATAAAAGATAAACGACTGAAAGTGGAAACTCAACACCATAAAGAGGGAAAAGATGAATAAATAAGAAAGAGAAGATTCTAAACAGCGGAAAGAACTAAATAACAGTTGTAGAAGAAAATGAGAAGAACTCCGCTCCCCTCTGCCACCACGATGAATTTCGTGCAAGATGTGATCGATACCTCAAGCTTTGTTACATTCCCTGGAATTGCTGTGCCTGTGGTTTGTGAACTATAAAACTTTGCCCATTGAATATGTGCTTCAAGATCAGATAAAATTGGACATTCAAATTCTGCTGTTGTGTTAACCAGCACTGTTAAGTTCTTAGGATAACCTTCGCTTATGATTGGTGCTGATGGATAGCGATCTGAATTGTACAAATGTTGATTTTGTGTTCAGTTTCAACGAATAAATTTTTAGAAAACTATAATTAATGAAAGCAGAAATAAATGACAGGAAATTTACCGCTGACTTCCAGTTTTGATGTGAAATTTATACTTCCATGAATGTTTCGGACTTTGCAAGTATAAGAACCAGAATCGACTGGAATTAAATCTTCTAGTGTTATCGACCATTTGCTGTATTGCACTTGTCCCATTTTTCTGTCAATTGTTTTTCCATCTTTTGTCCATTCGATTGTAGGTTTTGGATCTCCTTCTGCTGTACATTTCAACTTCAATGTATTTCCTGAAGGCTTCAAATAAAATCGATTTAAATCATTTGGTTTAGTAAATTTTGGTGGATATCCGTTGCTTGTTGGTGCAATTGTTGTTCGTATTCTTGATGAAGAAGCTGTCACAGTGTCTTCATCATCGACAATCTGTACAGTATTGTCAGGATTCTCATCGATTTCGGGTGAATCCAAATCAGCTGCACCATATTTTCCTGTCAAAAACAAAAACCGAAAAATATTCATTAACACTCAACATCATCAATCGTCAAAAAAGTTTTCTGATCTTAACCAAACTCAGTTCGAGGTATTCAACAGGAAATTGTCATGATAACAGGAAACATCACACTACGTTTTAAGAATTCATAACGCCATAAGTTTCTTTTTATTTGTGATTGCTTGTTGCAACGTTCGTTTGACTGAGTTTTATTTAAAAACATGCGGTTTTGGATTTAATTCTTAAACTATGGAAAAGGTTTTGTGACATCTCTTAAGTGTACAAAAATTGGAATGTTAAAATATTCCTAAATTTATAAAATGTGACAAATTTATATAATCAGCAACTTTAATTTATTGTGAATAATTAATTAATCTAAATGTGATTAATGAAGAAAGTTTTATTGCCTTTTAAAATTCCTAATTTGTAGTAAATTCAATCTCCCCACTAATTGATAAACATCACAATCCGAATATAATTAACGATATGAAAGAATTTCTCCCCCTTGAAATGTAAGAATATTTCTCGATCCCACGATGTGCTTACCGATGTCATTCAGTGACATTTGAAGTTAAATTTGGTATTTTATTGCTTCTAATGACCGTGATCTATGGGCAACGTGTGTCGTGTGTCTGTCGTAAAAACTTATTTTCTTCATAAATCTTAAAAGAAAATCGTTTACAAGTGAAAAGAAATTTCTGATCTTCAAAGTTTTTCTAATTGGAAAAAATGATTTCGAATGTCTGACTCAGATTGTCATGGATCGATCAATAAATAAATTTCCGTCCAAATGTTTCGATGTGACTCAAAACAATATGACTTAATTTTCCCAATTGAATTACGCAAAACAACAATCTTAATCAATTTGATGTGACGATCGTATTTTTGTATTGATGAATGATCGCTAACAAGCCACAGGAAAACGTTTTCAAGACAAGAAGAGAAACATTAAATAAAACTCTTCGTCTTCTCAACATTTCTGACTTTCATGATTAATTAAATTAAATTAGCAACGTAGTTCATCACAGAAATTATTTTTTCACCGCATTTGCATCCCAAAGTGAGTGAATTTACATCTGGCATTGCTTTCATCTAAAACCAGACAATATGGAACTTTTCTTGTAATTAATTAGAGAAGGTGAAGATGGAAAGAGGGGAACGAGAAGTCAAAAACCACCATGCAACAGCTATAAATGTTTTTCAAGTGTATCAAATGAGTGTATCATTCCCGGTTTCACTAACCCGCAGTGTTTGTTGTAGTGGCATGTTTAGAAATATGACGAGTGCATGCAGGAGTTGCCAAAAGGGGCTTTTTAATTATTTTTTCAAATGAAACAACTAAAAATAGCTGACAAATCTTTTTCATTTATAATTTATACAGAAGATACGATGATGAGTAAAGAAGAAGTCAGAAGATACCATAGACCGGAAAACGAAAGTCAAGCAACGATTTTTAGAAGGAAGAAGAGTCGTGATTGTGCAATGTTGTCGATGAAAATCTTTTCCTTCATTTATGTTGTTGAATTTCCGTCCTGAGACGATGTCGCCGAAGATTCAATTTGAATTTAATTGAAAACTATTTTTAGAGATATCTAACTTCTTGAAACATTGTTTGAACAATAACGAATTGTCAGTAATCGTGTCTGCAATTTAAGCGGAATTGTCTGCCATTTGCATTTCTAATGATTGAAAGAATGAAAATAAAAATCAAAACAAAGCTGGTGCTTTGTTGAATATTTAATAGAGTTTTAGCTTATGATGATGAAGATCAAGTCGAGACCAAATAAAATTCATTCTCATTTTTATAAACAGAATTTGTTGTGTTGTTTTGAAAATACAATATGAAGGTTTCAATCGCTCGACCCATCATCTGGCATAACTGTTGATAAAATAGTTAAAAAAACCTTTTCTAAAGTCTGAACATAAACATTTTTCCTTCAATTACATTTACAAGGAGAAATGAGAAGAAATCAACAAACATTTTTTTTTCTCTTTTAGGCCACGACTACGGTCATAAAAACGACACCAGACAACGAGCAGAATGTAAAAATTTTCTTGACAAACACACGTGTTGCGCAGATGGAAATGCACAAGGATGCATTTGAGAGGATCATAAGAGAGAGAACTTCAATAATTATGTTGTTCTTCATTTAATTTATTGAGCCCTCGACATAGGAAGTTTCAAAAATGATGGAATCAAATTTTAATTAAATTTGATAAGTTATGACAAAACTTTTGACTTCTCACGCCGTGAACATTTCTTTAAAATTTAAAATAAATTTCTTTCATACTTTTCGCATGTTTCTTCCACCCATGCATTCATTCTCCCGTCAAAAACGATAAATATACTAACGACAGTTGCTCGTTGTTGTCTTGAGATTTATGTGGGAGTTGAATTTTGATCAGTTACAAGAGAGTGACAAATAAATTGCGGCAGTTGCTACTAACATTTGCAGCACGCTTTAAATCTTTTTTTAGTTAGACTTAATTAATATGAAGAACGTCAGAAAAAACTCAAAATTAGACTTAAATACATGATGAGTGCAATAATAATGTGAACAATGCGGGAAAGTCACGAGATGTGGGTGGAGAGAGAAACAAATTGGCACTGATTATTGTCGTAATTAATTAAAGTGTCTTACCAGAATTTCGGTTGCGTCGATATCCAAATTTTTGTTGATGTTTGCTTTGTGCTTGAATCACCACAACGACGAGAAGTAAAAATATTTTTAAAATTAGTTTATTGCACATCTTGAGATGTATGTCTTGTCAGCGGACATGTGGATTGTCTTGAAACAAAATTTTTCACTTTTTGTTGACACTTTTTTTTCCTGTTCCTTTCTTGACACTTCTATCGTTGTTGATTGTTAGCACACATTTTAAATATCTTATGTTGTTTAAACTTCTTTCCGTCCGCTTTTATCGCAATCAAAAATCTCTTTTTGTTACCTTTTTTCAGAGAAAGAAGAAATGTGAGATTGTGTAAAAGTTTGTAATAAACAATTCCTCATAGTTATCTGCGATCAAATTCAATTTCGATGAACGAAGAAAACTGTTAATAGATTCAGCAGGTAAAAGAACTCTCAAAACGATTAACAAAATTATTTAATTCTTAGACTATTAAGATAAAAGCCAAAAGACTTTAAAAGATCATCTAAAAATTTTGTAAAAATTTGTGGAATTGAATTTTATAGATTAGAAGATCAATAAACTTTATAGACGATGACAAAATGCAAATGTATTCTTTCTTGTGAGAAAATTATTTAAATTTTTAGATGCCAGATATTTATTTATTTGTTTTTTATACAGAATAGCTTTAAGATTTATGCGAATAATTTAGAAGACGTTGAACGCAAAGTTCTGTTGTTTGCAATATTTAAATGAATATTTAGTAGCGATTTTGTTATGTCACTTCTTTAGATAAGAACAAACAAATTTTTATTTCATTTCAAACACGCGATCATTAAGTTATCACAGAAACAGCGAGAAATCTTCGAATTCTTATCAGGCAAAAGTTCAAACGAAGAAATTAAAGATTATCGTTGAATTTAAAACTCTCATTCTTCATCAGTTGCTTTTGGTTTCATTCTCCAAGTAAATGTCTCTCGATCATATGCTTAAGCATTAATTACTTTGTTAATTTTTATCATTTATTATTATTTCTCTTGATTACTTTTTATGATATTTAACTTTTTAATAAAAATTGTCAGAATTCTTAATGACGTGAGTGTAAACAGGTTGCCGCGGTTTCTTCAGAATTCAACGTTTTTGCGAATTTAAGGCAAATGAACTTTTTAAATTATTTTTTGTTGATATCTTTGCCGTATAAGATTTCAACGCATTTCAAATCATATTTCAATTTATTTTAAAAAGTCAGAGAGAAACGTCTGAAACGTGATTTTTTGTTGAATTTAACAAAAAACAATATGAAAATATTTAAGCAAAAAGATCAACTTTTGCAATGATATTTGGTCGAAGTTGAAGTTAAAAAATTAGGATTATGACTGACATTCATTTCAAGTCATGCCATTATTCTTTTGAATTTTGTGGAAATGTACGCTTTGAGAAAATAAATCAAACACATCTCAGTTGAGTTTTTTCAAAATTTAAACATAAAAATCGTTCTTGAAAAACTAGAGTCTAATAACATATGATAGCACTTTATAAAAACAAATTAGCTTCATATGTTTTTCATTCGCATTGAACTATTAAATAAATCTCGCAAGATTATATCCAAATGACCTTAATGTTGATTATAATGTTCACATGTTGACATCCACAAATCATTGCTCTTCTCTCACATAAGTTTTGATTTCGTTATTAATAAGTGAGTTGACTTTTTCAATAAACTTAAACTTCTGTCTCGTCTATGTGATACTTCATGTCTCTCGAATATGTTCCGACAGATTTTTTATTTCTTTTTTTTGTTGTCAGAGGTTATTTTTATTTTGCCGTTTCGCGCATGTATCTTTGATTTTTCTTATAATTTATGTTGTTTAAGTTTGTAAATCTTGTTGAATGATGTACAGCTAATCGTTGTGTTGAAACGATGTTGATAGATAAACACTATTAAGCGATGATTTTGATATTTTAAGATTTTCGATAATAAACAAATATTTAGTCGCATGTGTAAATATTTCATATTCATGAACATTTCAAATTTGTTTCTTATCATTTTAAAGAATTTAGTGGAACGTTAATTTATCGGATCAAGTAGAAAGGCTGAAGCACTTTTCATAAATTTATTTTCCACTTAGAAAACACACAACACATAAACATCGCTAGAAACGAAAAGAAAAACTTCGCTGTCGATAAATCAAACGATTGAAAGACGTTTGTTTTTTTCACCCTTTTCGTGAGTCCAAATGTTTATTAAACGCGGTTGAATGTATTGGCGATTATTTCTATTTTTCAACTAAAGAAACATTATTCAGTGTTCGACTCATTGCTTCAAAAACATCTATAAGTTTCCTCCTTACTCACTGATCGTTGTTGAGTAAGTATTTTTAGATTTTTGTTTCCAATTGGATGTCTAGAGAGATGAAACTAAGGCATATGTAGGAACAGAAACCAGCAACAGACTCAATTAATATTTCTATTTTTCTTTCAACCATATTGAGATGATTTTCACGGTTCACTTTGTATACAGATATTTATACCGATATCGGCTTCCGATTGGTTTGTAAAAAGTTGTAAAAAAACTCTGAAGACTTATTAAATTTATAGAGCGAAACATGATTATCGAGATAAATTTTCATCACTTCTCTTTTAAAAAATCAAACACCCGCATCATTTGTCCCTCGTATAACGGAAGCTATTTTTTCTATTGGATCTGAGTTGAAGATTTCGATTGAAGCGAGTTAGATCTTGTGAAGGAAAAGGAAATAATTGTTTGATGTATTATACTTTAAAATTATTGAAGATATTTTCATGAGTTTTTACAATGAAATCTTCGTTCATTAATAAATTCAATTTGATACAAGATTCAATGTCAGATTAGTTTTGTTAATGAACAGCCGATGCACGATTCAACTGAGGTGACTTGCTAGTCTTATGTCAATACGAATAAAACAGAAGAATTATTCAGTTGTGAGGGAAGAATTTTACATCTTCTAACAATCAGCCATTCAGAAATGCTTAATTGATCGCAATCCCTGTTTGCATGAACTTTTGGCACAAGTACAATTAAAAACGTGTACGCTTCTTTAATTTTCTTTTGCACATTTTGTTCTCTTTATTTTTGGTCGACTGAAAAAAGTTTTTCATTTCTGTTTTTCACACTTTACATTTTCAGTGTAATCCATTAAATGTTTCATTTATGTAAACAATTCTCGAGCGTTCTTTTCGAAGATAATTATCCGGAAAATTTTTACATTTAAAATTTTCTTTTTTTGCGAACTTTTTCTTTGCTCATCTTTAAATATCGATGAATGTTGGTTGAAGGGATTTAGTAAACTTCTGATTTCTGTTTGAATTCTTCAAACTTGAAGAATCACAGACGAATAAATGTAATTTGTATTCTTGAAGCGTCATGACTCTTTGCTTCCAACAATTCCTAAGTCGCAGGCACGTATCAGGCACTTCCATATTGGTAATTTATAGATTTTGTTTACAGTCATTCTAACTTTGTTTGATCGTTTAAAAAGCATTTTACTCAACATACATAGTATTCGCATTAAGCGAAAACTTAGATAAGCAAATTTTGAAAATAATAATAAATCTTAACCATATTAAGAATTTTCCATAGAAACAAAATAAAAGATTTAAATTTAACTGAAGTATCGAGACATATTTTTTGATTTAAACAATGAGTAATTTTTCACTTAAATCATCAACTAAATGGCTAAAGATTACACTGAACATTCATTTTCTAAATTTCCATCGTAATTGAATTGATAGCAATTGAGTATTTCTATTATTTCATTCAATTCTAATTTACATTCAATATGTTTGAAGAAATTTTTATGTTATGCTTCTTTTAACTTTAAATAATAACAACGAAAAATAAAGAAGAAATCTTATCAATTTTTTTTAATATTCCCGAGAATGATCACTCGTAACGTCTTCACGCAATGAAATAATCTCACGAACTGAAGAAGACGATCGTCACATGAAGCCAAACTCAGTTTCAAAGAGAGATTCTAAAGAGAAGCATGTGGGCAAAATGAGCGTAGTGGAAGTTTGAAGATCATAAAGAACGTTAAAATATATTTTATTCGTTGTACGTTCTGTGTCGAATGTTCCGTGCCAGAAGTTTTCAAATGCATATGAGTGAATATTAGCTTCTGCAGTTTATTATTCATTATAAAAAGATAAGGATTGATAAAGCATGGTTTCAATATACATTTCAATACATATGTACATCAATATCAAAGGAAAGTCTTTTGACACACAAGTCTTTGTTCGATCCATATGAGTAATTAAAACCTTAAAAGTCCATTGTCATGCAAAAGAATCGTCATTTACAATTGCAGAAATATAAAATGTCACTTTCTGTTTGTTCCTTTTAGTTCATGATTGACTTTGAGAGAACACTTATCAATATTAAATATTTAATATCAAGTATGAAGAACAAATATTGTTTCATTGACATATTAAAAGGCGAATTTATTTTCTTCTTTTGCATTTTTTATTCAAAAAAGTGACATCGTTCTAATGATCAAAACTTCAACATCATTTTCATTGCATCACTTACAATCTTTTGGATTCAGCAATAGCCTCCAAACTGAGGAAGATGCTTTGATAGCTTGTGAGTAACGCACTATCAGTTTCAACAAGACAAGCGCTCATACCTTCCCTTTCAGTTTGTAAAAATATACCTACATAACTTTCAGGAGGGTCTAATCCTACGAGGCCTCCAAGATTTGTAGCGGCATATTGCATGGAATTCGACAGATCAGCCTGACATTGCTGAGAAATTGTGCGGAGTTCTTCATTGAGGGCTCCATCCGATGCCGGTCTCGGTTCTACAGCTTCTAATTGAGCTTCACATCTTTCTTCAGCGTCTTTTAAACCATTATTTGCATTCTCGTAAATGGGAGCTGCATCTGCCCTAACAGAAGCGCACGGATCTGTAACTTCTTGACACTTCTGAGCAGCATCTTTACAGAAAGAAGAAAAAACTTTAAGAATTGTTAAGAAAATTAAAATTCAACATGAATTACCACCAGAAGCAATGACAGTTGCGAACAACAAAATTATTAAACTTTTCATCTTGAACTTCAAGTGAATTCTATGAAAAACTAAAGGCAATGATGCTTGTTGTGCAAAAACTCTTCCTTTTATTCAAAAAATTCAAGCGTTTTGGAGAAATTTCAATGAGCTTTTGAGAAACTTTGCATCTTCATCAATGACAAAGTTTCAATGATCGAAAGATATTATTGTCATGTTGATATTGCCATGATAGATAGGAGAACACAAATCGTGGAATACAAATTAATATTCGTCAAAGAAAATAAGAATTGAGATATAATTGTTTATTATAATCAAAATTCTGTTTAGGAGCTCGTCAATCATTAGAAGATTTACTCGGAAATTTCATCGATGGTTGTTAGGTAGAATAAATTGCTTTTCCAAGTAACGATTTTAAAATTAAGTAAATTGAATTTTTATTTTTCACTTTCGATTTTGATACAAAAATTAATTAACTTTAAATTTAAAGCACAGAAAAAAAATATCTGAATTAAGAAACTTAAATAGAGAATGAGCTTGTGAATGAATATTAGCTTCTACAGTTTATAATTATTTATTATTTATTATAATAAGATAAGGATTGATAAAAATATGTTCATCAATATGAAAAGAAGGTTTATTGACATGCAAGTCTACGTTCGATCCACATGAGTAATTAAAAACCTTAAAAGTCCATTGTCATACAAAGAATTGTCATTTCAAATTGCAGAAATATAAAATGTCACTTTCTGTTTGTTCAAGTGCTAATTGACGTTATTCCTTTCAGTTAATGATTGACTTTAAGAACAATTATCAATATTGAATATTTAATATCAATATGAAGATCAAATATTGTTTCATTGACATATTAAAAGGCGAATTTATTTTCTTCTTTCTTTTGTATTTTTTATTCAATTTCAATATCAATTTCATTGAACCCTTTAAACTTTTTTGGAAGCAGCAATAGCATTTATATTGTTATTAATGCTTTGATAGTTTCCCAAAAACGCTTTATCAGTTTCAACAAGACAAGCGCTCACACCTTCCCTTTCACTTGCAAAAAACGTATTAAAATAAGTGTCTGGAGGGTCTAATCCTAAGAAGCTTCCAAGAACTGAAATGGTACTGAACATGACATCTGCCAAATCACCTGAGCATTGTGCTGCAATTTGGCCGAGTGTGTTTGGTTCTGCATCTTCTAATTGTGGTGTACATCTATTTTAAAAGTTTTAAAGCATTGTTTGCATTCTCGTAAATGGGAGCTGCATCTGCCCTAACAGAAGCACACGGATCTGTAACTTCTTCACACTTCTGGGCAGCATCTTTAAAGAATAAAAAAGTTAAGAATTGTTAAGAAAATTTAAATAAAATATGAATTACCACCAGAAGCAATGACAGTTGCGAACAACAAAATTATTAAACTTTTCATAATGAAGTCAAGTGAATTTTATGATGAACTAAAGACAATGATGCTTGTTGTGCAAAAACTCTTCCTTTTATTAAAAAATTTAAGCTTTTTGTAGAACTTTCAATGAGCTTTTGAGAAACTTTTAGTCTTTTTCATTGATAAAGTTTCAAGATAATCGAAAGATATGAATGTCATGTTGATATTGTCATGATAGATAGAAAAGCACAAATTAATATTCATCAAAGAAAATAAGAATTGATATTTAATTATTGATTAGAATCAAAATTTTGTTTGGGAGCTCGTCAATCATTAGGAGATTTACTTTTCCATCTTACGCTTTAAAATTTTAAGTAATTTAATTCTTTATTTTTCCCCGTTAAAAACTCGTTCTTGATTGATTTTTCTGTTCGAATTCGAATTAACGATTCTTTTTTATTAGGTTCACTTTAAATTGTATTCTATTTTGCTCAACATTACAATTAAAATTTTGAATTACTTTCACATTTTCGCATGGATGTTCAATTTAATCAGAAAAAAAGCAAGAATAAACTAAGAAAAAAGTTGAGTCCAAAGGAGAATGTATTGAAAGAAATGCTGTTTTCAATGGAACGTCACAGTTAGATTTCCTCCAGCATGTCAGGAAAAAATACTTTCGATGGAATGAAATGTTAGAAAGAAAAGAAATAATTTAAAATGTGTTGGAATTGAAGCTGGAAGATTTCCTTGAATTTGATAATTTATTCGGTAACTTCAAGCTTCTTCTTGAGTGATTCTGGCATTTCCATGGGTGGTGGACGTGGAATTTGAAGAGCAACTTTTACGCCATCATAAATAAACCATTGAAGTGCTGTGAGTGTTCCAATCATGATAATACGAGGCATCAAACCGTTCCACATTCCCATGAAACCTAATTTCTTAGCAACATCCAAAGCACTCGATCCTTTAGCTTGATTCAATTTCGATACAACAACATCAGCAGGATGAGAAACAATGGCGCAGAAGACACCAGCAATATAACCAGCTGCGAATGTTACAACCAATTGTTCGCCCTTGGAACAATCAGCACGTGGTTTGGGGACAACATTTCTGAGAAAGAAATTTTCAATATTAATTCACGAGTTTTCAATTTGTTTAGAGTTTAATTAACACTTACTTGTATAACAATTCAACGGTTCTCTCGAAGCAAGCAAACTTCATCATGGTGTATGGAATTTGACGCATCCATAAGGGAACGAGTCCCTTGTAGAAAGCTGCGATGCCTTCTTCACCATACATTTTCGGTGCTGCTTGTCTGAAAGTCGATGCAAAACCAGGTGATGTTTGAATCTTCACTTTTGCAGCTTCGAATGGTGCCAAAGCTAATTTTTTGTAGTTTACAAAAATATTTTATGAACTGTTGAAAAACTTTTTACAAAAATTTATATTTACCGATATCTGCGAAAAATTCTGCTGAAGCTGATGCAGCCAAGAACAAACTTGTTCGGTAGAGGTAAGTATTCTCCTCTCCCAATAAATTAGAATAGTAAACTTTGAATACTTCATAAAGACCGAATTTGAATAAACCCTGAGAATAAATAAAAGAAAGATAAAAACAAATCAATTAAATGATGTCACAAGAAACGCATGAGAAATGGCAGACTTATGACGTTAACTAATTAGTAAGTAACGAGGGGGTGACCTTGGAAAAATATTTTTCTTTATCAAAATAAATTTTTAAAGTTTCTAATGGACACTGCAAATTTAAAAACTTCTTTTAACTTCGTCTTAGCCCCTCAACCAATGAAACAGCAAAGAAATGAGATAAGAAGAATATTTTTGCAACTGTCACGTGAATTATGAATAAGAGAAAAACTTACTTGAGCTGAATAGCCAAAGAATGTTGGAGCCCATCCCTTTGCTAAACCTCGAGCACCTTCCTCAGCAACGGTGATCTTGAATCCAGTGAACAGATTCTTGTATTTTTTTTGATCAACTTGCAAGCGACATTTGACAAGATCGAGAGGGACGACGAATGTATGAGTCGTACCGCATGATAAAATTCCACCGACACCACAAAGCGCAAAGTAATGAAGTGAACCGAACTCGCATGAATCACCGGGATTTGCAGCAGCAGCTTGGATTGTTCTTGTAGGTACTAATTGAGTGTTATCACTTCCTCCCTCACATTGTGCACGATTCAATGGAGTTTTGAAGGGGTTATTACGAGCAGCGTCAAAAAGCGATGAGAACATTTTGTTGTTATGCGAGCTGGAGTCGATCAACTGTTTATTGAAAACTGAAAATATTTATCGAGTTTTACATCAGTTAGAGAAGCTAAATCACAGGATAATCTTTTGATGTTTTATGCAGTAAAAACTGACTCAATCTTATCTACTTGATAATTTTTAGTGACGAATTTATAGTAAAATAATGTCAATGTCAAGAATTTTGACTACAATTAATTAAGAAATATTAGAAATTAATAAAGAAAGATTAATGCCTTTCTTATACTCAATCATGTTAAAGGCATTTTAAAATCACTAATCTTTATGGAAGTTCAGAAATTAAATTAAACTTTTGAAAAAATATATCCTCAGACATTATGCAATCGGAAAATTTTCGGAGAATTCCAGGCAAAATAAATTTGACTCGATTAAACTCATTGATGCCGTTGAATATCAACATAAACTTCAATTGAATTCAATTCTTTAAAGATCAAACTCACTTTTTTACACTTATTTATAAGTTTACCGATAAAATTATCAGAGATATTAAAGAATAGGAAAAGGTTCTTACTTTTCTTCACACGTTTTGGTTAACGCACAGCTTGTGAGGGGTTAGAAGCTACGAAATTCATAAATCGGAAACAATAACAGAAAAGTAGCATGAATCGGATTTCAAAAATATTTCAGCCTCTCTTAATAATACCTAAGAATGCTGTCGTGAGGAATCAAGACCTTACGTCCAAGAGTCAAAGAGTATGAATAAATAAATTAAACAGCCATGTATTAATTCATTTCTTCTTTGATTAAAGCTCATGATGGAATGTGGATTGATTCGGCCTAGTGGAAATGGATCATTTTTCATACTGCCAATACTTCAAAGATCTGTAGAGAAGCTTGTTGGTATTATTGATCATCATATGCAGAAAATTGATTGTCAGAAAATAACAATGCCAACATTAACTTCTGCTGATCTGTGGAAAATGTCAGGAAGATTTGAAGATGCACAATCTGAGTTGTTGATTGTTAAAGATAGACATGAAAAGTTGCATTTACTAAGTCCTGTAACTATATTTCAGTTTAAAATTAAATGACATGTTATCAAGTTTTTCTCCCTAGACACATGAAGAATCAATCACGTCACTTTTAGCATCAATTGCTGGTACAAGTTATCGACTTTTTCCTCTCAAATTTTATCAAATCACATCTAAATTTCGTGATGAAATGAAGCCAAGATTTGGATTAATAAGAGCTAAAGAATTTCTCATGAAAGATTTATATACTTTTGATTGTGATTTAGAATCGGCAAAGATCAGTTACGAAACTGTTAATGAACAATACAAAAACCTTTTTGACTATCTCGAAATTCCTTATGTGAAAATTGAAGCTGACACTGGTTTGATGGGTGGAAATATTTCTCATGAGTATCACATTCTAACATCAATTGGAGAAGATCACATAGTTCAATGTAAGAAATGTAACAAAGCAGTCAACAAAGAATTATTGAATGAAAAGCAATTAATTTGTGACGAATGTGTGCCTGAAGATATCGAACAACATGAAGGAATTGAAATTGGACACACATTTGTTCTCGAAGATAAATACACAAAAGCACTTAATGCAACTTATTTAAGTAAAAAAGGTAAACCTGAAATTTTACAAATGGGATGTTATGGAATCGGCGTAACAAGATTGATAGCAGCTTCTATTGAACGATTTTCAACTGAATCTGAAATTCGATGGCCTATTCCAATTGCTCCTTTTAAACTTTGCATCATACCACCAAAAGAAGGAAGCAAAGAACAGGAAAAAGTGAAGGATTTGATGGAAGAAATTGATAATTTTTTAAAGTCTAAAGAAAAATCTTTGAGAGATGACGTAGTTATTGATGATCGAACTCAGATAACAATTGGCAAAAGATTAATGCATACAAAAAGATTAGGAATTCCTTTTATCATAGTTATAGGATCAAAAGCTGCTGAAGAAATTAATCCCACAGTTGAATTACATGATTTGAATCAGAATATCGTGCATGAGTTATCAATTACAGATGCTTTAAACAAAGTGATGTCACAAATAAAAACTTACGAAATAGTTTAATTAATCGTCTTTTATTTAACTTGATATTTATACATGCTTTACTTTAACAATAAATTTGGATCAAATTTTATGGAATTGTTTTCATGATTAGGTTGATCATTTTTTGCACGATACATTTAGATAATACTCTTCACAATTTACAGTTTTCTTATCTTCTCCACATTAAAATGATTACAACGAATATTGATTTAAATATACATTTAATGTTCTTCTTCTTTTGGTGTCCATCCATCATCAATAAGAGGACCACCCCATTCCCTAGCCATGATAAGAATTGTATTTTGATGAAGTTTGGGACCAATCAATGGATTCATTTGCGCCATATAACAACACAACCAGCTAAATTGAAAGAAAATATAAGAACAAAGACAAATCAATAAAATAAAGTCATAGGACACTTACAACAACCAGCACGTCACTCCAGTCAAGATTAAAACGCACTGCACGATTCTGGAAAAGAGAAAAATCTTGATTAAAGAAAAAATATCGATTTTTATAAAAAAATACAATGATTACCCTCTGTTTGGACCTTTAGGTGCTACGAATGGAAGGACGATGCCAACAACACCAAAAATGGCTGTACAAATGATGATTGGTAGTGCTCCCATGGTGTTCTGATGTTATTTTGCTAAAATAATTCTCAAAACTATTGACTGCTTTTAAAAAAATTTTCTTTACGAATCACAAGATTAGGGACTAGAAACAAGTTAGGTATTTTCAAAAGTATCGTGAAAACGCAAGCATTCGACAGCAGGGTTTTAATGTGACAAAACTTTGAAATTTCATGAATCACATGACTGAAGGGGTATGTAACTTAAGATAAAATTTCAAGTTTAGGTGACGTTCAGCTTGTTTGAGTTATCATAACTCGACCCTTTTAAGTCAACAAAGTGATAAAAACTGCAACATAATCATTAAGCATGCTTAAATAACTGTCTGATAAGAAGCATGTAAGAAATGTGAATGGTGATTAATAAGTGATTAAATGCAGACATTACGAGATTACTTTTACATAAGTATTTGCACTCTATTAACGTGATTGAAATAATAAATTAAATAATCTTAAGAAAAGAATTCTGATCAAGAAAAATCATTAAATAAACATGAGTTCTAAAGAAGATAATAGAAAAGTGATAAAAGTGGGATCAAGAAAGAGTGAAGTGAGTTGGAATATTATCATTAAAATGAATTGTCATTCTTTACGTTGCGTCATCAACTTCACTTAGATTTCTAACCTTTTGACCTCCTTTCACTTTATTTTTCTTTTCAAGTTGGCTTTAATTCAAACGAAGTATGTTATTTCATGTCTGCAGAAGTTGTTTCCCACACTGAAATGGGAAATTCGTAAGTTTACAATCATGTTTAATACATATTTTGTTTCATTTCTTGAAAAGATGAATGAATAAATAATTTATTTTCTCAAAGATACAATGACAACTGTTGGTGATCGGGTTTTGAATAAATCACTGCCAAAGATCGGTGAGAAATCACTCTTCACAAAAGACTTGGAAGAAGCTTTAGCAACTGGAGGTGTGGATTTCGTCGTTCACTCACTTAAAGATCTTCCAACTCAATTACCTTGCGGCATGACAATTGGAGCGGTTCTTGAAAGAGAAGATCCAAGAGATGCATTGGTGCTAAACAAAAAATATGAAGGACATAAATTAAGCACGTTACCTGAAGGATCGTTAATCGGAACATCTTCTCTAAGGCGATCGGCACAATTATCTCGCAAATATCCTCATTTGAAAGTATGTGACATTCGGGGCAACTTAAATACGAGATTAGCAAAACTTGATGCGCCCCAATCAAAATTTAGTGGAATTGTTCTAGCGAATGCTGGACTTGTCAGGATGGGCTGGGTGAATCGTGTAGATCAGGTGAGGTCAAAGAAAGATTAAGAAAGTTTTTTAGAAAATAAAAATAAAAAATTGTGTTTCAGATAATCGAACCATATGAATTACTTTACGCTGTTGGGCAAGGTGCTTTGGCTGTTGAATGTCGTGTTAATGACACCTTTATTCTCAATGTTCTTTCGAAATTATGTGACGTTGAGACACAATGCCGGATTTTAACGGAAAGAAGCTTTCTGAAGACATTAGGTGGTGGCTGTTCAGCTCCTGTTGGAATCAACTCAAACGTTAATAAAAATTCAAATTCTCATGACAACGAAGTCACTTTAAATGTTGATGGGGCTGTTTGGTCACTCAATGGGAAAACAGAAATTGTAGATAAAATTTCCCTCGACTTCATTCTTAATAATGACAAAAAAAGAATTGTGAACGATGAAACAAACGAAGCATCGCCACCAAAACGAATGAAAATTAATGAATATGATAATGAAAACCTTAAGAAGAGTCCAGAAGTAATTGACGATTCTGGTTCAAGTAACGCTGGTAAAAATGCTTCTGAACTCGTCAACATTCATGGAAAAGTTTTCGATGTTTGTCCTTATTCCGGACTATCAAAGAATGACCTGAAAGACAATGATAATGAGGAATCTTCTAAAGGATGTCCCATAAAATTTGATCACATAACAATGCCAATCGGACAAGATTTTATGGGCGAATGTCCCGTACTAAACACTGAACAAAAAATTACATTCGATTCGAGTTCCAAGGAAGGTGGCGATACTCTAGGTTGCCCAATTGGTGGTAAATCGATTCCCACATCGAGCGTCACGACAGAAGACATAAAAAAATGTCCATTCTTACACCAACAAAATGAAACAGTCGAACTTATTGATTATGAGGCTAATTTAGATAAAACTGAATGCAAGTCGAAATCACTTGTAGAAAATATTGGTGAAACGACTCTTTATTGTGGTTTCTTTTGTCACGATGAAATATTGAGGCCAACATTTGATAAATGTGAAGAACTTGGTAGAAAACTAGCTCAGAAATTGATTTCTGCTGGTGCCTTAGAAGTAATGAAAGTAGCACAAGATGAAATTCATTCGAAATGTTAGCGGAATAAGATTTTTGTATACGTTTTAGATACTTTTTTTCAATATTGCAAAATTAAAGTGCAATACAATTTTGGGTAATGGTAAAAATATATTTTAACGGTCTTTTAATTTTTGAAAACAAAACGTTCAGCTTCAGCCGTATTCACATCCAATTGCTTACACGATTGTAAACATCGGAAAAACAAAATTTTATTTGATTGAAGAATACTAAAGAAAATACGTCTTACATAGATTTCACAAGTTTAAATCAAAAATGCCAATCATCGCTCAAAAACGATCAGCTGAAACCAGCTTAGTTGCTGTTCCACAAGTCGCTAAAAGATCAAGAAATGATGAGATTCAAACTTTCAAAGATAAACAACTTGCTGAACAAGGAATTCATCGAGTTTCCAACTTATTCTCACCTATAATGAAGCTTGATGGACATGAAAGTGACATATTTACTTGTGAATTCAACTCTGAAGGAGATTATTTAGGTAAATTTAAGCGTGTTTATCATATAAAATTTCAGAACAATCTAATTTGGTTACTTTTCTTGCAGCATCATCCGGATTTGATCGAAAAATATTCTTATGGTCAGTTTATGGCGAAGAATGTCAAAATGTATCAGTTATGTCTGGTCACAAAGGTGCAGTTATGGAATTGCATTTCAGTCCAAGTGGCGAAAGCATTTACACTTGCTCCACTGATAAGTTTGTAAGTGTTTGGTCTGTTGAAACCGGACAGAGGATAAGGAAGATGAAAGGACATCAAAACTTTGTAAATTCAATCGAAAATGCTCGACGTGGTGTTGAAACACTGGTTAGCGGAAGTGACGATAACATGATAAAGTTATGGGACGCTCGCAAGAAATTTGTTTGTCATACATTGGATAACGCTTATCAAGTTACAGCCGTTTGTTTAAACGACACAGCAGAGCAGGTGATCTCAGGTGGAATAGATAACGACATAAAAATATGGGACTTTAGAAAGAACGAAGTTCTTTACAAATTGAAGGGTCACACAGATACAATTACTGGGCTTGCACTTTCTCCATGCGGTTCCTACGTTCTCTCTAATTCAATGGACAGTACATTGCGAATTTGGGATATCAGACCATTTTGTCCTCAAGATAGATGTAAAGCTGTTCTCCAAGGTCATTCCCACAACTTCGAAAAGAATCTGTTAAGATGTGCATGGTCTAAAGATGGAACGTTAGTCTCTGCAGGATCAGCTGATCGATTTATGTACATTTGGGATGTTAATTCAAAGAAAATCGCATTTAAACTCCCAGGACATTGCGGATCTGTAAACGATGTTGATTTTCATCCTAAAGAGCCCATTGTATTGTCGGGATCATCAGATAAAACGCTTTATATGGGTGAATTGGAACTTTAATTGGTAATGCGACATTTTTTTAGCTATTAAGCCACAGTTTCAAACATTAAACAAAAAAATAAAATGATTGAAAAAATTAATGCTCTGTTTTAAATTGATGACGCAAGCAGTGTGAGTGAGAAAGTTTCATTTCGAATTTTCTCAGCGTAAATGCTGTTGATGACGTATAAACATCGCCCACGCTTTTTATCAGCTGCGAAGGTTTTCTTATCACAACTCCATTGACTTCAACCTACACATAGAACGCAACTGTAAGCCTACAATCTTTCAAAACGAAAACAGTTCAAGAGATAAACAACTTTAATAAGATTTTATCGAATGTCTTCAAATAGATATCTAAAATTATTATTAAAGAGAAACTTTGAATTTTGTTTTTCTACGAAAACCAATTATAACTTCTATTGCTATCGTCATGTTGCTATCGTTATGTTGCTTTGACAGAATTTCCCAGCATATGGTTTTGTACTGATAAAAGTCGCTCCGATAAGCATAATCTAAACAAGCTGCAATGATGAAACATGATGAATGTTTTCGTCACTCTTATGAACATTTTTGTTTTTTATATTTCCTAGTAGGACTTTTGTTGTCATTTTCATGCAGCATTTTTTTTCTATTTAAATGAACAAGATATTCTACTGAGTGTATAATGTTCCATTTTAACTTGTACTTTCTATTACGATATACCAAAGAAGGAAAAAAAAACACTCACGTAATCTCTTTACCTGAATGTCGGTGTTTAAAAATTATTGCTGTCGAACAAAAGAGAAAGAAGAAGTAAAAATAAAATAAAAATAAATAAATCACTTAGTAATTCACTTTAGTAAAATGAAAGAAAATCTATTTAATTTGTTATAGATTACATTGCAACGTGATAAGCTATCTTATTACAGTCTCAAAAATCATCACTGAATATCAACAAGAGAGGCAAAAAGGGATGAAAAACAAAATTCATTGAATTACATTTGCGTGAAAACTTTGATTGTTATAAAATCATTTGCTCGTTTTTGTTTTCCGTAACAATTTAAAACTTTCATTTTCTCGTTAAGTTAAATAAAAAAAACTCCCTAAAAAAGCATTCATTTGGAAAAGTTTAAATGGCCAGCGTGACGAAACATGTAAATTGACCCTGATATTTGGTATGATTAAATAAATAATTTTATGGTGGCTTCATTATTATGTCCCATTGTCACACCATTATCAGTTATTTCCATTCTACTTATTCAAGTATTTACATGAACTTCATCAAACCGGAGGTAAATTTTTGTTTTTCAATGTGAAGTCGAAGGCGAACAATCAGCCAAATATCTACCGACAACTCGTAATCCTTTAACTTGTTTAAGTCTCTTCATGCCTGTCTGCTTGTTTGCAAAAATAAAGAAAAAAACGAAATTCTAATAATTTATCATTGCACACACACACACACATTGAACAGATATTTCAAGATTGTGTGATATAAGGGAGTGAGAGCGAGAGAATGTTTTTGTGGGGAGAGAACAAAACAGGGGGAGAGCTTCGATTTGAGAGCAAAGTCAGTCGTAAATTTTCGATGATAGATATTGAGTTTGGGCTTCAGACACATTCAATTAACAATTAAGGGAAAAGAAGAAGAAGAAGAATGCGATAAATTGGGGTACATTTAAGATAGGTTCATCGGCTGGAAATCATCAGGTAGCATTAATTAAAACTGCTACAGTCACATTTTATTATTCAACACAATACATCTGATTGTTTAAAACAAACTTCTATCTACGGAAATATCCAACATAGATACCTATTTAAGACTTTAATTTTGTGTGAGTTCTGAGGATTATTAAACGCTCAAATATTTATTCATGTTTACCAATCCTTTTCATGCTTAAAATAACAATTTAAGTTAATTTTAAAAGCGCTTCATGAAATGATCAGAAAATCTCAATTTTGAAATTTTATCTTCATTATTTTGTGCTTGTAATAGACATTCAATATCATTTGAATCCCTCCTTCACATTTGAGGGAAATAAAAGAATGTTTCTCTGTGCCTTTTCGTTTCACACAAGAAAAGAGTGAGTGAGTGAAACCATCACAAACTTATTGAACATGAAATCACTTTTCCCTAATACAATTTTTTATTTTACTTCAAATTTCAAATTTCGTTCAAAATTCTTCTTTTTTCTTCGATCCTTTTTACAATCGCATATCTACGAGAAAAAAAGGGAGCTGAAAGAAGAAAAAGAAAATAAAAAAAGATGATAAAAGAGACGAAAGAGTCTAGAAGTTGTTGGCCTCTGTATTCGTTGTACTTCGACGTAACGTTACCCTAAGCCGAGAGTGTGTATATATTGAAATATTATGCCTTTTCGAGTATACACATTTTTATTTATTGCATGGGGGTCGATTTGTTGTTTTGTAATATCTTAAACAAGAGTGAAGAGACTTTGCGCTGTTTGTTTCACTTTACATTATATGCATGTTCGGTTCATGTCGTTACATGATTCAACACATTCCACCTCTTCATCTTTATTTAATTGTTTAACCAAATTAGAGAAGATATTCTTACTGTTTAGACATAAATGAACGAGAAACGAGACGAGAAGTTAAGTTATCTTTATCTCTCTTAAACATCAAATAAACAAAGCACGGTGAAGAAATCCCAAGCAAAAAGAAGAAAAAAGAAAAGGAACAAATTCATCAGAATAAGAATGAGAGATATGGAAAGAAGAAAGAATGAAAAGAAAAGAAAAAAAAAATGTGTGGAAAGAACCGACAGTGTTCGAGAAATATTTGACTGAATGGTTGATTTTACGGAATCTACCATCTGCTATGTAATGTAGGGGGACACACAATGAAAATATCACACAAAATCTGTGGGCATTAAAAAAGCAACAGTGCTTGTCTTTGTCGCTTAATCGATGACGATTAGCAAGACAGTTCTTCTTATCAAATCGCTCGCTGTAAGAGCAGCGAGAAGACGATATCAATTAAACACAATTAAACATGATGACTTGTGGACAAACATTGCCAGTTAAAGTATTTCCTTTTGTTCTTTGCCTTCATCGTTTCACTCCTTTGTACACTTTCATCTTCTTTCTTTTCATCCAAGATTCCCCTGAACGTTGAATGTCTAAAAGACGAAGAAGAAATGAAGTGAAATAAATTTTTGAAACATGTGTAATCGAATGTGAAAAAGACACATCAAGCGTTTGTATGTTTTTTTTTCTTCTTTCTTTCTTTTTATTATTATTCTGTTTAATACGCTTCTCGGTCGCCTCCTGTGTGAGTATAGCGTTCATTTAATTATCATAAAGTTCACCTTTTTCCGCTCAAACAATACCCTCTTTCAATATCCTCTGTGCTTTTCCACATACTTTTACACAACATAAAGTTTTTTGAACTTTAATGAGTCTCTCAAAAGTAATTTAAAGTCGGGGGAGAATTTATTGTCTTTCTTTAATAAAGCGACATGTTGAAACGATTAAACGGAAAAAAACTGATTATCGAACAGTAAACAAGCGTTTGAATAAAATATTCTATTGTGTCAATGTTGAAATCAAATCCACGTATTGATTTCTTCGTTCCCTTCATTTCATCAATTTCAATATAAATTGAAAAGAAAAATGAAATCAACATTAAAGCGTTTGGTTAAATGATAAAAAATATAAATTTATGTTTAAATCGACTTTAATGGAGAAGAGAGAAAAGAAAGAAATCGACCGAAAAGCTCATTGAAAAATCAAATATAATTTAGCAACAATGGCTTTGATGTAAAAAGTGTCATAAATGAAAAGCGCGAGAAGGAATTTTCACGATTATAGTTTCTTTAAAATTCATTGACCCTCATAACCTGATATCACTTTTCGCCATCCCTCCTTTATCACCGACTGTAGAATAATAATAATCTCTTAAATATGCTCAAATACATATTTGGCAACATGAACCCTCTTTTTATGCTTCTCGGCAAAAGGCAGTCAAAGTTACACACACAGACAGCTTGGAGGGAAAATCTCACTCGCTTCCTTTTACTGTTCACTCTCCTTCTTCTTCTCTCATTCCATCAACAGAGTTTTCTGTCGTTTTCTGTGATGATGAAAAAAACACACAAACTTATTTTCCTTCTATTTTATTTTTCTTTCTTTCATTCATTTTCCTCCCCTACCCAGAGATATGAACATCATGATAATCAAAAAACTGCTTGAAACTGATTAATTGAATGTTGTTTTAGAATAATAAGGCTCGTAAGAGTTAAGCCCGCGATTTTATTTGCTATTTTGACGTGACAATGATTCTACGAGTAAATTGTTAAATCTAAAAAGATAATTGCTTGGTGTCAAATCTTCCACTACTGATAATCTGAGAATACTTCAAGGTTTGAAAAATAAATAAAACTTCAATCACTTTCGCATGCTTTGAATAAATTTCATTTCTTATTCATCTACATTCAACCTCACATTAAAAATTTAATATATCAAACACATTTCATTGCGTCTTTTAACATTGACTAAGTGATTCGTCTGACTTAGTAAAGACTACAGAAATTTAAGAGAGAGAAAATATTTTTAAAGCCTTGATCCAAAGAGGTGTTGTTGCGCGTCTGTAATTTTTGGGTTTCGACTGAATACCTACAAATGACTTTAAAATGATTTTTTCAAAATAAATGCTACGCAAAAGAGAAGGAAACAAAATATCTGTTCAGTTTTGAAGAGAATTATCATTAATTTAGTGCTTTTTTCCGAGCAACGTTGTAGTGTGATTGAAGAGCCACTTCCTAATTGGGATCAAAAACTTTATCGAATTTAATTATCATCCCATGCAAACAATCGAAGGAGATTATTCACATGCAAACTTCCAATCCCAACAACAGTTGCATAAAATGTCTACGTGCTCATTCTACGATGTTAATACACCCAGTGAATATTCATTTGAAAGAAAATAACAAAAGTAATAATAATAATAAAGAATATAGTGTAAGCAAGGGCTTCTGACAAGAGTGAGGGTTAAAAAATACAAATAGAAACATCTACTTTGCTAAAAGTGCGCATTCGAATCGCACGAAACTTGTTGTTTACTTGAATCGCAATCAACAAATTGATTTTAATTAAAACACACAGTTTAGTCGACATATCTCTTTTTCATTTAAACGCTATGTGAGTATGAGAAAGGAAGAAAAAAAAGTGTATGAAATACTTTGAGTGGTTAATAAGTGAGAAATGATTTGCTGATTTTCTCATTTCACTTTCAAGCAAACTAAATAGAGACGACGGTGCCTTCACTTCACTTTTTATAGTATGTTATTCGTTTGGTTTCATTCAAAAGGAAATGAGAGAAGGAAAGAAAAATTTCATCCCTTAATATAGCTTCTTTATTATGATAGGAACGACACTTTTCATTTCTGTAGTCTTACCAAGTAGATATTATAATATTTTCGATGTTCCGTCCTACGTGCAATTGTGAGCATTGAGAAGAGAGCGTTCATTTGCTCGCTTCGATACACTCTCACCAGATTGTTACTTCTCGATTTGGCTTTTGCTGAAAAATCATTCTCGTTTTGAACGTGATCGCGGTAGGAAGTGCTTCACAAATCGCTCCCTTTCATTAAACAAAGACTTACGAGAAATTTATACTCGGAATTTCTTTTTCTTTAATAAACTGTGAGAATCCATTGTGTATTAGTTTTTCTTTTTTTTTGACGATTAAAGAGTCGAGAGAAATAGGTTATTGTTTATGAACACAAAAAAAACAACATAAATGTAAACTTAACAGTTTTCCAGCACGAACAAAAGTGAAAAGTATTACAAATTGCTTCGAAAATTAGAAGATGCCAAGTGAAAGAAAAAGAACATTTAATTAATTTAAATCTTTATGAAATTAAACTGCAATGAACCCGTCATAAGGAGACGAAGAGAAGAAGAGAAAAACGAATGAACTTTTGTGAACTATTTTGTCGTTCTTCTTACACACAACTTAAGTATATGGGAGATGTTCCTGAGATTCTTTTTTTTGTAACTTGAAACATTTATAAGAAAGAAAACAATTAAACAAAATATCTATCTACACAAATACTTTAAAAATAAAGAGTGGAAAGTCTTATTTGAAGCAAGGCCACCAGATAGTTAACGTGTTTATTGAACGTGTGGTTTTTGCAGTTTTTTTTTGTGTTGTTTTGTTTGAAGTAAATAGTCTTCAGTCGTCACACAAAACAACATTAAATATATGTAATAAAAATAAAAAGAGACTCTTTTACGGAATCCATTTCGCAAAATTAAATTGCATAAGCGTACGTGCACAGGATAAAAGGAAAAACTTAAAGCTTTTGAAAACAGAGAAACATAATTTACAATTATTATAAGAAACAAACAAAAAAAAGAAAGAAAAAAATATTTATAAAAATAACACCAACATGACCTTACCGGAGACTGTCGAGCACCATTATAATAATCAAGATGAGCATGCAGAAGACGAAGCTTTGTCGGACGATGATGATATATTTGGATCGGCAAGGACAATCTTACGTCGAACAAAAAACAAAATTTCTATGATTTCCAATGAGCTTCGCTTGAGGGAAAAACGAAAGAGAGTTTTGCAGCTTTGTCTACGGAAGCTTGAGCGCATCAAAGATTCGGAAAACAATCTTAGACGCTCGGTATGCATACATAATACCTTCTCTCGCTTAACGGCTGATATCAAAAGAGACAAAGAAAGGGGACAGAATAGAAATTACCAACAACAACAGCAGCAGCAGCCAAGTTACAAGTAAGTCTGTTATGCTATAAACTGAATGAGCGAAAACGAAAGAAGAAATGAAAGAAAAAAAAAATGAAATGTTCAATAAATCAAAGGAAAAAATACGTACACTTGTAGACTAACAGCACCAGAAAAGGGAGAATGAAGGAACAAACTAATCAAGTGTGTGTGTGTTTGTAGAAGTGTGGATGCATGCGTGCGTCTATATGGCTGTGACAGAACGTGAAAATAAAGATTAAACTTTAATGCCGTATAATATCATTTTCGTACACATGTTAATTGCTAATGTTTGCTCCCTTATCATTCGAAATCGTATCTTAAGGTGTTTGTTTCTTGCGTCTTTCGTTACGGTGTCTTCACCGACATTACTGTTAGGTTCACTCGGTTTTGCAATTCAATAAAATAAAAAAGAAAGAAAGACGAATAAAAAAAAAGTTTGCTGTTGCGTTGCCATAAAAGTTGAAGCGAGGGAGAAGAAATGAAAAGTTTACTTCGTAGTAGTGCTTAAAAAATTATGTTTCAACATTAAACCCTTAAAAACGATGCATAAAAAATCTGTTTTATAAGCATGCATGAGATGAAACAGAAAAAAATTCTTTTTATGTTTTGATTTAACCATTTCGGAAACTTGTAAAGCTCCTCGAGAAGCAAACATGAATACAAACACACTTGAGTCGTTTAAAGCTTAATACATGGATATGCCACATATATTTTTCTTCTTTCTTCACTTCCTTCTCTTCACGATTAAATTCAATAGAAAAAAAAAATTATTAACAAAACTAAAACGTTTCTTTACTGTTTTTATATTATTTTTTTCGTTGCTTCTTTTTTTCTTCTCTGTTTCTGCTTAAATCCCGTAAAAGAAGCCGTGGAGACGAAACGAGAAAAAAAGCGATTAATTAATTTAATAAAAATTTGTTTTACACACACGTGGTTGGATACTTTCATACAATTTTTTTATTATTCAATTGGGAATTTCCTTTCATATGGTTCGAGGTAGAGTGGATGTATGATTATCAAAAATATAAATTCTTTTATCGATAGATAGGCAAACATGACATTAACGTCCCGCGCGCGTGCAAATTCATTATTCGTTAGTATATATACTGAAATTGCCTTTAAGATTTTTTTAGCTGTATTTGATTGATCACTTTTGTGAATTCATAAAAAGCAAAAGAAAAAAAACACTTTTCGAAGCAATTAGTTGTGACGTCACAAAGCGGAAGCATAGAAGCTCAATAGATTCAGAGATGTGCATATTTTAAAGTCATTAAAATAGAATCTACTGAAAAGAGTTTTCTAACGAGCAACATATGACAAGGCGAGTAGCCAAACGAAAGAAAAAAAAACACGAAGAAAATTATTTCGGTTAAGTAGAGCCACCGTTAGAAAAAAATGAATTCAACAAAGAGAAGAAAAAATAATAATAGAAAAAATGTGTAATAAAAAAAATCATAATGTTGTTCGCTCTAAAGAGATATTGAATACATAATAACTACGTGCTGTTGATTTTTTTCCGACTTCTTTTGAAAGAGAAATCTGTGTATTAGGAAATTAGTTCTGCAACGAAGAGTGTGAGAAACCTAAAGAGGAGAGCTGAATTTTTTACGATTTGATATGGTCTTGCGAGACTGAGAGTGATTTGATGGATGGAAGAGAACGACCTTTTTAATTTTCTTCTTCTTTCGACAAGTATTCTCCAAAAGTAATTTTTTATATATTTTTGTTTCTTCATTTCGGAAAGTTTAAACAGATTTGTGGATATACACAGTTCTTGAAGTCTTTGAAGTCTCTTGTCACCTTCAATTGATTTCCTTGAACCATAACATGCTTGTAGCACTCTGTGAGCATTGCACAGTTGTTTTTTTTCGGTTATGTATCAAGATTTATAAATCGTTGGTAGAGAATATTGAGGTCAATTTACAAGTGTATTAAACTATAATGACGCGAATAAAATATCTGTTCTTCCACTATATAATATTAGACATATTTTTAATGTCTCTCACTCACTCACTCCCAATTCTTTTGTTGTTGATTCGAATGAGTGCATGAACGAATTGAAAATAAATTGAAATCGCAACACGCGAGGCACCTTTCGGTTGTTGTCGGGTTTCATTGATTTCTTATGTCACTATCGCCGTCTTATATTTCATAATAAATTAATTAATTTTCTCATATATCAAATAACATATAAATCATATTTATCTAATTTATTTTTTCCGCCATCGTTACAGATCCCAAATAAAAAGTCAAGTTATGCCAAAGAAGGTTGAAAAATTGGATTTCGATAATCTTGAGGAACTCTGTTCGATAGACGACAACAGCATACCATGGGATCCAATACTTAAAAACTCGGAAGAAATCGAGGCCGCATCGCGAAAACGAAAGGCTGAAGTCGAAAAAGCTTTGTTGTCTTATCATCAGTTGGAGAAGAGACTCAAATCTGACATTAGCAATGCTGTTATAGACGCATTTCAATTCAAAGACTCTTTCCATGACGAAGGTCATAACGACTTAACTAATTTAAATATACAACAATGCAACAATGGCATTTCCACTAGCAACAACAACAGTAACATAAACAATAATAATTTTCTTAATAGTTTTCAATCTAATATGTGTAGTAAAGCAGCAGCTCTTGACTCATCATCCAACGGAATATTTCAGTCTCTGGTTATAAAATCGCTCGAAACATGAGGCGAGTGAGAGAATGAGAATGGGTTAACAGTTTAAAGTTAATGAATTTTACTTTTTCCTTCTTTATGCTTTTTTTATGATTATTTCTTTATTGTACAAACGAACTAGGTATGTACATGAACGAATATGCATCACTTAGAAGATGATGAGTAGTACTTGCAAGTGTCTCTTTCAAAATAAACAATTAGAAATTGTTATTTGACACAAGCACAAAACAATTATGAAAAATTGAAACTTTTGAAGTGAAAGGCATTTTCAAGTGTAGTGAAAACTCGAAAGAAAAAAAAAATAAAGAAAATGTTTTATTTAATCTATCTACACCTTTGAAAAAGCTTCAAATACACTCATACACACAAAAATGCACATTCAACTATTTATATGTAAGAAATGAAAACAAAATTCATTAATGTTTTATATAACGCTTCTCTTGAGTAGATATATTGTAAAACATTGAACAGCTTCTTTACAAATTAATTTTTTTTCGGTACCCGATGAAGAAAAAATGAAAACAAAAATTTGTTACTTCTGTGATAAAGCGGATACGGAAGAAAGGTTGAAAGCAAAGTCAGCTTGAGACAAAAGTGTAATCTTTTAGAAGATATTTTTTTAATGTAAAAGTTTAGGAAGAAATAATTTTCTTCTTAAGTAGGATTTTTTGCTTTTTCCTTGCGCTGTCAAATTCACGCCTCTCGCCTTTTATCAAGAGTTAGAATTTAAATTTTTTAGTTGAATTTTAATTTTAAATTAATCTTTATTCCCAAGAACTTAGACCTCATTAATTTTTTTGTTTTTTATTAAAAAAATATTGTACATTTATAAGTTTTTCATTATACTATTTGTTAATCAAATCAAAGATATATTTCCAATGCATTATAAGTATTTTAGAATGTATCATGAATAAAATAAAGTTGTGCGAATAGAAAACAAAAAATAACGACTTTTATATTTTTAAACAACATTTTAGTTGAATGTTTTCAATAGCAATGTTGCCGCGCTCTCATGGAAAAACATTGAACTAGGAAAACATTGACAACTGACGCTCAGCTTACTTCAGCTTAGTATCGATCGAATCTCTTAATTCTCTAAAAGGAAAAATATTTTCGTTAATATGATTCCTAACTTAATAAGGTTGTGCCGCTCACAAGCTCTCTTACAAGTAAATAGGAAGATGCTTGACAACCGAAGAATGAAAATTTATTATCGATCTGGTGCATTGAAGGCAAGCAAAAAGTGTTTTCAATGAAAATTTTAGAAATCTTAATTTTGCAATTTTTGCTAGCCAATGCCTGTTGTCAGCACATTCGGCGGATTTGGTGTCTTTTGTGTAGTAATGCCAGGTGAATAGAAATTAAATAAAGCGTTTTATTATTGAGTAAAATCGGGTTATATTCGAAAATTTCAGGCCTTCTTATTGGAGCATTTATTAGTAAGAATATTGCAGCCTTTCTGGAAGAAAATGATCTTTTTATTCCATCCGATGACGATGATGATGACTAAAGTATTTCTCAGTACTGCAAGCAAATAATTCCTTATGCTTTTAAAAGAAACTTTTATCCTTGTTAAAATTCTTTTATTCTCTTTGATCTTCATTTGGTAAGCAAAAAGTGGTCAAGATAAATTAAAAAACGCCCTTGGCAGAGTTGAATTTGAGTGTAAATAAATAGTTAATAAATAAAAAAATGAGTCGATCATTTTTTTTGTTACTGTGCTTTTAAAAAAGTTACATAATTATCTTATGATTCGACCAGCCATGGAAGCACTTCGTGAAACGACGCGATTCCTTATTCTTCAATGTTAAGAAAAGTTTTCGCGGACGTTCAGGTTGTTTGATTCTCATATGTTGAATGTAAACCTGAACAAAAAAATATGTTATGAGAAACTTTGACTACTGAATTAATTGTCATTAATTAAACAAATTACCTGAGCTGATTTATAAGCAAGTTTTATTTCAACTTCACTGCAACGAGAGCCAAGCCAAAGGAAAACTTGTTCTCCATTATCTAAAAGCATTATATCGTCATCGGCAAGATCATCTTGACAAAAGTCAGAACCTGAATGAATAGAAATGAACTTAATAAATTATTCTAAAATAAAATTAAATGAATTACATTTTTCTGCCACTGTAAAATATCCTTTTTCATTCGAGCATCTGAAAAGTCTTGTAAAATTCATAAATTCGGCATCTGAAATAGAAAGAAAATTAATTAAACATTCAAATTGAACATTTTTATTTTCTCACCTTTGTCGTAAGGTTTCTCTCCATTTAATCCAACCCAGAAGAAGTTTTGTGGTTCTTCACCTTCATTGATGACTTGTAGACTCACCCAAGGGTTGTTGAACATTGTCTCGGCAATTTCTTGTATCAATCTTGACTCTTCAGCTGTTGTCTTTGATCCAATCCAAGCATAAATAATTCCAGACTCTGAATCATCATCAGTTTCAAAAGGAACATTAAGTATGTAGCAAAAAGCGGAATTAAGTAGTGAAGCATCGGGTTTAACTTGAATAAGTCGAGTACAAAGAGAACTTCCATTACTTCTAAGATGATAAAATTCCACTGGTAATTTTTCATTCGGCGATTTTTTCTTCTTTTTATCAGACCGCCTGCCATTTTTTATGACAAATTTTCCTTTGAAATGACTCATAAATTTTAAGTTTTCTTGTTGTTGATGAATTCTTACGACCTCCAAAGTTTCACCAAACATTGCTTTGAATTTCTTTTGAAGTGTGAATGTAAATGTCAACCATCCCATGTTGCCAGCATCGCGACCTTGCCAAAAGTAAACGACACAAGTGATTTCGTCTTCAATTGGTTGATTGTCTTGACCATTTTCTTCACCATTCTCTGGTGGATCATCAACAGGGATGCAATAACGGCACAAAAAGACGTAACACTCTGATGAATGGAAGATTCCAAGTTCTTCTTCCGGTAATCGAATGAATTTCTTTCCTTCAAGAACGAAAGCTTCCATCGCATCTAAATCGTAATTCCAGTCTTCAGCTAATTGTTGTGCTTCCAACAATGTCATCGTCGGCTGTCGTGGCATGAACAAAGCTGACAAATCAACTTTTGTCTCTTGACTCTTTGCCCAACGTGATAAATCAGCTCCAGTTCGTGCTACTGATTGAGCTGTTCTCGTGAAATCAACAGCAATGACTTCATCCCATCCAGCGAATTTCGACTTAAAAACTTGATTTTCTGTTCCTTCTTGAATTCGTGTAATCATTGAGAATGGCGGTCGTTTAATCATTGAAAATAATTCTTGTGATAATTTAATTGCAGCCGCTCTCACAAGTCGCGTTGACTTCTTCCCAAACCAAACGAAAAGATCTGGTCCGCAATCAAGTAAATAAACATTTTTGCTGTTCAACAGTGTGTGGACGAGCTTCTGTTGTGGAACTTCAACCTGCGGCATCTCAAGATAACCAAGACCCAGCTGAACAGAATAAAGTCGCGGGTTTCTTGCCTTCCATTCAACTGCAACTTTCTTAATTTCAGGCTTCGATTCAACATCTTCAACACCCAAAAGTTTCAAAAATTCTTCACTTTCATTCCCTTGAATTTCCATTACAATCTCAGCTTTGTTTTTTCTCTCATTTTTGTTGATTTTCTCAGCCATTAAACGTGACTTTGACTTGACTGTGTTGCGTGCTTTCTTTCCAAACCAAAGGAAAATTTTCAATCCACCATCAAGTAAGAAAACATTTTCAACATCCAACGTCTCGTAAATCATCTCCACAGGCTCCAAATTGATTGCAATGTCGTCATTGTGAACGATGTAAAGGCGAGTATTGAAAACGCTGTCTTCAATTGTAAAGAAGCCAGTCGATGTCCGTCCACCTTCAATGTACACAATGTCACTGTCAAAGAGCGCTAGAAATTCATCCGATTCGTCGCCTTGTTCTTCACGAATTGTTCGACATCTTGCACCTAAATAATTTCTTAAATTAACAGCATGAATCGCTGCACAAGCTTTCTTATCCAATGTCGTTGCATTTCCAATCCAAAAATAGATCTCCCATGACAATTGCGTTTCAACAAGAAACGTTTTTAAAACGATGTAACAATCGCCTTCGTAAAACTTTCCATGTGTGATGTCTTCGATTTTATTTGGAAGGAAATTTTCAATTTCCCAGATTGTTATTCCTGGCGCTTGTCCGTCGTCATCTTCAAAGAATTCTGAATAATCAAGTGGTGGCTTCTCAAGCGTTTCTTCCCATCGTTTCGGTTGTAAACTTTGAACCATTTCATCGTTTCCATTCTCGCTGTTGTTCTTTTCTTTCGCAATTTCTTTCATGCCTTTCAGAATCTTCGCTGAGTCTTGATCGCCACCGGAATCTTGATTGCGAGCACGTCTTAGTCTCATTTTTCTTGCAATTGCATCTCTTGGATTTGTTGCTGGTGTTGCAACTGATGGTGGAATTTGAGCTCCTGCAAGGCGAAGTTGATTTTGAAGCGAGAAGTCAATGTTGTAGAATTCAACACCGTCGCCTTTTTGTAATTCGATTGGCTTTGCTGGCATGATAAGATCAGAATTATTACGTAAATCGAGTAAATCCAAATCACCAAGAAGATAAATCGAGTCGGGAAGTGTGATTAATTGATTGGAACTTAAGTTAAGTTTCTTTAAACTTCCACATCGACAAAGACCTTCAGGAATCATTTCCAACTGATTGTTTGCTGCTGAAAAAATTTCCAAAGCTCCAAGTTTGCCAATTCCGCTTGGAATTCCATCGAAATTTAATTGATTGTCATTGACATAAAGACGACGCAGCTTCGCCAGCTTACACAGGGATGATGGCAGTGATGTGATCTCATTACGCGACAAGTTTAATGATTCAAGTTTTTGTAGTGCTTCAATGTTTGGTGACACATCTTTGATTTCGTTATCGCTGACATTCAATCGCTTCAAATTGACGAGATTGTAAATGACGTCGGGAATTTTTGGCAAATTATTTTGTGTGATGTCAAGTTCAATTAAGTTTATTAAGTTATCTAAAGATGCAGGAAAGTTCAGTAATGTGCGTTGCGTGTTCCTCATAAGGAGAACTTCAAGGTGTTGAAGTGATGGCAATTGACGAAGTTGAAAGAGTTCCAGAGGATTATTGTTCAGGATCAGTGTTTGAAGGTTTGTAAGGCGACGAGTTTGAGGTGGAAGTGTGTCCAAAAAGTTATTTGACAAATCTAGGAAAAGAAGGTCGGTAAGGTTGATGAATAATCCTGGTGGTATGGCACAAATCCTAGAAAGTAAAAACTCTTTTAATTTCATATTTTGACAATTAAACTACTAAATAATCTTACTGATTATGGCTCAAGTTTAACACCAGCAAACTTTTTGCCTTTTCAAGACCCTCAGGAACATCTTTTAGTTTGTTGTGCGATAAATCCAATGTTGTTAACTCAAATAAATTAAACAACTCATTTGGCACGCCCGATGTTTTGATTTGATTCTTCCGGATGTTGAGACTTCGAAGATTTGAAAGTTCTGTAACTTCTCCATACAATTTCTCAATTTCATTGCTCTTCAACGAGAGATGCTCGAGTTTTCCTAACTTTCCCAATTCCTCAGGAATTTCTGTTATTTCTGTTTTATCGAGTTTCAGATATTGCAGCCCTGACATAAGAGCCAAATTTTCAGGAAAATCTTTCTGCAATTTATGAAAAAGTGTCAAATGTATTTTGTTTTACATGAAAACGTCAAAAAACTTACGCTAAAATCATTTCTAGTAAAATCTATGGATCGGACAAACGGTAACACGCCGGTAGTGCTCATCTTAAATAAATTTTTAAGCACTTACACGAATTGCTTAATTTATTTAAAATTTCCGAAATTTATTTCGCAAAAAAAAAACATCAATGATGATGTTCAGAAAAACGAAAAGTTCGTTTTGTTAGTGTTGCGGTTAAAATTTTTGTCCTTTAACTGAACGTACACAATTGGTTTGAGATATTTTTTAAGTCCTAAAGGAACGAAAGAAATAATTTTTTTCCAAGTTAATGAAACTTTAAAGTAGTTTGTTTAATAGTTTTTAAATCTTATAAGATTATACATAAAGTCATAAGTGTCATCGAACAATTATAATTAACTAAAGTGACATAAGAAATGGAGAATCGAGAGAAAAATTAAAATGTAATTTTCCCTAAAAAGATTTGTAACATTTCAATTGCAATCTGTTCATCTCTTAATCTTATTTTACTATAGAATTGCAAGATTTTTATGGCAAATGGCGTCGAATGGTGGCGATGCAAGTAAGAGGAACAAACCATCAACAAATGAAAATAATTACAACAACAAGATTCAGAAAAATACGAAAACCAGAAATTCTAAGAGTAATGCAGCGATGGAGACAACTAATGGAACTATCACAAAAGGAGGAGCTAATGAAAAGACCAAAAATGGTCAAAATCAGGAGAGAAGTCCAGGTTCATCATCCTCATCAGACGAAGGTGTGTAATTTGATTTAATTAAAGTTATTTATGATCACAGATGATGAAATTAAATTTTTTAGATCGATGTTGGAAGTTTCGACCACCGCCTCGCGGTTTCACTTCAGAGTCATATGTGCTTTGCGAGAGTTTTCTAGAAAGTGGCATTTGTAATTTCGGCACAAACTGTGTCGAAGCACACCACGAGGATGAGTTGAAAGAATGGAAAGAAAAATTCGAAATAAGAAAGAATAAACTTGAAAGTTCATCAAAGTTGCAGTATGGAAAAAGTTACACTGAAGATCTTCTCGAACGATTGCATCAATCAACAAATCCTGAAAAGATTATGAAAGAGAAGTTAGATGGAGTGGAAGTGACTTGTTCAAATGAACTCAACTTAACAGTCAGCTCGAAGACTTGCAAACGTGAATGGATTTTTGTATTGAAAACGACGAAAGTGCTGAAAGCTGTCGCACTACTGCAGGACGAACATCGTACACATTTCTCGATTAAGCATGTTTATCCCATGATACCGGGAAAGCAATCATCAACAAATCAATTTGAAGGCAGTAAAGTAGCATTGACAACTGATCAAGAATGGCTCGCCACAACCGAAATCTGTAAATCAGCTCAAGACTCTGAAACATCATCAGCAGCAGAAAACGAATCTTTAGTGTCACATCGAGTGAAAATTTGCTTCTCAACTGATATTTATGGTGAGTTGTTTGTTTGACTTTACAAAATGCAGCTGTCAGTTGTCCTTGAGTCGACGACGTATGAATTTTTTTTTCTATTTTTCTTTCATCTTTTTCTCCATTCAGGAACATTTCGTCAAGCGGTTTGCTTCGACTTCATTGGACTTGAAGCGATTTTAGTGAAACATTTTTGCATCGATGTTGTTCCACTTGAAGAGTATGATAAGATTCAAGAGATTAAGAATGACATACTTTCAGTTACACGAACGAGATGGAATGCAACAAACTCGGAACTTGTTCCTTATAAAGCAGCACAGATTTATAGCGTTCATAGTTCAACAGCGGCACAAGATAATGAGAAAGAAACTGAATTAATGGAGAGATATCCATGTCCACAACATGATACATTCGTTCTCTCACAAAGTACGATAAGTGGAAAGTTAACTGATACTAATTATCAACAATGGATGCACACACTCCTCTACATTGAAGAAATGGCTCGTTTTGACCTCATTGCGAAGTTTAATTTAACAACAAATCTTAAGATAACAAATAACTTTATTTTGGCACCAAACGGTATGGCAACATCGACAGCAAAATATTCACATTCTGGTGAACTTTTTGGTGTTCTTGAGCTTTCACAAAATATATCGGAAGAGACACCGCCGGGATATTTGATTCTCAACAATTGTAATTCACTTTATTTATCGAAAAATTTATCGAGCCAGAAGAAATCTGACAGACCTGAAGTATATGAAGCGTTGATTGAGGATAAAAGTAAGAATATCATTTACTTGAAGCTTTCAGCTGATACTGTCAAAGCTTTGAGTTTGAAGAACGAGGATGAAGTGAAAGTCGACATTCAATTTCAACCAAGTCGATTAACGTATTGCGAGTGGCATTTGGCTGTTGATAAAATCACTGATTACAAAATAATTTTTCCCGATATAAACATTGGACCCGATATTCCATGGAATCCGAAGCGACAATGGGATTCAACACTTGATCAAAGATTAAATTCGAAGCAGCGTGAAGCTGTCGTTACAATAACATCACCAATAAACATTTCTCTACCGCCAATACTTTTAATCGGACCTTTTGGGACGGGAAAAACGTACACATTGGCACAAATCATTAAACAATTGTTGTTACAAAAGGAAGCTCGCATTTTGATTTGTACACATTCAAATTCAGCTGCCGATTTGTATATTCGTGAGTATCTTCATCCATGGGTTGAAAGTGGAATAACTGAAGCAAAGCCACTTCGAATTTATTATCACAAGCGATGGGTGGCGACAGTGAATTTAACTGTTCAAAAATATTGTTTGATAGAGCTGAAAGGTAATACGAGAGTTTTTAAACGACCAACAGTTGATGACATTTATAAACATAAAATTGTTGTCGTGACGTTGTCAACGTCAATGGAATTGGCTTCACTGAATCTTAAAAAAGGATATTTCACTCACATTCTTCTCGATGAAGCAGCGCAAGCATTGGAATGTGAAGCGATTACACCTTTGGCACTTGCCGATACCAACACGAGAATTGTCCTTGCTGGTGATCACATGCAAATGTCACCTGAAATCTTCTCCAACTTTGCACGTGAAAGGAAACTTCACATCTCATTACTTGAACGCCTTTACGAATATTATCCCGTGAATTTCCCTACAAAAATTTTACTCTGTGAAAATTATCGTGCACATGAAGCAATCATTAAATTTACATCGGAACTTTTCTACGATCAAAAGTTGATTGCATCAGGAAAACAACCGCGACATGAGAAATTCTATCCATTGACATTCTTCACGACACGCGGTGAAGACATTCAAGATAAGAATTCAACAGCTTTTTATAACAATGCTGAAGTTTATGAGATTGTTGAACGTGTATGTGAATTAAAGCGTAAATGGCCAACAGCATGGGGAAAGTTTAATGATACATCAATTGGAATTATGACGCCATATGCTGATCAAGTGTTTCGTATTCGTTCGGAATTGCGAAAGAAACGAATGGCTGGAATTTCAGTTGAGAGAGTTTTGAATGTTCAAGGAAAGCAATTTCGCGCTGTTTTCCTTTCAACTGTTAGAACACGAAAGACATGCTCGAATAAAACAGAAGACATCGATTATGGCTTTCTATCGAATTCAAAACTTCTCAACACGGCTATTACACGAGCGCAATCTTTAGTGTCAGTTGTTGGCGATCCCGTCGCTTTATGTAGTGTTGGAAGATGTCGAAAGGTTTGGGAACGTTTCATTGATACATGTCATCAAAATAAAAGCTTATATGGAATAACATGGCAATCTTTAAAGTCACAACTTGATGGCGTTGAACTCAGAAAAACTTACGTTTTAAATCCACTCGCACCTGAATTCATCCCACGATCACTTCAAACTGAAAGTTATTTACGTGATCAAATCATGAGAAATAATCGAAATTTCAATCCAATGATGATGCCAGCAGTACATGGTGGTGGCGTGGGTGCTTCAATGATGCAGAAACAACAACAACAGCAACAACAAAATCATTCAATGAACTTTCATCACATGTCACAACAGCAGCAGCAACATTCTTTTCATCCACACATCCCGCCCCCGCAACAACCGAATCAAATGATGGGACCTTTTCCACCACCTACTCAAGGCTTTAATAACAACAATAATAACAATAATAATAATAGCATTCGACCATTTGGTAGTCCATCCTATCCCCAACATCCACAACCTCCAAACAATGTTCAACAACAATTTCCACCACCTTTCAATGGAGCACCGCAACCATTTCCAAACCAACAACAAATACAAAACTTCAATCAACCAAATGTCAATGCAATGTCACATGCACAACCACATCCACCAATAATGCCGAACTTTCATATGAATCAACATTTGAATGCGAGTAATTTGTGGAGTTCGCCGAATTCTTTGTTTCCATCTGGAATGGATGGTGGTAAGAATATTGTGCAAGGTGCTGGTGTTGTTGGTGGCAATCCATGGCAAATGAAGCCGCCAGTAATGTCGCAACAGCAGCAACAACAAATACGCTCGTCAGTCATGCGACAACCACAACAAAATCAACAACCAATGTTTACGCCACCCCCACAATTTCATCAACAGCCACACATGAATTCTTTTCAAAGTCTCCCGAAATTTCCAACAAATTCAATTGGTGATATGACGAATTCGTTTAATGGAAATCACATTGATATGTCGTCGCTTGCAAGTCATGCGGCATCAAAATTGACAATCAATGAAATTTTATCACAACCGGATATGTTGGAGAATATGAAGAAGAGTGAAAAGGATGTTCAATTCTTGCAGAATGTTCATTTTCCCGAGAAACAACAAATGTATTCGATGAATCATCAAATGAATTCACAACAACAGCAAACAATGAAATATCCACAAATAAACTTTCATTCGACTAACAGTTCACATTTACTTCCACCAAATATGAGTTTTTATGAGATGGCAAATCAATCGAAAGACTTTCAGTCACGTTGGTATATAAAAATGATTGAATTGTATGGTTTGGAAGAAGCTGAAAAGTTTACGGAGATTTTGAGGCAAGTTTCATTGATGACTAATAATAATCCAAAGCATATTGATGGATCGGTTTTCAATGGAACGATTGATAATCCAAGGAACTTCAATATGCAGCGTTTAATGGACATTCAACAGCATCAAATGAAACATGAGCCGAAAATGGAAAACTTAATGAAAGTTCCATCAGCGAGTGGCGGTTTCAGCGATAACTTTGCCAACAAACTCTTTCAATCGGATGAACTCGATGTCATCTTCAAAAATTCGGTTCAGAATCAAAAACTTATTGAGACAAATTTGCTCGGTCCAATCTCGAATGAAATTGACTTAAATCCACCATCATCAAATATCAACTCCAATACAACATTTCCTGATCGTAATATTCTTAATGGAATCGATTTGTTTGCTAATGTTCAAGATTTGGAGACAAATGTTCAAAGTCCACAGCGATCTGTTCCGCTTTACATGCGCAAACAGAATCGTAACAACTTTGAATAGTTTTTCTTTTAATTAATTTTTTTTTATTTCTATTTCTTGTTTCGTAATAAAAGAAAAAAATGAAAATCATTTTGCTAATCAAATATAAATATATTAATCATAAAAAGAAACTAATTAATTAACTTAGTTTTAAATATAGTCAAAGAAAAACTTGAAACAAAAAAATTGGAAGATGAAAATTTTCTGAAGAAAAAAGAATTAAAAAAATTATAAAAAAATTAGGAAAAAACAAAAACAGAAAATCATGAAAAGTAAGGAAAAATATTATCTAACTAAATAAGAAGTTTTTAATGGCAATGTCAGAAGCTTTGAGTAGGAAATTAAAGGTCTAGGAGATGTCTTCATGTGCTGTTTTCAAGAATACAAAAGGAATGTTTTCAGTTTTTCATGATTCTGACATTGACCTTCCTTCATCTTTCTCCCTCTCCCTCTCAAGGAACTTTTATAATTTACATTGTGATTGTAACAAATTTTTCACAATTAAATATTTAAGAAGAGTAAGAGAAGAAGTTTTCCTTTATTTTGTGTTGAAGCATTTGCTGACAACTTTTGACACACAAAACAATCTTAAATATGTCATGAGAGAGAAGCTTAAATATCTTTACTAAAACTTTTCATTATAAATCTCAAAAAAGCAAAAACATAATGAAAAGTTTCTTACAAGCAACTTTTGGTGTTTAACTTCTTCTCGGATGTGTAACTAAGAATGCGGAGACGAGCTCATGTTCACTCCCAAACAAATAGAAAACGGATGGGAAGTGCTAAGAGATCTTGAATGAGAACAATTTCTTATTAATTATTTTTTATAAATAAACTATGATAAGAAAATGAAATTAAATGATTAATAAAAAAGAAAAATAATAAAAAGCAAAACAAAAAAAATTATATATTAATTTGAACATCAATGGAAATGTTTGTGTTTTTAATTAATTATTTAAAGATTTTGGAATTGGGAAGGCAAATCATATGATAGAAGTTTATTTTGCTTTCCATTTGAAAAATGGATGATTTTAAACTTCTTTAATTTAATTTTCTTAAAGTCAATTTACATCGTTGAATGTCAGAAGAATTTTACTCGAAACTTTTGACAATCATCATGACATAAATCGCTCTCAGATTATTAAACGTGCATCCATTTTTCCAATGAAATGCAACAAGAACTTCCCATCATACAAATCTAAACAACAACATAGAGTGAAGTAAATGCATTCAAGAGTTCAGCGCATGTTCAATCACATCGTGAGAAAAAGAAGAAAATTTCCATTCGATGTGAGAAAAGCTTGGAAAATTCAAAAGGAAAAATCCATTTTTGTTTTCGAATTCATCCTTTCGCGGAAAAAGTTTAAAAAATAAATTTTCTTAAGTAAAACATTTTGAAATAAAAAAGTTAAAATGGATTTCGCGACTGGTGGCATATCAGGTGGTTTCTATGGTGCTGGAATGGCTGGTGGGAGATTCGATCGTAAGTAAACTTCACTTCGTGCATAAAATCCTCACAATTTGTTTTCAAAAACTTCCACCAATCAGTGAAAGTGATTTTAAAATGCTGATAAAGAGAAAAGTCAACAAGAATTTCTTATCTTGTTTTAGCAATCGCATTCATACAGAGACCTCCAATCATTATACGTGCTGTTTGTTGGGTATGCATTGATTAAAAATCATAAAATTACTTTTTTCTTCATGTTCTCTTCGTCCCCTTGAGAGGATGAGAAATGAGAAGAAAAAAATCGATATTTTTTTACTACCTCCCCAATCAAGTGTCACACTCTTGGATGTTATTGTGTAACGTAACGTAACATGGCTTTTGATATTATTTTAGCTTTTCTCCATAATTGTGTTTGGGTCAATCGCATCCAATGGATACATGAAGGACGAGAATGAAAAGGACGTTTGTATTATCAATGGCAATGGAAGTGTTTGTTCATATACTGTATGGGCTGGTCTTGTCGCATTCTTCGCATCGATGGCATTCATAGCTGGCGAATATCTTTTTGAACAAATGTCATCAGCAAAGTCACGGAAGCATTATGTCGTTGCCGATCTTGGATTTTCAGCCTTTCTCGCGTTTTTATATTTCGTTGGTTTTTGCTACATCAGCAGTCAATGGAGTAAATCACCAGATCCACCTAATGGTGTCGGTAGTGGAAATGTTACATGTGCGATCTTGTTTTCATTCCTTTCGGTGTTCACATGGGGTGGCTGCGCGTATTTTGCTTTCCTTCGTTACAAAGCTGGTGTTACTGAAATTCCTTTCCAGTCAACTTATGAAAGTGATCCCAATAATCAAGCGGCTTACACGAGCTATGCAAATGACAATGAACAGTATCAGGAACCACCATTTTCACAACAACAAATGGGAGGTCAACAACAATTTCAAGCTCCAACTTATTAATTTGATCTTGATATTATCAAGAAATGTTTCTTCATAACCGCTTGTGTGTTCCTCGAAAAAAAGAAATTATTTTATCATTATTGAGAATCTCAACAAATATGACACAAACGTAATGAAAAACGATGATAAAAAACAAACAAGAGACATATTTGTGCAATCGATTATTATTTCTTATCTTCTTATTATATGCTTTCTGTTGGCTTTGTCTGAATTTATTCAAATATTTATTTGATGACGATCTTTAGAAGAAGAAAAAAACCTGAGAAAACAAATTGTCAGTAGATATTATCGTTAATGTCGCAATGTACTTAGTCAATGTGTTTGGAGACGCTACGTGACTTCTTTTATGTTTTAAAATAACATCGAGTGTTAGAAGTTATTTTTTATGTTTCATCCGTTAATGTTTTATGAAACGATTTCAAAATATTTATTTGATGGGAAGCGCCAACATTAATATGTAATATAAATGAAGGAAAAACATTTTCTAAGAACATGAAGTGAAATTCTTGGAATTTATCAAACATTTCCTAGAATTTTTTATAATTTTCTAAGAATTTTTATTTATTCTTCATCCCAACGTTTATTTCTTTATTATTTATCTCATAAATGCAATAAATAAGAATTTATTGAATTATCTAATGTACGTTTGCAATAAAAACAAATATCTGTGTCGATGAGAATTGAAAAAGTAAAAAGCGGACGAAAAAAAATTATATTAAACACGAAAAGAAATCCTCGCTTTGGAGGATGAAAAAACTGTTTTGTAGAAAAAAGCCATTAAGGCTTATAAAGGAAAATTTAAGCAAAAAAAAAAGAAGAATATAAACGTACATACTCATTATCGTTTGCAATGATTGATTAATATCAAATGAAAGTAATAAACTTGAAATTTGACTCCAAAAACGTTTCATGATAAAAAGAATCAACCTGAAGGAAAATAGAATAATAGAAAACCCACCAAAGAAGTAATCAAAGTTCTGACGTCCTATGTTAATTTATTACTTAGGCAGTCAGATCTATGGAAATATTTATGTTGTATATCTCATATCCTTTAAAACGACAAATATCCTTAATCCTTGTCAAATCCATGTTCCAAGAGATAAAAACTAATAAATAAATAATTAAACGAAAAACAAATCAACAAAAGAATCACAAATGAAATGAAGCAGATGTAGCTGAACTAACTCTATCTATATTATTTAAAACTGAGTAAACTAATAATAAATAAAAATTGTTGGAAATGAATTGAAGCATTTGAATTCTTTCTGGGTGAATTTACATTTCACTCTCGCAACCTTGAATTACTCTCTCGAATTCTCTCGAATTTAGGCAATTTTCTCATTCATTTTACTTGATTTCTGTGTTATCAAAACTCGTTTCTGTATCTCGAAGGAATAGAAACTCTTCGTTGAATAATCCAGTTGGCAAATAAGCATAAAGGTTTTACTTTCAAAATGGCTACAATTACAAAACTTGTTAATCTATCACGTGCATCTGCTCTCCTTAGAAATTGTCGGCTTTACTCAACCCCAGGTAATTATGGAAATAAATGGAAATTTATTAATAGATCTAAATCGGACTTTGAACTTGTTTTTCCGTAGGCACACAATATGAAATGATCAAGAAAGATTTAGCCGGCGAAAAAAAGAATGTTGGAGTTATTCATTTGAATCGACCAAAAGCATTAAATGCACTTTGTCGTCAATTAATGACTGAACTAAGTCAAGCATTGACCGAATATGAAAATGATGCGTCGATCGGTGCTATTGTTATTACCGGCAATGAAAAGGCATTTGCTGCCGGTGCCGATATCAAAGAAATGATGGGAAATACATACGCTGAATGCATTATTGGTAATTTCCTCGCTGATTGGACAAAAGTCAGCAATGTTCGCAAACCAACAATCGCTGCTGTCAATGGATATGCATTGGGTGGTGGTTGTGAACTTGCTATGATGTGTGACATCATTTATGCTGGTGATAAAGCTAAATTCGGTCAACCAGAAATCGCAATTGGAACAATTCCTGGTGCTGGAGGATCACAAAGATTAACACGAGTCATTGGAAAATCAAAGGCAATGGAAATGTGTTTGACTGGCAATATGATTACTGCTGAAGAAGCTGAAAGAACTGGAATGGTCAGCAAAATCTTCCCTGCCGATCAACTGCTTAACGAAGCTGTTAAACTTGGCGAGAAAATTTCCTCACACTCTCCATTGACAGTCGCTTTGTGCAAAGAAGCAGTTAATGTCGCTTATGAAACGACACTTCAAGAAGGTTTACGCTTCGAACGGCGAACATTCCACGCCACTTTCAGCACAAAAGATCAGAAAGAAGGCATGAAAGCTTTCTCTGAAAAACGAGCTCCAAACTTCACCAGTGAATAATTTTACAGGAAAATGTTTTTAAACAAAATTAGTAAGAAAACATGAAAGTGCATTTATTTTTGTTGTATCAACTTTGAAAGTAAAACAAATAATTTCTAATGAAAACAAATCTTCTCTTTTTATTTTACTAATTTTATTTTTTTATATTCAACCGAGTTTAATTTAAAAATCTCAACTTGTTCATTTAGGTATATTAATTTGAGAAAGATTAAAGAAGAAATCATTTCAATGGGCCTCGTTTCTTCATCATAAGTTCGAATGTTCCATTTCCTCTTTCAAAGTGTTTGATACAAGGAAATTCCTCCTTAAAGCATTCTTTTATAGTTTCAAATGATAAAAATCGGCTGAGTCCAGATAACGAAATCCTTTGAAGTCTTCTAGCAGCAGATTGAATAACTTCAGCTGTCTCATTTTCAAAGCTGAATTTATACACGTCAAGTGTTAAATATTTTAGTTTGGGATGATCATCCACAATTTGCTGCAAATCTTCGTTAGAAATGTCACATTCTTTTGATATTTCGATTAGTTCCAGACTAGGACAAGCACTGATAGCATAAAGGATTGATCTCGTGTTATAAATATCATAGCTTGAAACTTTGAATTCCTTTAGATTCTCGTGACTTAAGTCTTCATCCATAAGATCTTGCTCTTCTTCTGAACGAATCACACAAAAATCAAACGTTTCAAGTTTGATAAAATACTTTAGAACGGTGCCGATGATATTAATTGAACCATGCTCGAATCTCAAGTGTTTTAAATTTTGAAAGTTTTGAATAAACTGAAAAACTATTTCTTGAGGAATTATGACGGTAAAGTTTTCACTGCCTGTGATTGATAATGTTTCAATCTGCAAGAATTTCATCATACTAAGCTCCAAGACTATGTTAAGAAATTGGATGCCATCATCATCAACATCATCTTCCTGAAAATTCTGAAAATTGAAAATTCTCTGAATGTCTTGCTGCATGTCAATAATCAAATGAAGCTCTCTTAAATGAATGACATTAGCGAGTGATTTAAAAACATCCACAGATAGCTCCTCATTAATGACCGTTTTAAGTGATTCAAGATAATCTAATTCACAAATTGCTTCAAAAATTTCATTATTCATGTTCGTACTAAGACCATCGCACAAATCGAGAGAGCGAAGTTTTGGGTGTTGTCGTATCATCTCTGGAAAATTCTCATTAAAACCAATGTGCCAATAAGTGAAATGTTTTAGATTAGGAAGATTCAATACTGATAAGTCACTATGCAGTTCTCTTTTCATTATGAGCTTTGTTATTTGGGTTTGCTGATTGATAAATTGCTTGAAATTCTCGTTATAGAGGTTAAAACGAATGGACATTTCAGTTACTACATCTTTTGGTAGCTGGTTAAAGATGATCGGAAAATCACAATCTGATCTCCAGTCTGATTCCATTGTTAACTTTTTAAGTTTGTATAAAGGAAGCTCATCACTCCAATGCATATCACGTATTACACAAATAAATTCAAAAGTTAACTCTTCAACGTTGGGAATGCAATTTAACATTTCCGCCAATTGTGACTCTAAAACTGTTGATTTGATTTTTCCTGGGACATATCTTCCTGTGAATGTAAATTTTTCAATTCTTTCTCCAAATTTCACCAATATGTTTAGGATAGGATCTATGTTTGGTACAACATCAACAGATATTGTCAAATCTGTGAACATTCGAGATGTATTGATGATCGAACTGTACATATTTTCATCACAAATCTGTAAATAAAATTCCACTGAAAATTTAAAGTTTTCTTTGAATTTTCCTGCATTCTCACTCACCTGTTTATATGAAAGTTTTAATGGTAGACAATCTTTTTCCAATGTGCATACTAGTTCATAGAATTTTCGACAAACTTGGGAAACATTGGAACGTGAAGAAATATTTACGAACTTCAAAATGTAAAGAAGAATTTCCTCTGGAAGATTCATTAATTCATTTTTCTGAATGTTTACTGTTGAACTCATATTTGTAAATTTTAGATCGCACTTCTGTTTTTAGGTTGTAACTGTTTACTGAGGTTATAAACTGACAGTTAGAACTAGTGACAGTCAACTCTCGATATAACAACAGCTGAAGGGACCATAAAAAAATGTTGTATCAAAAACATTTTGCATTAAATTTTGGGGCAGTTACGATTTACTATCGAGAGAATTTTTGTATCAAGGGGATGTTGTTATGTCAAGAGCGGCGCTTCGGTCCGTGTTCCGAGATCCGTTTAAGGTCCGTTTCCTGTTCCGGAACAAGGTCCTTTTCCTGTTCCGGAACAGATTTATCGTTTGCGGAACGGTCCGTTTTTGTTCCGGAACAAGTTCATGGTCCCCTTAAGGTCCGTTTCCTGTTCCGGGACAGGAAAAAGGTTCCGGACCGAAGCCCTGACTCAAGAGTTGACTGTATCTATAATTGCCTCGTAATGAAACCTCAAATTCAAAAAATATTTAAACCGTTAAACACTTACAACCAAACATTCCTACCTCATAATACAATGACAAGCATAAGAAGTTTGAATCAACAACAAAAATTTAATCGAAACCATTAGGAGAACATCACAAGAAAATGCGCAAAAGCTTTTAGGAGTTGTTGAAAGAAATTGTAGCTAACATCTCCTAAAAAGTTGTTCTCGCTCATGATTTTGGATCGTAAATAACCCCATGGAATTTCTAAAGAAAACAAATCTTCTGTTCTTATTTTAATTTAATATTTTTTATTATTCAACCGATTTTAATTTAAATCTCAACTATTTTTAATTTATATGCGAAAGGACTTGACAAGCTTTGATGATTGATGTTGGGTCGATCAGCTGGGACGAAAACGATTGATTCTTTATCACAGTTCTAGCTCATGGTTCGTCATTCAAAGAGCTGACATAAGACAGACTTCTGGAAACAGTTGATCCTTGTTGTTGCATAGATTGCAAGGAAAGTGTTGCTGGTTCAAGGTTGTAGAATTCAGTAACTTTGGGTGGCGCTTTATCAGAGCAAATCTCTGATATTTGATTTATTATCCATTTCGAAATCTTGATGACAGCTAAATGAGCAGCAAACTGTAAAATCATTGCTCCAAATCCTTTATACAAGCCACCAAAGCCTTCCGATGTCACTGTGTTGATATAACAATCAATGGCACCTTCATAATTTGTTAAAATTGGAACAACTTGAATTCCACTGTCAAGATTATCAATAATTGTTCTCGTTCCTTGAAGTTGAATTCTATGTAAAACAGTTTCAAAAGGATAAAACAAAACTTCAGATGAAATCAATGAAATGATGTTCGAATACAATTCAATCTCATTGTTGATTGCTGTTAAGTCTTTCGGTCGTGCACCTTTCTTCTCTTCACGACGGTGTATTTGTTTGCTGATAATTCTAGTCGAAATTCCTTTAACAATGACACTTACTAAATATTTTGAAAGGCCAAAAGAAACCCAAGGGCCAAGAAGAACCCAAACAGGTAACATTCTTCCTTTTGCTGGTGAACTCCAAGAGAAAAGCCTTGCTGATCCTTCACGAAACACATCAAGAATGCCAGGTTTCTCACTTGCTATATCAGATTGAACTGTTTCAACAAGAGATGCTGAATAAAATGGCATGATGATAGCCAACGAAATTGATTTCAATATTAAATGATGCGTAAATTGTTTAACAGTTGTTCTTGAGTTGATTTCTTTAGGCCAAGGTGTGAATTTTGATAAAACCTGCAAGTTTCATCAACAAGAATTAAATTTATTGAAATGTTTTAAAAAATATTAAACTTCTTACATCTTCAACTGCCAATGACATTCCACGAACCAATAGAGAACTTCCAATGCCTTTCCATAATGTCGTGACACCTTGTCTACGATGTAAATGAACAATCACTGGCACTAAAGTTATTGGTACCAAATGACGTCTTTTTGAATTATGATAAACTTGACATTGTCTTCGTAGAACGATGAAAGGATGACTGAGAAGGTTCTCAGTTATTAAGCTGACCAAGGAGACACTTACTGACAAATAGCGTGTGATTGATACCTCATCCGATTCAGGTGAGTCGAAAACAGGTTGATAACTTTTAAAGCTATTTGTGGTCGTCTTTGGAAGATTCAGAGTCAAATCTCTCGGTGATGATTGAAAGTAATTATAATTTTCAGGATAATTGTAAGCACGATTCGACATATTTATTCGCTGTGAGTTATCAAGCTCATCATAATCTTCATCCTCGTCAAAGGAATTGTATCGGTCCAAGCTCGCCATGACTTCATTTAAATTTACTACACAATTTTATAACTATAATTTGCAAACTTTTTCCTCCTCAATATTTTTATTTTAAAGCTGAGCGTCAACTGAAATTTGAATAAATTTCTGTTACAAAAAACCTTAAAAAACGTTTGATTTCAAACTTTTATTTCAACCCAAAAAGAAAGATATTTAAGATGTTAAACTTTGTTCTACGGTTTAACTGGTTCAGTAGTTTCAGAATCAGTTTGATTTTGTCCTTTCGAAGTATCGTCAGGTTTCATTGCTGGGAAGGGAAGAACTTCCTTGATGTTGTTGTTATCGGTCAAGAACATCGTTAAACGATCAACTCCTAATCCCCAACCACCAGTTGGTGGCAAACCATATTCGAGTGCCATACAGAAATTCTCATCAACCAATTGAGCTTCATCGTCACCGGCCGCTTTATCACTGGCTTGTTGTGCAAATCTCTCACGTTGTACAAATGGATCATTCAACTCCGTGTAAGCATTACAAATTTCTTTCTTCATTATAAACAATTCGAAACGCTCAGTTAGTCCCGGTTCATTTCGATGATATTTCGCCAATGGACTCATCAATTGTGGATGATCACAAATAAATGTTGGATTAATACAATCTTCTTCCAAAAACTCGCCCACTAATTTGTCCAAGAGTCTGGCTGTTGTTCTTGGTGGCGGACATTCAACTTGATGTTTGATACAAAGTTGATCGAAAAATTGGTTTGTTTCCTTTGTTGCCATTTCAGTGGCTACAGGGAATTTTACTTTTAAAATCGATTCCAATGTCTTCAACATGGAGACACGCTTGAATGGAGGCGTAAAATCGATTTCAACTTCTTCACCTTCAGGACCATCTGGATGATATTTTATCTTGTAACTGCCATGAATAGACTTAACCATTCCTGACAAAAGCTTCTCAGTTATTTCAATTAAGTCGCTATAATCAGCGTATGCCATATAAAATTCGCATGTTGTGAATTCCGGATTGTGTGTAAGATCAATGCCTTCGTTGCGGAATTGTCTTCCAATTTCATAGACACGATCTAAGCCACCAACAATGAGCATCTTTAAATAAAGTTCAGGAGCAATTCTCATGTAAAGATCCATGTTTAATTCATTGTGATGAGTAACGAAAGGTTTGGCTGTTGCACCACCAGGAATCATATTCATCATTGGTGTTTCAACTTCAAGGAATCCTTGTTTATCGAAGAATTGCCGTATGTACGAAATAATCTTCGATCGTACGTAAAAAATGTCACGAACACGGTTGTTAAGAATCAAATCGAGATAACGCATTCGAAAACGTGTTTCTTTATCTTTTAATCCAAAATGCAAATGTGGCAGCATATGAAGACATGGTGATAAAAGTTTTATTGATTTGGGAATGATCGAAAGTTCGCCTTTCTTTGTCTTTCCAGGATATCCATTGATGCCGATAATATCACCTCGACGAATTCTGTCAGTGTCTTCAGAAAATGCTTCTTCGCTTGAATATAATTTAGCGTTTCCCATGACTTGAATTTTAACGCCTTCACCTCGAACGTCATAGAAGATAAGCTTCGCTCCTGATTCTCGAATTGCATGAACTCTTCCAGCTACACTCAGCATTTCATTTTCCAACATTTCTCCATCTTTCAAATGACTAAACTTCTCGATGAAATCTTCCAATGATGATGAGACATGAAATTTATGAGGATATGGATGTGTTGATGGATTGCTTTTTAATTCTGTTACTGCTGCTGATCGTAATTTGAAGTATTCATTTGGAGAGATTTCAGACTCGTCAATTTTAGCTTCTTTTTTGTTTTCATTTGACTTTTCAACCTTTTCCGGCTTATGGGCATCTTTTTCAAGTTTTTCTTTTTCCTTTTGTGCTGCTTTCAATCGTCGTTTCAATTCACTGAAAGAATAAAAAAGATAATTGAGATATTAGTCGTCTTTCCGGATCTCAATCTATAACCTTTTCGAATTCAAATTGTTTGCAATGAAAATTGATCTTAATTGACGATGATTCTCTGAACTAATTAATTTTGGGATGAGTTTTGAAAAAGTTCTCAACATTGAATTCATAATAATAGAGTTAAAGTAAACAGATTAAATTAGCTGATGAAACTTTCCACGTTTTAAGTTTTTTTTAATACTTTGTTGACAGATTTTCAATTAAATCTTACTTTTTCGAAAGTTTTTCTTCGGCCATAATGATTTTTTCCTTTTGATTATTCTTATCAATTAAATTCTACGCTGATAGTTAAGAGTCTAAGTTAAAAAAATGAAATAAATTAAACATTAATGTTCAAGAAGCTATTATTGGCTGAACATTTAAAGCTGTGCACCCATTGAAATTACAGAATTTAAATTTTCAATTTAAAAACTATTCAAAACCGTTAAAAAAATTTAGATATTATGGTAAAAAATTGAAATGATCTCATAGCGATTATATTAAATAGACGACTTGAAAGTATTTTAATAATTGAGTTTTGGTCCTTTAGTTCTACTATGACATTCATTTTCAATTCGTTCTTACGTCAATGTAAATTTATTAGAGTTTTTAGAAGGGGTACAAGACTTACTTTTTGTAATGGGGGTTCACAACTTTCAGTGCAAATTCCATAAAGAAGTGTGAAAGTCGAAACTGTTTTGGCATTTGTAATTATGATATCATCGGTATCAAACGAATTAAATATCTCATCTTATGAAATTACTGTGTGTGTTCAACATTACGAAATTGATAAAATACAAAAAGAGACTATAAAAGACAGTGCAAATAAAATTATTTTATGATTCTCAACTTGAGACTCAAGAACAATAGAAAAATTTTTCTCAAAAGTCAAAAGAAGAGTGTTTGAAGAGTTAAAATATTATAAATAGAGTTGAATTATAAATTTGTGGTTAGTATAAATTGAAAAAATAGTGAAAAATGCCGAAAAATAATCGAAAATCAAAAGGTAATGTAAACGTGATTTTTTTCACATGAGTTTTAGTCGTGAAAGGTCTTCAAGCGCAAGTGTAAAAACGAAAAGAAGAAGAAGAAAAGAAATATTTTTTTCTGAAAGAATCCACGTTTTCACTTTTCTACTCATTTTATCAGCTGGTAGAAAAAAAGAAAAAAAAAAAAATCTCATTTTTGATACGTCACAAGTAATTGTAATTCCATGACGTCACGCTAGACAATAACAATGAGTCATTTGAAGGCAATGATTGCCATAAATAGATAGGAAATGAAGTATCTACCTTGAAACCTTCTAAATGATTCGAGTAATAATTTATTTTTCTTTCTCTATTTTTGTCATATTTCAGCGAATCAAGCTTCAAACAATAACAACAACAACAACTTTAAATACGAAAATGATTCTGATGATGAATATTCAAATGACGGAGCATCAGTCTACTCTTATCAGTCTGACAATGCAGCAATTCCTGATGTTGAGGAAGCGAGCGATAACGTCGTTGAAAAATATGAAGAGAAGTTAATGCAAGCAATCGAAAATGCTTCAGAAAAGTCACAACAAACACGAACACAAGCTCTTCAAGTGATGAATGAGATATTTATGCATCACAGTATGTTTGATTTCGTTGATGAACGCCGAGTGACAATATTGGATATCATCGAAAAATCGTTGAAGCGCGGAAAAGGTCAAGAACAAGCACATGCTGCTAGAATGTCCGCTCTCCTGTTGATTCAATTGCAGGGTGATGAAGATGTTGTTAAATCACTTGCGCCATTACTCCAACAAACCGCTTTGGATACATCTGCATCATCCGATGCAAGAGCTAAATGTTGCTTATCTTTGGCACTTCTTCATTTCCTCGGTGGAGACGATGTTGGTGATTTAATCATTTTGTGTCAGATGTTTGAAGGGATTTTCTCTGGAAGTTATTTGAAGGGAGACAACACACCAAGCACTGCTAATGCAGATGCTGGAGGTTTGCATGCTGCTGCACTTGGAGCTTGGGCTCTCGCACTTACACTGATTCCACCTGGTGATGTTGTGTCTTTAATTCAAACCAAACAAATCTTAGCATCCTTCAAGAACTTAATGGGATTGCTTCAATCACAACATCTTGACGTTCGTATGACAGCTGGTGAGGCAATTGCTTTGTTATTGGAAAGTGGAAGAGCTCATGACGAGGAATTCTTGGACGAATACATCACAGACCTCATTGAGATGACAAAATTACTTGCAACGGACTCTCAAAAGTTTAGAGCGAAACGTGATCGTAAACAACAGCGAGCAACATTCAGAGATGTTTTGCATTATATTGAAGAAGAAATTTCACCAGAAATTGCAATTCAAGTTGGCAATGGCTTAACCAAAGAACAGTTAACTCTGGATACATGGGCAGTTCATCATCAATATTCTTGTATTTGCAATGCCTTGGGTTCGGGAATGAATATTCATCTACTTGATAATGAGTTTCTTCGAGATGTTTTCCAGATGGGAATCAGATTAGATCCAGATCAAATTACTACAAAGAAACTCAGCAAAAATGAGAAACGAGCTATTCAAGCTGCCAGCTTTAAAGCTCGGACCATTTCAAGAGGGAAAAATCGTGATAAACGATCTGCTGTAGTTAATTAAAGTTTTTTTTTTGCTGTTGTCTTTTTGTTATATTTTCATCAGTTTGAGTTATAATTTAATGTTTTTTTTTCCTTTCTTCTGGTTATTTTAATTGGTGGCTAAATGATGACGTAATGTAGTTACACAAATTGTAGTCATTATTCAAGAAAAACAAATAAATAAAGATATTGCAAAAATTAACGGTTTTTCCCACTTACTTTGAATTTTCAGATATTTGCTTCTTACCCCTTCGATTTAACCTCCTTCGAGTTGAAATTTTTGTTATTGTTTAGCGAACTCGCATGTTGAGAACTGTTTTCAAATTTATCTATTAATTATCGAAAGAAATTGTTAAAAAATGAAAAATCTCACACTCAAATATCATTACTCGAAGAGATATAAAGAGCATGAATGTAAACTTATGACACAACATGCTTTCAACGAAAATATTTCTTTTGTTTACGATGGAAACAATAAAAGTGTAAATTTATATGATCATAATTTCTGTGAAGTTAAAGAACTGTTTAACTATGATGGCATAATTGCAATGGAATATGTTCAGTTAAATGACTGTCTATGTCTGGCAACAGATGAAGGCGAAATCGTTCAATACAATTTCACAACAAATGATTATGAAGTTGTCGGAATGATTCAAGATGGTATTGAAACAATGAGTTGGAGTCCAGACCAAGAGCTTGTTGTCTTTGTTACAAAGTAAGAAACTTTTAATTATTTTGACTTGATGAAAATTAAAAGTTTTGATTGTTTTAGATCCTGCAACGTCATTCTCATGTTTTCTACATTTGATGTTTTGGTTGAATCATCTTTGCATGAAAAAGCAGCCAAAGAATTCATCACTGTTGGTTGGGGTAAGAAAGAAACACAATTCCATGGTTCAGTAGGAAAAGATGCTCGAAAGAAACAAGAAATTAACATTGAGATGAATGAAGATTTAGATAAAACAATTTCATGTTGTTGGCGTGGTGATGGAGAATATTTTGCTGTGAATTATGTTGGTGAAAACGGTCGAATGTTTAAAGTCTACACTAAAGAAGGAGTTCCTACATATACCTCGGAAGTGTGTGCAAAACTTCAAGTACCAATTGCGTGGAAACCATCTGGATTGTGGATTGCAAAGCCTGAAATTCATCCAAATAAATATTCGATAACATTATTTGAAAGAAATGGTCTTAAGCATAACGAACTGATTCTACCATTCACTCATGAAGACGAACATGTTGTTAATTTATCATGGAGTCAAGACTCAGATATTTTTCTAATAGAAACTCTACGAAATGATAACATTCGTGTTTTGTATTTCTACACCATTTGCAACTACCATTGGTATCTGAAGCATACAATCGAATTCAATTGCCAAGTTGCATATAACTGGAGTCAAAATTTCATTGAACCCAAAAAACTTTTCATCATGACAAACAAAGGAGAGTTTCAAGTTTTGAAATTTGATTTCATTGTAAACCATTCTAAGGGAAGAAGTGAATCGGACGAATCAATTGTTGCTGTAATTGATGGACATAAATTGCTTTTGACAAACTTCAGAAGCCAAATGGTTCCACCACCGATGGCTAGTTTAGAAATTGTTATTGATTCTCCTGTCAATGTCGTCGACTTTCTTCAATATCCCGATGAAAATTACGACTCCAATAGCTTTTTCACAATGGATTTAAAGAATAAAGTGAAGATTTATCGATGTGTGTTTGACAATGTTATTAATGGGAAACGTTTGAATAGCATCGAGGAGGTGAAGGAATTTAAAGTTGATATAAAAGAGTGTGGGACGTTGACAACTGGACTTTGGTTAAATGAAAGTTTCATGCTTTTTACAAAGGAATTTAAAATGTATCTCTTTTCGCTCGATTCACATTCAATTGTTGAAGAAGTCGTCATGGAGAAAGTTATCAATAAGATGATTGGCGTAGATGATAGAACTTTTATTCTTCAACTATGTGATGGTTCACTTATTGAATTGTCACTCACAAATGAACATCAATTGACAATGCAAACTTTTTCTTGCTCAATATTTTTATTATAAAATCATGCAGTTAATCGAGTTATATTTTTAAGGGATTTTCTCTGGAAGTTATTTGAAGGGAGACAACACACCAAGCATTGCTAATGCAGATGCTGGAGGTTTGCATGCTGCTGCACTTGGAGCTTGGGCTCTCGCACTTACACTGATTCCACCTGGTGATGTTGTGTCTTTAATTCAAACCAAACAAATCTTAGCATCCTTCAAGAACTTAATGGGATTGCTTCAATCACAACATCTTGACGTTCGTATGACAGCTGGTGAGGCAATTGCTTTGTTATTGGAAAGTGGAAGAGCTCATGACGAGGAATTCTTGGACGAATACATCACAGACCTCATTGAGATGACAAAATTACTTGCAACGGACTCTCAAAAGTTTAGAGCGAAACGTGATCGTAAACAACAGCGAGCAACATTCAGAGATGTTTTGCATTATATTGAAGAAGAAATTTCACCAGAAATTGCAATTCAAGTTGGCAATGGCTTAACCAAAGAACAGTTAACTCTGGATACATGGGCAGTTCATCATCAATATTCTTGTATTTGCAATGCCTTGGGTTCGGGAATGAATATTCATCTACTTGATAATGAGTTTCTTCGAGATGTTTTCCAGATGGGAATCAGATTAGATCCAGATCAAATTACTACAAAGAAACTCAGCAAAAATGAGAAACGAGCTATTCAAGCTGCCAGCTTTAAAGCTCGGACCATTTCAAGAGGGAAAAATCGTGATAAACGATCTGCTGTAGTTAATTAAAGTTTTTTTTTTTGCTGTTGTCTTTTTGTTATATTTTCATCAGTTTGAGTTATAATTTAATGTTTTTTTTTCCTTTCTTCTGGTTATTTTAATTGGTGGCTAAATGATGACGTAATGTAGTTACACAAATTGTAGTCATTATTCAAGAAAAACAAATAGATAAAGATATTGCAAAAATTAACGGTTTTTCCCACTTACTTTGAATTTTCAGATATTTGCTTCTTACCCCTTCGATTTAACCTCCTTCGTTGAAATTTTTGTTATTGTTTAGCGAACTCGCATGTTGAGAACTGTTTTCAAATTTATCTATTAGGTAATTATCGAAAGAAATTGTTAAAAAATGAGAAACCTTACACTCAAATATCATTACTCGAAGAGATATAAGGAGCATGAATGTAAACTTATGACACAACATGCTTTCAACGAAANTGTTTACGATGGAAACAATAAAAGTGTTAATTTATATGATCATCATTCTTGTGAAGTTAAAGAATTGTTTAACTATGATGGCATAATTGCAATGGAATATGTTCAGTTAAATGACTGTCTATGTCTGGCAACAGATGAAGGCGAAATCGTTCAATACAATTTCACAACAAATGATTATGAAGTTGTCGGAATGATTCAAGATGGTATTGAAACAATGAGTTGGAGTCCAGACCAAGAGCTTGTTGTCTTTGTTACAAAGTAAGAAACTTTTAATTATTTTGACTTGATGAAAATTAAAAGTTTTGATTGTTTTAGATCCTGCAACGTCATTCTCATGTTTTCTACATTTGATGTTTTGGTTGAATCATCTTTGCATGAAAAAGCAGCCAAAGAATTCATCACTGTTGGTTGGGGTAAGAAAGAAACACAATTCCATGGTTCAGTAGGAAAAGATGCTCGAAAGAAACAAGAAATTAACATTGAGATGAATGAAGATTTAGATAAAACAATTTCATGTTGTTGGCGTGGTGATGGAGAATATTTTGCTGTGAATTATGTTGGTGAAAACGGTCGAATGTTTAAAGTCTACACTAAAGAAGGAGTTCCTACATATACCTCGGAAGTGTGTGCAAAACTTCAAGTACCAATTGCGTGGAAACCATCTGGATTGTGGATTGCAAAGCCTGAAATTCATCCAAATAAATATTCGATAACATTATTTGAAAGAAATGGTCTTAAGCATAACGAACTGATTCTACCATTCACTCATGAAGACGAACATGTTGTTAATTTATCATGGAGTCAAGACTCAGATATTTTTCTAATAGAAACTCTACGAAATGATAACATTCGTGTTTTGTATTTCTACACCATTTGCAACTACCATTGGTATCTGAAGCATACAATCGAATTCAATTGCCAAGTTGCATATAACTGGAGTCAAAATTTCATTGAACCCAAAAAACTTTTCATCATGACAAACAAAGGAGAGTTTCAAGTTTTGAAATTTGATTTCATTGTAAACCATTCTAAGGGAAGAAGTGAATCGGACGAATCAATTGTTGCTGTAATTGATGGACATAAATTGCTTTTGACAAACTTCAGAAGCCAAATGGTTCCACCACCGATGGCTAGTTTAGAAATTGTTATTGATTCTCCTGTCAATGTCGTCGACTTTCTTCAATATCCCGATGAAAATTACGACTCCAATAGCTTTTTCACAATGGATTTAAAGAATAAAGTGAAGATTTATCGATGTGTGTTTGACAATGTTATTAATGGGAAACGTTTGAATAGCATCGAGGAGGTGAAGGAATTTAAAATAGAAATAAAAGAGTGTGGGACGTTGACAACTGGACTTTGGTTAAATGAAAGTTTCATGCTTTTTACAAAGGAATTTAAAATGTATCTCTTTTCGCTCGATTCACATTCAATTGTTGAAGAAGTCGTCATGGAGAAAGTTATCAATAACATGATTGGCTTAGATGATAGAACTTTTATTCTTCAACTATGTGATGGTTCACTTATTGAATTGTCACTCACAAATGAACATCAATTGACAATCAATGATGAACATATGGAAAAGTTGCCGGAGTTTTGTGAATCAATTGAAGCTACAAGAATAAACGATAAAGTTGCAGTTTTTGGATTGAAAAATAATAAAAAGAAATTATATTGGAATTCAAAAGAGCTTGCAACTGAGGTGACGTCATTTAAAATCAGCATTGACGATGATTATCTCATGTACACAACAATCGGTGAGTTAAAATTCTTGAAAATAAAACACGATGAAATGGAACTTGTTGATAGTAGAAAAGTTGAAAGAGGAAGTAAAATAATTCAACAGGTTAAAAATAAATCTCAGATTATTTTTCAACTTCCTCGAGGTAATCTCGAAACAATATCACCGAGAATTTTATCTTTGAAGATAATAAAGTGTCACTTGAAACAGAAAGAATATAAACAAGCTTTTGATTTACTTCGTAAAGAGAGAATCAATTTGAATCTTCTTATTGATTTAAACCCACAACAATTTCTCGACGACTTGGTGTTATTTGTCAAGGCGATTGATAACATTCAATGGCTTAATCTTTTCCTAACTGAACTGAAGGACGAAGACGTAACCGCAACAATGTACAAATTTTGTGAAATCTCAAATATCGATAAAGAATTTGATGTCAACAACTTCACAATGACTAATAAAGTCTCATATTTATGCGATAAAATGTTGGAAATATTTCAACAAATCGATGCTAAAAAATATTTGTTGCCTTCAATAACTTGTTATGTGAAAAACCAACAAATTGAAAATGCCTTGCAGTTGATATGGGAAATGAAGAAATCGGGAAAAGCTGATGAAGATGCTGATAATGCTGTGAAATATCTTCTTTATCTAATCGACATTAATGTCCTTTATAATCTTGCTTTGGGAATGTACGACTATCAATTGGTGTTGTTTGTTGCACAGAAGAGTCAAAAAGATCCTAAAGAGTATGTTCCATTTTTAAATGAATTAAATAAACTTCCAACATCTTATGCGAAATATAAAATTGATTGTCATTTGAAACGTTTCCCGAAAGCTATTAAACATATTGCAAATCTTTGTAATGGTGATGATGATGAGAAGTTTATTGAATGTTTGGAACTGATTAAAAAACATCAACTTTATTCATCAGCGATTGAAGCTTTTAATGATAAACCAGATTGTTATAAAAAGATTTGCATTCTCTATGCAGATCATTTGAGAATAAAAGGGAAAATCTTAGAGTCGAGTTTACTTTACGAACGTGGTGGTGACAATCAACAAGCTTTAGCTGGCGCCAGAAATGTTCTCGATTGGCAACGATGTATTGTGTTGGCGATAAAAAGTGGATATAGTGCCACAGAATTAAATGAATTGTCATTAAAATTATCAAATGCATTGAGTGATTCTGGTCGTCACAAAGAAGCCAGTGATCTTGTTCGAAGATACATGCCTAATGATGTAGTTGCATTAGTGAAACTTCTTATTAAAGGTCGATTTTATTCGGACGCTATCATTGAAATAACATCAAGTGGTGATAATAAGATGTTTGAAGACATTGTTATTCCTCAACTTTCAAGTCATTTGAGTGAAGCAGTTAAGATGGTTAACGACGACAAGCAGCTTTACATTGAACAGAAGAATCGTTTGTTGAATGTTCGTGCAGAGAAAATTCGACGACTTCAAGATCCCATTGGAGATGACGATGAAATGTTCTCTGATACTACAAGTATGATGTCATCGTCAATTAACTCCCAAAGCTCCAAGAGAACATTCAAAAGCAGTAAAAATAAAAGGAAACATGAAAGAAAGTTGACAAATTTAAAAGAGGGAAACAAATTCGAAGACGTTGCTTTAGTTGATTCACTTTGGAAATTGGTACATAAAATAATCAGCCTGGAAAATCAGAATGTTATCAAGGATTTGATAAAGAACGCTGTTGTTTTGAGTCTTGATAATGAAGCAAGTTTGCTTCAGGTAATATGAAATAAAACTTTTCCTTCTGTAAATTTATTTTATCTCTCAAACAGAAATCATTCAAAGAACTTTTACTTCTGCTTAAAACCACGATGAATGAAATTTGGATACCTGAAATGCTTTCAGCTGGAAAATATCCTGAAACAGAAGATGACATGTTACAATATAACTTGGATAACTCAATGACGAATAAAATGTGCTACGAACTTATTAGTGAGTTAAAAGAAAATAAATTTCCTTGGAATCTTCTTTAACTAATTTTTCTCTTCATTTCCTCTAATTAGAACCTGAACAGCGTTTCAAGCCCAGATTAAATGTCATCGAGTTTGAGTTGGAACTTTGTAAGAAAAATTAAAATTTGACTACAATTTTTCACATCTTTACATAACTGCAAGAATTTTTCTTTTAAAATATTTTCAATGTTTCAAAATTAATGTTAAAAAATTTTCATTAATGGATTTCTAATCAATATTTAAATAAAAATTAAAACCTTTGAAACATAAAATGAAGAAAATTTTTACAACTCTGTCACTTCTTCTTTCCTGTTTACACAGTATGTAAGACGAGAAGTAAATAATAAGAGCGAATATAAGGATTACTGAATTTTAAGCCATAAATGAGTCTTTTGTAAATTAACTTCAAAATTCTTGTTGAACAATCGACATTTAAATATCTGATTAAAACATGTCTTTATTCGGGTTGACTTCCTCAATGTTAAACATTGAATAATTACAAAGTAGAAGTTTTTCCCAGTATTGAGATACTAAGAATAGAAGATAAAGCTTCTCAATATTTATTTATCATCATTTCAATTCATGAAAGTCGCAAGCTTCATCAAAACTTCCACGTGTTTGTTTATTTTGACAAGTTGAACAAGATTTTATTCACATTGATAAATTTTCATAGAACATTTTTTAGAAAAAAGGAAAATTTTTTACCCTTCTTAGTAGATATGAAGAGAGACGAAATTTATTGTCGTATTAAACTACATCTTGATGAAAACAAACAACATCAGCTTAGACAAACGTTCACAATACATAAGCCACTTGATGATTGTAATCATAGTCCATTTCAAGATGAAAAAACTTTTTATCAATCTCTGAGAGAAGAGAAAAATTGAGGAAAAGTTGGAAAATCTTCAACATATATCCAATGCTCGTTGAGTTTTCTTTTCAGTTATCTGTTGTTCCTCGAGCTTGAAAGTCATGGAAAAACTTACCGGAAGAATAAGAAAGTTAAAAAGTGAAATAAATTCTTGTAATTTTTAAAATAAATAGAAAAGCTTTTCTGCAGTAGTTAATTAAGGAAAAGCTTTCACTTAATCAATTTTACAGAATTTTACGAGTCATTAAAAAGAACATTTATGTTGAGAAAAGATAAATAAAAAAGAAACATTAAAATGGACTTGATGTGTTACTCGCCTTTTCCCTCACATTCCAGTGACAGATCGTAAAATATTTTTATCACATCTAGAGTTAAACTTAACACCAGACAATAAACTTATCATGGAATGCAAATAATTAAGCTCTTACGTCTGCCGATTTGTTCAACTTGGAGCTTCATAACATACATAGATAACAAATATAAATCAACCTTAATCTCTACGATATGTTGAATGTAACTAAAATAGTGATTGGGAAACAAAATAAGTTAATGCAAACAAAAGTAGAAAAAAATAATCGGCCTCAAATGAAAACATATTAGGTTAATTGTTTCTTTGTTATTACTGTTAATATCATTACACGTCGATGAGAGATGAACAAAAAAGGAACAATGTCAACAGAGAATATCTAGTTTGGAAGAAAGAATTGCGTCAGGAAAACTCAAGGTGGAATAAAGATTTAAAGACTATTTGTAATTCACAGTTCTTAAATTTTCAAGAAAAAAACATTTGTGAATTGATATCTAAATAGATAATTAGTGAATAGAGAAATCGAATTTATTGAGAGCGAAAAATCACTAGCAAAAGCAATCAACGCGTAATAAAATCATTAAGTGAATGAAAACCATATGGGAAATTATTGTGGTGAGGTAAAGAAGAAGTGAGAATCGTTACGAACTTTTGTGCAGTAGTTTTTACACATAAAGCGTGCGGTTGAGACTAATCTATGAAACGTGATATATTTGAGTGTAATTAAAGTCACCTCACACGTCGTAGAAGCTTGGCTTTTTTATGTGCTTCATGAATGTATAAATCCATCGAGCATAACAAATAAAAAGCAAGCAAGACGAAATCACTTTCTTATGTAATTAAACTCATTCGTCTTCAAGGATAGGAAAGAAGAAAAATCTGAAGCGAAACTCAATCAGTTAAATTTTTCCTAAGGGAATTCGTGCGAGTGATTTAACAGTCAGGTAATTGATTTTTCTACCTTATGATAATCACATCCTTTTTATGATTATATGTATATATGTAAATATTTGAGAAATATATGATGTGTAGGTGTGAGTGTGATTAGAAATATTAAAAAAAATATTTATTCTCAAGCATTTCATTTCGTTTTTCTTCTGTCAAAATTATGACATGAATTGAAAAAAGTTTTCAAATCCAGAAATTGTTAATTAAACAGGAATTTATAATAAAGAGATATATCTCAAATATGTGTGTCTGATATTTTCCTGGCATTTATTTGATTCCGATTCAGTGCTTTCATTAATTTCCCGTTTGCTTCTTCTGTTTGGGAAAACGAAAATTTATGGAAATTTAAATTATTTTTCTTACCTACAATCTCGTTTTTCCTTCTCATGTGGTTTTTAATGGAGACGAATTCGTTTCTAAGAGTGAAATAGACATTTGAAGAAAATGAATGTAACTCGAGGGATTCCCTGGTAGAGCGAAAATGTCTTCTTGTAATGGAAATTCGTTTAATTCTTTTTTAAGTAGTAAATACGAGCCCCAAGCAAATTTTCACATACATTTAAGTGATGTAATATAAATTCAAGATTATCGCTGCTTAGAAAATTTAAAGCTAATTTTCAAAAGCGGACGGATGTCATCTGCAAATGATTTTCAACAACAAAAAGAAATGTAAAAAAAGATTACCATAAGTTGTTTGTGCAAATGATGATGATAATGTACAGGGCATGTTGTAGAAGAGCCAGAAGCATGCTTCAGAATTTTATCATCTGATGAATTACATCTAACATAAAAGAACATACAATTTGTCGTTACAATTTACAAGAAAGTAAGAACATTTCCCCATGAGTCAACCTAAATCATGACATAAAAAGTTGCAACCCCGATTAAAACTTTGTTGATTGCTGAGTTTATCCACGCCGGTAACAAAATAAATAAAACATAAAAAAAAACTTCAAAAATACAACACATGGTTGGCAGCTCCTGAGATGAATAAGAAAACGACAGAAAGTTAGAAATTTATTTCAGTTAAATTGAAAGAATGTCACAAGTTTCACCCATGATTGAATTACAAAGAAAAAATCATTAAATCAATGCAATCAAAAAAAGTTTAGCAATTTTCAAATGAAGATGAAAGAAAATTCGAGAAAGTTTGAGAGCGAATGTTTCATCATCATCTGAAAAAAAATAATTTTTATCATCAATATGAACTGTTGAAGATATTGTGGTGAAACTTTTCCAATAAAAATTAAGGATAAACTCTTCAACCTTTCCATGAAATGAAAAAATCCGTGAAAATATCAACAAAAAAATATTTTCGTAATGGCGTTGATTGGATTTCTTCTCGATTTGATAAGCACTTTCCTTCAATTTTCTATATCTTCTTAATGTGCTGAATGTTGATGTTTTCCATGAAAGAATCATTTTTTTGAGATGAAAAAGGATTTCGCTCTTTCTTAACTCTTAATCTAATGCTTTAAGAAGATTAGAGTTATTGGAAAATGCTGAAATAATGACTTAGTAGTAGGAATTGACATTTACTTTCTTGCGAAATAAGAGTAATGATTGCAATCAATCAGATGATGATTTAAGGAAGAAGATATCTTTGTGATACATCCGATGTTTTCATTTCTCAATTAGCAAAAAAAACTTTTTTTCGATCATCTTAATGTCAATCAAAAATATAAAACCTTGAACTTCCATTAACGCCCGGGAAAAATTTTATCTATTTTAATCTCATAATTGAACTCTGTAAACATACAAACATTAACTCATGCCTTATTATTAGAATAGATCTTTAATCGAAATATTTTTTCTCGTTACTCTTTATTTTCGATTGCGTCCGAAAACCAGAAATCCAATTAGGTACCTACTTAAGTCTTAAGATTGGGTAATACAAGACATAAAAATGAGACAACATCATCTTCATTATGAAAATTAATAAACCGCTCTACCCAATTACGAATTATTAGGGATTGTTTGAGATTGTAAAAAGTTTTCATTCTTTTCGGAATACTTTATTTCAATATTGCTTTTAAGGCTTAAAACGTCAGCGTTTTAACAATATTTGGTTTAAGCATTCCGCTTAAAAATGTTCATACTTAGTTAAATTGAAAATTTGCTTTCAATTAACGAAGAACATAAAATATTTTAAAACCATTCAAGTATGAATAATCAAAAGCTTATTTTATTCAGGGATTAAATTTTCTGCTAAGTATTGGAGACTCTTTGCTTTCCATGTCTTCATGGTTCATCTCATTAATTTAAAATAGACAATTTGCAGAATAAATTTAATTTTCAGTTTAATTTATTTATAAAAAGGCGGAGTAAAGGTTTGTCTATATAAAAAGAAGAGCTCGCCTTTTCATGGATCATTTGTCGGGTTGCCTTTACTTGAGTTAATGTGCGCTCTTACGTATAAAAGACGTCAAAAGGTCATTTTTTTAATCTTTCTTCCAATTCATCGTCCTTTCTATTCATCTTCAAATTATGAATCGATTACATGCTCATCTTAATTTGTCGATGGTTGATTATACCTTGATGAAAAATGTTTCAAAAGTTCTGTAATATTACTCGACTTTAATGTTGTCACCCGCGGAGTTAATTTTGTTTGAAATATTAAACTTCTAAGATGATAGATACTTGGTCTTGACGTCAAAAAGTCATTTGAAATCTTAACGTAGATATTTCATCGAAAACTGAGGCTTAAGAACTTTGATTGAACTGCTGGCTTCCCGCAGAATTCCTGTGCAATATCATCATTCTTGTTTGTGTTTTGTCATGATTGTCAAATGATGAAAGCATAAGAAGACACTCGAGAAGATTGTAATCTTGAGAAAGACAGACAGAAAGCTGTAAATCATGAAGAGGATGTACTGAGAACTTTTTTCTTTTTTTTTGTGTTTTAATTACACAAGAAAAGCGTTGATATTATCCTTAAGTGATAACTGTTTGTTAATGAATTCATTACTTAAATAAAAGCTTTCATTATTCACTTTCTTTTTTCAACAGCATCTTAAAGCTCAACCATGGGCTCGACCAATTTCATAACAACTGAGTCTTCATTCTTGGACGAGGAAATAATATCGGAATTCTCAAATAGCAATTTTTCCTTATACAACACTTTCGACGACATTGATAACAATTCAGATTACCGCATGAACTGCCCAACAGCTGGGCCAAATAGTCTCGGCCGATATATATCAATGGTCTTGTACACTGCTGTTTGTGTCATTGGACTTTTTGGAAACAGTCTGGTCATTTAGTACGTTAATCAACTTCTTTTTATCTTTTTCATAACGAAAAAAAAGCAAAACAAATGTACCCAACAAATGATTTCCTACTGAGTTTGGTTTTTGGTGATGAATGAAATGAAATTTTCTTTCTGTTTAATTTTGATATTTTTTCATGAACTTCTTGCTTGAAAGCAAATTTCCATTTCAATTAATATTGAAAATATCCCAAAAGTTACTTTATGCTTGATTACACCTGCCAATCCTATATCAGTCAATGCCTTTAAGGTAACGAGAAGAGCTTATCCTATAAAAACCATTGAGTTTATTTTCTCACAATGTTATGATAAATTCAGGCTTATGTTGGCATATTACGGTGTATGTAACCAAACTCTTTCATCATTCATTTTGGCGCACATACTTAGCTTCTTAAATTGCCTAGGATTTAAATAACTTCTTATTTTTCTTGCCTCCTACGCTCTTACAGTGTCGTGTTGCGGTTTAGTAAAATGAAGACAGTGACAAATTTATACATCTTGAATCTAGCGTTCGCAGATGAATTCTTTCTCATAGGTTTACCAATTCTAATTTATACGATGCATTTAAATGAATGGATTTTTGGCGTATATTTTTGTAAGCTTTACATGATCAGCACATCTATCACTCAATTCACATCGTCGATTTTTCTTGTCATTATGTCGGCTGATAGGTATGAATAAAAATAAACTTTAACTCTGTGTACAGAAATATATTTCATTTTTTATTGAAATTACAGATTCATTGCTGTTTGTCATCCGATATCTTCACCACGTTTCCGCACACCGCTCGTTTCAAAAATTGTGTCACTGATTGCCTGGTGCATATCTGTTTTTCTGATGCTACCGATAATTCTTTACTCGACAACTCTACAAAAATACGATGGGAAAATGTCATGTAACATTGTCTGGTCTTCACAGAATCCTAGCGGAAACATGACAGCAGATGATGAGGGTTTTATCCAATATGATGGTTCCATATTCACTTTGTACACTTTCACTTTAGGCTTTGCCATACCACTGAGCTTGATTCTGATTTTTTATTACCTGGTATTGAGAAAGTTGAGAACTGTCGGGCCTAAAACAAAGTCAAAAGAGAAGAAGCGTTCTCATCGTAAAGTTACCAAGCTTGTTCTTACTGTCATAGCTGTCTATGTTCTTTGTTGGACTCCCTATTGGGTAAGTAAACATATGAAGATTTCCTTAAGCCCTTCATACATATCATCTGACAAATTCTCTAGAGAAAATTTCCCTTTGTCGAGCCTTTGAAAAAGGGAAGAAACATATTTGAGGATAGAAAATTGATGAAAGCAGATATTTTGAAAGATTTCCAGATGTTTTTTTCATCTTATTTATGGAAATAGTTTCAGTAAATAAGATTTTAAAGAGAATCCTTTTAAAATGCTTTTCTGTTTGAACTTTAAAAGGGAAAAGCAAACTAAATATCCCAATTTTCGAAAACATGAAAAGTATTGCGTTTCAATGAATGAATAAATTTACATTAATAACTGAATCGCATTTCTTTCATTTTGTTTTTCTTGTTGTTTTTCACACTTTCACGATTTTATTTTGCTAACGAAAATATTGTGTAGGAGTAATATGAATGTTTGTTTACTATTCAGGTCAGTCAAATGGCGCTTATTAATTCACCACCTGAATCATGTCAATCAAAACTGGAAATAACGATGTTCATTTTGGTTGGATGTCTCGGATATTCCAACTCAGCAATGAATCCGATACTTTATGCATTTTTGAGTGACAACTTTAAGAAATCTTTTATGAAGGCATTCACTTGCGCAAAAACAAAGGAAATCAATGCACAGCTTCAAGTTGAGAACAGCTTTTTTCCCAGATTCGGTCGTAGTCGTAATTCTGAATGCCTTACAACAAAACCGACGAAACCTACAAACTCAAATAACATTTCAAAGCTCACTCAATCAACTAGATTCGGAACTACAGTTGAATCAATTCTAGATGCAACATACAATATTAATGAGAATGTAAACGAAAACGGTCACAAAAATGGCCATCCCCAAATCTCAGATGGGACTTTCTTAAACAGTGCCAATGCAGCTGAGACTGAGAGCTTCATTGATGAAGAAAATGAGCAAGAACTAGAAAATCAGAACAACGATAATTTAATTTGCATTATTAACTCAAACTCCGGCGATCGACCTCCCGTTCTTCACACCGACCTATAAGAAATGCTCTAATAAACTATATTGCATTAAAACGTTGAACTGGGAACAATGATTAATTAAATGGCACACCACATTAAACAGACATCGTATAAATTTATTTTTCCATTATGCTATCAAAAAACATGAGGTAGAAAATTTTCCAAAGAAACATTAAAACGAAGGAACTTTTAATACAAGAGGTAAGCAAAGTTATCGTTTCATTTATTAACTTAAACGATTTTTTTTCACTTCATTTCCTTCAATTGTGAAGAGAAAAGTGGAAAATCAAGGATTACTTAAAGCAAACAGAAGCTGATTGTATCTACATGAATTTCAAAACCTTAGGACAAAATAAGAAATAAAGCTAACAGTTCGTCTCCTTTCTTGCTTAATCTAACGCAAATGAAATTTAAATTTCACTTTTCTTTGCACTTAGTTATGTGAAATAAAATGAACATCCATGACTACGTACAACCTTACAAAATTATTTTCTGTTTCTTTTTTTTTTTGGTTTTGAAACGAGAAAACCATAAATCACATTAAATTGATTTTTTGTTTACTTTTTCAAAGGCTTTATTGATTGCTTGAGGGAATTTTCTGCTCAATATCTTTATCTCATCCATGATGAAACGTACAGTAAATTTTGATGCAAAATGCCACCCACAATTTTACAGAATTTCATGTCTCATAGTTAAACCTTTCGTTAGATTATGTATATTTCGACATTGATCCCGGCGTCGGATAATTTTAGTTAACAATCTCCTGATATTGAAATTTCCTGTAGACGCTTCAGTCTTCCTTTTTCCTATACGTATACTTATTCATATTATACAATTTAAGAGAAAAAGGAGAAGAGAAAAGGGTCGTCAAATTTCATTTCAATTTCAGAATAAACAATCAAAATATTTCACCATTTACTAGAAAAACATGAAAGGAAAGTTTAGAGTTCAAAAAATTTCCTCACAAACATATTGTTTTGAATTGTTTTGCATAAAAAATGTTTCAATATTATTTTCTTGAGCATCGAAGCGAAGCATAACTTTCTAATGGGAAATAAAAAGAAGTAAAAACATCAAAAGACTTTGACATATCAACTTCTTTGATACAAAAGAGTTGAATTTATTGCCAGGTTGACTTCTTTCCTATTGCTGATGGAAACAGAATCATTTTTTTTCGCCTATTTGTAGATCCATAACTTTCATTCTGGGTCGTTTTTTTTTTTGGAAAAATAGAAGATTTAAGTGGATCACCCAAACAAATTCGATTTCAAATGTTTATCTGTTGTTTTTGTTCCACTCAATCCTCGTTATAAATATTTATATTTAATCTATTTCCAAACAAAAACGAAAAGAAAATTTTGAAAGTGTAGGAAAAGCTTATTTATGTAAATAGAAATAATTTGAAAAACATATGCCAAGGTGTGGTTTTATTCAGTTGTTTGTCCAAAATCATCCTACAATGTTTTACTTAAAGATGCCAAAAAGTTATAGATTAAGAATGAAAAGCTTATAACATTACTAAAGTGTAACGAAAAGACCTAAGAAATAATAGTCTTAAGTGCCAATGTCATTGTCTATTTGTGTCTATCCCATCAAAAAAGAAAAAAGTTTAATCCAACCCTTGAATCATATCGAATTTGAATAAATTAGCAATTATTTAAATTAAAATCCGTTCAATTTTATGAGAGTGAAAGCATTATGAGAAAAGCTTGTAAGGATCCCAACTGGTGATACTGAACATAATTTACTAATGGATTTTTAATTCAGTTCCTTTCACCTGTTGCAGAATCAATGCATCTAATTGGCATATCAACAATAAATCAGATAAACATCTATCTATGTATATCTATGTTGTAAGTAGATATAAAGATCTAAAGACGTAAATCATTCTGCTTGGGGAAAATCTCATCTCAAATGATTGCACACGTCTCCCAAGTTTCCCTTCAAATAATCTGTTATATTTGCTTTCATGTCCTATAATAAAGCCCCGTAAACATTTTTGTCACTGAAACAACTCATAGGTGATCAATTGTAAAGGAAAGAATAATTTATGTGTAGCAATTGATTGTTGAACCCAAAATTTATTTTATTGTGTTGAGAATTATGAATCCTATGAGAAATTTGACGTTCTTTACAATAAGATGTGGAAAATGTTACATAATAGAATTATAAAGAACATGAATCGTGTATTAGATTTAGTGAATGATGTGGGATGTATTTACGTTACGACTATATTTAGTTAAAAGAAATAAAAATGAATAGAAAGAATTAGGTATTTCTTCTTCTAAATCTCCAAATATAAGTTTCTTTTTGAAACTTTTCCCATAGAGCTTAGCAAGTATTATTGCTGAAAAAATATGCTCTAAATCAATGAATAAAAAAATATATTTCACTCTTGGATTATGTTGAGAGTTTCTATAGCGAAACGAATGAAAGTTATTTAGATGAATTTTTATCAAGTTACGAGCATATTTGTGAAAGTTGAAGCTTCGTTTTCCATTCATATTTGGTTTCTCACAAAGTTATGATAATGTTTCTTCTTTACTAAACACAAAACCAACAACCTGAGCTTTCAATGAGCTGTACACGAAGCTTTTGAAAACTTTTTGATGTATTAATATTAAAAAAAATAATCCAAGCCAAACAATTATGGTAAAAGCTTTTTGTTACACACTAAAAGCGACTCGAGCTAAAGTATAACATTAGCACAATTATTGTTGAGCAAGTCATGATGAGTCGAAGGGAGGCACTTATGGAGCTTTTGCACTTATAGAGCTTGCATTCATCGAGCGTCCACTGTATTGTATTTATGCATTAAAAGAATAAAAGAAACCCTGTATATGTTGAATCATTGAAATTAAATTTTTGTATCCTTTTTTAATTAAAAGAAATAAAATTCTGTGACAAAAAAGAACTAAAACCTATTGACCTAATTTTGTCTTGTTTCTAAAATTTTTTATAGGGGTTTTCTATGTAAGATTTTATCAACAGATATCTGCTAGATATATAAAAACTAAAATTAAAGTATGGAATGTGAATCAATCTTCCGAAAAACGAAAACTGCTTGCAGGCTATTGAAATGATGAGACAAACGAATGATATGGTACTTGACTCTTGCGTTTCATTTCAGATCTCAATGACCATGACTTATTTATAACATTCATCAGTCTGGAAATTTGTCATTGAATTCCTTCGTTTTCAAAAAAATTCCTACTTTGCCTCTTGCTGCTTCTCATAACTGAATAAGACAAGAATTGGATAAACTCACAGTCCTTAAATCAAATACTTAATGTGCTAATATCTCAAGAGGATTTAATCAAAAAATGCCTGACGACATTCCATTCAACATTTTACACAATTAATTTCAATAAAAATTTCTTTTTTCTTGTTTTCTTTATTTTTATATCTTTTGGTTTGCAACTGTAAGGAAATAAATCAAATTTTGTTGAACACAATAAAATTGAGTTTCCAAAAAAAAACCAAAAAATGTTCGAGAGGGGAAAAGATACAAAAATGTCTTGGATTTAACACAACATGAATTACATTATTAGGAATGAAAAACAGCGATGTAATGGATTCCTTTATGTAAAGCAATTTTTTACCTTTGAATTATCTTTGAAACAAAATCGAAATTTAATATAAGTAACAGCAGAACAAAGCCATTCTAACAAGAGAAAAAGTGAATAACAATATTAAATTGCGAAAAATATTTCTTTTCGATTCGATACATTTAGAGAATGAACTGAGAATTTCAACATAGCTAAGCACAAAGAAGATTAATGATCCCTCTACAAAAAGAAACTTGATCTGAATTTCATATCATCTTTTTATTGTTGAAATGGCAGCACTTCATTTTGAATAAATAATTGAAACTCATTCTGATTGAGAGTCACTTAGCGGAAGGAAGTCTTTTTTTTTGTTGACAGCCATAAGAACTCAGCTTAATGTAGAAACAAGTAATGACCGTCAATTTAAAGTGTTTTAATAAAATAATAAGATTTTCTCATAATAATGATGTCAGCATGCTGTCTAAGTTAATTTTTACTATAAATATTCATAATATTTACCATTATCGATGTAATTATGAAGACTGAAATTTATACTTTGCATGAATATTTCTGATTAAATTGGCTACCAATCAACTAGTTTAATACAAGGTCTTAAACTCAGCTTACACATCACATACATACATTTACTTGCGAATACTTTGCAATTTTATTTCAAATTATCTGTTCACACAAAAAGCTTCCATTTAAACTCAGTTACCATAGCGATAAAAGATTTTCACATGTTGAATTATTCTTGAATGGATTCCTTTTACTTCAAAGTATTTAGGTATTTACTTTTACTTATGAATGAAAGCTGTGCCACGTTTTGTAAGACTCTTTCGAAGAAAATATTCTTCAACATAATGAAACCGTAGAAAATACATAAAACTTTTCTAGAAAATACTTTCAGCATCATTACAATCCAATCATATTTATGTTTAATTGAATTTTGTTATGTACCAGAATATTCCAAAATCATAAACGAGCTGTATATTGAACTAATAAATAATATTGCCGGCCTTTTCTAATCTAGATAACTTTGTTTAACTTTCCCAACGAATAACTAAATGAATTGTTCAATAACTCATGGGCACAAGTGTGTAAGGTTACAGTTGAAGTAGATGATATATAGAGAATTATTATTCGAGACAGATGCAGCTAAATGTATGGGATTATTTATCCTATTTATCATGAATCATAACTCTTCACATGCGCTAGTGTGGTTAAAATGATTTTATGTTGCTTGCTTTAACTAAAACACATAAAATGCGTGTTTATCATAGAAATCGGTGAGAAAAAATCTTACAAGTTGTAAGATTGCTGGATTTCATAGTCATCAGATGATTTAGTTTAGTATTACAATTTTCCATTCAGATTATTCAACATTCCAATTTTAATAACTTTATGTTTACCGAAAGACATAAAATTTTTGTAGATCATTAATTTTTGTACGGATTGAATCGAAATGAAAGAAGAAACTTTCATGCAATCATATATCAAGAGACGTCACTAGAGATATGAAAAGCTTTAGTTTCAAGAATTCATCTATTGAAGAAATTTCAACTACTGTTTGCACTGTGCATAACTAATATAAGTAAGGATTTGCATGAAGAATGCTCTTGATTTCATCAACGCTCGTATAATGCTCGACTCTTTCCTAACAAGATACTCTTTCCTTAAAAGCACTTGCATTTGCCTCCTGAGTGATGATTCTGAAACACGAGTTTCTTACTTAAAGAAGTTTGAGAAGCTATGATGAAGATATAATCATCTTATTGAGCATACTTCCTTCTATATTCATCAAGGTATGTTTTTAAATATTAAAACTATTTACCAACGAACAACGTCAAATAAAGTGGTCTATGATTAAAGGGAGTGAAGGATGACTTTGATATTTCTTGATGCTTTCTATTTATTTGAAACATGATTTTTTATAAAAATGAGCTCCAAACTTTAATTCTACCATTCAAGGAGAATTCCACCATTGTGTAAATTCTTTTGAAACTTTTTATTATGAAATTTTTTTTAAAAACTAAGTTTATCATAAAATCCCTCACTGCTTTAACTTTTTACTGAATCTTTTCATAACGTGAATGGGGAGACAACTTCAAGGAAATTATAAAGAATTTCACAATAAACCTAATTTCTACTTAAGGAAATAAAGGCTAAAGTATTAGAGTCGGATGCTATGTATCTTAAAAAATATACATATTCTTCTTTTTAATCAAAAAGTTTCTTTTTTTCGGTCCCTAAATAAGTAATTTTTATTTAAAACATTTATAAGCAATTATCTCAGAGAAAGAGAGAAAACTTGAATTAATTTATTATCGTCATGAAACGGAGTATGAATGTCGACATAAGGAAATGTATGATCAAAATAATAATGCAAGCATATCTAGGCAAAAATAAAAGAAAACAAACTTTATGACAACAGCGATAACAACAGTTCACGTCTTTCAGTGGATTATCTTATTGTTTTACAAGATTTTTTCTAGCTTACAAAAATTGCTGTTTAACAGCTTGAACAAATGAATAAAACTGAAGCAAGTGCTGAAATATTAAAAAGTGTGCTTGAAAATGTTGGTATAATGATGGGAACAAAGGAAAAACTGATGACGATGTACCTAGCAGTAACTTCAGCGAGTTGAAGCGTACTTGAAGGAAAATCAAACATCGATAGAAATTTTTACGCAAACACTTTCAGAACGTTTACAAACCACTTAAATTTCAACATATCGAATGCACTTTGATGTAAACGTTCTTAAAGATTTTAAATATTGAATATTTGTAGCAAGCATAGGAACAACCCGCTTACTTTCAACCCGCTTGCTTGCTTAGGCTTGCCTTTTTTTGTCCGTTAGCTTGCTTGCTTAGCTTGTTTTTTTTTTTCTTTCGGCTTGCTTGGTCAGCTTGGCTTGTTAGATTTTTTTCGGCTTGTTTTCTCGGCTTGCCTAGGCCTCCAGAATATTTCAGCTTGCTTTTTCGGCTTGCTTTGGTGAGCTGGCTTACCTTGTCCCGTGACTCTACATTGTCCCCACTTCTCTTATTTAATTAAAAAAAATTTTTCCAACCGGGATTCGAACCCAGGACCTCTGGCACAAGTTCTTGCACTCGTACCTCGAGGCCAAATCCTTCTACTCAATGGCAAATGTCCNACAAGTATCACTTATATTGAGTGTCATAATTTTTTTTTTCACTTAGAAGTAAAGAAAGAAGAAATATATTCTTAAATAAATGAAAAATAAAAATAAAAAAATAAATAAAAGAAATAACTCACTGGGATTTGAACCTGGGAATTTCAGAGTGAGAAGCATGTCCGTTGATTTGAAATTTCAAGTGAATCGAACATAATAATTCTTACTGCCTTTCAACAACTTTGCAGGTACAAAGTATGTATGAGAAAGTTGTTCGTTAATACATGTTGCAACTTTTTCTTATACATTATATTTATATAGAATGGAACCAGAGCGCTATATAAGCAAATTAAATATAAAATTGCCTCTAGCGCCCTCTGGTGTCACTCTATTGAACTATGATGTCTTAAAGAAAGTTGCAAAAAGTTCTAAGGAACATTTTTCCCAAAGACACTTTATACCTAAACCTTACAGTTTAGGTTTCATTCAATTTTGTCGCTTGCAAATGCTTTCAAAACTTTAAATAGAGAATCTGTCATTCATTAAAATATGAGAAATTGGCTTCAATGAGAGAGAATTATATTCAATGGTTTAGTGCATTGAAGTCAGAAAATTTTTTTGAAATTCACTTGGAAACAATAATAGTTTATATAGGACATTTGCCATTCGTTTGAGAAGAAGGATTTGGCCTCGAGGTACGAGTGCAAGAACTTGTGCCAGAGGTCCTGGGTTCGAATCCCGGTTAAAAAATTTTTTTTAATTAAATAAGAGAAGTGGGGACAATGCAGAGTGACGGGATAAAAAAGCAAGCCGAAAAAGCAAGCTGAAATATCCTGAAGGCCAAGGCAAGCCGAGAAACAAGCTGAGAGATATCCGGATCACAAGCCAAGCAAGCAAGCTGAGAGAAATGTGGCAAGCCAAGCCAAGCCAAGCTGAGAGAGAAAAGAGAGACACAAGCAAGCAAGCAAGCGGGTTGTGGCTACTAGCAAGAAATAACTTTTGGAATATTTATATTTCTTTTAAGATATTAATCGTTTAACGGAAGAAGAATTCTCAAAATGTTTCCTTTTCCGTGTTTCTCTTTATGCAAACTTATTCATATGAATGTAGATTGCAGATACAAAACAAGAAGAGCAAACACACTGAACGAACGTGTTTTAATATATCATACTTTCTTAAACATTCTCAGATAAATTTTTCCTGCATTTATAATAGAAACGTTTTGTGTTGCACTCTCATCACATAAATACACGATACGTACTCTTATCGCTTCACTCTTTTGTTATGAGTTTTCGCATTCGCAATGAAAATGAAGAAAAAAAAGAAAAATTTGAAACACAAATGTAAATATTTTATAACTTTTGTTTCCATCTAAAGATTTTATGGCATTCTCTTTACCATTTCTCAAATTCAATGTCAAAGAAAAGCTGTTCTTGAGTGTACACATGTGGAAAAATAAAAAAAAAGTATGCATCATAAAGTTTACGTCATAACAAGAATTTGTCTGTTAAGTGGTTTATGAAGAGATTGAGACACATAAATTCCTTTACGTTTTTGCTCTGTCATCGGTTATTTATGCTTAGAGTTTGCTATCGAAATGTGAAGGCATAAAAAAATGCAAATTATAACTCTGAACATTTTACAGCTTAATTAATTCAAAAACAAAAAAACTAATGCACGCATAATCAAGCTGATTGTGGCGACCGAGAAATAAACGTAAAGGTCAGGAAATAACATCATTGATATCTACATAAATCAAAACAACAAATTTTCAAGACTGGTTACATCTTGAATTTGCTGGATTTTCAAGATTTTATTTTAGTAGAAATCGAAACATCAAGCTGTCGAGACTCTTTCTCTGACACTTTAGATAGCAGATCGCGTAGTTACAATCTAATAAATACCACCCTAAAGAATAGAACTTTGTTTTCCAGTCTCAATAGACATGGGAAACTTGACATCTTCAGTGATAAATTATTTGTCTGAGACAATAGATGTGCACTTAATTTTTGCTTTCGCTGGGCTTTTGTACATAATCTTAACGCTCATAGGAAAGTTTTTTTCAAAACAATCCGCAAGCCAACACGAATTTGGAGAATCATTGTTAAGTGAAACTGATGAACTAAAAAAAGTTAAGGCAAAGTCTGGATGAATAAAAAGAAAAGAAGTTTAAAAACTCTTTCAAAAATTAAATAAAAAAATTGACAGTCATCTCATTGACAAAAAATAGAAAAAAAGTTTTGCGTGTTTGGATATTAAACGTAAGACAATCTGTTTAATTCAATAACCGGTTACTTGATTACCTTCTTTCATGGAAGAAGCTCTGTTATAAAAATAAAAATGAAAGAAAACAACTTTGCTATGACAACGTAAAATATAAAGTTTAAAAAGTTTTTATTTTTCAGAGTATTTCACTTTTGTCTCACGTCGTGTTAGGTTTTTTGTTTTCTATATGTCAACCGTGACACTCAGGTAGGTACATTAAATTAGAATAAATTAAATTAATTTTCCTTTCATTCTTTACACTTTCTGAAATCAGAACTTATTATTTAATTTCAGTTTTCTCTTCTCTTGTTTCTTCATAACAACAATCAACAATGCCGCGCCTTCTAACGAAGCTCACTTTCTTCACAGTCAAGAAATCGATAGCAAGTTCAGCAAATTCATGGAAATTTTAAAATATGTCACTTTCTTGAATGTCTTCTACTGCCTCATGATTCTTTATATAATTCTGACAGTTCTTTATACCATCATATTTTTCAAGAGGTTTAAGATGAAAATGCTTATTAAGTCGAAACTGAAGTCAGTGAAAGTTGAAACACCTGTAATAAAAACATGAAGTAGAACGAATAAATCTGTGTCATAAAGTTCATAAAACCAAATGGACGATTCATTTAAAAGGTTGAAAGTTGGTTCTAGGGTGAGATTCTCCTTCAAGCACTTGACAAATTTGAATAACTCATAACGTTTTGATATGAAGTTGACTGAGGAAATTCATAATTTTCACCCCATAATAAAATGCTGAGCATATCATTTTATAATCTTTACATTGTTTCATATTTACATAGCCATGATTTAGGAAAGGATTTGTAAATGATTTTGCTAAAAACTTGTGAGTGATAAAACAAATGTTCCGGTTTATAAACATGTAAAGTGATGTATGTATAACCAATCCTCTAGTTAGATAGGTGTGAGAACTTCAAATATTGTCTAATTCAATTTGCTTTATTTATTAATTCAAAAGACTTTATGAAAATACCGAAAAAAAATTATTTCACAATGGCAAAAGGTATTCTTCGATAACATGGATTATTTAGAAGCGTGCTCGAGACCTTCATTCCAGTAGATTAATTCTAATAATTCTTTTAATTGAAACAATGGGTTGTTATAAATTTTTAACCATAACTCTAGGTCCAGTATTTTGTAAGACCTTTTTTTAAAAGCACCTGCCTTCATTAGTAAAAGTAATACACTTTAATTTATGACGTTTTCGTTCCCTAAAGAAAGATATTAATTTTCCTCTTCTGACACTTTTCAAGCTTATTTGAATATTTTGAAAGCGAAACTCAAGTCAGCAAAATGATATACAGGGCAAATGCATAAAACGACTCCAACCAATGATTTGAAAAAGTAATGAAAAGTTGAATATCAATAACAATTGCCAAGCAAAGAAATGTTTGTCATCGAATCGTATCAAATGTTAACACAATCCGAGAATTGATTGCCGTCGTTGCCTAAAGTTCACAATTCTTCATTGATTTAATGGAGACATTCAGTTTTATTTCATCGATATTTTATCACATTTTTGACATAAAAGACAGAAAGGAAAAAGAGAAAAAAAATCATTAATCAATTGATTGCAAGGAGAGAGTTTTACAATAAAATGTCAGTGAATTCTTGAATCACTCAACTGAATGAAAAGGAATTGTAACAGCTTGAGAGTGGAATCTGATGATGATCATGAGGGATTAATAAGGGATGAGAGATGAAAGTTTCCTTAATTTCTCTTTTCTTCTTTTATCTCTGGATATTCCAATTTCACGCCAGGTTCGCACTTGAAGATTGGACAACAGTATGGGAATGGAGCTGTTTTGTTGGTAGCTTCTACATCTAATTTGCATTTGTCATTGGCCAATGGCAATGGACCGCAATCTTCGACAAGTTCAAGCAACCTTGAAAATGAAAAAAACAAAAGAAAATGTCATCAAATAATTTAATTATAATCAAAAGAAAAGAAGCATTGACATTACTTTCCAGGACTGTCTTCTGAAACGACGCATGTAGCACGTCCACAGAATGGAGCCAACTCCCACGTCTTGCCTGGTTCAACTGTTGCACATCTTGTGCTTGCGAAGCACATTTCTGGGAAATCTACGATAATAGACGAGAACAATGGAAGGAAAAAAAAAACATTAAGTGTGGAAAATTATACGAGAAAAGTTTCCTTAATTAGAAACCCAACAAAGACAATTCAAACTGTTTCTATACAAACTATGGAAACGTCAAGTTATGCAGCATTGTGTCGACTGGGACATTGAAAAACAAGTTTGAATGCATAAGCAAAAGAGAGGGAAGAGAAGTAAAAGTAGAATGATTTGCACTACAAATGCAATACTCATTAAAACTATTAAGAAAAACGTCAAATGTGACCCAAATATAATTTCAACAACCATCGTGATTTTTATTGCACTCAAATGTGCTTTAATGATGATTTTCCCACAATGATTGTGATAGGATTCATAAAAATAGAATCTTTTCTATCGACTGACGCAAAATTATTACAAAAGCGACAGTAACAGAGCACAAATTCTGTTTACTTATGAGCTTTGTCTTCTTCTTTGCATATAAAATCTGTCAGAGTGTAAACAAAATAATTTATGCTCATTACAAAATTCACTCAAGAGTCAGTGAGTGCTAAATGCGAAGCTCATTTAAGTTGAATGAATTACAAACAATTGAATAGAAACATGAAACAACAGATTCCTTTGTGTGACCGGAAGCAGTAATTGAAAGTATTGACTCGAAAGAAAAAATCTTTTTTGCTTATTGCTTAGCTTCTCCCTCATTTCACACTTCGTAAGCCTCGTTTTTTTTTTGTCTATGAATAAAATATTTTGTTCTTAGGATAAAATGATTCGTTTCTAGCAGTGCTAATAGCTTTTTGAATGAGAATTCATTCACATTTCACTAACAGAAGTGATGAATTGTCTCATTCCTTTTTGTATGCTCATGGGACAAATTTCATGGAAATTTAGTTTTTTATCAGCTTTAAATGTTGTTCTGCTGCGCTGGGAAATGAAAGGGAAACATAATCAATTTACTATTAATTTCATTACTTTGTTCTAAAAGTTTATATCTACAACGTAGATAAACAATGAAAACTCATTTTTTAGATCCCTAAAAAAAGGTTTGATGTCGACATCGATTAAATTAACTTTTCATTTACTTTGAAGATATCTCATCAAAATCACGAGAGTATCTGGTTTAATCATTATGAAAAAGTTATTCAATTACAAGGCTCAATGAAGGCGTAGTAAAGTTCATAGATTTTTAAAGCATATCAAACTTTTAACAAAAATCGCATTAAAAACTTTATGGGAGGTCATTTCTGTTCATTGGCTGTGTTGTGTAATTCATGGTCTTCTTTTTATCATCCGCTATAAAAACACTAAGTAGGAAGATCATGAAAGTGAAATTTTCAAGACTTCTCTCGTTTTCTTTTTCCTTATTTTCTGCAAATATTTTTTGTGCTTTCAAGATTTGTTCAATAACTGATCGTGGTTGTTGTATGCTTTCTTTTGTTACCTCATCGAATTTAGTGGATTTAAAATTGCATGTCAGCGCAAATAATTTGAATTTTTCTCGTTTACCTTTCACTGTCAACACAATATGTGTACATGGGAAATGAAATAGAGACAAAAAAGTGAAATTACAACGAAGTATCGAGATTGTGTTGACATTTTTTTTATTTCAGTACATTACATATGGGAATAAATGACATTTCATGATGTCTTATGAGGAAATTTGTGTTTTCAAGTTGATGCTTTGTTTGATATTTTTTGTTTTAAAGAAACAGAAAAATGTTTTTGCTTAATTTGAATACCGCCATCAGGCTGTGGTTAATTAATCTTGTAACGCAGTGTGCATTTGACTGTCATGAGTCATGACTAATCAATATGCCATGCAATAATCAGTAAATCGCATTAAACCACTTCATTGTTAAATAATTATCACCAACAGACAGCTGAACATTATTGTTGCTTTTATGGATTATAAAAATTAACATTAAAATTGAATCCAATTAAGCATTAGATTGATATGACTCATAAATTTCAACAGAATTCTATTAAACTTTTTAGATTTGAAGTTTAACCATGTTTAGCCTTGAATTAGATTTAAAGCGCAACAAATGTGCAGTAAGAAACGCCTCGAAGTTCGCGTAGTATGAACTAGATACATAAAATCTCTTTCAAAGTTGTTTCATTTGAGATAAAGTTAATCAAAATAATTTTATGGCTTTAATTGTATGACTTTATATTTCTTTTTATTGTCATGAGTGTCGTACTTATATCCACTGATTTGATTAAATTTTCTGGAAAAATTCTTTCATTCTGCATAATTCTACGAAGAAAAATGTGCAAGTTAATTTAATAGTTTCTCACACCGTACGACCTTAATGTCAGATTTATATTCAAAGCTTTAAAGCTTAAATAAGATTCATATCAGAAGGAGGCAACTTTCAATCTCTTTGCTTGATTTGATTTATGTGTTTTAGGCGTCAAAATTGTTTCTTTTATCCTTTTTTTGTTATATCACTATCAAGAACTTGTTGTCTCCATGAGTCTGAGACTTTGTCTCGATTTGTTTCCTTTTCGATCCGACAAGAAATTGTTAAATTAGATCAAACGAACAAGGTTCCAATGTAGGAGAACGTAAGTGGGAATGAATTTATAGTTTCAAGAAACCCATTTCAAGATATCGACACGGCACAGTTTTGTTGTCGAATACAAGTTCAAGATAAATGAATCTTTTGAAATTCAAAAAATCCTATTTCTATGTCGGTGTCAGCAATGCTAAGATATTTGAGGCGATTTACATATTTATCGAATTCGATTATCAATAACACTGCAAATCTGAAATCCCTATGCATGATCGCTTCTGAATGCTAACGCTTTGACAAAAGCCCTTTCAATAAACATGACGAATGACCTCGAATTACGCTTCTCTTACTCAACTGAGTGACAACTTTATGTGAATCTGTGATTCATGGTAAAGTTGAGCCAAACACAAAGCAAAAAGGTGAACAAACAGATTTTGTAAAATTCACATAACTTCAATGAAAAGTGATTTTGAATGAGAGTAATTAGAACATGTTTCCGTTTCCTCTAAAATGTCTTTTCAGTCTGTTGACTCTTGTGTTTCATACTTTTTAATTCATACAAGAAAAGACAGTAAAAGTGAAGCATTAAGCAATTATCATCAGTGAAGATTGAATGTAGTTGACAATAATTAAACCAAGAAGTAGTTTTTTTTGTTTGAAAACTTTTCATTTTATGTGTGCAAGCATGCGAGCGTAAAATGCTTCGATTAAATTGTAAATTGTGTGCACATAATCATGCCCATGAGATTAAAATCTGAGCTTTGTATGGTGCATTCATTATTTCAATTTGCAAAGCTAATTAGAAGTTTCCCATGACAATTTATGTAGGGAATGCTTTGTAGAGATTTGTACCGTTGGTTGTACATAAAATTAATGTTAAAAGGTGTCATTTAACTGCGCTTTAAGGTAACTTTTATACATGAGTTGCATAATTCACATCAACCATATACGAAGAGTACAACATGTTGTTATTTAACACTGATCGTTTTCGCGAAGGTGGAAACGTATCAATTGAAAGTGAAACGATACTGATTAACACAAATGTGATGAAGTTGTTTCGTTACACGTTCCACTCATATGGAATGAAAAAAAGAAGCTAAGCTTTTATTTAGCGTCTGATTGCGAGTCGTAAGAAATCATCTCATCAATTGAATTAAATCTAATTGAATCAAATCTGTTTTCTTGTTTGTTTGCTACTCCAACCTTCGCGTAAGGCAAGGAAACGAGACCATTAGAGCATAATCGACACAAAAAACTCATAAATCTCGGTCTACTCTCGGTCAAATTTCCTTCTTTTTGTCTTTCCTGAACGCAACTAAAGAAATCAGTTTATGGACGTGATTTGAAATCTACATTACTTGACTTCCTTATGATTGTCTTTGAGCGTTATTTTCGTGTTTATTTCCGTTCAAGATTTATTTTGCAAGCGGAGATTAAATTGTATGTCGAAATTACCTCTCAAAACATCAGCAGGAATCAAGCGCTTGTAGATCTTGATTTCGCCAGCCTTTTCTTTAGCTTCTTCCTTTTGGGCGTTCAAAAGAACTGCACTCATCAATAATCCGAAAAGAATTGATTTCATTTTGATAACTTTTTTAATTTTGAATTTCACGTCAATTGACAAATGTGACTTTGATGAAACTTTTCTTTAAGCTTCTGAAAGTTTATTCAAATTTACCAAAACAATAAAAAAAATTAATCTTTACAAGCACGGCCTTATCACGGCAAAAGTTCAACTGAGAATGTTCAAGTTGTCGGGTTGGGGTCGGCAGTTATATTTTATTTATTTTGGTGGAGGGGAAACCAGCGATTTATTTTTTTTGTAAGTATTCTCTTCGAGCGAATTTAAATCTAGCTATTTGAGCCACAATGTAGATGTGTGTGTCAGTTAAAAAGAGTTACCAGACCGGTAAGAGTCATACATATCTCAGATCAGTAATTTTTCATTTACCATATTATGCTCCAACAGTTTAAGCTTGAAAATCGAGCGAAAATGATAAGAAAGCGAGCAAAGTAACATTGTATACCTTGTGCAGTGGTGTGGAGGGTTGAATGATGTGGCTTAGTCAGCTTCTGTCTTATGTTCACATGTGATTTAAGGTCTTTACATAATACGCCGGCCTTATACACAAATTACACAAACGAAATGGAAATTCAAGATACTTAAATTAATGGCAAAAGCCGCTAATAACGAAAATGACTCATTCTTGTTTTCTACTTTTTATTTTTTTCTTCTTCTTTTGTTTAATATTCATTAGCTATTATTATTCAAATGTATCTCTTGCTTCTGGTCGTTGTCGTCATCGTCTTGTTCAATTTGGCGATGGTGTGACTGAAAACACTTTTGATCTGATCTTGGATTTCCCGGTTTCAACTAACGTACGACACGCTTTGATTTTTTTTATTAACATTCGCATTGAAAATTGAAATTGATTTCAGAGAAATCGTAATGTTTGGTTGTTTTTGAATTTTATTTGAGTATTTTTATGATCTTTCTTCAAGGTTAAAGCGTCGTTGAAGATAATTTATTCCCTTAAGTAAGTAACTGAGTAATCAACACGCAATATGAGATGTTGTGAGTTGATTATCTTGCAATCTGAATTATTTACATAATAATTATTAAAGTTGTTATTTCCGAAGATGCATGACCATCTCGTTTCATTTTAAAGAAGAAGAGCTCGACATGACATAACTCACATTCGATGCCTTCACTGTAAGATTGCATTAATAATTCATTTTTGGCCTCAACGAAACAGTTCGCAGAATTCGTTTCGTTGAGTTTTGGTCTTTGCTCACGACACGAGATTTTTGTAAGCAATAAACATCGAGATTCGAGAAGAAAAGGCAAAAAAGCGAAACGTTTTTTCGATGCATTTCATTGTGATGGCTCCTTGAATATGAATATTGTCCACAACAACGATTTCATTTCGCAAACTCTTAAATTGTGTTGTTAATTATTCGGTCGTGTTTAATTGTCATCCATAAGTACACAATTCAAGTTGAGTAGACTTTTTATGCGTTCTTTTACGGTCAAATCAATTCATGAAGGGAAAAACGTCATAAGCCACTGGTTTCAGAGGTTTCAAAAGCTCATTTAAACCACAAAAGAAGATTACTTGACTATTCAGTGGAAAAAAAAGAAGAGTTTTAGAGAAATTCAGTTTTAATTTTTATTCAACTCTGCTTTGTTTTCTTTTTTTCCTGTATTGTTTTCAACAACCCAATGCAATGTGGGTTGAAAGCTAATTGCGGTTCATGATTTCTTTGAAATTTTGTGTAATTATTATGGCTGCTCTAATTGATTAACTAGAGAGTTATCAGACTGCAAAAGTTTGCTTTTTAGGTTTCTTTGACATAGAAATTATCAATGATGTCTGCGAAGTCAAGCAGAAGATGTTTGAATACTCTCAATTAAGCTCTTCCCATCTAATAAAGATCGTTTCGACTCAGCTTTCGTTAATCATTAATTTTTATTCTCAATTTGTGCCTCCTAGTCTTTCATTCCAAGTTCACAGAGTCATTAAAATACTTTTAAAAATCGTACCATCAATCTTCCACCATGAATCGCACCCCAAAAAAGAATTTATAAAACATCTTTTCTTATCTAAAAAGCAATTTCTTTCAGCCTATCGAACTTGAAATTAAGAAATGATTTGAGATATTTTTTACTACCAGCTCAGTTTAATGAAGTGAATTCTTCTCGTTTCATTGAATTTTATTTCAATTGACAAATTTGAAATTTTCAAACGCATCTCATCAAACTTACAAAACATCTTTTATACTTCCTTGAGTCTTATGGAGCAGGAAATTGTAAAATTCTTTAAAGAAAGGCATCGTTAGAAACCCTTCTTCTCATTCTATCATTTATAACAAACATGTGAAGATGTTGTGAATAATGTTGTGGGTGATGATGGTGTAAGAATCTAAGGGAGAATCCTTGGAAGGCGAAATAAGACTCATTCAGAGAGAAAAGATTTCTTTTTCCTTGCCTTTATTCATTTACATCGTGTATTGAGAATATAAACAAGCTGTCATATATAAATGATTAACGAAGTTTTAATGACGGTTAAGCATACACAAGATTTGGTTAATTAATTTTTTTTGTCATCCGTAGATATTTCCCACGTTAGTCCAAAAATTATGTAAATGTTTACATTTCATCATTGTTTAATTAATGAAATGGAATTATTTTTGAATTGTAAGTATGAATTTCATTTTATTTATGTGGGTGGTTGTCAATGGTAGTTGAGTTCTGGAAGGCTCAAGAGAAGTTTTTAATGAAATCATTTATTTTCTATCGTGTTTATTTTACCAAGAAGACAACAAAAGTTACTTCGATAAGTTTTTCCTTGCTGTTAAAATTGTTTTTTGTAAACATACCTTGAGTCAGAAAGAAAAATATTGCCTAAATGGATTCCCTCTTGGATTCATCGAATGTTGTTTTAAAGGCAAAAAAATGAACTCGAAATGATACTTGATAAGTTTGACTTAGGTCAGGAACCCATCATCAAAAGCAATACTTGTGTTTATAGGAGCAACAAGTCTCGATATTTTCGAAAACGAAACAAACATCTTTTGTAAGGGAAACTTGAAAATGTCTTTTATCAATTATGAATCGCGTAAAAGACGAAAAGATGGACAAAGTACATAAAACATTTTTATATTTATTTTTTTTATAGAATTTTCAATCAACGTAATTGTTTGCTCATGACGTTTTGTTCGGTCAACATTTGTTTTTTAAATGTTCTTTGAACAAGTGAAAGCAATCAAAACCCTTATCATCATCGGGATGATTTTTTTTACTCTTGATGCTACCACGAAAGTCAATTTATATTTACATAATAACGCATTTTTGTTTTGATATTTTTCCTTGTAAAAAAATGAATTATAATAATTAGATAAGTTTCTTGATGTACATCAAACCACTTATTGCATTGTTGGTTTTCCGTACCGAGAAGCAAAGGACGTAAACACAGAGAGAGAGCACATGCGCATTGAGAATATCGTCGTCTCTTTTAATGTCAACAATCTTCAAGGAATTCTCATTGCTTTCGTGTGAAATGAACTATCAAAACTCAATCACCATGTGCTGCAACTTACTTCATAAGCTTTTCAAAGTTTCTTTAGTATTTTTTATATTTTAAAGAAAAACTTAAAACGAAAATTCATTTGTAAAATTGAACTTTTCCTATTTGGAAGTTTTTATTGACTATGATTTACCAATTTACTTTAGAATCTACAAGGAAAACTTAAATATTACTTGTAATTGTACTTTTCAAAGAAGAAAAACAAACAAAAATTGACTAGTGAGTCGGATTATTCATAAATCATATCACATTGTGGGTTTCATCTGCAAGATAAGAAGCAAGTTTTCTTTGTTCTCACAAAAGAATTCTTCAACTTGAAATGTGAAACTTGATGGTGTAAACTTTCAGGAATAAATTTTAAATTAAAACTTTTGGTTTTGTAAATTTTACAATCATTAAATTTACAAATGTTCCCGATATTACGATATTAGAAAAATGATTATTTTTACAGTCTATGTTCTTAAACATTATTGAAAGTATGTACAAATTCATCACTCAGGTCGCATTCGCCGATGTTTTCACCTTTAAATTTCGAGAAATCTTGAAGAGTTAATGCTGAAAATTGCGTTTGCTGAAGACCTTGACTGTTGAAGTTTAATATTTGAATGTCTTGAAGACAACCAGCAAAAGGCTTATAAAAATGGTTGAATGTTCGATTGAAGATTGAAACTCCCAAAGGAAAACCTCCTGAAAATAAAAAAAAAATATTAGAATTAAACAAAACATAATTTTTTTCTAAAATTCTTACCAATGTAAAATGATTCTCCAAGTTGATCAATATTCCCTAATTTTTCTGCTTTGTGTTCTTCATTGTAAACAAGTTTATGATCAATCAAAATCATCATTTGACCATTCTCATCAATCTCAAGACGAATATTGTGCCATCCACCATCAGTCAAATACGATCCCGTTTGTATTTCGATAACATTATCTTTGAAATTCATGATATTGCACGTGATCTTAAGAAAACCGTTTTCAAGACCAATTCCCAAATATTCTCCGTTTTTATCACCCCATAAAAGCATCCCATCACTACTAATAGTCGAAAAGTTCATTGAAATTTGAAGAAACTTCGTTGTTATTCGTGGTGAAAGTCCATTTCGTTTATCTTTGTGCGTGTATCGCTGACTCGGTATAATCATGTAACTTTTGCCATTGAAGCTTGGAATAGAGAAACGGTTCGTGGCAATTTCACAAAAGTATCCGCCCCATCCATTCGGACAACTACATTCGCCATTGGGCATACATCTCCCTTCATTCTTACATTTTATGATTTTACAAGATTCCGGAGTCTCACAATGAATCCCTTTTGATGTTGCAGGACATTTGCAATGTGGATTTGACTTGTCATCTAAGTAACAATGTCCACCTAAGTCACAAGAATCTCCACCACATGCTGTGCCATCGCAATCATTGATGTTTCTTGATTCAACAATTGTTTGTTCATTTAACACATAACGATGACCGTTGAGATAAAACTGACGTACGCAGCCTTTGAATGGAATTGGAAAACCGGAAACTGAGTTCACCGGAAGTTGTGACAGGTCTGGTAAGCCTCCAATGTAAATCATTGCGTTGTAGTTGTGATAGTAAACTGAATTTGGTTGAAGAAGATTCGATGATGAGCTGCCTTCAATCCAAAGATTTAATCGTCGACCATTCTGTGAAAGTCGAATCTTGTGCCACTCTCCGATCGCTAAGATTCTATTGCTTCTAACCACAGACAATAAACCTTCATGTCCGGCAATTCGAAACTCTACAACCCCACCATTAATTGATAAACTTATGAAACCTTCGTCTTTCTCATTGAAATTGCCAATGAACATCAACAAGCCACTCTCGCTTAACGGACGCAGTTGAAATTCCATTGAGAATAACTGTGCCCTCCTCTGATGCTCGATCATGTTCCTAGCCATTAATTTCGACGATGAGTCATAAGAGAAAATGTCGACATCGGGTAATATCCGCAATTGCTGTCTGTAGCGATCTTTTGAAAAAGCGCTTGAGCGAGTCTTGTTAGGCCAATTTAACGCAAAGTACGAACGTTTTCCGCTTAATGACACATCACTCAAATATTTCATTGCAATGTCACAGTATTTCCCAATTTTTCCAATTGGACAATCACACTCATAACTGTTAATTAGAGGAACGCATGTTGAATCGAGATCACATTTGCTGTTCTCGACGTCACATGGATTTGTTTTTTGTGAACAAAGTGTGCCAAACCAACCATCGGGGCAGATGCAAGTATAAGTTGCGCCATGTTGCAAACAAGCTCCATTATGACACGCATGACGATGACATTCTCTTGTTCCACATTGACCAACACTTCTTCCAATGATTCCTTTTGTTTCATGTAATGGAACGACGAGTGATCCACTTTTAAGTTGCAAATCGTAAATGCATCCCTGAAATCCAGTATGCAATGGGAGATCATGTGGCATAGTTGAAAAGTTTGTCAACGAATGTCCACCAATGAAAAGTGTCGGTACAACATCTAATCTTGTCACATCACCTGGAGAGTTTCCAGTAACATTCAACTTTCCATCGATGTAAAGTGAAGCTTTACGACCTTCTCTAATAACTTGAATATGATACGAAATCACTTCATCTTCACCGTCATGAAACGCAAGTGGTTTTTGAGTGAAAATTCTTCTCGGTCCACTGCCAAGATTCCATGTTAACATGATGTAACCTTGGATAAAGCTCACTGCTAAATGATCACTCTTTTCATCATGTACACCATTTTGGCCTAAAAATGCCAAAAGTGAAATTTGAGATGACGTTGATGGCGTAATTTTAAAGCTTAAGTCTAAAGTTGATTCAAGTGGGATTGGCACTGGATATGAAATGAATGATGAAAGTCCATTAACACTTCCCGAGAAAGAAGGTTGATCGATTTCGAGATCTGAAATGAGAAAAGAAAGTTTAATCATGCGAAACTCAATTAAAGTCACTGTTAAGTGATGTTTTATAATCAATTTGGTAACTTACTATGTTCACAGTAATGTCCATGTTTACCAAGTGGACATAAGCAAAGATATCCACTGCCTGGAAATTCAACACAAGTTCCACCATAATTACAGGGATTGTTGTCACAAACTGATCGTTCACAAGCAATTCCTAAATATCCAGTCGGGCATTTACATTTCCATCGATTTTCCATAACTTCATTGACATTATAACTTCCATCGCTGATGTCATTTTCCATGTCATGATGATCATAAAGCTTCTCTTCACATGTTCCACCATTTCGGCAAGGATTCGATAAACAAGCTAATGAACCGCATTCTGTTATTCCAAAGCCATCGTAAGCATCCCTAAAATGAATTAAAATTTAAATTTGATGAGATTCCAACTTGATTAATTATGAAAAATATTTACCTAAAGATTTCTTTATATTTATCATTGAATTTCAAGCTATACAAACATCCTGTGAATCCTTGACCACCAGGCAGTTCACTCATTAGAACGACTGGTGTTTGTGGTGACCCACCAAGATGAAGCCAAACTGAATTTATCGTTTTACTCTTTCCCAATGTCTTGACGCCAAGCCACGTTGGTTGATCACCACTCATTGCAAGCGTATCGTTGATTCTCAGTGATGCATTACAATGTGAGTGGTTGCGACTGAAATCGAGTGCGACTTGAATTGTGAACTCGTGACCTGTGTTAATAGGCGCTTCAAGTTCACTCAACAACATCGTTTGAAGGCCACAAGAAAATTGAAATTGAAGCAGCCCATTGTGAAGGAATAAAGCTGTGTAGTGACCACCATGAGATCCTTCAGCAATTGCCAATAAAATTAATCCATCAGTAGCACGAGTGCGTGCTTTTAGTTCAATGTTTATCGGCAAAATACTTTCAAGTGGTTGAGTGTCAAAATCTTTTTCATTTGAATAAATAAGATGACTCAGATAAGAATCTCCAGAAAATGCAGCATTTTTAATTCTGATCAAAGATTTACAATTTGGATCTTGACGATCATAAAGACAAACACATTTCGGACCTTCCGATGTCATAACACAAGTTCCACCATTGTAACATTCCAAAGTTGTGCAATCGTTGACAGTGAAATTTTTTGCAGCCACAGGCGTTGTCGTGAACATTTCTTGAGTTCTTGTTTGAGATGATAAAGAAGACGAGAAACTTGATGACGTTGTGAATGCTTCAGTTGTCGTTATGTAAGCTGTGGCTGACTCTGTCGATGTTATTTCAACTCTCGTTGTTAAGTTTTCTTCTGGTTCTACTATCGTACTTTTTGTTGTAGTATCTTCTTGAGTCGATGTGGTTAAAGCAATTGTTGAAGTCGTCCAAGGAGTTGTCGACATTGCCATTGTTGTCATAGATTCTGTACTTGATTCTGTAGAGCTTTCTGAACTTGAAGTTGTTGATGAATCTGTTGATGTTGAAATTTCTGTCGTCGTTGTGCTTAAAGCTTCAATTGTTGTAGATTCAATGCTTGTACTTGTCGAAACTTGTGTTGAATCTTCCGTTGAAATTGAGCGTGTATTGTCAGTTGTTTCAGTAGACTGAGAGCTACTAACATTTGTTGTCTCATCGAGAAATGTTGAAGACGAATCTGAGCTTAATTTTTCAGTTGTACTGTCATAGAATCTGGTAGAACTCGTGTAAGGTAATGTTGAACGAGTAAACATATCTGGAGGGCATGGTCGAAGTTTTGTAGTCTTATTCGTTGGTCGCGATGTTATAATAGGTGTCATTGATGATGATGAATAGCTTTCAGAGGTCAAAGTTGAAGACATTTCAGTAGAAGGACTCGAACTCTCAGTAGAAAATGTTTCCGTGTTTGATGTCGTCGATGAAGATTCAGTTTGAGTTATGTCAGTCGTTGATGAGCTTTGCGTTTGAGAGAAAGTAGAAGTTAAAAGCTCAGTTGACTTACTTAAATCAAGAACGTTGATTGTAGATGATGAAATATCGAATGTTGTCGTTGGCACTGACTGAGTGATTGTTGATGTTGAAGCAGATGTTAAATCTGCTGGCAGTTGAGATGTTTCCATTTCATTATCAATTGATTGTGTAGTTGAATCAAACATTAATGTGCTTGTTATGAACATCGAACTGGGATTGGCTTCAAATTTTGGCGTTGTAGAAATTCTCCTTTCAAAAGGATTTGTATAATTGCAGTCGAGATCGCCATTTGGTAATTGCACACATTCACAAAACATTCCTTTGAAATCATTTTTGCATGTGCATGAAAAATCATCCACTCCATCAATGCATTGTCCGCCATTTGAACATCTTCGGAAAAAAGAAATTTAAATGTTTACAACATTTTTAAATGACTAACTTAAATCAAACAATTACCTTGGTCCAAGTTGACACTCGTCATATTGATATTCACATTTCTCGCCATGAAAATCAGGAACACAATAACAAACCGGCTGGCCTTCTTCCATCAGACAAAGTGCGCTATTGTGACATGGTGAATCATTGCATACTTGAATGTCTTCCTCGCAGTTAGGACCAGTGAAACCAACTGCACAAACACAAGCATATGCCGCTATTTTGTCTATACAAACACCGCCGTTCAAACATGGTGAACTTTCACATTCATCAATTTCAATGCTGCAGAAACGACCTTTCCATCCTGGAGCACAGTCGCAAGTAAAATCGAGCCCACGCCCCTCAACGCACATTCCACCGTTATGACATTTATTTCCACTTCCTGTCGAATCGTTGAAGTTCAAGAGAACATTCGTGTGTGACATTTAGAAATAAATATTTAATCATTTGATTACCTGTATCGCAAACAGCAACATCTAATTCACAATGGTTTCCAGCATATCCAAGGGGACAATAACAGACATATCCGTTGTTTCTATCATCACAGGTACCGCCATTTTGACATGGATTCGACAAACATTCGTCCAAGTTCTCTTCGCAGTTTACACCTTCATAAAGATGAATGACACATAAAATATTAAAAAGAAACAAATTCTATAAAATGTCGTAACTTCATACCGTTAAATCCATCAGGACATGTACAGTTATAGGATGCAACGCCATCAATACACGTTCCACCGTTTACACATGGCGACGACCAACACTCATCCCAATTCGTTTGACATTGCTTACCCGTGTAGCCATCAATACAGTAACAAGAATATGAGCTTTTGGAAGAATAAATCATTCGAATAAGATTATTTGTAAATATTTGTTATGCTGTAAACAATTTTTCTTCGAAGTTCGAAGCTTGGCAAATATTTTTTCAACCGATTTCGAACTATGATTTTGAATACATAAATAACATTTTCTCACCTATTTAAATCGTCGATACAAACGCCAAATATACATGGATTACTAGAGCAGCCAAATGTAGCATTGGTTCCATTAATTAAACATGCTAACAATACACAACCTATCACTACAAATTTCCACAGTTTGAGCATATTTAATAGTCTGCATCTTTCAATACTTGTCGAACATTTAATTGGCTCATGTTTCAGCTTCGTTTGTTCACTTTGCCAATTGATGCAAGGCTGTGTGATTGAGTGTTTCTGGTCAATTGAGCGCCTAATTTTCATATCGAGTTATATTTCAAGCTTTTACTGTGTTGATTTGCACGATGTTTATCGATAATTTATATATTTTGTTGTTTACATTTGGCTTTCGTTCTGAAAATGAAATGTAATGATTTAGAAATTAAGGCAACATTGATGACTCCTCATAAATATATTTAATGAAGGTAAATAAAGGAAGTTACCAAGTTTTGCAATGATTTTAAAGTTTATGTTTCAGTTTCATGTCTTTAGAAATTTATTTAGAATCTTTATAGTGAAAGAGACATAAAAATTGTAATTAATAAATTTCTCAATTCAAATATGTGGAAAAATATTTCATTTCTTTTTAAATTGACTTTATGGTTTATTTCCTGAAACTCATACCTTCATCATGCTATAAACATGAAATTGTAAAAGTTTCTAGAAATACCATAAAGCAAGTATTTCATTTTATTTACGAGACTTCATATGTATAAATCATCATTTGATTTCTCTGAAAACTATTTTCATTATGAGGAGATATTTTCCTAGTTTATTTTGTGATATAATAAAGTTTGTTACATTTTCTTAAATTCTGATACAGTCGATTGATTGAAAGAAGAAATTGGAGAAAGTAAAACGAGTAAAGAATTCTGGAATAGATTTTCTTGATCTTTAATCTAGTTTTGTTGATCCTGAATGAAAGTCATAGACAGCCAAAGTATAAGATGAAGGATATCTTGGAAAGTTTGAAAAGAAGTAAAATTAAAGTTGAGGAAAATCTGAAAGTTAAGATAGGCAGACACATGAAGAAATCAATTTTCATGAAGAAATATTTCAATTTACTCAAATCCATGTACAACTTCAAATTGAATTCAAGTTTTAGGACAAGGGATGATTTTTCTAAATTAAATCATCTGAATAATATAAAACTTTCATTGAAAAAGGTTGAATTTGGTTGTGATGAATTGAACAAGCGAAACATTTAAAACTGACACTTTCTTGACAATGCTTCTCGTGAGATCTTTGTATTGTTGTCATAAAAAAGTTTTTTTACAGACATTTATGAGGGAAATGTGAAAAAAGGTTACGAGAACTTTTCAGATATTAAAAACTTTGCTCTGCTGATTAAAGATTAAGGATAAAGATATAGACTGAAATGTCATCTCAATAATTTCATTTTTGTTCAAAATATTTCTCATTCCCTTCAGGGAACACAAGAAATTATTTTATTGATGTTTAAAGTGCTGCCATGAAGATATGAACTAGGAATTGCTTTTGTCGTGTGATGTACAAGCATTGATTTATCATACGTGTCTTGCTTTATAAGAAGCAAAAGGCGGAAAAAAGCTTTCCTCTAAGGAAACAACAAAAGTGCATGTTAACAAATAATTTTTTTTTCATAACTTGGAGAGTTCTTCCGTAGGATGCTCATACTTTAAATAAATTCAATAAAACATTATAAACAAATCCAACATAACCAAACGTAGCTAGAAATTGATCAAACATGAGTTGGAAAAATATTGTAAGCCTAGTTCTGGGAAAACGATTCGAAAGCCTTCCGCAAGAGCTTCAACAGAGAGTTACGTTACTTCTTGCGAAAAGTATTAGCATAAATATGCTACTTTAATGAATGAAGCATGAGAATGTTCTTGTTGATGTTTATCGATTGAAAAGTTTTTACGATTTCATGAGAAGGTGAAATTATGAGTTGAATAAATGATGGGTTAATTTTAGAAATAAAGAATGAAAGAACCTCGTTAAATATTTACTCAGTTGCTATTTTTGAGACAAACATTTTCCAGCCGTTGGCGAGACAACAGAATGTATTTGGATAATTTAAGCTCTCTTTTCAACCTTTCACCGTTCTCGTCCCGCATTTATTTGATTGTCTAGAGAACTCCCTTACGTTTCATTTGAAATGTTACAAGCAATTTTACTCGATACAACAAAAATTTCATTTCACGCTCAGTTTCATTTTCATTCAAGATACAGGAACATAAGAAGACAACTTCTCGGTTCTTCTCAAGCACATGAAAAATTGAATAAAACCCAAGAATCTCATCACATTACGTAAGGACAATGAACCACTGTTTTGTGTTTATTTCTCACTTGCTCTTCTGAGAATCCTTTTAAATAATTGATAAAAAATGTTCAACTCGTGTGTTGCAATGAGAATTTTTGTGAATCATCGATCAGTCGAGTTCTAGAACACCAGAAATTTTAACTAATATAATTAGTTTTCCCTTTTCTATTGACTGCATTTTCATGCTGACACAAATAATAAATGTCTTCTTAAATTTTTTATTAGTCCCTGCTAGACAAACCAGATGGAAGTTAATTCGGTGAGAAGTCGAGCAGCATAACATAACTACCTCACATTATGGAATTATTTATCATCTCATCAAAAACTAATGTATCAAATCTCACAAAAAATGGATTAACGAATGATTGTAAGTAGGACTTGAGGGTGAAGTAGAATAGAACCCTTGTGGAAAGGTTCGTTTTGAAGAATCATTCTTTGAGTTCAAGGTTTTCAATAGTTTAGTTTTGCTTATCAATATTTATTTGAAATTTTATATCAACTCGTTTAATTGCAGGAAATTAGTTTTGAACAATAACCCCAATAATAATATTTTAGATAAACATTTATTTATGCTACAGTCTAAAGAGTAAGCAGGCAATAAATGTTAAATGTATGCTTATGTAGTTGTTCATGCATAATCTTCATGAAAACATAATGTTTATCCAATGAAAATATTAATTTAAAATTCAAGCATATGTTGAAAATTTATTTTATTAAATTGTTCTGCCCAAATATTCGAGATAGAAAAGATGATATGCATGTTTAATGATGAATGTTAGGGTTTATTTGTGAAAGCAGTTATGATATATCCAAAATCATACAAATATGAATTTTGAGAGTAGTTAGAAGAATTTATGCAAATTACTGATAATAATTATCGCAGTCATATTTGTTTAGACTTATGGCTTCTCATATTTCATTTGTTGTATAGTTTCCAAAGCTCTGCTGTTGAGTGTTATGAAATGAATATTTGTGAACAAAAGTTTGTTGATTAAAATTTCCATTCAAAAAGCTTCAAAATGTTCAACAAAATTCTGCTGAATTTAAAATGCGTTGACTCATAAATGTTGAACTCTTTTTTTTCTTTGAAAATTTATCACATCAAATGAACACACATCGTTGACTCTGAATACACATAAATAAGTATGAAAGTCAAGTTATTTAATTCAATGTTCGAATTCATTTTCAGTTCATTTGCTGGAAAAAAAAATCATTTATTTTTTTTTTTGTTCCCGTTGAAGCCCATAACTCGATAAATTAAAATTTCAAACTCAGCATTTGCATATCTGTGAGTGCGATGATAATTTTTTTTGTCTGAATCTCGTTTCATGCATGAAATGTCATATTATCATCATTTGATATATCCTATGCTTAACATCTCCACCATAACGCAAACTTTGCTACCTCGGTTAGAAAGCACTTTACGAAGGGAAAATACGAACTTTTCCCTCGTTTCTTTCTATTTCTTTTCATTTTTTTGTGTTCAGATTAATAAATATTTTACTATCGTGCCAAAAGGAAGCAAACGAATCTGGTGAAGTTTTTATGATAAATTTTTCTTTCGCTTGCTCGTGTTAAAGTAAAGATAAAACATTGATAAAACACGTTTAAATAGCGTAGTCAGAAAGGAATTTATTTCTCTTTCGCTACTTCTTTCGTCGGTATGAACATCATGATATGACTTATTCCTTCTCTATGTAAGCATTCTGCTTGTACGTCATAGAAAATTTATAGATATTTGTAGAATGAAACAAAAGGAGAATTCTGATTTCAATTTAAATTATTACATAAAAGAAAGGCTTTAAATTAAGTGTAGGTAATAAAGGAACATTTGATGCTTGAACATGAAAAGTTCTTCATATTCCTAGACAAATGAGAGCTACTAATAGTGAGCGCATTGTCATTCAAACTGTTCAATTTGCATTGAAGATGAACATACCTAACTTAAAAGCAGCAATAAATTGTGACATTTATTGTTCTTTGTGCAATAAAAGAAGAAAACTTTTGGACAACTTTCTAGAAAATGAATTTTTTAAGCGATGTTTATATCATTACAGGATGAAATTAAAGCTTCGAGCATGAAAAGTTGAAAACTTAAACGGAATCTGTGCAGCTGTTGGGAACATTGAGGAAACTTTTTCTGATTGCAACGATAACTTTTTGCATAAAATCAATGGTGATAGAGATTTCAGATTTCTTCAAGATTATCACGAAACGTTTAGTTGTCAAAGTTGAATGCAATGACTAAAATTACTCGGTTCAAGTAATGTTGAAGATAAAAGTTTTTCTCCTTATTTTTCTAGCAACGCAATCGTGTCGCTTGGCTGAATGATTTTACGATAAAATCTTAAGGGAAAAATTAAAGCACTTTTCTTAAGAACATAAATATATTCTTTTAGAATTTTTCTTAGTAAAAAATTTAACAAACATTCAGAATATTTTTTCCTTCCACTTCAAAAGACCCGATGGCAAACTTCACCATAAATTATTAGCTTCGGAATTTCATGGAAAGACAGAAAAAAGGGAAGAGAAAAAAGTTGGCAAAGGTCTTGAAACCCAAAAAACTTGTAAATTTCATTTTTATAGTGAATCACAGAAGTTTTTCACACTTTTTTTTATCGTTCTATCGCTTGAAAAGAAAAGAAAAGAAAAGTTTTCTGATATATTATCGAATTAATAGCATTTGACAGAAGTGGGACCATCAGGCAAGAAGAATGTAGAACGAGGACACACTAGAAAGCAGAGGCAGAACTCACGCACATCGACAATTTACGGAGAAGTTGAAACAATAAGGGCGATAAAATACGCACTTTATAAATATTTGATTTTGCTGCTTGAAGCTCATGAATTATTCAAATCCTTCGTCTTGATCAGCTTACGACGGATTTATGAATGAGCTTAAACTTCTTAAATAGTTTTTCATAAAGAATTTCAATCCTAGAACCCAACTTGATGGTGATGCGAATCTTACACAATTTTCAACAAGTTTAAAGGATTTTTGGATTGAAAATCTATCATTCCTTCTCCAAAATGAACCCTCATGGCAATAAAATTCAAATGATTCATGTTAAACTCTTTAGAATTATATTTACAGTTTCAACATTAGGCACAAATACTTGGAAGCAGTTTTCCCTTTGGGCTCAATCGTTTATAAACTTTTCTAAGTAATTTCTTTAATTTCGAATTCTCTGAAATAAGCCGGAAGAATTGTGAACTAGAATTTCTATTTCTGTTATCTTCTATCATGTTTAAGGATAGTTTAAAGTTAATGTAATCTGTTTGCACTGTCATCATTTCGATAAATTAAAAATTTATAGGAGGGGAATTTCATGCTGTGTTCAACAAACTTGTTATTGTATATAAATGTCCTATAAGTATGAATTTTTGAGTTACAATTTTACGTTTCCAAGGTAATACGTAAACGCTAATACGTTCATTTATTCCTTCTTTTTGAATTTATGGCCTCTGTTTAAGTGACACTGTCGATTGGGGAACCGTTTAGGAACTCTCACATGCAAACAAATTCGACTCATAATTCCTCATTTTATCTGCTCGAAGAAGTCATGAATAAAAAAGCCTTCGGCAAATGCTAAGACAATCAATAAAAAGAAATTACATTTTTGCAGTTGAAACAGACAATGAAATATTTACGAGAGTCGCTCGCAGTAGGGAACGGAAAATATATAAAAAAAAATATTTTAACGATCAAACAAAAAAGGAAAACTTTTTTTTTATTTTTTCCACGCAGGAACGATCAAAATCGGGTTTCGAACAATCAAAAAATGTTGAAGTTCACGTCCATTCATTTACCTTTTTATATCCTCAGAGATTTTTTTCTTTATTTTTTATTAAATTTCAATTATATGAAATGGATTAAGAGAAGAAGGAGCAGAAAGCAAACAGATTAAAACTGTATTTGTTTTGAGTGGCACTTGAAATTAACAAACAAACACCTCGTCCAACCTTAAGCCACGAAATGTTTGGCTTTTCTCTTCTTATTTTTCACTTTTTATTCCTTTTAAGAATTAAGGATTTTCAACTGAGGTTTTTTTTGATGTGCTGAAATGAAACCACCATAAAAATAACACTTTTATCTTTGCCCGGAATATAAATCACTTTCAATTTCTCTATTTAATTTTTCCTTTTTCCTCGTTTTACGCTCATAATTTTTTCACATTTGTTTGCTGAATCCTTTAGCTGTGCTTTTTTATGAGGATGAAGAATTTTGTATTTGAATGCTTCTGAAGAAATGTATTTCACTTTCTGCTTATTTTCAACGCGAGTTTATCCTTTAATGCGATGAGACACCATTTGGGACTACAATTCATAAATGATTTAACTATAATGGAAAATATTTATCATTTTCTTCTTCTTGCTTTGTGTCTAAAACTTTTCTTTTTTTCCTTCTGATTTCTATTTTATTATGAAAAGGATTTTTTGACTTTATCCGTTGAAGTTTCCCCGTCGACTGCGGAAAACTTTTAGTCTTTCTTGACTCATATAACAAAATTTTCCTCTGTTTTCCTCTCTCTGAGAGGATTTTCTTGATATTTTGAGGGGAAATTGGAAACTTATGGGCTTATCACAAAGAAAGCATGGCGCTTTGTGACGAAAGAATAAAAGGATTTTAATTAATTGAATGATAAAATTGATGTTGAGTTGATAGAAGAAATTCCATTTTGAAATTTTAATCTTAACAATTTCAATGTTGACTTTAAATTTAAATTTTCAATCTCCAGTTAGTGAAGCAAAGATGAAAAATTAAAAAACAAGAGTAATTGAAATTCAAAAACATAAGAATTTTAAATTTCCCTGCTGCTATTGTTACTTGAACAAGTTTTCAAACTCCAGATGAAATCTTTCCCTTCGAGAAAACCTTTCACATCACATTTCGTGTTTCAAAGACTTACAAAATTTTCAACAAACAATTTTTTGTGTTAAAAATATTTTTCATAAAAGTGTTGAGAATTTTCAGTATTTTTTAATTATTCGTCTGTTAACAATGACGAAGCAAGTAAAAGTTTGCCATGAAAATATTTCACGGAAAATCCTAAGAAAAGCTAAAAAATGAACGGAGTTATGAGCGAAGAAATGAACTGTTTTCAAGATATCAGGAATTCTTTCAATGTTTATTCCTATGGAAACGTAAACAATTGAATTCATAAATGACATGGATTTACGTGTAGTCATAGAGTGAGTTTCCTAATTATTTAACTTTCACATTCTTTACTCATTTCTTAAGATAGAAAAGGAAACTTAACATTTACAATTAATGAGCTTGATGAAGTTAATGTTTAATGTTTTTCTGTCATGATTAGCGCTTCCAATTAATTATCAATGTAACTTACTTGTTTAAAAAGGGAAAGCGTTATCTTAACACTTGGCATTAATCTTCAATTTTCAAAAGCTTTTAAGAAAGTCAACCAAAAGGAAATTTCCTGAAAAGGCATTTTTGTTGTTGTTATTTTAACTTTAAATAGTTTTTCTTGATTACATTCCGGATGAGTCATAAATATCAGCAAAGTCATAAAATAAACGACAGTCGATGACATCATACTCCTACCCCCCGCAAACATATTTTCATCTTCCTCATAAATTCTCATTTCTATTCAATATGTTTCAGTGAGCCTCCACATTCCAATTTTTTTTTCATTCTTTCTTTTTGTCCCATATCAATATTTATATCGCATCCATCGCTCTATAAAAATAATGGTAACAACCTTGCTTTGATGAAATATAGCTTCCGTGAGGTGTTGCTATTCCACATTTTCCCTTTTTACGACTTTATCGCTCTTTCATACAAAAGGGGCTTCAGCAAAACTTGCTCATTCAATTGAAAATGTTTACAGTTTTGCTTAGAATAGATGTGTATGCGATGCAAGCATATTTAATACCACAGTTAAAAAAATATTGGGTGAATTCATTATTATTGCTCAACAACTAGAAAACAAACTTCAACCGCTGTTTCATAGCGTGTCTATTTATTTTTCTTTTACATAAGACAATGTGAAACTTTCAAGAGTCCCAATAAAAATTGAGGCAAACAAAAGAAATAATAAATGCTTTATAGGTTTACTTAAAACATCATCATCAACTTGAAAGCTTCTTTTTATAACAAGCATTTGCATATCAAGAAGTTGTTAATAAAGTTAAATATCTACTTTGACGATTACAAATTATTCAAATTTCATTTATAAATATTTGCACTCAACTGATTTAACATTTCAATGAAAAAATTCTTGAATTTACGTTCCGTAAAATATTTCAGCATATCAGTTTATGCATTTGCGGTACACATAAAATAACATAAACTTTGCTTCGAAATAAAATTCTTCGGGCTCTGATTTATGAATCGTGGTGATAAAAAGTCCCCAGGAAATGAGATGAAAGCCTTTTAAGCTCCCAACTAAGCGTCTTTTATTTATCCACAACTTTGTGCAAGAATAATATTTCATTGCTTTAAGAAAATGCTAAAATTTAAGATTTTTTCGGGGCTTAAAAATTTCTTTAAAGTTGTTTACATTTTCTTGTTTTATAATTTCACGTGTTGGGAATGAAAAACCGACGAGAAATCAATTTGTCGAGGATTCGAAATTTTTTACAAGACTTTCGTTACATGACGATAAAAGAAGTGAGTTTGATTAATTTCTTGATTCTGAATAATCTAGAAGGCTAAACATTATTGTCTTCACCATCTTTAAAATCTTAAAGCTTTTAAAATTTATTTAGTCATTTGACCAAAGAGTGTGTTTAGCTCGCTTCGGTCGTACACCAAACTCATAATTTAATTTTTGAAGTTAATAAAATTTTATTTATTCGCTTTAATTGCTTTTTTTAGCGTTTTCTCGCTGCGAGGCTTTTCTCTGCCTTTTTAATTGTGTGTATGAAACAAATGGTTCCGAGCTGCTTTCCAACTTACACCGTTTGCCCGTTTGCCATTCTCTCTTTCTAGTTTTTGTTTGCGTCGCGTACACAGAGAAAAGTTTAGGATGTCATAAAGCAAATTGAAAGCTCCAGGAGTCCATAAAATGTGAGTTGTGTTTGCGGCGTGAAATATATGTGAAAATAGTCTGTCATGTGTAAGTAAAATTTATGCAATGAAGGGAGGGAGATGGAAAGATGAAAAAATGAAGCTTTAGAGTATTATGCTTTTCATTACAAATAAAGTTCAAGATTCATAAATCTAACATTTTGCAATTGTTTGTTTGTACAACATAACTTTGAGAAGTCTGAAAAAACAAACGTTCGAAAGAAGAAGCGAAAAACGAAATTAATTTTGATTTATTCTTATTATTCAGAGCTTTGCTGATCTTTTCCTTTTTTATAGTCTGGTTTGTTTGTGATCCGTGCCTGAAGCAAGATAATGTTTCCAAATTAATGTTTAATTCGCGTTACGCTCACTTTGAACATAAATTTTAAAATCTTACCAGAACAAAAACTATTTTCCAAGATTTATCTTTGAGATTGTGTCAGGTGACGAATTTGTATGAGTAAGAAAGGAAAATTTAATTAGCCACCGCCAGTCTTTGCACTACTTAATGCTTAGCTAACAAAATAAAAAGTTCAATCATAGTCTGCAAGCTTGCAAGATGTCTCATGTGACACAATTTACTGTTTCTTATTAGATATATTCAAATTAATACAAAAAAGAATTTCCTTTTTGCATGGAAATAGAATCGTTGGCAATACCTAATTATTTTATTCAGAGAAGAATATGGAAGCAGCGAGAGATGAACATGTGTAACAAAAAGTTACAACAGAGGATTAAGATACAAAAATAAACGGTCATATTTTTTTGCTATTGCTTACACAAGCTTATCGCTAAAGCTTCTTCCTTGTTCAACTTAGAAGACATTTTTCTTTTCCCACTTCACATCACAAGTTTCTGTTGTTTCTTTTTCATGAGAAAAGATAAAAATGCAAGAAATTTCTTTTTATTAGCTCTAGGAATTAAATATTAAGCTAGAGCAGAAAGTGGAAGGAAAATCCTTCCCACATGATCTTTTTCTAATGTGATAGACTAATCAAAGTTAGCTAAGTAGAGGAACCGCAAAAGCAAAACAGAAGAAGAAATACTAAAAGCATCCATTCGGGAAGCTTTCATTATTTATTGCGAAGATAATGTTTTAGAAAATAAACCGATATCATATACCTAGTTGTGAACAGTTAGATATGTGTCGAGTTAACACAAGAATCTTGTTTTCCGAAATATAAATTAATGCAAAACTTATTTGAATATTAAGACACTTTGAAACTATCTCGACTAAAATTGCGACGATAGAAATTACTTTACACTTAAAATTTCATTTCAAATTGCCAATTAATAGTTCATAACAAGAACATTTGATGAGGTTTTCTCATTTGAATGGATAATGTTCACTCCTCGTTGCAAAGTGAAACAAACATATTTGATTTGCTTCATCATGGAAGTTCTTAAGGTATGAAACTTCATCTTCTGTTAATTGAAAATTGAACACGTCTATGTTTTCTTTAAGTCGAGATTTTGTAGCTGATTTAGGAATAGGAATAACGTTGGATTGCACTGAGAAACGAAGAGCTACTTGTGCTGTGGTTTTGTTGTATTTTTCTGCAATTTCCTGCACTTTTGAGTCGTAAAGAAACTTTGGCTCTTGTTTTTCAAGTTTGTGTCGACCAAGAGGGCAGTAAGCGATAACAGAAATATTTAATTCCCTACATAGTTTCAATAAACTATAACGAGTAAAACCTGGATGAAATTCGATTTCATGGCACTTTGGTTTCAGATTCGATAGTCGATAAACACGTTCAAGTTGCTTCTCGTTGAAGTTTGAGACTCCTATGTTCTTGGTCAAGCCAAGGTGAACTAACTTCTCCATCTCTACCCACACATCCATGTAATCTTTGTCAAGCACGTCATCATCTTTTGGCCATTTCTCACTGTCATTGTGGAAAGTAAACGACACAGGAAAGTGAAGCAGGTAAAGATCAACGTTATCGACTTTCAATCGTTGGCATGTCTCGCGGCACGCTCGCTCCACTTGATCATGATGAATTCCCCAGAGCTTGCAAAAACAAACGAGGAAAGCATGTTTCAATAAATCAACTTAACAGTACATCAAGAAGCTTAATTACTTTTCCAATGATAAAAATCTCATCACGCTTCACTACGCCTTCGGTTATTTTCTCACTGATAGCTTGCCCAACGATGTCTTCGTTACCGTAGAGGAAAGCAGTGTCGAATAATCGATAACCAGCATCTATGGCATCTTTAATCGCTTGAACACCCGTTTCTCCTTTAAGCTAAAGGAAATGTGTAGTGTAAACATTATGAAAGCAACACTTAAATTATTTCACTTAACCTTTCCTGTACCCGCACCAAGAGCTGGGATCTTTAAATTGTTATTCAAATAATGTACCGGTGCTGCCATTTAATGAGAAAATATTTTACCAAAACCCGCCTCTTATAAACTTTAAAACTCAAACAAAACTGAATTCATGAACACAGATTACGAAAAAAAAATATTTCACAATCAGCTTTTATCAGATTCGTTGTGACCTTCATTCGGTTGAGAAATATTTTCTTGCAAGAGTAAATAATCAAAGCTCTCATATTTATTTATTTAGAAGCTTATGAGACTTGGGAGAATGTACAAACAAATTTCTTCTAAGCATAAACATCCAACATGGGAAAAAAAATCAATTGGAAAATTAGTCATAATTCTACCAAATAAATAATCAAGACGATTATATCGTAAACGAACGCATTTGCTTGTCTCTCGAAATATGAAAGCTCATAAATCAATTTCGAGAGAGAGATAGAGAGATAAGAAATCATAATGAATGGATGATGTATTTGAGTGAGAAGCGTTAAAGCCTTCAATTTTCTCGATGTTTTGTTTTGAGGCTGTGGTGAAAAAACGTCAACGTCAAGCTCTCAGGATTTATTGCTGGTAAATAATTAAAAATTTCTTGTTATCCATTAATTGATTTTTCTTTCTCTATTCCTACATACTTACTTCATTTACCACTCGTCCTGAATTCATTCTCATGTGTTCATTTCTCGTCGAGAATTAATGAGGCGGTTACTACTTAGTTGACTGATTTAGGTCTTTTGATATGAAGAATAATTTGTATCAATTTTGTAATTGTTGTCATATAGGACACAAATTCGAATGAATAGAACAATTAACATTAATTTATTTATACATTACTCGATCTCATTATGAATCAATATCCTTGAATTAGGACGTTTAATATAACTTTGTGAGAGTTTTGATGAATCTTCTGAACTTTTTTCTTCTAATTTTCAGAAGGTTGAATTTCATGAAGACTTGAATCTTTCAAGATGATAATTTAATCTAATCTAGCAGCAATAAAAAACTTTTAAACCTACAAAATATTTTAAGATAACAATTTACACAAGAAAAATTATTTTAAGAAAGATTTGAACACCTAACACAGTTATTCTTCTTTTCTTGGTGTAAAAGTACATCGTAATTTAATTGCTTGATGGGATAAGTAAAATGAATTGAAAAAGTTTCTTTTTTTCATTTTCCACAGCGACCAACAACATTTTAAGTAAGGAACACAAAGCGCTAAGACATTTTCTCCAGTCTCGCGTAACAGAAACTGTTTCATTTAATTTTGAAATATTTATAGCCTGAACTTAAACTTCTTCTTGAAGAAGCGCTCGGGAACGCAGAGAAGAGCCAAAGGGCAAAATATGCTTTCATTCTTTATACATAATTTAATGAAATTCTCGTCTAAACAAAAAGCAAATAAATTAACTTTAAGCACTTTTTGTCATCTCTTCCTTAATAAATGAGCCTACAGAATAAAATTTTCTCAAGATATACAAGACAAGGAAACGATAAAGCGGTAAAGTTGAAGTGACCAGTTGGGGTGGGCGAAGTTATTTCCTTCTTTGTTGCTGCTCCCTCTTCTTCTTTCATCTTTTCAACTTAAACATTATGTTACTTAAAAAAGTCACCAGCTATTACTTTCTTATCTAGTTGGGTAAAGTTTTTATACGCTCTACTTGGAATCTACCAAGAAATGTCATAGTTGTGTAGTTACTAACTTGATATTTATCTTCAGAGTGTCAGTCTTTTTATAAACAAACAAATTACCGGCCTGAAGTAAAATGTCAGACATCACTTTTTATAGTTGACATTAGAACATTATGTTAAAGTTTTTCGAAAACAAAATCGAAGATTGCACTTGATTTTTTCCAAAGGAAGGAGTCCAAATTATTGTTCGCTATATTTGAGTTTGCCAAATTTTGTAAGCCATGAAAACAGAGTTAAATAACTTTTCGTTTCATTTATACTCTCAAATAATGTATGAATAAAAATTCAAAACATTTTTCAATTTATTTAAACATTTCTGAATTACCACAAGTTTCCAACTGTTTGTGTATTCCATGGATTCATGATAAAATAATTAACTTCTCTTATCTTTTTGATTCAGAACATTTGACCTAAAAATGTGTTTTAAAAATATTAAATTAATTTAATTTACATAATTCCCTTGCGACATTAAGTTCTATTAATTTCGCTCGAAATAAGTTAGCGATAAAAACTGTCGATAAAAACTTAATTGTCAATTCAAAATCCAGGTGGAGCGACCATCGCGAGTGATTGCGATTCGCATTCCAAAATAACCCAATTTTACTAACCCAATTTTTCACGATATGCATGTGTATGTTTATGTAGTCGTATAAAAACAAATCAATCCAATTGTACAAATAACCTTACTAAATTAACCCAAATTTAATAAATAACCTAAATTTAACTAACCCAATTTTTCAGAATAACCCAAATTTTACAGAATAACCCAAATTTACAAAATAAACCAAATTTTACAGAGTAACCCAAATTTTTCCTTCACCTTATAAAAAACATTGACTTTTCAGAATAACCCAAATTTTTCCTTCACCTTATAAAAAACATTGACTTTTCAGAATAACCCAAATTTCATTAACCAAAATTTACAGAATAACCCAAATTTACAGAATAACCCAAATTTGTCCTTCACATTATAAAAAACAATGACTTTTCAAAATAACCCAAATTTACAGAATAACCCAAATTTACACAATTACCTAAATTTTTCCTATTTGTTCATTTTCAGATTTCTAAAANTTTCAGAATAACCCAAATTTTACAGAATAACCAAAATTTAAAGAATAACCTAATTTTACAGAATAACCCAATTTTACAGAATAACCCAAATTTACAAAATAACTCAAATTTTACAGAATAACCCAAATTTACACAATAACCCAAATTTTTCCTTCACCTTATAAAAAACATTGACTTTTCAGAATAACCCAAATTTCAATAACCAAAATTTATAGAATAACCCAAATTTATAGAATAACCCAAATTTAGGTTAATTTTTTCCATTAACCCAAATTTAGGTTAATGGAAAAAAAATAACCTCAATTTAGGCTATGAAAAAATAACCCAAATTTAGGTTATTTTTTCATTAACCCAAATTTAGGTTATTTTTTCCATTAACCCAAATTTAGGTTTTTTTCCCATTAATCTAAATTTGGGTTAATGGAAAAAATTAACCTAAATTTGGGTTATTTTTTCATAGCCTAAATTGAGGTTATTTTTTTTCCATTAACCTAAATTTGGGTTAATGGAAAAAATTAACCTAAATTTGGGTTATTCTATAAATTTGGGTTATTCTATGAAATTTGGGTTATTCTGTAAATTTGGGTTATTCTATAAATTTGGGTTATTCTATAAAGTTTGGGTTATTCTGTAAATTTGGGTTATTCTATAAAATTTGGGTTATTCTGTAAATTTGGGTTATTCTATAAAATTTGGGTTATTCTGTAAATTTGGGTTATTACACGAACACATTGATACCTCCAAAACTTTGGGTTATTTTTTTTTATCGCCAGACCCTTAGCGCCCCCTATTTATTAAACCGTAAATTATTTTTAGCCGTTAAAAACTGGCGATAAAAAATAACCCAATTATTGGGTTATCTAACCCAACTATTAGGCTATTTAACCCAATATATGGGTTAAATACACAAATTTGGGTTAAATAACCCAATAATTGGGTTAAATTTGCGAATCGCACAAAATAACCCAACTTTTGGGTTATTTTTTATCGACAGTTTTTATCGCCAAATGCTGCGCAGTATTAATTTCCCACTTTTTATTGTTAACATTCATACGACCAACTGAAAAAATGCTGTCAACAATAGTTGTCAAAACAGCAGATCAATATTTTTCATCGTTAAATTGCAAACAAAAATTGCTGTGAATTCATTTGAAGAGATAAACCAAGCTATTAATATTCGTTCCAAATTGCCACATAAAAAATTAATCTCGCGAAAATTTCATGTTGATGTTTGCTTGACTTTTGACCGCTTGAAGTTCCAGCGGCTATCGAATATTTATGGGATTATTGGCAAATCGTACAGTCATTGATGAAAGATTCTATTCAATTCAAGAATAATGTCGGAACGCATATAGCTTAAAGGGTGAATAGATTTATTTCCTCAACAATGCTATGCTAATTTGAAGTACAGAAATATATGAAAAATGAATGAACACAAAGTAATATGAAATATCTGCTCCAAATATGTCACGAAAACGCTTTGCAATTTAGATCCTCTTGCAATTCTCTCGAATGAATCAACCATAATAAACATAAAAGCCTCTTGAAAAATAAAATTGCTATGTTTGTGATGAATTGTTATTATTTTTCCAAGCATCACACACATTTGTGGTTTTGTTTGATAATTTGTGTAACAATGTATTCATCAGTTGATATGCATTCACATCCTTTGAGTTGAAATGATGGTTTTTGATTCTTCGTTTGTTGGATTTTGTAATTTGTGTAATGAAAAACCGGAAATAAAAGGTAAATATTTATCTACGAGCTATGGTAAATAGGACACGTTTATTAGTCTAACTTAGAAGTATTATTCATTGGAGTTCAAGGGTCGCAAGGAAATCCTCTAATGATAGTTCACAAGCTAAATTTTAATAACAGTTAAATCTACTGTAAAATAACTGCTTGCATAAATTAAACTTTCTTTGAGATTTTTTGCATTTTTAATGAACTGCATAGTTAAATATTCTCGTAAGAAATGCACTTGCTTCAAAGATGAAGATTTTATAAAAGTTTATATAAGTTCTGACAGTTGGAGTAGACACTCAAATATGAGATTACATTTGCTTTATTTTAAGTGATAATCTTAAAAGGGAATTAAAATTCAACACAAAGTTTACATATCGTTACCTTTAGAAAAGAATTTTTCTTATATTTCTACCCTCAAAATCGGTTTAGTTATATTTACTTTTTAAAGAAGATAAGGCTACTTCATAAAACTTAAAACTTTGATGAAAACTTTTACTAAAAGAAGAAAGAAAACTGTAAACAAAAGTTGTAAAATATCTTGAAAATGTTTTCAGATTTTATTTAAAACTGGTTGAAAATACCAGCAGATTAAATAATAAACTCTTAAACAAAAAGAAACTTTTTGCTTGCTTCTTGAATCGTAATTTAATTAAAGCTTTCATTTATACAATGTTTGAAAGGATTCTGGTTTATTTATTAATTGGAATCGTATGAAATGTTTCAAATATTTACCTGGTAAGTGTATGATAATGAAGGTGAAGAGTGAATGCACATGTTGCAAACGTATATTAGCTTCATATTTGAAGCCATATAATTACAAACGTGACATGTTTAAGTCTATACTTATAAGAATTTAAATATTTCATCAAAAACACTTTTAAGCATTTTTCAAGATGCTTTTGTTGATCTCTTGCATTTTTCAAACATTCTTCCGAGTATCAAAAATCTTTTGAAGATTCAACGATGCACTTCGTGTGAATAACAAATGTTATCCTGTGGAATTTTCTTTTCATAAACTTTTCCATTTTAGATGCTTAAGAAACTTTTGATAATGTTTGCTTCGTTATCTGAAGTCATAGAGAATATAAAATTAATATTTGATACAAAAAAGTTGAAGCTGAAATACTAATAGAGAATTCAGGAATCGTTGGAAAACCAAATGTAGATGAATTTACTGCAATTATTTCTACCTGTCTGTGCATTACAGAATCCATTAAATTGATTGCGCTGTTAAAGTTTTATGAGACTCGCTTCATTCATTTAAAAGAAGGAAGTTTAGGAAAATGAGGGAATTTGGTGGAGAGCCAACTTAAAATGTTCTGTTGATTTTTAAGCGCACAATATTCGACACTTTATTCGTGTATTTTAAATTTTTCCGCCTCTTTATTATCCGAGTTTATCAAGCGACAGCGGTTAATGTAATTTATTGTGTAATGAAAACCTCCTGAGGCAATTGCATTTTTATTATTCATTTAGTTTTGTGAAATATTAAACAAGCATATGAAATGATGTTGATGAAAAATTGTCGTTTTATGATTGAACTTTTTTTTTGAAATGTGTTTTGTTTAAAATGAAAAACATTTGAGATAGAATTTTGAATTCATTAGAATCAAATATGTTTTTCAATGACAGAACCATCTGGCATTCCAAAATAAGCCTGCTTTGCCATTCCAATGAACAATCCAGTGTCGACAACACCAGGAATCATTTGAATCGCTCTGTTGATTCCATCAAAATCAGTCTTTGAAGATCCTTCAAAAAACCAGTCAAGGATAAAATTTCCATTGTCGGTGACACAAGGACCCGCTTTAGCAAGTGCCATTCTTAGTTTTAATTCCCCACCGAATAACGATTCAACTCGATTTTTAATGGCTACATAAGCCATTGGTGACACTTCAATTGGAATTTTTTTATAGTTGAATGTCAAAAATTCCGAATTTTTTGTGTGATCTGCCACGATGACAAGATATTTTGCATTAAATGCAACGATTTTCTCTTGAAGTAGACAACCACCACCACCTTTAATGCAATTCAGATCGATGTCACACTCATCAGCTCCGTCAATTGCTAAATCAAGTTCGGGATAAGTCTCAAGTTCTCCAAGTTTTAGATCTTTGCTGAGTATCAATTGTTTAGCCTGGAAGCTCGTGGGAATGCATATGACGTTTAGATTTTCAGACTTTACTCTTTCCGCTAAGCGGTTGACAGCATAGACGATTGTAGAACCTGAACCAATTCCTTTCATTGGTAAAAAAAGGTGAAGCATTTTAAATCAAGTTAAATAATTTGATTTTTTATCAGCATTTACCAATCTTCAAATTATCTTTCACGTGTTCGTTTACAGCCTGTTCAGCAGCAGTTTTCTTTGCAGATTCAAGCGACATTTTACTATACGTTCCTAAATTCTTAGTGAGTATTTTGATATTTCTTGCAATTCGTCTTAAATACATAAAATTTGTTTGTTTACGTTTCCCAGTTACGGCGGCGATTTCAAATGTTCACTGAACAGTCTCAAACCGTTGACGGCGATTCTTTCTCTTTAGAGTGTGTTCAGTAAAACAAAGTTCGTTTCATTTTCATTGCCACGTAGAGCCAACAATCAAGTCGCAAATTAAACAACATTGAACAATTTCACATTTCTTAGTTGGAAAAAATATATAAAGTGAGTATAAGTTAAATAAAATAGAAGATAATAATACTGAACATTATAAATTGCTAAAATATAATCAATTTATTCATAATTTCAGTCAAAATGGATCAAATTCTCAAAATCTATGAACCAGGTCGAGCTTTCGCAAAAGATTCATTCAGATTAATCAAAAGATGTACAAAACCTGATCGTCGCGAGTTTCAGAAGATTGCAATTGCAACAGCAATTGGATTTTGTATCATGGGCTTCATAGGATTCTTCGTTAAACTAATTCATATTCCAATTAACAATATTATTGTTGGAAACTAATCAACAACATCCAGCATAAGAAGAAAAAGAAGAATCATCCAACTAATTTCTTAATCTAATTATCATTTTGTGTCCCTCGTTTTAAGTGAAATGGCAATTTAAGTTAATCCTTTCATAATAAAGTGTCACCTAGAGTGAAATTGGAAACTTAAAAACTATTTAAATATTTTTGTTGTTATTCATCTTACGCACAAAACTATTAATGACTATTTAGGAGATAATTGGAAGTTAATAAGGCTACAGGAAGTTGGTTTTGGTTCTTAAAATTAAAGAATATGTATAACTCCTTTTTAAGCTTTCTATAAATATCAGGAATGTTGAAAGGATTGTGTTGTTGACTTGTGCCAGAAGATTTAAATTGAAAGCTTTGATAACGTGTAGTAAACGTGGAAGAGTAAATTTTAGCGAGAAATAAAATCTACCTAAAATAATAAATAAAACATTAAGTAGTGATTTAAACTACTTAACTTTCACACAAATATCACCAAACTATTCCTTTTTTGAATAAACATGCGAAATAATTCCCACAAACTACCACATCTTCAAATCCATTAATTTAGAGCACATTCAGGACATCTTTTAATATTCTTGATCTCAGCCAAACTTTTTCAAAGACAACCATCTAAGCGGCGAATTGTCTTAACTCCTAAATATTTCAGATCTACTTGACCATAACTAGCCTCCAACAGGCTGCTTAGTAAACCAGTGATTAGTCGTAACAAGTAACAGACAAAGATGACATGCTTCGCTTGAAAACTTCTCTTAAGTAAAATTTTCTTTTATATTTCTGGCATACATTATCGAAATCATTTCTACTACGCATATGTAAATGCTTTCAGATGCTGGTGTGGTTTTAGTTTAACCTTTTGTTGTCAAAGGCAGAATTTGCCATAATTTATATATTCGTTGATATTTCATTGTCAAACAATTAATCTGAAAGCTTTCTCATTGCACTTTTATCATTTCATTTTAAATATTCTATGGCATTTCATTATAATTCAAATTCAAAAATAAATAAATAAATAAATAAAAATTTGAATAATTTGAATTGACAATGTAATCATTTGTAAAATTTAATTAATTATGCTCCCGTTTTCTCGACTTGCACATATATAAAAGAAAAATTAAATTCTTTAGAATTCAGTTGAAAACAAAGTGTAAGTGAAGAATGAAGAATCGTATCGGAATTTATTTTAGTGGAATTGTTTGTTTGATTTTGTTGACAAATGTTTTAACAAAAGCATCTGAATCTGACCCAAAAGGTGTGATATTTCTATTTAAATCCAGTTATTTTCTAAGAAAATTTTCAAACTCAGCTGAGGTACAATCTTGCGATAGCGGCTCAGGAACTTGCGTAGACGAATGCGATGAATTTCTTACGATTGATACTGACACTGATTGCAAATCAGGAAAAGTTTGTTGCGTAAAAAGATGCACCAAGGAATATGGAAGGTGTAGACCTTCAAGTGGATGCGTTTATTCGCTATTTGATAAGAAAGGCGTATGTAGAAGAGGAGAAAAATGTTGTTACACACCTCCCCCTCGAATGCCTCCCACAGAAGTAATGTCTTAAATATAAAAAAATAGGAACAGAAACAAATACAGCATTGTACTTAAATTAATAAAATAAAAGTTTGCAACTAAAAATGATTAGGTAATATTCTTTAACTTATTCGTACCAACATCGGGTTTCTTTGACACATCCGTGTTATTTGTTCGCCATGAATTGTCATAAAGAAGAAATCAAAACTGAATTTTGTGTAGGCCATCAGACGAAGAACTAATGTTTTTTTGTTCCCCATAAGCCATTAGTTTATCGAACTTTCTGTGCAACACAATAACAGATGAAATTCATCATTTATCAATCAGAAGTTGTAAACTAAACTTCTTTAAAATTACAGCCGCATTTAAAACGGATGGATCTGAAGCCCATTGCCCTTCTCCTGTCCTAGGAGATGAAGATTGCAATGGTAGAAGAAAATATTGTAGAGGGCCCTTATGTCTCAAAATCCCTGCTGCTCTAAGGTTTTTAATTTTCAAGTTTACCAGAAACTCATTGAAGTTTAATTTCTCTTAAAATTTATTTTGATTTGCAACTAACAAAGTATGACTCCCACATATAAATAAATAATAAATAAAGGATAAATAAATATTCTATGGAATTTGAGACGAAAATGCTTGGAAATTCATAAATACTTCTTCAACAATACATAACAACGACCACGCTAACTGAAATTCATAGTTTTCTCGTCTGCTGATATAATTTATGACGACAGAACAACGTTTTCAGAGAAAAAGAAAAGTATAATTAATGCAGGATGGTGATGCTTCGTTTAACATTATAATTATTTATGTCTTATGGTCTAACATAAAAATAAACCCATAGGAAAATATTTTTTCATTAGTCGTTAAAATTATCCAAGTATTAATTTTTTATGCAGTTTGAATCGTATGAAATATTAAAGAAGAATGAAATATTGCAATATATTGTGAGGAAAAGCTTTCAGAACTTTTAATTTTTTAATTGAATCAACACATTTTCTAACCTTTGATTTCTTTTGTTGCTTTTGAGAATGCCTTCAAAGAAAAAAATTTATCATTAAAATTTCTCTCTGAACAATACACTTTAAAATATATTCAATGTAAGTAGAGCAAAGATCTTTTCCTGAATCAAATAAACGACTTTTATCTTATTTTATATAAGTCTTTGAGTAGATCATCTCAGACAATCACTCACAGAAGACGTTTTAATATTTAAATTACACTGCATCATAATTTTAATTTGTTTTCTTCCCACGAGAAAACTTTATCAATGAAAATATTAAAACCATTTACAAGCACGAGCTAGCATTCAAAAAACCTAATTGAGAACGTAAAATGATAAACAAATAGTTCATGCGTGTATTGAATTCATATAAGTAATGAACAACGACATCGGAATTTGCTGAAGTAGGTTAAAAATGAAGTGAGAAAGCAATTAGAAACAAAAGTTTTGAAAGGTTTTTAAATATAATTTCATTTTTTATTCATAATATTCTCATAAATCTAGAAAAAGTTCTAATTTTCATTCTCATTCTTAAAGATTTCTTGAGTATCCCTTGATAAAGCATGTTTATCATGAACGTTCTACAAATAAATTGAATTATTTAAGTATTTTATTAGTTTTTTATCTCACTTACGTTAAATAATAAACGTGAATGTGTTGAATGAAATTTTAACAAATAAATTTTCATTTTTCATTCAGTCTTGATTGTTCAGTAAATGAAAATGCGTCGATCGAGCGTGCTTAGTTCTGTAATTTTCTTATTTATTACTATTGTTACTGTAAAGTGTGAATGTAGATACGAATATCTGCTACCAAGAAATGTTGCGCCAACATTTTACGATCTCCACTTCACAATTGATTTGGACAATTTGACATTCGCTGGAACTGAGACAATACATTTATATGTAAATAAGTCCACATCGTCAATTAAAGTGCATGCACTTGATTTAGTTATTGATGACGAAGTTCAAGTAATTCAAGAGACAAATGTTATTCCAGTGACATCAACGCATTACGCGGATCATACGCAAATGTTTACAATTAATTTGGCACAAGATTTAAGTACACATGAATATTATGAACTTAAATTATCATTCAGAGGTGAAATAAAAGATGAATTAAAAGGCATTTACAGAAGCAGCTTTTACGAGAATAACGTTGTCAAGTAATTTTTTATATTTCGTTGGATAATTTTAATTGCGAGGATTTTTCTCAAGATTATTTATCCTCGACAATTCTTTCCTTATTAAAATTTATGTTAACGTCAAGCTTATCTTAGATACATGTACACAACATTATCTGCTGCTGCTTATGCCAGGAAAATATTTCCATGCTTCGATGAGCCTTCATTCAAAGCAAAGTTTCGAGTTGCTATTACGGATAAGAACAATCTCGTCACTCTAGCGAACACAAAGATTGTTGACGTTGAAACTTTTGAAATGTATGCTTGTCGCACATACATATGATTTTTTTACTGAGCTCTTTAAGTTCACTTAAAAATTTTACAGGGAAAATGGCGAAACATGGAAAACAACTAATTTTGAAGTGACACCTGTGATGTCAACTTATCTGCTTGCCTTTGCTGGTGCAGACTATACAAACACCACTTTGTTTGAACCGAAAGAATTTTCAGTTTATTCAAGTCGAACTGCTTTGCCAACTATGAATTATGCTTTGAATGTTGGTTCTGATGCACTCCAGAAGATTCAAGATTATGTTGGACATTCATACCCATTGGAAAAAATGGATTTCATTGCCATTGATGACTTCATGTTTGGTGCCATGGTATGAAAACTTTTAAATAAATAAATGAACATTTTCAACAATTTTGTTTTTGTTAAATTCAGGAAAACTGGGGACTCATCTCATTCAAGTATTTATAAAGTTAAATATTGAAAAGGAAACTTTTTAAAATTATAAGAAAATTAACTTTTTAGAACTTCAAGATTATCTCATCCAGATGGTAAACTCAATCGAAGGCAAATTCATCGCGTGGTTAGCATCATCTCACATGAAGTAAGTTAAGTTTATTTTATTTTTGTTATCTAACTTCACAATTTTCAGCTTGTTCATATGTTTTTCGGTAATCAAGTTACGTGTTATAACTGGGATTACGTTTGGTTGAATGAAGGCTTTGCAACTTATCTTGAAAATATTATTTCCGATAAGGTAAATAAATTGCCCAGAGAATTAAATTGATGGATTGAATTGAAATACTTAAAAACAAAACAAAAATATTCTCAGATCCTGCCAAATTGGCGCATTATGGAATATTTTGTTGTTAATCGTATGCACACAGTTATGTTGGAAGATATTCAACCTAAAACTCATCCGATGACACGACAAGTCCTCACACCTGATGAAATAAGTAAAATCTACGATTTTGTGGCATACCCGAAAGCGGCTTCAGTCATTCGAATGATTGAACATATAATGACGCCAGAAGTATTTCGAAAATCTCTCAACCTTTACATTCAGGAGAGGTGAGACAAGAATTTGCGGTTTCGCTGCAGTCAAATGAAAATGAAATTTTTCAGCTTTAAAAATTAATTTTTCAATTTTATCTTGCAGGAGTTTCCAATCGGCAACAGATGAACAACTCTATGAAATCATGGAAGAAACTATGAGAGAAAACAATGAATGTGAAATGACTTATCCACCCATACCAGATATTTTCAGAAGTTGGGCGAAAAACGCTGGCTATCCAATTCTCAACGTTGAACTCTTTTATGAGAATCAAACAGCAAAACTTTCACAAGAGCTTTTCGAGCCTTCGATTGGAGTTCGTACCCCATCTTACTTCTACATTTTGTACAACTATGTTGCAGCCTCATCATCAGACATCGAAAACGGATTCGAGAAAACAACTGCAAAAAATTGGATTTATCTAGGGAATGAGTTTTTCCACACAATTCAGGATTTGATGGCTGGGCGGTGGGATGGGCATTGGGTTGTTTTCAACATTCAACAAACCGGTGAGAACTTATGAAGCATACAAAGTTTAAACTTTCATACAATGCAATTTGCAGCAGCTTTATAATATATTGAATATTTGTTATTCCCAGGATATTATCGTGTTAATTATGATACTAGAAATTGGATGGCATTAACCGACGAATTAAATGGAGTAAATTTTACAAGAATTCATGAATTAAATCGTGCACAACTTTTAGATGACAGCTTTAATTTGGCTCGCTCTGATTATTTATCATTTGAAATTGCTTTAAATATTCTCAAATATTTAAAACATGAAACTTCATTGGCACCACTTGTTGCGGGATTGAAATCTATCGACTTCCTTTTAAGCTTTCTGGATCAACAAGATTTCTTTGAAGATTTACATGATGTTTTGTTGAGCATTGTTGATGAGATTTACGTGACGACTAATAATCCACCTGCAACTATCACAACTGAAGATGAAGATTATCATGTTCTCACAAAGCTTCATGTGAACATGTTTGCTTGCAAAATTGGAGCAGAGTCGTGTGTACGAGATACAACAAAGAAAACTTTCCTGTTTGATTTCGAGATGTATGAGCTTGATGTCGATGAAAGACCTTATCTGTACTGTGGAATGATGAAAGACGAAATTGCAGCATTTCAATGGTCACAGCTTAAGTTGAAAATTCTGCAAACGAATGGAAGACAGCAATTTTATCGAGAGAATCTGGAAGAAATAAACGAAATTTTTGAAGCATTTACTTTATGTGACACTAATCTTGACCGGATTGAAACACTTTTAAACGATGTTTTCAATTATAGCAACACAACAATCAGCTACGAAAACATATCGAACGAAAATGCATTACAGGTTGTTGAGAACTTAATTCGAAGTAGCAGTGAGAAGAGAAATTTAATGATGAAATTTTACTTGGAAAACTTTGATGCTGTGAATGAGAAGTAAAAGTTTCCCATTAATGTTTTTAACCTGATTTCTAAAATCTTTTTTTCTCTCCTTCATTAGGGTGGCTTTCAGTGAAACATTATCGATTTTTGCACAAACAATCAACACGGTTGAACATTTTGAAAGTTTTCAATCCTTATTCGCAAGAGCGGGAATTCAAAGTTCTCCGGAAATATATGCAGCGATTGATGAAAATATTAAATGGATTTCCCGATTTTCACAAGAAATTTCCGAATGGGTGGCAAATGAAAAAGGTTCAGCAATGAAAACGGGAGTTTCCTTTTTAAGCGTGATAACTTTTGTTTTTGTTATGGCTTTGCAATAAATTTTTGGTTTCTACTTTTAACAGAAAAACAACAAAAGTTATGAAAATAATTTTTCAATTGAAGGGAAAATTATTTTTATTCAATAATCCTTCAAATTTTCACCCACTGTGAGTTTGCTGCTTTTCATACAAATATTTGATATTGGAAGAATTTTTCCAGGAAATTTTCCTTTAAGTTGAATTTTGAATGTTCTTCAATAAAGTCCCTTCATTATGATGATTACCTTGTAGATACTTCTTTTACATACATTTGTGATTTTATCAATTTCTAAAACATATTTACGTACTTGAACAAGTTCCAATATTCATACACGAGAAAATCTCTTCTTTAAACATCATAAAAGCAATTTTCGATGATATCAAAACAGGCATAAAAAGATTTTTTATTATAAATTGCCTCAATGGAATAAAATGATTTAAAAACCTTTTCGCAACCTAAGTGTGCAAGTCGTCTCATGATGATAAGGATTCTCAAGAGCTTAAAAAGGTGAAAGCTTTTGACAAAGTCAAGTGAATTTGATGGTATCAGAAATATGTAAATATAAACAGAATCACATGTGAATATTTTAAAGTATTTCTCTGTCGTCAGTTTCACCATAAACATGAACATTTAAGATCTTTTTGAATAATACATACACTTGAAAATATTCCAAAGAAAACCTTAAATTTCTGTAGACCAAAAAAAAGAAAACCAAAATGCTTAATCGATTTAACTTTTTAAGAAATATTTTTGCAATGAACATATATTAAGTTGATAAATTTCGGGGGGAAAAATCGCTAACATAATTTACTCACAAGGCAAGGAGAAGCTTAACTCAAGTAGCTATTTTAGTTCATGTTGAAACATTTTGCAACATTGCACATTCTCTGTAATTAGTTAGTTCGACTTTGTTCGACTCTTTCTCGAGGAATTATAAGGGAAATTTATTAGCAGCTCTAAATCGTGCTGATTCACTTAAGAGCGTTTGTGGTAAAGCATGTGAAGTGAGAAATGAGAAAGTTAACTCGTCTTCGAGATTTCCGATAAGAAAGTAAATTAGGATTTTGTTCTTTTATTTTTGGAATCTTCTTTTCCACATTCATTTTAACGAGCTTACATCGACATTTGCTACCCCTCACTAGCGAGAGAATTATAGAAAATTCTTCTACATTCCATTCTATGCATTAATTGCATTTTTCTTCCCCATTCGACATAAACAAGAAATAAATTAGTTTTCTTCTGTACAATTGAAATAAAGCTTATTGTTGAACTAAGAAGCTTAACTAGAATTCATTGTAGTTTGAATACCATGAAACTTTTCGTCCAGTAAGTATTTACAAAGTCAATTAACAAAGAGAACTCAATTATTTAATTATTCATAAAATCTCGGTTGGAAAATTCTGGGAGAGCAAAATAATTTTATTGCCATAGTTTTCTAGGAAAGTTGGCGAAAAACAGAAAGAACAAAAAAAAGGAATTGGGTTGGAACCTAGGGTAAAAACAATACCAATTCTTGCAAACTTTTCCTACTCAAAAACATCGTAGCCATTTAATTACAAAATGAAAATTTAATAAACTCGCTATAAATATTTTCAAGTTTAATTCTCAGCAATTTAAAAGTTAGCTAAGAATTACGCAAAGGGATTTAAGTATGCAGCAGTGAAAGAACTTTTTATTATTTATTTCCAAAAGTAAGTTTAAAGCTGTCGCAATTTGAAGCTGTTTTCTACAGAATCTTGTGGTTTTATTTAACATAAATTATACTATTAAACATTTATAATTCCTTCCAAGAAATTTCTAAATATTAAAGATAGAAACACCTAATCATACTTGTCGTTTCTGCATCAAAACAATTTTCATTCGAGAATGAAATAATTCTCGTTGAAGAATTTATTGCGCTTATTCTTTTGTGGATTTGTGAAAATGATATCAAGAAAATAAATCTTCTTTTCCACCGTATCACTTAGCTTTTTCCTTCATTCTTCATTCAGTAAAATGTTTATGGTATTCATCTAAGCTTACGTCTACAGGTTCACAAGAAAGAAAAGAAAGAAGATATCTGCACAAGTCTCTACAGTTGACACGAAGAAAGGAACTTGAGAAGGCATGGCATGTGTGCATAAGAAGGAAATAATTGAATGCCATGTTTGCTGTTGTGTTTCGACAAATCCTCGCCAAATCTTCACTTTCTTAAGGATAATTTCAGACGTACTGGATGTACATATGCATATCACTTCTCCATTGTTACCTTGGAAATTCTCAATGGAAATGGCACAATTTCAGTTGCGTGTTGTGGAAGTAAGTATAAGTACATATCAGACTAAATATTCACGCTTCAGAGAGTATCAATGTTCCTTTTAAAGCTTTTTTAAGCACTGAAGAATGTTGAGATGTTCTGAAAAAATATTATTAATGATTTGTTGAAAGCATTAAGACAAAAATGGAGAAAAAGTGATGTCAAGGGAGATTTTATTCAATTTATGTGAATATTGAATTATCATGAGAATGCAATTTGAATAATTTTTTGGAAAATAATTAAATTATCGAGCTTTTCAAATGACAAATTATAATTCATTGAGTTTTTAAGACTAAATTTCAATTTCTCGATTTGAAAATAATTCTACGAAAATTTGCATTAAACTTTTATCGTTTTCATACATTAATTAAATACATTTCCTTGTTAAAATGACAGACATTTAATAAAACTTCGTTCGTATTTTAGATCAAATAAAAGCCAAAGTTTTTGTAGAAATTATCAAGACAATTTCAGTGTAATTACGATTCAAATTTACTCTTCATAACTTGTTAGTAAAAATTTAAGCGAAATGTCTCTGATAGAAAATCCCAAGCTCTGTTTAATATCTCTCATTGTTTCAAACCTTAAAACAAATATTTACATACCACCGTTTTGAATAATACCAGCATTAATTTCTTTAATTTATGATTCATTACATCGTTAGCGTCAACCGTATCTCAGCGTGTAGAAACATCATAAAAATGATGAAGCATTAAGTGACTCTCGCAATTTTAATTAAATCTAAATTTTGCTCTGCTGTTACAAGTTACATGGATGATGTATTATGTGACATTTGCGGTGATGAAACATTAAGGATCATGTGGAAGTTTCTGCATTATGTTAGACGCGTTTGTAACGTTGCTGTAAAGGCGGATGAATAATCTTTTGAAATTCTACAAAATTCTCTAAATTCAGGTGGCAGTTGTGTTAAATTAAAACACCTACATAGACTCCAACTTAGCTTAAAACTTCCAAGTAAATGTTCAGGGAAGAAAGATTTCGAAACATAAGCTCGACTGCGGTGGATTGTAATAAAGCAGAACATAAAATTTATCCTTTATGTCTTTTAAGATTTGTGATTTTCTTACCACCCAAAGACTAAAATCTGAGACGGAAAACATTTTTCATAAAAAAGATTTTTAATTCTCTGATTTCTGACGTTCAGACTGAAATTAATTGCATCGTAGGATTTAAGAAATTCAAGCATGTTGTTAAAGTTTCTTCTTGCGGGAAAATCGATTGAACTCACTCTTGAACTTGGAACTTTTCATCTTCCTGAACTTTTTTCATGATTCTTCTCAACTCAACCACTATCTCCATACAAAGTCATTGAATTTCCATGTGATTCATAAAATTCTGTAGTTTTCTCTTCTCCAATATTTTTAACGCACTGTTGAGCATACATTTATTTATAGATGAGAAAAATTCAATTTCTACAACATCATAAAATGATTTTGCTCATCGTTTCTTTTAAAGTCTTTTGATCTCTTCAACTCGGAAATGTTAAGAATCTTCGTTTTGATTATTTCTCAGAATTTTGACTTGAAGATGACTTTATTTTTGTTGATTCTAAATATTTATAAACAAAATTTTTCCTTTTATATCTCACATCTAAATATTTTTAAAAACATAATTTAGAAACGACAACAGCTCTTGCCAATAAATTTATGTTTCATTTTCTAAACGATATGGAGAACGATAAATTTTCTCTTTGCAACATCCATTACATTGATTCAGTTCTCAAGTTTTCGAATAACAAATTGAATGACATAAGATATTCAATTCCTTTTCTTCTTTGCCTTCTCATCCCGAATGTTTTGCATCACAAATCACTGAATAGAATGCTAGAAAGCAGTTTGATTTTTCATCGTGATTAATGAGGTTTATTGATTTCGTGAAAGAAATGGCGTTAACAGCTCTCGAAAGAAAACGTTATCTATGACTTCAACAGAGCAGCTAAGAGTGCAGAAATTCCAAAAGCGCGATGATGTGAGAACATAAAAACTTAACAGAAAAGATAACAGAATTTCTCTTTCGTCATCATAAAAGGAGATTTCCGAACAAAGCACTTTTGGAATTCGTACGATAAACTTTCGGTGTCTAGAAAAATAGAAATCGCGATTCTGTTTTAAGAAAATTCTGTAAATAAGAAGAGTCATTATCATGACTATGAATAAGAAAAGGTTTATTGTGAAGCTTGAGAGCTTTTTTTCGGGTTTTTCTCTTGTAATGTTGATACTCAAGTTGAAGATATTAAGTTTTTATCTTTTAAAGACGTCTAATGTCTTTAAGATAACGATACCCTCAATCATATTGATTTTTTATCATTCAGATACAAGGATTACAATATTATAAATTGAGATAGATGTTTGGGAATATTTTTGTCATTTAACAAAGCTGCTGTCAAATCGTAGCAATTAATGAACTATCATACTTATCTATTGGTTTTTATAAAATGTTTTGAATCATCTAAACAGTCCGAATTAAAGCAAAATGAAAATGTTGCAAAGAAAAGTTAGGTTTAACCCAAGAGTCCATTAATCGGACTTGTGAGATGAAGGAATGGCTATAAAATTCATGTCAGAACTTTAATGCTTTTTCTTTCTTCTTTATTGCATGACAATGACCAAGGTTAACGATATTTTTGCTTTTTCTTTCTTCACTTTAGTTTATCTGAGATTTATGTACTTCTACTACATAAGTTGAGAGTTGAAGGAATGTCTGATATGCTTTTATGGAATTCATATCATGACTCTTTCGTATTTACTACAAGCACAATATGCTGTTGATGATGTTATAATAACCAGTATTATGTTTATCGCACGTGTAAAACAATTTACCTATTAAGAGTTTTCAAAGAGATTAGTAAAGGTTGTCCCTATGTAGGTTTTATGTCTATCAGAGCAAATAATGTTCAAGGATATGTTAGTTCCGTAAATATTTATAAGCCTTCAAAGATGAAAACTTTGAGAGTATAAATCAATTTTACCTCATAATACTAATGTTGGTACATAGATATTTATTTCATAAATAAAGTTTACGGGAACAAGCAGAAGAAACATAAAGTTAATTGAAAGTTTTTACAATGTAAGTTGTTCATTCGTCCTCAAAATAATGTTAGGGAAAGTTTGCATCATATTTCAAATAGTATTTAAAGAGACCTTTCCCATGAACCATGAAACGATTTAAGTTGCAATTTAATTATAGGTTTGCTCTTATATCATCTGCAAATACTTGTGAGAGTGAATGAATTGAATTTTTCAGTTCTGCCGTGCAGAAAAGGTATTGATTAGTGAATGCCAGTTGCATACATAATGCTAAAGTTCTAAAAGCGACTTTCAGCAGAGTGCCAGCAGACGTGACATGGAAATTAAAAAAGCTTTATACATGTACATGATTTCCTTGAATTTAGCACTCTGATTTGATTTGCAGTGAACGAGTGGGCAACAAAAAAGATTTAGAGACTTACACGTGATTTCTTTCAAGATATTGTGAAAGAAATTGTTACACTTGGATATTTGTGAACATGAAATTTATGTTAGTGAAGCATTTTTGTGAAATGGCCGATAAACTCGACATGTGCTTTCATTGTAAATGGGTTGAAACTGAAAATAATAAATAACATCAACACATTAGCGACCCTTCGTTGTTATGGACAACTATACACAAAACATAATACGCATTGTACAAACAAACATTCCAAAAAGGTAAACTGAAATCTGACCGAAATCCGATACAACTCTAAACCATGATCTACAATATTTTATTCATTCAAATCTTTCCACTTGTAATTTACTTTTCCTCATACTAAAACAAAGCTTTTCCCATAATTTTTTAATGTAAATAAATAAGAGAAATTTGATAAAATCAATGCTGAAAATAAAATTGTTAACCGTTTTTATGACTTTATAGTTTTTCATCAACTAAACTTGCAATGAAAACTTCAACAATTTGCTTTCAATTTAAATTTGGTTTTTTGTTTGAATGCAAACTTTGCACTGTGAAAATTTTCTCTCCTGAAAGTTTTCCTGTGGAGAAGAAAATGAGAGAAAATTCATCCCCACCACTTCTTTCTCTCAGAAAAGCCGGTTGGAAAACGCACGTGGGATTTCAATGCTATGTGAAAATTCTTCTATACGAATGGTTTTGGAAAACTTTTTGAAAGTAAGTAGCTTGTTATTTCATGCGGTTTGGAAATGCGGAAACTATAATTAAGTTTTAGTTTCATTTGAACACATTTAAATAAAGTGAAACTGATGCTACAACGAAAAGGATTTTCCCATTGAAGATTTCGTACGGTTACAAATCTTTGAAATCTTTTTAAGCGAAAAGTTCATTTTTCAAACTTCCCACAATACCATACAAGAATTCTAAATTTTCCTCGCCGTTGTAGCATCGGCAAACCATTAATTAATTTCATAAATAAGAATTCCGACGAAGCGGCGTCACCACTAAATTATTTATTAAAAAATAAAACAATTTCATTTATTTTCTTCAATAATGAAATGAAAGATTACTTCTAATGAAACTATTTTTAAACATTTTTCAATCATGAAATCTTAAAAGCAATTGCTGTGGATTTTGTGAAAATTATTCGATTTTTCCAGTGGTTTTCCGAATCAATCTTCTCGTAATATTTAAAACTTTTTCATTGTCTGATGTGGTTCCTAAACAGTTCTTGCTTCTCATATTTTCTGTAACAAAAAGCTTTTTTTAACTTTTGTATTTTTCCCATCTGAAAACGAGGTTTGTAAAGAAACCATGCTGAAGGGCATTTTGTTCATCTCGTTAAATTTGCTTTGTTGAAATCTGTCGCGGTAAAAATCATGTAAATGGAAAGTTTTTTAACTTGAACAAACGAAGCCTTAATTAAACACTCAATAGCCAGCAGTGGAAGGAATTTTCAATGTTCTATGAATAGCATAGCTCTCTCGGTATAAATCAAATAATAACTTAATGCAATTTTAATCTTTTAGTGGAAATCCATTGGAAAACCAGCGTTTTATTCAAATATTTTCACAGAACAAGGTTAGTAAAGAACTGAATCAGGAATCATAAATCAAAGAAGTTCCCAAGCTGCCATCCATTAACAGTGAACATGTTCATTTAAAGAAGCTTTCACTTTGTCGAAATGAGTTAACAAGTGCAATAAAAATATTCGAAAAATATTTAATTCTAGTTTGGATCATAATCTAAAAGCCTAAAACCTTAAGTAAAAAAAAATGTTAATTGAAATCCAACATAGAATTAAACCCGATTTCGAACATTAAAAGATGAAAGTTTAGCATGTGAAAGCAATGAAAATCATTTCCCATACTTAGAAAGCTTTTTAAGGAATTTCATTTAGTTATGAAGTTATTATAGACTTACATTCTGTAATAAGAGTAGAATAGATTTAAATATTATTTGCTTACATTTTTAAATTTCAGAATTTTTTAAATTGCTTCAAATCATTCTAATGTGCGAGTTTTGATTACGATACAAAAATTTCATATCTAACAACAAAACATTCATGAAAAATTGAATTGTTAACAGAAGAATAAATTTGATTTCCTTGTTTTGCTTTAATTCATTTGATATCCTTGTGGAACAATTTTGCGCCAATAAAATTTAATTCTTTTTTATTTACAACGAACAGAAATTCACGAAAAACTTCATTAAGTTAAACAATTTAAATTTTTAAGTAATCCTCTGAAACTCTTACTTTCCCAGTTTTTCTTAAATTTAAACGAAAATGTAAAAATTCAAAAAGAAAAATTAAAAAAGCAAAGAAAATTCCAATAAACAAAAATTCAAATTCACTCCAAAGATTTTCAAAATTCAACTTCTTTGGACCACTTTTAGTTTTCTTTATGTTGAGATATTTTGGATTTACATATTTCTTGATCGAGAAGTCCAACAATCCATTTTCCTTGAATGCCTCTAACTTTTCATTAAAAATTTCTACAAGAAATGAATTCTTTGGAAACATCCAAGCTGACTGCACTGAGAAAATTCGTTCTTTCAACACTCTCAAAACAAATTTTTTATAATTATTTTTGTTGTAATACGCAATATTATCAATAAAATAAGGAATAACTCCTTCGAAGTTAGCATCATGAACCTTCTCATAATATTCGCCTATGCTTGAATTAAAGGTTTTCGCTCTGAAGATAAGAATCAAAATTAATCATTGAATAATTGCTTTTGTAATTCTCACCTTCGCAATAATCTTAATTCCTTGTAATTATCATAGAAAGAAGGATAAACATAAACGGGGAATTTTTTATCAATCACCTCCTTTAACGATGACAGACCCGGTCTTCGATTGTCTGATTGAAGAAAATTAAAAAGAGCTGCTGTGTAGAGAGTTCGTATAACTAAACAGAAAAGCAAAAATGATGTGAGAAGAACTCTAGGTGTTGACCGTTTTGGTAATACATGCAGTGAACCTCCAACTAATGCCACAATTATACTCATTGCTGGCATTTTTATTTCCTTTCCTACGACAATTCTATTAAGTGCAGAATGAGGTTTCCTTGATAAGACAACAGCGATTGTGAATCCAACTGTGAGAATAACCAATAAAACTATCCAAACTATTCCTTCGAATGGTTTTATCATTTTCTCAAAAGCAGTAAATGGTTGTCCAGGAGGCACAACAACAAGAACGTCATTAAAATTTACAACTGTGGAAAATGCAACGTAGAATGTTCTGATGTAAGTTTTGGTTATCGATCCAATCATCAAGTCAACTTCTTTTTCTATGACTTTTAGGTAGCTTCCACTAGCTTCTCCATTTGATTTTATTCGTCCCCATGCACCCGGTGTGGGATCAAAATTGTATTGAATTGAAAAGTTCAAAACATTTGCTACTCCTTTGAGTATTTCCACTTCGCTTCCTCCAAGTGTGTAATTATTATCATCATAAGAACCTTCCATAATGATTGCAGGTTCATAAATAAATGTAGCAACTTTCAAAGGACAACCAAAGAAGTTCTTCGTCTTTGATAAAAAGAATTCTTTAGACTTCCACTGATTATTCTCATATCTATTGATGACAACTGGTTCTGTTGAATTGCAAATTTTCTCAGTAAAATAGAAAAATGTTTTAAGTTGAATGACATTTGAATCATTAGAAATGACGTTCACATTATGAATGAATAAATCGGATAAATTTCGGAATAAATTGTTAAGAATGTCGAAGGTGGCTTTAAAGTTTACATAATGAATCAAATAAAATCCACTGAAATCAAATCGATGCGGTGTCAACTGTTTGATCATGAAATCAGTTTTAGAATGATCCATGAGTATCAAGACATATTTTCTTATAATTGAATCATTGAGCTCTTCACAACGTTCTATTCTGTAACTTATTGATCCTTGACTTTCTTCCAATAAAGATCCAATAATGTCACTTCTTATGTCATTATTATGCGTGCATGTTATAATATCCAAAGTAACTGCCACAAATGAATCTTCAACGACTTTCAATAACGCATTGTGCAACTCATCAAGTTCAATTTCATGTTCAAATGTGAAACTTAAGATTCCTTTAACACTGAGTGAAAATATTAAGAATTTCAAGAGATTTTGAATCATTTTATGTGGAACGTTTTGAATTCGATGAAGAACTGAAAGTTTTGTCCACTGGGCATACATCAGAACCTTAACTTGTCACTGATTTAAAAGAAACTCGTGATTATCTCTTCAAAATAAATAGAAAATTGGTAGTTAAGTAAATAAATGTTGTGCATTGATCAATCATTATTTTTGATGTTATTTTATTAAATATGACAACACAAGAAATGAAGAAAACTCGAAAACTTGACACTTTGATCAGTTAAGTGAAAAGAAAGACGGAAAGGTTTATATGGAATGAATTGAAAATATTTTGACAAGGATAATTTCAAACCTGACAAAATAAAACTGTTTCATGTCTATTTAAGGCTTCAATTTTTGACACATCATCCTCATCAATATGAGGATAAGAACATCGTTTGACATGCTCTATTAATTTAACATTGCAATAAATGAATGTGACAAATTAATTTTCTATATTCAACATGTTGTGATATGTTGTTATTGTTTGTTAAAAAACAGAAGAATCAATTTTGAATATGTTCGTTTGTTTAATTTTATTGTCATGTAAAAGGTTTACAATCCCTTCATAAACATCAAATAAAATTTAATTAAAAGAAGAGATGAAAATGATTTATTCTCGTCAAAGCTTTCAGAGAACATCATTCAATGTAAAGGTAAACTAATGAATGCAGTTAACATAAAAAGTAACAACGTAAAACTGTCATAGACATTTCTTACTGCATTCGTTCTCATCATTATTATCAAAGTTTGGAATTGTGAATTTTTTTAAATGACATGTTGAAAGCTTTTCATGTAACATCAGAAATTTACATTCCAATTTGTTTTTTATAAGCAAATCTCGTTTTTACTATGGTTAGCTGTGGTGATAATATCCCGATTAAAGATGCAAAATTAATGTTTTCAGCTTACATTCGCGTAAAACTTTCCCAGGTAATTTTCTCTCCATGTGCAATAAAAGATTATAATAATGGAGAGTTAAGTCCATCAGCATTAAAACTGCCAAATTTTTCGTCATCAGTTTAAAGTTCTTTAAAAAGTGTTCATGTAAAACTGTGTGGGAAACTTATAAATAAATTTCAAAGAGAATAAATTTGAAATTCCCTTTTCAATTTCAATGTAAACCCCAAACGACAAATTTATTCGTCTACAAATTAAAAGTAGATAGTCTTGAAATCTTCACATCCTGGGGCTGAAATTTTAATTTTTATTTCCTATAAAAATGGAAAAGTTTCCCATTTCATTGGTTTCGATTTTCTCTTTGTTTAAGGGCAGCAAGAAGAATTTAAATTTATGGAAAACGATAGAATTGTTCATTGAAAGTTTTGTGATTTTATTTTGTTCTTTTTTATGTTTTAAAGATAAAGTTTTCCTGTTTTTCTCACTTAAAGCTGTAAATTTTTTTTCACACCAAAGTTTCGTTTTTTTTTTTCTTCCCTTTTCGTCCTTCTTTTGTGAAGGAAGGAAATTGGATGAAAAATTTATTATTAAGTTTTTCTTATGCATGTGCCTGCAGCATTACACAAACGTATTGAAAGTATCTCGATGAAATATTTCCGCTACAATTGTATCACGTACGAGTTGCATTAATAAAAATTTTCATTCGTTTACCACTGCACTGTTAACATGCTGTGCTTGACGTTGTTACAAAATCAGCGAAGAAAAAATATTTTTCGCTTCCGGGGTTTATCACACAACATAAATAAAATATTGGCATTAATATTTCAGATAAAATATTGCCAATCAAAATCGTATAAATACAAATTAAATTTAATAAATTTAACTTTAATATCTCAAAAATAAAAGCAAGAACGAATAACGAAACAAAGACGTAACGTATTTCTTTGTCATAGTCCGAATGGGAAGCAAGAAGACATCGAGAGGGAAAAAACTTGTTTCCTTAACAGCTGTTCATAAACAAACAACATAAAAGCATAAACCAAAAGGATAGAAAAATTTATAAAATTTCACGTATTTATTTTATAAAAGTCGCTGGAAATGCGATGGTACATTAAATATCTCATATTATCATTGATATTTGTAATAATTTATGTTTCAATTTATCAATATTATGATAAATATTTCGATGTTAAGAAATCTAAAACCTCAAATTCATCAGAATTAATTATATCAGTTGTTGTTTGTGGAATAAGTCGAATTGAAGAAGTTTTAGCAATTATTAAGTCAGCTTTAATATTCTCAACACCAAAGGATCGAATTAAGTTTATTATTGTGACAGAAAATGATTTGTTGGAACTTCTCCAAGAGAAACTCGAAACATATCAGAATCAAAGACATTTCCTTTTCGACTTGCGGGAAATTAAATTTCCGGGTGAGGACCAAGAACTATGGAGAAAGCTGTTCAAGCCTTGTGCTTCACAAAGACTGTTCTTGCCATCAGTGTTGAGTGATGTTGACGCTACGATCCTTTACCTTGACTCAGACACTTTATTCTTGTCACCACCACAAGAAATCTTTGATTACCTTCGTCACTTTAACTCGTCACAAATTGCAGCAATGACACCTGAATCTGAACATAAGAATGTTGCTTGGTATCCAAGATTTTCATCTCATCCTTTCTATGGCGAGTGTGGAGTTAACTCAGGTGTTATGTTAATGGATTTAACAAAGATGAGAAGTCTTAAATGGGAACAAGAAATGCTTCGATTGTATGAGAAATATCGACTAAATTTGGTGTTTGGTGATCAAGATTTAATCAACATTTATTTTTCACAACATCCCGAACAGCTTTTCATTCTTCCATGTGCATTCAACTACAGACCAGATCATTGCATGTATGTATCAATGTGCCCAGTTGAAGATGGAATAAAACTTCTTCATGGCAATCGAGGATATTTCCATAAGACAGAGAATCAACCAATTTTTAATCAACTCTATGAATCCATTCAAAAGGTGACATAAATCAAACATTTTTCCTGTAAATCTTAATTTTATGTTGATATTTATTTGCAGCATCAATTTCATTCAAATCCATGTCGAATCATCAAAGAAGTTGAATATCAAATACAGGGAACAAATTCATCGAAATGTAGTAAATTAAGTGACAAATTTCTTCAAACACCGAAGAGGATTCTCAAGCGAAACTGTGAGACTGACGATTACAGATTTGATCAATAAATCAATTCAAATAAATTCTTTATTGAATTATAAAATATTAAAGTACAAAATGAGAAGTGAGACTCATAGCCATTGCCGTTTAGAACTTTTTCAGGTGAAACTTTTGTGTGAATGAAACGAAAATTAATATAAAAAATTGAAATTCAAAGAAAAAGTCATTTAGAACAATCCAAACCAAGATTTTCTCTGATAAGTAATTCCTTTTCCAATTGCATCTTGGACAGTTTGGTGACCTTGTTCTTTGAGAATTTCTTCGAGTTCTTTCTTGATTTTAGTGACAATTGGCGGCCCATGATAAGCGAAACTTGTGTAGATTTGAACTGCTGACGCACCAGCACGAATTTTCTCATAAACATCTTGACCTGATGACACTCCACCGACCCCAATGATGGGGATTTTTCCTTGCGTTAGTTTGTAAGCTTCACTGATCATTCTTGTTGATTTTTCTTTCAACGGTTTACCACTCAAACCACCAACTTCATTGTTAAATTGACTGTGCAAAATCATCGAACGATCAACTGTTGTGTTAGATATAATGAGGCCATCGACTTTACATTCCTTCTTTTTAATAATCCCACAAATATCTTTAAGTTCCGTATCAGTTAAATCAGGTGAGAGTTTTAAGAAGATTGGCCGTGGAAGATCAAGCGCGAGGTTTTCTTTGACAACATTCACAAGGAGATCTTTCAAAGTATCTTTTTGTTGCATTTTCCTCAAGCCTGGTGTGTTTGGACTGCTTACATTGACGACAAGATAATCAGCAACTGGTCCAAAGAGTTTAACTCCATCGACATAATCCTTGACAGCGTCTTCTGAAGATTTGTTTTTCCCCAAATTAACACCAATAACTCCTTCATATCTCTGATGACTTCTTAATTGTTGCAAACGTTTCCAAACTGTTTCATGTCCATCTGAGTTGAAACCATAGCGATTTATTATTGCGTCGTCTTCGATCAGCCGGAAAACTCGCGGTTTTTGATTTCCAGATTGAGGAAAAGGTGTGACTGACCCAATTTCAACAAATCCGAAACCGATTTTATCCAAACCTTCAACTGCTTCAGCATTTTTATCAAAACCGGCTGCAATTCCAACGGGATTCTTAAGGAATATATTTTGCATCCGAGTATTCTAGACAAAAATCAGATGAAACTTTCTCTTTCGTGCTACTTTTATTTGAATTAATCTGTAACACTTACCAGCGAATCTGGATCTTTGTAGTCCACTGAAGGAAGGATTTTGTACTTGCAAGTCTTCACAGCCAACTCATGAGACCTTTCGGCTTCAAATAAACGCATCAGCGGCATCAAAACATAGTCGAAAAGTCTCTCATCGTTTTTATAAAAACAATAGCCACCGAGAAGTGCAGTGGCCGATGATGTTATTAAAACCATTGATTTGATCTTATGCAGAAGTTTAGATGAACTCATGATGAGTTTGTTGACTTTTTATTTAAATAAATCTTAATTTTTTTTGTTTACAACTTTTTTTCTTACATTTACCTTCCCATTCGTACACAAGTTCAGGGAAGACTTCAAAAAGTTGGTACCACTTTGTATGAAAAGTTGGTTTCCAGTCCGCGGAAAAACTACCTGGGCCATCTTCTCTCAAATGTTCAGGGTTATGAAAGATATGCACACATGTGCACCCCGTTTATATGAACTTTCCGGACCCAAATTGTAAACAAGACAATGCGAGATTTAAAAAAAAGATTCGAATAATTAAGCTTACTAAATAATAAATCATCTGAAAAGTGCTATAATTTGTAAATTATACTATTTTCTAAACTTTTATGTAAAATAATAGAGAAATCATGTTGCAAATAATGCTTTCAACCGCTAGAACTTCAAATATTTTACCCAAAATTGTTTTACGATACAATTCAAGTTTTGCAACAGCATTTGAAGTTGTTGTCATTGGAGGCGGCCATGCGGGAACAGAAGCAGCATCAGCAGCTGCAAGAATGGGTGCGAATACGTTACTCATCACTCACAAAAAATCAACAATCGGTGAAATGAGCTGCAACCCGTCGTTTGGTGGAATCGGGAAAGGACATCTCGTAAGAGAAATTGATGCACTCGACGGCGTTTGTGCAAGATGTTGCGATATATCGGGAGTTCAATACAAAGTATTAAATAAAAGTAAAGGTCCAGCAGTGTATGGATTACGTGCTCAAATCGACAGAAATCTTTATCGCAAAGCAGTTCAGGAAGAATTGATGAGTGCAAGAAATCTTGAGATTATTGAAGATTCAGTTGAAGATATAATTTATGATAAAAGCGACTTAAACACTTGCATTATCAAAGGTGTTTCCACAAAAGCAGGTCGTGAAATTGGATGTAAAAGTGTTGTGATTACAACGGGAACATTTTTACGAGTAAGTTTAATTTAAAAGTATTTAATAAATTTTCATTAATTATGTTAACCTTAGGGTCAAATAAATATTGGTCTTGATGTGAGACCAGCTGGACGTATTGGAGATGAACCAGCAATTGGACTTGCAAAAAGCTTAGAAAGTTTAGGATTTAAACTTTCCAGACTAAAGACGGGAACACCACCGAGAATAAAAGCGGACACAATAAATTATAAAATTTTAGAAAAACATTATGGAGATAAAATTCCAGTTCCTTTTAGTTTCATGAATTCTAAGGTGTGGTTGAATCCCGAAGATCAGCTGGTTTGTCATATGAGTTACACAACGAAGTCAATCAATTCCATTGTCAAAGACAATCTTCATGTTAATAGGTAAGAAGTTTAATTAAATTTCATTCAACATTTTAAGTTATTTTCGTAATTTTTTAATAGACATGTGACTGAAGAAGTGACAGGTCCAAGATATTGTCCATCGATCGAATCAAAGATTCTTCGATTTGGAGAGAAAACGCATCATATTTGGTTGGAACCTGAAGGATTTGACAGTGAAGTCATCTACCCAAATGGCCTTTCATGTACACTTCCAGCTGATCTTCAAGCTAAACTTGTTAGGAATCTCGTTGGATGTGAAAATGCCGAAGTTGTTCGACCTGGTTATGGTGTTGAATATGACTATGTTGATCCACGTGAATTATTCCCAACATTAGAGACGAAAAGAGTTGAAGGTTTGTTCTTAGCTGGTCAAATTAATGGAACAACAGGATATGAAGAAGCAGCAAGTCAGGGTGTAATAGCTGGCGCTAATGCAGCTAGTAAAGCTTTGAGAAGAAGCGAGTTGACCGTCAATCGAACAGAAGCTTACATTGGAGTTTTAATTGATGACCTCACAACTCTCGGCACTAACGAACCTTACCGAATGTTCACGTCACGGAGTGAATTTCGTTTGACGCTTCGACCAGACAACGCAGACTTACGACTCACTGCGAAGGGCTATCAAATTGGACTCGTATCGGAAAAACGATATCAAAAAATGTGCGATACTCGAGTGAAGTTAGATAAGGCCTTAGAATTACTGCAAAACTTTACAATGACTAACAATCAATGGCGCGAAAAATTGAACATGAATCAAGTGAAGACGACGGGTTTTAAGAGGTTTGTTTTTCTTATTGTTTCTTGGAGTGACGTAAGAAATGACGAGAATGTTTGTTATTCTCCGTCACTCGTTATTTGAATGCTTTTTGAATGATGTGAGTTAAGAGATTAATGTTTTACAGCGCTTTTGAGTTTATATCGTTAGCTGGTCCACCAAGTGTTGAAGACATCTGCAATCTTGATCTTCCTAATCTTGGGTGGATTCGAAATGATTCTGATCTTTGTAATCGAGTTAAAATTGAAGCAATTTATGAAAGAGTTGTGAACGAACAAGCGAAGGAAGTTGTTGAGATTCGTCGTGATGAAGAAATGAAGATTCCCAGAAATATTGATTATTTATCGGCATCTCTTTGCTTATCATTTGAAGAACGAGAAAAGTTAATTATGATTCAACCTCAAACAATTGCAGCTGCAACAAGAATTCAAGGAGTGACACCATCAACAGTTCTCAGACTTTTAAGATTCGTCAAACAAAACGATAATCAAAGTAAAATGTTGACATGATAAGAATGAATGATTGAAAGTTTCATCATCAATAAATCAAAATTTATTTAATTTACACAAATTTACAAATATTTAAATAAAAGTCATGTCAAGTGTTACACTTTCTTAAAAAACTAATTAAGAAAAATTCTACATAAATATTAACTAAAGTAACTCATTCGAAACTAACTTCTAACTAAAATCTTTTTTAAGTCTTTAACAATTTTCATTATTGGGATGTCGAGTGCTAATTAATTAATTTGTTGATCTTTGGAGATGATTGTGTCATGAAATTAATTGTTGGACTTTTTTTTCGTATTCCTACAATCAAACTAATGTAAAACTATTCATTAAATCGACTTCTTTTCTAAAAGAATTTCTTCGTGGTGATTTCGAGTTTTTACGATGTATTTGAACTGTTTGGAGTGTTTCCATTTCAAAATCTTCTCCGTCTTTCCTTCGTTTTTTCTTTATATCAGACGATCTTCTTCTGCTTTCAAAGTCTATGTTGGGACCAATCGGCGATGGAACCTCGCGTGTGAATTCAAACTTTCCACCGAGCTTCCGAAACAGCGAATAATTACAAATTGCTGGATAAATTTTCACCGAAGCAAATATTGAACAGTTTCTAATGAGAACGAAGTTCAACTCAAATAATCCTCCGATTATCATGATGAAACTTATCCAAATGATGTAAATATCAAATAGAAAATATGGAATGAAGAGATTTGTGTTTTTCTGAAGAAATTGAAAGTGATTAAATAATGTTTGACAATTAAACTTTCTTTCAACCAACCGTTCCAATTCCAATAGTATAAACAAATGAAAGAATCGAATATGCAATAAAAATCAACATTAATATTCCATTAACTGTTAAGCTTTGAACTAATTAAAGAAAAGAAATATTCGAAATGTAAGTCACAATCCGATAAGAAAGCTGATTAAGGTCAGATTACTTACACCGATATTCAATATCTATGCCATCAGAATCGTCAACAACAGATTCAACTAAAAAGTGTTTAAACACACAAATTAATCCATTTGATATCTAACAAAATTTCTTCAGAAATTCCGATAAAAAAAAATTCTTTTTTAAGTTGACTCACGTCCATATTCGTAATCGTAATCTTCTTCTTCTGGCAGCCCAAAAATCAATTCGTAATACCAATTGTCTTCGATGTGCTCTTCAAACTTATACAAGTCGTAATTGCGGAAGAATTCAAATTCATTATCAATAGCTGCGTATGATAAGAACAACCACAACATCATCTCAAATGAGATATAACATAGCACTCCAATCCTTAAATCAATGCACAGAAAAAATTTGGTAACCTTCGGATAAGGTGAGGCAGACATAAGAAGTTTATTAATCTTCACCTGCCGAAAATTGAAATCTAACTGCAGTCGAGTTTGTTTTTCGTAATTGTCAAAAATTAACTATGTGACTCAAAACTAGATAAAAGAATTCATTCTTTTGGGTTCGGCTACCGTTGTTATCATCGTCGTTTCCTTATCATTCGCGAACGTTATCATCATTAATCTTTTCTCGATAAAAACAGACGGAATTGCTAAAGGCGAAAGTGTTTTCGCACGAGGGATTCAGTAAAGTGCCAACAAACTGTAATGACAACGTGTGATATTGTTTGTATATAATCGGATAAGTTTTGTTAAGGTGAAGGTTTGATAACGCGAAAATCCAAAGCTTTTAAACAATCATCAGCTTAACGATGAAATAGAACAACAGGAATGTCAACCAACGTTTGTCATTTGTGATGATTTGTGATGATGTAACTAAAAAAACAATAAAACTTTGTAAAGAAACTCTAAGTGAAATCTTTTATGAATTTAAATAACTTTATTCTTCTTTTTTACTAATTTTGTTATTATTAAATATTTGTTGTTAAAAAAAGATTAATTTACAAAGATTTTTATAATTTTATGATCTCTCTCACTGGGGGTCTGCATTTATTGGGCTGCAATTAACATGTAAAAGATGCAAATTATTAAATGCAATAAAGAAACAGGGAAGTAAAGAAAAGGAAACAAAGAAAGAGAAAATCGTTAGCGCCATCGACCTTTTGAACATTTAAAACGTGTATGAATTCGCGACATCACGTCATTTGCATGTTTGAAGGCTTTTTTCATCGTTTTTTAAAACTTCTTTTGTCCCATCAGTGGTGGTGGCTTCAACTGGTTGTTCAGTTGATGACGATTTGGATTTGTGCTATTTTGAATCACAGCTTGACAGATCTGGTAGCTTCTTTCGAGATTGACCGTTCCAGGTGGTGGTCGTTGATTGTTCTGTTGATGTCTCATTCGTGGCGGTGCAGCAATCATTGATTGTTGTTGATGTTGATTATTTAAATTATTATTGGTAAGATTGTTGTTGGGGATGTTGTTGTTGTTACTGGGATTGGAACTCATCATGTTACTCAAATGTTGATGATTTGTTTGAAAGATTTGTTGAGGCCGCTTTGGACGAACATAAATGTTATTAATGCATGGCGGTGGACCAATTGTGACAACTGTTGGTTGTGCGGCGGGAATTTGATTCGAATGATTTGACATTGCTGTTGACATGATGACATGATCGCTCTAGTTAAATTAAAAATATAATTTGAAAAACTTTACAAATCAGGATAATAAATATGAAACTCACTCTTGCTGTTGGTAAGATGACTGGAATTTGATTCGTATTTGGTTCAGATGTCATCTGATGATGAATAACTGTCGCTGTCGTTGCTGTTGGCGATGGTCGAATGATATGTTGGGGATGTAATTGTTTTCTAGATCCGTGACCAGAAGGTCCAGGCTTTTGATTGTATCGATATTGTTGCAAGCTGCTAGTACTCATGATGACTTTTTGTTTTTGAATTGGTCGTTGAATCTTTGACGACACCGTGGTCACGACTTGTGGTTGTGGTGGAAGAGACATCGAAGTTGTTCGGATAACTGTCGTGAATTTGGGTTGTTGTAGCTGCTGTTGGTTCTTTTGAGTTGTCATTTGCGGGTGAATGATTGTTTGTTTCTTGAGATAAGTCTGCGGTGCTGACAGAAACTGAACAGGTTGAGGTGTCGTTTGTATCATCGGCGCGGTTCGATGAATATGCACAATAGATTTTTGAGGCTGTTGAACTGTCTGCTGTGTTGTACTTCCAATTGGTGTCAGAATAATTGTGTTGTTGTTTGCAACAACTTGAACGGTGTAAGGATCGACCGTTTTCTTCCTTTGGATAATTGTCTTCTTTGCAGCTGGAGCTGTTGTCTCGTAAATTGTCGTCGTTCCATTTGGATGTTTCACCATTTGATGAAAGATTTCTTGTTGTGGTGGTGCAGCAAATGTAACATGATGAGCTTGCGGTTGAGGCTCAAATTTCGGCTGAAATTTAATAATTTTTTTAACAACTTTTTACTCATTTCAACGTAAATTAAGCCCCTCGAAATATGTCAGCTGAGCGGGGCAAATAACTTTTTATCTGTACTAAAACCAAACTCACCTCTGTCGCAATCTCATAAATAATTCTCTGTTTCATCTGTCCTTGATTATTATTAGCTTCTTGTTTAATGATTCTTGTTGGCTCTGCATTCTCTATTTTATTTCCCATCTTAGAAATGTACGTAAAGTTAGTGCCGGGAACAAAGTAGGAGTTAGGAATCTGTTGAATTGGTTGTGAGCCGTTTGTACGGAAACTTGTAGTCGCATGAATTTGTTGTGGTTGGGTCTGTAAATTCAAAAGTTTATTATGATTAAGAACACATTAAATTTCAATGTTAAGTTACCTCTTCAATAATGTATTTTTCATTATATTTAACACCGGAAGGAAAAGCGAGAAGTTTCACATTTTTCGGTACGTTCATATGAATTTCATCTAAATTAAAAAAGAAAAAAATTCAAGTTTAAACTAAAAGAAATTTTTTAATTATTCACCTCGATACGCCCGCGTATCTTCAATGTCAGCATCCTCATGACCGTAGTCTTCATTGTTATAAACTGGAGTTTCATTTTGTTCATCTTGCATCACTAAAGCTCGACTGTAGCGTGTTGGAGCTTGTTCGATGACTTGCCGCACTAAAACAGGCTCTTGATGATGAACAAAGTTGTTGATGAGAACACTCGAACTATTGTTTGGTTGAAATGTTGTAGCAACATCTTCAGGTTTGTGGAATATTTCTTGTGGTAATTCCGAATCGTAAGAATTGATTCGAGAATTTGTTTCGATGATTCTTGGAGTATTATTAACAATTCTTGGTAGTGTCTCAATATTATCATTTCGAATTGATTCGTCAGTGTTTTCAGCTGCACTTTCATCAGTTTCATTATCCAAAGCACATTCCATTTCATTGTCAAAATTCACGTCCATTTCTTCCATTCCACTTGGCTCGGGTTCAATCACATTCTTCAAATAATCGTGTTCTTGTTGATGATACCATCGTGTCGGCATGCCGTCATTGGAAAGTTCAATTTGACTTGCAATTTCACCAACATAATCATCATCGTCGTCGTCATCATTATCTTGCATTAGTTCTAAGCTCGATGGTTCTGGTGATTGTTTACTATTTGAAGGCATGTCATCAGCACTGCTTGTCGCTTCAGCAATCACTGGTTGGTCGTAAAGTGACTCGGGAGAGTTCACAACCATAATTTGTGTTACATGGGACGGAGTTTCAATTGATTCCGATGGTTCTGGTTGTGTTGAACTTACAGCTTCAGGTGGAGTTGGTTGGGAAGTAGAAATTGAAGGATTTTGAGATGGTGATTGTGATTGCGATGGTGAAGACTGAAAAGAAAATTTTTTCATTATTAAATTCATAATTCAATCATTCCATCAACAACTTACCTCAATCTCCCATTTCAAATCAGTTGATTCATCTTTCATCTCTGAAATTTCATCTTCATTTTGTTCTCCTTTCCATACTTCACTGATGAAGCCCTCGGGAATTTCAAAATCTCCTTGTTCAACTCTTTCTTTCATTTCCATCGCACTTTTCTCCATCATCGCACCGACATTTACCAAACCGTGACCATTTGATTTTATTCCCCAAATACCTTCAAAGTTTCTTGCTTTCCATGGATCAATTTTTGATTTTTCTTTCTCGTGTTCAGCTCGAAGTTTTGTTTGATGTTCGTTTGTAAATTCGCCATTTGATAGTCGATCTCGCCATTCAATGCACGCTCTATTAAAGAATTCGTTGTTTATACTCGAAGGATTCAACTCGACACATTCATTTTCTTTCGATGGTGGTGTCGGTCGATCGACTAATGGTAGACTTTCTATAAGAATCTTTTGATTCTCAGGTGAAAGTTGAGAGAATGCAACATTGGTGAGAAGTGCACGAATTGAAGTGTCAACGAGCACACTACTTGGACGTTTCACATCAATTGCAAGCTCACTGGAGAGATCAGTTTTTAGTTTCTTTACTTTTCTTCTTTGCTTATTGCTGTTTTGGCTAAAAACGATCTTCACAGGTTTCACACTGGGTTCGGGTGGCTTCTGTTCAGCTGCTGCTGTCATTTTGATTCGAATACGACCACTTGCTCGTATAGGTGCTAAGGAGGGTTTTGTATTGTATACATCTTGGAAGTTATGTCTCTGACGCTTCCGAAGTGGGGTGTTAGGATCTGGAGCAAGTTCAGCAGGTTGTTCCTCAGGTATATTCAATGTTTCTAGTGGAGCTTCAACTTCCAGTGATGGCTGCTCCACTAAGCTGCAATGATAATTCACAATAAGTACTTTTATTCATAATCTTACTTCGAAACGACTTACCCAACACTCATTTCTGGAACTTCGCACAAAGCCAGTCTGTATTTTGGTTGTGCAAGAAAAAAATAGGAAAAGAAACGGCAACAAAAAGATTTCTAGCCTTATTTGTTTTAAATTTTAAAAATATTTTTGCTATTTTAGATCACCCGAAGTCTTATGGTTTCAAGTAGTTTATTTAAAATCTTAAAAATTCAAATTTATTTGCAATTTTCTGCAAAATGATTAAAATTGTTCAATTTTCATTTTTCAAAAACCGTACAAATTCAAGTCGAAATTGAACAGTTCGAAAAAATATTTTACGTGTTACATAATTTACAAAGCATGTGAATTTGAATTGATATGACGCATAATTTGTTAATAATGTTAACATGTGTCATTGTTTGCAACTATAAATATCAAACATGAATTAAGCTTGATTAAAATTCCGGAACATATTTTATTGAAGAAATCTGAATAGCGGGCTCTACAACTAGTTACACTACTACATTCAAAGCCATTTTCGAAAAAAATGTAAACAAACTTCTCTTGAAATTCCAAAACAAGAAACTTTGAAATTGACTTCAAAATTTTGTTTTCTTAAAAAAATATGTCATTACAACGAAACTGCTTTGGATGTGATGAGCAGCCTGGTCATTTAAAATTTAAAGATTCAGCTTTAGTCACCAAAATGTTTTCTGAAGTGACGGGTTTAAAAGGTAAATAAGTTATCAAAAAAAATTGTTTATTGCTATAAATGTCAAACATTTTAGTGGATCAAAATATTGCTAGTTTATGTAAAAGTTGCCATCAAGAATTGAAACAATGTTTTACATTTCGTATGAGATGTCATGAGATTGATGAATTATATCAACATGAGGCAGCAGAGGCTACAGAAGAAATTACTCTAAAAAACGAAGTAAATATTGAACATGGGAGTGAAGAATGGATTGATAATGTAGACGAAAGTTTGCCTCAAGAATATCCTTCAATTTTATCACAGAAGGATTTGACGAAATCAAGTGACCATTCCGAATATCTGGAAGAATCAATTTCAAGTGAAACATTCGAATGCAGTATTTGTGGGAAAGTTTTCCATAAGCGAAGAACTTACGAATATCATTTAAAGTCTCATGAAAATCTTCGAAATTTTAAATGTCCTCGTGATGATTGTTCGTCAGCATTTAACTGGTTGTCACGTTTAACAAGACATTTACGTTGTGTTCATAATGCCGAAGAAAATGAAATTAAAACAGTTCAAAATGCAAACCAAATTGGAAAGAAAAAGGAAAATTCTTTACAAACGTCTCGTGTCCAATGTGGAATTTGTGAAAAAACTTTATCAAGTGTGAAATATTTAAAGAGTCATATGATGCTTCAACACTTGAACAACGCTCCATATTCTTGCGAAGTTTGCCAGAAGAAATTTATCGATTGGAGTCTGTTGGAAAAACACCAAAAAATTCATGAAGGACTTTTCGATTTCACTTGTAAATATTGTGATAAAAGATTTGTCCTAAGGAAAGTTTACAATCAACATCTCCGTAAAGTTCATAAAGCGACGAAAGAAGAAATCGCAGTAATGAAAAATTCAGATTTAACTTGCATTGAATGCAATAAAGTTTTCAAAACATCGCACAGTATGAAAGAACATAAAGCTTGGGAACATGGCACTGTTGATAAGTTTATTTGTGATATTTGTGGGAAATCTTTCATGTCACGAATCAAATTAACTTCACATCAAAAATATCATCAAGAAGAGAAAATGAAACTATGCAAAATTTGTCCATCAACATTCACTGAAGAGAAGGGTTTGAAAACTCACCTTCGTCGTGTTCATAAGATTAATGAAATAAATCTTTTTGAAATGTTCCTAAACGATGACAAAAAATGATGAATAAAATTCTGAAAGTTTTCTTTTAAGATTAAATGAAAAACTTCTTTTTTTTCCTTTAGTATCCTTTTTATTTTTAAGTCAACCTTTGATCATAATATCAAGTTTTTATTCCATTTTATACAAACTTTAGTTTAATTTTCTTTTTTCCACTTTCTCGTTTAAATATGAAAAATGTAATATGCGTGAATATGCTGTAATAATATGATTATGATATATATTTAATGCTTTAATTTACTGTATCTCTGTCATTCTTTTTTAAATTTTTGTGGCTTTTGTTGATATTTGAGTGGGTCGAGAAAGAAATTTTCAGTTTGATGTAAACAACATTTTAAAATGTTAATTAAACTTTTCTTTGAATTGATCAATGAAAGCTTTGGTTTCAATCTCAACTCCCACGCAAATATCTCAAAAGCCATTTCGACCTCTCGATTCCACTTTTCAATTAATGGTTGACTCTTAAAAAACTTCTTTTATCAACCAATTTCAAAGTCGAAATTTCCACATTTTACTTATTACTTTTATTCGTCCAATGTGTTTTCCTGGAGTTATCTCATAAATATAAAAAATAGCAATTGAGTCATACATAAAGTATCTCTAATCTTTCCTCTACTTATTAATCTTTGTTTCATAATATCTTCACCTTAAATGTTTTTTTTTTAAATTTCACTCTGTTTTCTGCAATAAAAAATGTCGTTTAAAATAGAATTTAGATAATTCGAAATATTTTTTAAGTAGATATTTTCTTTTTTCTCAATGTTAATTAATACGTCGTCGAGTCAAAGTTTCGACGAAATTCAATAAAGACAGATAAATAGCAGATGAAACAAATTTCTTTTCTCTTATTAGATCATTAGGTAAATGAAGTTTAAAACTTGCACAAAAACTGGTAGAATCTATCATTATGTTGCCAAATAACCTTTTTCCAATAATTATTATTGCTTCATAAATTTTTAATCAAAGTGACTTCTTATGCTTTTCTTTTCTTTTATATATTTCACGCCCATCAAGCACATCAAAGTCTGAGAAAAGAAGAAATGAAATTTATTTTTCTTTTCACTTAATTATCTTATCTCGTCATGGTTTTATTTAAACAACATCAAATATAAATTCGGAAAAATTATAATGTTGGCAAAATGGGGTTGTTTAGGCCTTCTTAAATGAAAACAAAAATAATGCAATTATCTTCCAAAGTCGTCGTCAAACTGGAGCTCGTTTTGCACATTTACTTTAAGTTTGGAAATCATTTTTGAAAGGAAGAATCAGAATTTTTATCTTGCTTATATTGCTTATGTTTCAACCCTGTATGTTTATTAATCAGATTCGGATAATTTATTAATAAAGAAAAACAAGAGAACTGTTTCTATTGCATTCGAGACACTAATCAAATCAATGATTGAACACATTCAATTATTTAATGTCAGGATTAATTAATGTTGTGCGATACGAGACTTTTTTTCTGTCTTTAATAACTTTTCATCTGCTCCTTGAATTATTTTTATTTTTTTGATACACAAATTTTTCTCTTTTTTGTTTAAATTTCCAAAATGGGAAGAAAACTTAAAATTGTGATTAAGAAGTCTTTACATTTCTTTGGTTATTTCTTTTGTTTACCATATTTGCCTTGTCTGATGTTACTGATCTCGTTATTGACTTTAAATATATTTCTTAAGTATCCAACAAAATTATATTTTAGTTTCATTAAAAAATTTATAATTTTCTGTATAAAATATGTACGAGAATGAGAATATTTAATATATTTCTTGCTTTTTTTATTATTATTTTATTAAATATGCATCTGTAAAAAATGTAGTTTTATTTTCTTTATTTATTTTACTTTTTATTTTCTTTTTTTCGTGTTTTTTTTTTGGCTTACTTAATTTAGATATAATTTAAGTTTTATTGGGTCTTTTTCTTCGTTTATATCTTATGTCTAATAGCTACAACATATTACTCTTTCTTTAAGTATCTATTCGGTCAAGACAAGTAAATTTTCTCGTTAGCGAGAAGCTACAGCTAAAGATGTTGAAAGATTGAAAATTACTTTGATGAAATAAATAGGAAAAGTGCTTTTCCGTAATTTTTCAATGTTAAGATTTTCTCGAAGGAAAAGAACTTAAACAAACAAAAACTCAAAACTCAAAAGTGAAAGCAAGAAAAATACGATTTCATAACAAAACATAGATTTTTATCCTTTTTTCACACGCCTACGTTATAATTTTATAGAAAACCAATTAACGAATTTTTGTCTATGCAGGATATGTTTAAATATTATGCTTAATTCACTTTTTTCCATTATTCTATTTATGCTTTTGCTTAATTTTCTCTTTCTTAGTTGTGGAGTTTAAACTTTAAAGTCATCTACTAATCTTCAGATTAACTAATAGTCACACAATGGTCGGCGATTAAAATAGAAAGTTTTTTAATTCTTCTTAAAATTTCAAACGAAAATGGATCATAAATTTGCACCAAAAATATTTCATTGGAAAGTTTCGATTATTATTTTACAGCTTTATCATCTTCATCTTTTTTTACTAAAAGAATTGTTAGATTAAATAGGAAATGAGATTAACAAGAGTTGGTATGGATCTCCTGTGAGCTTTTTCTTTTTAAATTTAGAGAGCATTTTCTGTTGTTTAAGTTATGATTTGAAGGGTCGTCTTCTTACGTCAAAATGTTGAAGTTTTTTTTAATCTTCTGGTTTGTTCGTGATGGCAGTTTTAGTTTCACAGCCAATAAAAATCTATTTCTTTTATCGAAACTACATTGTAGTCATTATTTCTTGTATTCTTTTTTTATTTATTTATTTTTTTTAAACTTTCTGAAATGATCAGATTTTACTTTTGTTTTGCCGATGCTCATTAAATGTTGGTTGATGATTGTCATGCGAAACTTTAAAGACTTTCATTTTATAATTCAAACATGTTCGGACACTTCAAGAAAGTATCGATTCACATGCCTATAAAGTTTCGCATTTCGATGAATGAATGGATGGATGGATGGATGAATGTGATTATCGATTGTTAAAGAATTTCAATATGAAGTGACGTTGATTGAATAACAAAAAAGTTTTAAAAATGAAAAGTATTTATGAAGAATGATAAATCAACAAAGTATGAATGAATGAATGAATGTATAGATGGATGGATGGATGAATGAAGGTGATGCTTGATTTACTTATTATACTTTGCAATTTTTTTTCTTTCATTAACTTCAATTATTACTTCCACAATTTAATTTTTATTCCTTCTTAGCTCACATTAAATTAAATAATGTTGTTTATTAAACGTTTTCAACTCTTCTCACTTAAGAACTTGCATTCATATCGCATTTATTCTTCGGATAGATTAAAAGAACATAAAACAGCATAAACGAATTTAAATATCAATTTCTTAAATTTTCTTTTCCTCTGTTAATTATATATTTAAGTTTTTCATTAAATAAACGTCATATTATAGTTATAGGATATCTCTGTTCAGCGTAAAACCAATCAAACATCTACTACTTAAGTATTTCACTCTTTCATTATTATAATAATTATTATTATTATTTATTATTATTTCTTTTAGTGTTGAAATGCTTCCTGTTGTTTAAATATAATTCAAGAATATGCATATCTACATATCCTGTTTATAAGAAAAATAATTGTTGACTTCATAAATATTTGATTCCATTTCTTCTTCTACTTCTCCGCATTTTTTTTTCTTCTTTTTCAATAAGAAAACTGTTTACATTTATTTATCGATATTTTCAGTCCATATTCTATATTTTATGCATGTTCTCTATTCGAATATTTATCCTTTTTATAAAAAATTCTTGCTTTTCAGTTTTCATCTTCTTCTTCATAATCATTCGAGTACTTAAAGAGAGATATTTTTGATTAAATGAGTGAGACGGTGACTTAGAAAGACGAACGGCAATCAGACTTGTTTTATTTTAAAAACGGTGTGTTTAGATGCTTCTTTTTCTTTTTTTCTTGTTTTAGAGAGAAAGTTAAAGTTAAATAGAATTAGAAGAGTAGATAAGAAGAAATTTTGGTTTTCCTTTTTTTCTGTTTAAATAGTTTTATGTTAATTAGAGTCGTACGCTTTTCTTTAAACTTGAAATAGATTTTTCTTACTAAATTTCACGCTCTTATCTTATTTCATCAAACTTGATTAAAAATAAATCGGGATTTTCTCATCGGTTTCAGCCTTTGTTCTTCATTGGGTTTTATTTTTCATTATTTTAATTTTGTTGAATTTTTTTTCTTCTTAAACATGGAGAGCGAGCTTAAAACCTGAAAACTGAAACTTTTCTAAACATTCAAGTTCAGTCGTTTTCAATGATATTCATCTTCATCATATTAAAATCTCTACTAAAATATTTTCTTCGTTTTGTTGTCGTCATTAACAACCGCTATAATTAAATGTTATTATTTTTATTCTTTTTTTTTTGTTTCTTTTCCTTTTTTTAATTTTCACGCAAAGACCATTTTCAGGGGAGAATAAAAGTATTAAAAGTAGCTGTCTTGATGAACATTTCCATTGTTACACCTTGAATATTTAATCAATACATTTAAATTACTCTATAAATTCAGCAAATAAATTTACGAAATATACGCATAGTGCTTTTATATAAATTCATAGGATTAAATTATCTTTGATATAACTATATACTTTTTTTTTGCTTCTTGCATAATATTCATTTATTAATAGGACATTTTAAATTACAAACAAAAAAATAATAATAATTTCTCCTGTTTATTTATTTTCTTTTCCGGTTTCATTCGAATTCATAGGAAAAGAAAGAAAGAAACAAAAAGATACATAATTAAGTATTTCCTAAGATGCCATTTGAAACCAATTTGAAATAAAACTTTTGCTTTGTAAACAATAAATTAAATTCTGAATAAACTTAACAGAAACAGTGAAGTGATATTATTTTAATTTCTCTTTTTGATGCTTTCGTATTAAAATTAAATTAAATATAAAATTTTCATTCGGAAAATAATTAATCTTAGTAATGATTCGACATTTCTTGATGATCCACCAAAGAAATGTCGCATCATCGTTTTAAATATGATATAAAAAGCGTTCAATTTTTTTAAGGGATAATTCTATAAAGATCTTGTTAGCCATTAATAATTTTACATTACAATAAAAACCAACGAAAAGGAAAGTAAAAAAATTAAAAACATCGAGAGACTTACAGACAATTCTTCAAAGAATTCCAATTTAAATGGCTTTGAATGATTTGAAAATAAAACTTGCGTCCATGACAACCAATTTATTAGATGGAAAAGCTTTTCTATCAAGCATTTTCCTTCATTTTCTTATAATAAATACCTATAGAATGATGAATGCAATTTTTGCGGAAAAATTTTGCTAGTTTTTTTAAGTCTAATTATTTCCACTGTATTCTTTACGTTTAAAAATTTATTTAATAGAATTCATTATTTCATTATTTTTTCTCGGTAAAAAAGTTACTTTTGCTAATTTTTTTTATCCAATGGCGTATAAAACTTTAATATTTTTGTCTACCAATTTCAATTGCAAAGATTGTTTCACAAATTTGATTTCACTTTGATTAGAAAACTTGTTTTCCTTCTTTATTTATTAAATTAAATTATTGTTTCGAATTTTATTTTTTCTCTTATCCCAATTTTCATTTAATTCCCAGGTCAATCGATTTAACCATCAATTTTCGCATGCATTTTGTTTTATTTTGAAAAATTGCTTAAGTTTTGTCTCGTCTACCATATCAAATTTATAAAGAGAGAGATAGATAGAGAGAGAAGAGATTTCATAGTACATTATGAAAGGGAGATCAATGCTCTAGCTATGATACTAATGTTTCAATATAACTTTAATTATTACTCCTTAGACTTGTCTTTACTGGTATAAAATGCTTTTAATCATCCACTTTTGCTGTCTTTTTAATGCAGATCGATTATGTAATGTTACAATTATCGATGCTAAATATAATATTTTAATTAAAAAAAGTGAAATGTGTTCAATTAATATCGTTAGCTGAAGCGTCAATTTGTTGGCAATTTTCCGAGCAAAGCCGAACTGTAACTGTCCGAATTGCAACATGAAAACATATTTTCGGCCAGTTTCATTCATCGGCTAAATTCAAATAATCGATTAATGTGGAAATCTTCTACCGGCAAACAACCACACGATTTATGAATCTTTAAGACGAACTACATTGCGATATTCATTTCATTCTCTTTTTCTGGATAATTTTTAATAAACTTTTCCACAACCATTTTTTTTCTGTAGTTTAATACAAATTCACTTTTCTTGTTTAGATTATTAAATTTTTCGGAACATTATTTTAGCCTAATTGTCTTATTTGGAAGATGATTTTCAACTGGAGAGTATTTTCTTTTATAAGAATCGCTAATAAATGTAATACCGCCAAATAAAATTAAGCTATTCGCAATGATTTTCTTTAAATTTTCGTTGTCATCAAATTATCTTAGCTTTGCTTTATAATTAAGTCAATTTTTATTTTGGTGAGGATGTGTAAGTGTTTATGTGTTTGGGTGTGTGTGCATGCGTAAATGTTCAATCGCGCGTTGATCATTGTTAAACACGTACGAACATTTAAGATAATCTAAATGTCGATTCTGTAGCAAACAATGTACACAAACAATGCAAATTTTACGATGTTACGATAATGAATTAACATAAATGCGACCGGGCTAATCATTAGCTGAATGTTGTGCGTACATGTTGATACCATCTTTTGAATTAATAATTAAAAAAATGTTTTATATATTTATATAAAAAAGGAAGAAATCTCGATAAATTAAAAGGATTTCTCTCCGGAGTTAAAAGTGTTGTGGGTGTTGTGAGCAGTTTTTATTTTATATTGTTGTTCAGCACTTTAAATTAGAATCTTCATTGATTGTGTTGGCTTTTGATTACAAACCGGACATGGCTCATGAGCGTCACAAACACGTTCGGAACATTCGAGACAGAAGATTTGATGACCACATGGAACAAGCATTGAGTTTGCTTCTTTCTCACCACAATAATAGCAATCGCGTTTAGTTTTTGATTGATTTCCAGGTGTTAACAATGAATCAGTTGGTGATGCAGATGCTGTTGGTGATGATCGTGATCCAATGAGACTCGATGAGTTTGGAAGTGACCAAATGTTGATCGGTGAATCGCTAATGCCTTCATCACAATCAAGTGAATTCTCATTGCCCATTGTCTTCCACAAATCAATCAACTCAGGTCGAATCATCATCGACGCTGACTTTGATGACGTAGAAGAGTTTGATGAGCATGTTGAGCTTCCAGTTGATGAAGTCATTTGTGTTGCCTGTCCAAATTGATTCTCTTGATCTTTCATCTCTAAATGCTCGAGCAATGAACTCAAACCGTTCTTGTAGAGCGATGAGAGAAGTGGCGAAGACAAGAAATCTTGCGATTCGGACATGTTCATGTCACCAGCCATTCCGTTCAATCCATTAGCGTTTGGTGAATTTCCAGTACGAAGTGCAATGTGAGCTTCGATTTGACGACGTGCAGACTGAACATTATCAGGCATTCCAGTAACTTCAAAGACAGGTTCTTTGTCACGCGATGGAGTCACAATGTATGTCTGAGTTTGCTGTTGAATGTGCTTAATGGTGGCACCCTTGGGTCCAACTACGAGTCCCACTAAAAAGAATTCAAAGAGATAAGAATGAGGTGAACGATGAGATATTTTCTTGTTGCGAACTTACCAACACGGTATGGAACTCGTACGAGAATTGTGATCTGTCCAGGAACGTTTGTTGGTGGTCCTGGTGGTGTTCCTTTTCCAGTTAATCCTCCCAACAATGAAGGCTTTCGTGACGCTCTAATTAAGCTGAAATGTTCAGCAGCTGACAAAATTTCACGCTTTGCTTTGGCAACGTCTTCCTTACGTCCTGTTACAACAAAAACAGGCTCTTCACCCCGTACTGGTGTCTTAATATAAGTGTTTGTTTTCGCTCGAAGTGCTTTGATTTTGCAACCTAAATAACAAACAGCAATAAAAGAAATATTAAAATTAATTAAGAACATCATTTCAGACGAAATAAAAAAAATTATTCAAATTAAATAAACAAAAAGCTTTGAAAGTAAAAAAAATCGATAGTCAGCGTCAACGATTATATCTGCAGACAACATGAAATCATTTCAAGCTTTCGTTTCAGCTTCAAAGTTCGATGACTTCCTTTGGAAGAAAAAAAAAACTTTTCTCTTCTTCTCTCTTTCTCTCTCTCTCGCTAGCGTTGGGAGGGTGGAGAAAAAGAAAACCGAAACAGGAAGACGAATTATTACATCTTTAGATGCACATTAATGGTTGTTGTTGGACGGGAAAATTCTAAGAGTTCAGGTAGAGTTCAGGTCGAAAATAATTTTCATTCTTTCATTCTTTGTTTGTTGTCTTGCATTCAACATCAACCCCATTTTTCTCTCGTTAAGTGTCGTCATGTTATGTACTACTTTTAACCACCCCACCCACCATTCAACTAGCAAAATTCGGTGCAAACAAAGCAACCCTGGAAGCAAGAAGGGCGGCAGACAACCGTCAAATGGCATGCGTGGGATTTCAAAATTGTTCCACTGATCGAAATATCTGGGGGATGAATGGATGGGTGGCATTGCATATTGTGGAAAGCTGAATTATGTTACTTATATACAAAACAACTCCATCAACCACCCACTTCAGACTACGTGCTACTCTACTACGAGTTCATAAACCAGGAAGAAACATTCAAATGAAAACTATGGCAACGAGGCAGGAGGACAATCCCAGATATGCCATGCGCATGAAAATGCTTTGAGCAAGATTCAAGTAAATACACAAAAAAAGTATCAAGAAGGAAGAAGAAGAAAGGAAAACTTGGGAAATGCGAAACTCGACCGAATAAGTGTCGTTTCTCTATGTGTTGTGTCTGAAAAGCATTTTCATCCTTTTTTGGTTCCTTTTTCAACATTTGCCTCTCAAAATATGTTGTTCTGATTTTAATGTTGCCGCAGCGGCTTCTAACTTTGAGCTTGTGTGTGTGAATTGTATGTTCGATAATTCTTTGAATGTGTGAGTGTATTGTGTAATATTTCCTAGAGACAGGGTGGTTTTCTTTTTCCTTGTGAAAGCATAAAAAGGGGGTTAAGCGATATTTATAGACACATTTCGGGATCATATACACATATGTTTGTGTGTGTTTGTGAGTTATTTTCAATGTATGCTCGTTATCAAAGTTCTTCGCCCTTTCGTTCACTGGGATTTGTAGCATTTCTGAGTATTTTCTTTCCTTGTTTATTCAACCCCAAAAAAGGAGAAGCAGAAAATTTCCGCGAAAAATATCTAATAAATATTTAATGAATAAAAAGCTTCATCTTTTTTGTTGTCTTTTTGGCGTCAGAATAGCTTTGCTTTAAAATGATTCAAATATAAAAGTTGAAAGAATATCATCCACGCAATGAATAAAAAAGAGACCTTCGCACCGGTCATTGTATCTTTTTTTGCTAGCAAAAAAAAACTATTTTTTCTCGTTCTTCATCGTTCCATTATTTTATTATTTCTTTTTTTTTCAACAGCTTTGAAAGCAGCGAAAGGAAGAACCAAAAAAAAAAGTAAAATAAAATGAAAACTAAGCGTTGAAACGTAAATGAACATGAACGCCATGCGGGACATGAACTCTCTTCACTGATGTAGAAGAAACAAACAGAAAAAGTACGCATTTCGATCGATAATGTGTGTATACATAAATTTCAGCGTGTAGCTTTCTGATGAAAGGCAATGTTCAATGTTCTCGTCGTACGATGAATAAATGTTTTGATAGCAGGGAAAAATATGTTTCTAATATTACAAGCCTTAAGGATGTCGAATAATTTTATTTTTCTGATTTTCCTTCATGAATTTCATAGAATTTCAACCATCATGCTTCTGATTTTTTGTTTTCTTATTCGTCAATCATTATTCTCTCACACATAAATCAATTTTACAATTAAGGGAAGAAAGAATAATCGCCCATAAAGTTTCACATACCTTCAACGAAATGAAGGGCAAACAAGCGAAGAAATCAGTTCAAAAAGCAATGTTGGGAAGAAAGAATGAAATAAAAAAAAAAGAGTTGAACGATTGGGAAACAAAGCAAATAGAACAAGAAGAATCAAAGGCACAGAGCAACAAGAACAGCAGAAGACGAGGTAAACCAGAAGGCCTTGAGACGCTTGCCGAGGTTCATTGACAATAGGCGAAGATGTAAAGAAACCACAATTTGCAAAATTCTGACTTCTTTTTTTATTATTTTGTTGTCGAGTTGTTTTCTCTTTGTCTTTTTGAAGCAAACCAATAAGCGAGTCACTGAGTTTTCTTTCATGATCAAATGAATAAAAAGAGTTAAAAGAATCCAATCAGAGTTTGAGTTTGATTGTGTAATTATGGTGAAATAAGTACAAAATCTTACCAAGAATAAGAACGAACTCAATTTTGAGACACACTCACTTACATTACTCACATTGACAGAATCTTCATCAAAAATAGAACTTCATTTCGATGTCAACGAAAAGACGTAAAAAAGGAAAGTTTTTGTGTGTTTTTTTTTCTGTTACTTGTAAGTTAGAAAAACTTTTTGAAATTGTTTTTGAGAGTAAATTTAGAAAAATATTTCTCCGATTGCTTGGTTGCTTACTTGATGCTTACCTACTCGCTTGCCTGCTGTCTTAAGTCAAGGTCTTTAACGTCCGATCAATTCTCTTTCGTTTTACTTCTACGAAAGTAACAAGCACATGAAAAGCGAAAACGAAGAGGAATTGGAATAAACATGAAGCAACGATGATAATCATAGCAAAAAACGAAATAAGTACGTGAAGAGTGGAAGAAAAAAACATCATAAAATATAAAATAAAAATTATTTAAGCTTCGAAGAAGAACAATCGGAATAAGAGAAATAAAATTCTTTAGGGTCGGTGATCTGATCGAAAATTTTATTACGCAAGAGAATGCGATGGAAAATTTTTTCGCAAAACTTTTTTCTGTGAGTAAATAAATAAATATGCGGGAAGAGACAATTTGAACTTTTTTCTTGTGGATAACTTGAGGGGAGAATTGTCTTAATATTTGTCTCCCTTAATAATTTAATTTCTAAGTCATCAAAATTTGATGAATTAAAGTTGCAAACATTTCTCGAATAAAACTAAAATTGGATCACTTTGGATTAGCCCATAAAAGCAGCTAAAGTAAGCTTAACATCGTGTCATTGATCCTATGACTAGGCAGTCTATAACCTGAAAAAGATTCTTATGAAAGAAGCGCCAAAGAAGAACGCAAAGAGCTGAAAGGAAAGAAATATTACGAGAACGATTTAGAGAACGCAAAACGAGAGAGAGAGAGAGTCGAGCAAAAAGCGGCAGGAAAAGAAGAACAACAAAAAAATCCCATACACTTACACATTGAATAACCGCGGTTACTGACTTTCATTTCATTCCATCTACTACCCAATTTATTTTCATTTCCACTGCCTTTCGACATATTTTCCTTTTCCTTCATGCCTCTTTTATTCCCTCTACAAATGCTGTTGTTGTTATAACCATTCCGAGCTTTTCTTTTCTTTTCTTCTCCTCTTCTTTTTCAACTTAAATATCGTCATGGCGAGCAAAATCTTTTTCTTTCTTTCTTCTTATTTCATTCGTAAAAGGAGCGAAAAGAAAAACATTTTTCTTTGAGTTTACCCTATGTCATGTTTGAAAAGTGTATGAGAAAAAAAAGGGGAGACTTTGAATGGATTATTGATTTTCTTGCTTTCTTTCCTTTCCCTCTTGTCGTTTCTACTCGAAAACTTATTTGTTTTCCATAGCATAGAACGTTGTTTGTTGCATTGTTGTGTGTAAATGAACTGGGATGTTATTTATGGTGGAAAGATGTATTGAGATTAATTTTAGTTTGATTTTTTTGTGTGTTCTTTAAAACACGAAAGTAATTAGTATTAATGAAGCACAAAACTGATATTTATCATGTCGTGTCATTGTGAAGTTACCTCTCGTATCTTATCAATGAAAGAAAAGTCTTAATCAGAGATAACTGTCACATTACTCAATCACGATTTTACGAAAAGTAAATCTCCAAGGCCGAATTTGTATCTTCTGATGAAAGTGAAATCAAGTGGCGGTCGTCCATTTAACGATAACACAAAATGTGCGAGAATTTCATTCAAAAAAGTCAAATAAATTTCCTTCAAATGATCCCGCAATTATCTTTTCATTGCTGCGTTAACGCCACGAAATGAAAATTCTTTTTCGCTTGCTGAAATATTTCTATGCGAATGTTACACAAACGAAGCGACAAAGCGACAGTCTTTCTTTCTTTCCAACTTTTCTTTCACTCATAAAACGAGAAATGCAATTTATTTTTAGCAAAATGTTTAGAATGAGATGAAATTGCATTAAATACTTAGAAAATTGCATGAGATAAAAGGAAAGAAAGAAGTAAGAGCGAGGGTAAGGAAGAAGAAGTTCAGCAGATGATTTTTTTCGTTTTCTAATTGTTCGAGAACATCCAGGTGATGTGACGTGACGCTTGATAACACAAAGGAGACAAAGAAAGGAAATTAAGAAACATTCATCAAAAAAGTTTAAATACATGCAATTGGGGGTTCAGAAAGGAAAAAAAACTCGATTAATGTTTGGCGTGGCAGATGGTTGCCGAAAAAAAAGAGAAATAAACGGCAGACAAAAAGGTGAAGTTTTAATTTTTTTCTCTTTTTTTCTTCTTTATGTTCCCATCCAGACATGATCACCATGAAAAGGAAAAGGAACCAAACAGGATATCGGAACATGCAGCGACACTCGAAAATAATTTTCATGAATTGCGTCAGAATGAATGCCGCAACTGCTTACAACAGCGAGAATTTGTTGTTTCATGTAGTCATGCAGTCATGCTCCCCTATCGTTGGTCGTCCACTAACACTTTGTCGAAGCAGACTCTCAAAAAACAACAAAAAAACTTTCGTCGGTTACGATTCCCCCCTTAAAGCCATCTGGAGTGTTCTCAACTAACCTCGTGTTTTTTTTAATGAAAAGAATCGAAGTTTGACTCACACTTAACAGTCATTAAAATTTTTTTTCTTTTGAAGCAATTTTCAGTTCCGAAATCAATATTTATTTACATGGTCGTCTTGTTCGAATGTTTTTTCTTTTCTTTACTCTTAATGAGACGAAAGGAACTCAAAAATCCAACAAATATTCTTCTACCCCGACAAGCCAGCTGCAAAATTCATCCCAAAACAAAATTGGACAAAAAAAGGAAAAAAATGCGCCAGAAACGAGACGAAGTTGAGGAACGAAGAGAGAAGAACGAAGGGGGAAAATTGAAGCGAAGTTGAGAATGCAGCAGAAGGAGCAGAAAATTTCGGTGTTAACACAAAAAGAAGACAAAAAAGGAGAACACAAAGCAGGTGCAAAGGGAATTGGATCGGTTTATGACGGGTAATTTTATTTTGTTCACTAACAACAGCAGCTTGCATGTCAAAAATTTGGGATCAATTCGTCTGAGACCCCCGCATCTGTCATCGTATCATTTTCGCGCTTTAATTCATTTCATGATCTTTTATTACTTCAAAACTTACCCTGTCGTCCAACAATTTCAGCAACGTGTTCAGAACTTGGAACCGGCACACATTCTGTCATGTTTTGTGACTTCTTGGAGCGATCATCGAAATGAACACCAGAGACGGGCGAGAAGCCAAGCATCGATGTGAAGGCATTTAATGTGCTGCCCGCTGCAAGTCCATCGGATGTTGGTGAATTCATTTGTTGATTAATTTGTTCAATATCCAAGAAGGCGGCCTCCATGGCGGCAATACCGGGAGTCAGTACATCAACATTCGAATTGTTTGTCAGATCAAGCATTGAGAGTTCGAGTGCGAGTTTTTCCAATGCGCGTTGGTTTCCCAATGGATGCGTATGGTCATTATCACTGGATCCTGTCACAGGCGTTGATGGAGGTGACAACATCCTCTCATTCAGGTCAAAAATCGACGACATTTTTCACGACAAAAAAATATTTTTCAGTCTTCGATTTTCCTTCTTTTAAGATTCACAAAAAAAAATTTTCTTCTTTTTCGTCACAAATAACACACCCGGCAAACAAAGAGAAATTTTCTAGACCTAAACTTAAGTCGATCTTTTACTTTATCTAATTTCTTATCACTTTAATTTTACGCGAAATTTCATTCAACAATTCGAGTTTAATTAATAATTTTTTGAAAACATAAAAGCTTGATTTTCTCTCCCTTTTTTCACTATGGTAGCCGAACAGTTCGGGGGTGGAGGCGAATTTTCGGTGAATTTCTTATATTTTTTTTCACTGCGTTCACCGCGTGTTTTCACTTTTAAAGTTAATTAAAAAAATCAACTTTACCCTACACGTTAGATAATATTTAACTTTATTTTCTGCTAAATGCTTGAAAAACCCGAGCAACTTTTAACTTAACTTTTAGTTAAATGTTTTCTAACTTTTTTTTGCTTTTTCACAATATCAGTTTAATTCTACTTAAATTTTATTGTGTGTTGTTTTGGTTCGACGAACGAAATAAGACTGAGAATGAAACGATGAACGGAAAAAATTCTTTTTTCTGACGCCCAGCTTTGTTGTGTGTAGAAGAAAAGAAGAATGAAGAAGAACATTCTTGTAAAGTACAGCCGTGAGAGAACGAGAGCGGAAGGAATGAAAAGAATATGAAAAAACACGATATTATGTATGAAACAATCGATTTCTAGACATAAATAATCATCCCAATTGAAATGTCTAAAACCAACTCTGTAAATCTTTTAAAATATCTAAAAATATAATGAAATTTCATTCATAATTTAAAAAATGCTTGTTATCACTCTCAAACAGTGAAAAAAGAGCAGAAATGCAAAGGTATCTCCGGTTTAATCCTTAAACAAATTGGAAAATATTCTACTAGCGCCATCTAATGACAGGAAATGTTATTGATGCAAATGATTGATGCAAGTTTTTCAAAGATGAGCAAATGTGTTTTTATTGAAATATTGAAGTTCTCAGAAGATTTTTAATTAATTAACTCTTAATCATTATATTTGCTGAAATTATTCACGATTCCTGGAAGAAGAAATGTAAATTTTTGTTGATTCAATAAAACACAACGCTACATTTAATATAATTGGGGCAATTGGGTTTATTTATTTTTATATGTTTTTCCAAAATGTCAAATACGTAAAACTTTGAAATGTTGTAATTAAAACATGAAGAAAGAATTGGTTGTGTTTTCTGTTTGATCTAAAGGGCTTTAAAGTAAGACATTAGGTCAAGAGTCTGACGGAGAAATTCTTTTAGTTCTTCTAAAACACTTCAAACAAATATCCCTGCATTTTCAATTACATTATTTCAAGAGGAAGGGAGAGAACTTCTTTTATAATAATATATTTTTAGAGTTTTAATGTTTTTTTATTTACCAAGCTCACACTTAATTTAAATCTATTATACGATTTTTTTTTAATCTTTATCTGCTTAACTACCTATTTCTTCGTCCATAGTAGTTGCAACAGCTTAGTTTATTTTCGTTCCAAATCAATATCAAAACTTGCAATCTTCATTTTATGACTTAACCATGTCTTTCAGTATGTATCCATAGCTAATCTTATTAATGCCTTTCAATTAGAAAAAAATATTGCGGAATAATTTTCTCCCGTTTTTGACTTCACGAGAGAAAAGCAAGAAGTGAAAAGTAAAGCATACAAAAAAAAATAATTACACTTTGTTGATGTTTGTTTTTTCTCAAGCAAAAGTTTATCTATACAAAAAAAATCGGTTACAAGATACATATTTAATTAAGAATAATAAAACGTCGGTTGCACTAAAACTTGCTGGTTGGATTTGTTTCCTTCAAAAGTAGCCATATTATAATTATTTCTGCAGCATGAATATAAATGTTTAATAAGCTTGTCATTCACAAAGATCTTTCATGTCAATATCCGCATCAGTGATTTTTTTCTTTTACTGTCTTTTGATTAGTTTTTAAAAAAAATGCAACACCATGGTTTGGTTGAAACACTTTCCCGAAAGCTGTGCAATAAATTTCTAAAAAGAAACGAAAAGAAAGCTTTCGTGAAAGTGTCACGCAACCCAATAGCGAATATCACTAATAACTATCAATTGCAATCAAAAGACAATTTCATGGGACAATCTTTTTATATTATAAATGTCAATTACCTAATTACTACGAGTTTCTTTCATTTAAACCTTATCAAATATACATGTAAAAAAATGCAAAAAAGTTTTTCATTTTTCCTTCCTTTTCGTCTTTTTGTATTAAATATTTTTTTATTTAGTAATAATGCGTGTAGATGTGTATCATGGATTTATTTAAAGTAAATATCAAACATATAAAATGTTAAAGTAAATTGTAAATTGAATGATTTTCTTGTCATTTTTTTAATGTTTATGAAGTTTAATCAAAGAATGTTCTTGTTGTGGCAGTGGCAATCTGTGAAATCATTTGAGATTCGGTCAGAAAACCTTCTTCCGAATATATTTAAGAAATGTAGAAATGCAATTCAATTGTGCAAAAGTGTTTATGAGTGTTTATTAATGTTAAATGTTGTTTCAATGGATCTAAGAAGTTTTGCTATGAAATTTTCTCTTTATTCTTGCTAGCAAAGAAAAGAAAAAAGATTAAATGGAAGATGAAATCTTATTTGTTGTTTCTTTTTTAAAAAACAAACAACGAATCAAGATATCAAGTTCCACATCCAACATGCGTCTTCTTTGTCTTTCTTCTTAATAAAAAAAATGAGTTGGTGGGAAAATTTCACTTTCATGTGATCTTACATAAAAATCAAAAACACTTCTTTTTATTATTTAAATTATTTTAAGCTAAATATGTTTGTAAAAATATCATCGAAAAAAAAAAGTTTTTTTCGTTTTGAGTCTTTTTTGCATTTTTTTTCCTTTTGAGTTTCTTTGTCAATTACTTCAAAACTATTTTTTGAAAACCCAAAAAGTTGAGTAAATTATAAAACAAGAAGATTGATTGATCTTAAAATGTGATCGTCTCGCATTGTGGGGAGATCGATTGATGACGTTCTCGTCTTATGTCTTTACTGTGCTGCTACTTCCTTCTCTTTGTTTTCGTCGATCTTTTCTTCGACCTGAAAATTAAATTGAAATAAATTTGATGCTTTCGGATGTCGATTGAAGTCATGTTTTACCTTTTCTTTTACTAACTCTTCTGTTTCAGCAGATTGTTCAGCGGCTTTTTCTGTATCAGCGCCTTCCTTGTTCTCCTTAACTTCTGGCCTATTTAAACAAACAAAAAGTCAAACATAGATAACATTAAAATATTGTTCAACTCACTCTGGTTTTGGTAAATGTGGATTTAATTCTAAATTGTTGCAAATCTCTTCCCAATCAGGATAGCAACGTTCCTTGATGCGTGATACATGTCCAATCAAATTTGCGCAATGTTCAACCATGTATTCCTTCAAAGCATATTTAGCTTCGTCCGAAATGAAATAGATTTGAGCTGTTGATGCAAATACGACGATATCCAACTGTGAAATTGAGAAATTAATTTTATTTCTTTGCTGAGCTTTAATGAATAAAAACTTACCAGAGATGGTTCATCACCAAAGAAGAATGGCTTGTCAGCAAGTAATTCTGATAAAGTATTCAAATCCTCCTTGCCCAATTCGACAATTTCATCGGGTTTATGTACACCGATTCCTTGAGCTTTGACAATCTTCGATGCCTGTAAAATAATTAAACTTTAATAATTCAAGAAGATCAGGAAATGAGAGAAAGTTCATACTCGGTGGCCATAATTGAGTCTAAAGAAGAAGCTCAAAATTGCATTGGGGATTTTACTTCCCAATGATTGTTGGAAATTGATTTTATATCCGTTAATCATTTCTGAAGGATTTTTAGCTCTCCATGATAAAATAACGAACGTCAAATGATTTTCGACCATCGAGATCATGGCATGAGAAATGTTCCTCTGTTCCTTGGTCAAGCCGGCGTCAATGTCCTTATCAAATCTTTGTGACAGTTCCTTAATGATGGTGGTTGAATCACCAATTTGTTGTCCATTGAGCTCGATGAACGGCAATTGTCCTTTTTTCGAGTGAAACTTGAACTTATGATCAACATTCTAGAAATGACATAAGAAATATAACAATATTAGGTTACTCTCTATAACATCATTCCTACGATTCGGTAGATCGGTACATGTGGAGCAAAAAGAAGAGGAAGTTATCGATTTTTGTGTTTTCGCAACGAATACGGAAAATAAAAAGAAAACCTCCCGAGATGTTACGTTGTTGCCTCTTTTTAAATATGTGTGAGTGTGAATGGTGTAAAAGAAGTGCAATGTGTTGGTAGGGCGAGGTTGCATGCAACACTAACACTTTCACAATTCGACTGGAATGTTGAACGCATGCGCTTCAACGTCATAGGAAAAAAGTGTCAATGAACGCAACGACGCTTCATGTTTGTGTAACTGATTTCGACCCCGAAACATTCTTGACTTATGCCGGCTTATTAGTTAATGAGATTCTTTCTTAATGGCAGCTTTGGCTTATAAAGCCAATCCGTAGTCTAGCGTGACACGATATGTCTCAATGGTAATGGGAACTGTTAATGAGTCGATAATTTACTGTTAATAGTTGAGTCGCCTTTTTTGGCGGAAACTATGCAAATTTTATGTTTGAAACATATTTTAGGTCAAGCCCATATGTGTCACATATTTTATTCTTCCATTTCAATCACTTGCTTATTTATTAATTAGTGGAATCTTTTGATTATTATGAAAAGAATGTGATGAATGAAATAAAAGCTGATATGAAAAGTTGAGAGATGTTTCATGATAATTGGAATGGAATGCATATTAAAGATTCTTTTCCCTCTCCCCACCCAAAGAAGATTGGGTCACCAAATGTTAATTGAAAATTAATGGCGGCGTTGTACGAGTTTAGAAAAACTTTTCATCTTATTTTTGTCTTTCGAAAATGAACGAGTTAAGAATATTGAGACATTGACAATGTTTGTTGATTCTTTTGGTTTTTTAAGAGCGCGCGAAGAATGCGACTGCGGGTCATTTCATCAAATCCAATTAATCCCAATTAAGTATCTCAAATGGTGATGATTGAATGGATGAATATTCAGGGTTAACGAGAAGAAAGATAAAATAATTTTCATTGTTGCATCACTCACCTCATATTTCAATCCAGTCAGGCGAAGCCAAGTCTCAACTTTGAGCACATAAGGTGACAGAGATGGAAGAGAAGTGGTGCGTGCAAATTGGTACAAGTAGACGACGTCCTTATCAAAGTTCTGTTTGAACACGTTGAGTTTTTTAGGAGCTGCATCCTTGGCAACAACGATAGCTTCTTTGGCTTCTTCCGCTGGGACTGAACCATCCTTTGCGGATTCAACAGCTGGTGCCTCAACAGCTGGTGCTGGTGCTTCTTCTTGTTTCTCCTCGGATGCTGTAACTGGTGGATTTTCAACTTCTGCGGCCATTTCTCTTAACGTATTGTTTCTTTTTTTCTTATCAAATCACTATTTGAGCCTTTATTTAGGTAATGTGGGTGAAAATCACCTGAGGTTCCTGCGAGAATTGAATTGTTGTTAGTTGACAGATAGAAATATAAATTTATGCTGAGATTTTCTTTTATATTTTCTTCTTTCGGCAAGAAGTCCTTAGTAAAAAAATATCGGAAAGAGAAGGATTTCACACACACAACCTTAGCACGATGATTACACACAATTACGCGATTTGCCTTGTAAGAACAAAAAGCTTGAAGTTTTGCGAAGCAATAGAAAGAGAAGGGAAAATGGATGATGAAAGTATGAAAGTGACGAAACTAAGAACGAGAGAGACAGAAAAGGAAATATACTTGGAAATATGCAACTTGAGAACACCCTTTTGTTCTCTGATTAATATTGTTGAATTAAATATTTCTTCTTACTACTTGCGGTTTTTTAAAAATGATAAATCTTGAGACTTGAATTAAGAAAACTCTTAAGCGCTATTCAGAAAAAAATAAGATTGTACTTTCACGAGATTAAGAGTATTAAACTTTCTCCATAAACATTTATCAATTCTCATGCATAGAGTGTTTCATTTTTGTTACTTTATGTTGCACACAAACATAAATTTCTCTTCGCCTTCATAAAAAAAAATTTTCTTTGCAAATTGGCAGTATTTTACACAATTAGTTAAATGAAATCATGTAAATTTCTAAAAATTTCACACCGATTTATAATATTTAAGTGAATTTAGCCACTTTCTTTGATATTTTAATTGAGAAACTTTAGTGCAAATGATAGCGTCCTTTTTATGCTCGGGTGCAAAAAAAACTTATTTATGAGAGAGAAATTTTCAGAAAAACGCCCTTTAATGTTTTTCAATATTTAGAATAAATCTATAACTAATAATCACTTCAATATTCCCAATTTTGACCTAAGAGCCGCTTTAATTGATAAATAGAAAGATTTAATACATAAATTGTCGTTTAACCACCTTTTAATATGTTAGTTTTAAAAATGAGAGATGAGAGAGTAAAATTTTTTCCGAGAACAATACCGATCACTTCTGATACCGACAAATGACAAAATACAACTGAGTGAAGAATAGAAAGGAAAGATTTCAACTCCAATGATGTTTTTCGAATGTTACACGCAGATAGATTTTTAGTCCGGGATATCTTGCAATTGTTCCAAAGCCTTACAATTCCTGCAAAATTCAAATTTTTAGGAAAATATTAAAAGGCCGTTATTTTTTAAGAAACAGCAATTCAACAAATTTATTCAATTTTGGCTACTGAATCGAAATCAGACTCATGTCTCGGACACAATTTTATCACACGTAACAACTAATCAACGATTTGCTTTTTTGTTCATCTAATAACTATTTTTAAAACAAGGTTTACAACAATATGTCAATAACCAGGAAAGAAGAAAAACAAATGAAGTGAATTGAATGCTTTTCGATCTATTTTTGCATTGAAATTAAGCTTCTTCTTCCTCTTCTTCTTCAGCTTGCCGAGATTTAATTTTTTGACTTTCTTCTAACAAGTGTTGGGCATCTGCTAAAAGTGGACGAACATAGTCACGCATGACTCTCGATTGATCGCCATGTGTGATTTTTAAAACATTTGCTGCTTCCTTTATATGTTGAATAGCGTTTTGGAATTCATTAAGATGAGGATAGATCTTTCCTAATTTGAGTTGAGCAATACCAACAAGAGGATTGTAGTCTGATGTGTAAACTCTGAAAGAAGATTTTATTATTCATCATTACATCATTGAAAATGAGAGAAAAAAAAACTTACTTCAATCCTTTGATGAAATTCTTGCCAAATTCAACAGCTTCGGCCCAAGATTCAAGATCAATCGCCGCGTCAAAAGCCAAATCCAATGACTTTAATCGCCAAATGTTGTTTTCATGTAAAACATTAGTTTGTTGTTTATCGAGAGTTCGACATACATCGAGATCTAACATGAAAAAATTAAATTAATTAAAATCTTGTTGAAATTTTGTCGACATTAATAGTCACAACTTACATCTCACACTTTGCATTTCATCAATTAGGTGCTTTGTCATTTCAGTAACATCTTCATATTTCGTTCGATGCTCTTCTGTGATTTCAATTTTGCATCTTTTGCAATTAAAGTCGCTTGGTGAGAGAACACAATCGCACCTCTCTTTGGGACAAGCCATTGCAAGCATTTTCGGTGTGATGGATTCATCGGTGCACCTTTCACAATCGCAATCAAAGTAATAAGCTTTTTTGAGCTCAGCTCGACGTATTTCTGGAAGATCCATTTGATCGATGTAAGAAATTCTGATCTTTTGCCAATTAAGTTCGGGAATATCTTCAATCAAACGAATTGAAAGTTGTGAACCTTCAAAAGTTGCCACTGCATTTGGTTTACAACTGTGATCGAGAATCGAAGCCGCTAAATAAATTCCTGTTCCAACCGAGTTCAAATCATCATCAAGAATATTGAAACTGTTGATACACAAACGTCCATAAATCCCAAGGAATTCCGTTTGATTTGGGAAATGCTCAGGTGCGAGATATACTTTCAAAACTTCGTGCAATGATTGCAAATGTTCCATTCTTTTCTCATCCCATTTGATGTCATCCAAATGAGGCATCAAATCATTGAACTTTCTAAATCCGTTACGCGAGTAGTAGAACTTTTGTAAATAACCACCATATTGCAACTTCCAGATGATTTTCGCCATCATACGTGCAGCATCTGGGATCTTGCGTGGTGCAATCTTTTTCATGCACAAACATTCGTATTTATGTTCGGCCCATGCGTCTCGCTGACATAACACTCCGCAATAATGAGAAAACTGGCAACCACCACATTTCAGGAGCTTTCCACTGCTCAAGCAAAAATCACAACGTTCTTTAATAAATTTCGATTTCACAATATACGCGAAAGGTTTTTCTTGAAGGATCAATGATCCTTTTGCTAACGGTTGTTGCTTGCTCATTGTTACACAATTTTTATTTATTTCACTTTCAAAACCACTCAACTAAACTCAACTGATCTCAATCGTTCAATCAACAATCGATAACTAAAATTCTGTTCATTGCCGATGCATCAAATCAATTGAAAAACAAATTTATCTGTCGTGGCTATCACGTAAAACACGCTTAGGAAGATCCTCGTTTTATTTTGCATGTGTATTCTTATCCGACAGCTATTTTTAATTCCTCCTCATTCGATTTTCATTTTCTTTTTGCACCTTGCCGACAGTTCACGTAATCTTTTATTTAATATTATAATGCGGAAAAGTCAAATAAAATAAAGTTTCGTCTGGAAAATCTTACGCAGAGAAATGAAACAGTTATTTAATAAGATTTATGATCAGAATAACACTTCCCCAACAAATATATTTTTAACTTTTTGCAGAGTTATTTATAGTTTAATCAACATGCTTTTCTGTTTTCTTTCTTTTTTGAGAGATTCTCAAATGTAAACATCCTGATATGTGTCACTTGCAATGTGCATAGTTTATTGGCCTTTGAAGATGTTTATTATTTGTTTATCTACAATTATCTAATTGTTGATTAAGTTTTTGCGATTTTTGAACACGCGAAATTCTATACTTAAGAAGCCGACGATGTAGTTGTTTGAGATGTAGGTGTTCTTGAACAGAATCCAAAATTAAATTGTTTACTTTTCAAAGACTTGTTTTAGACTTCGTTCGAGATACTTTTTTTAATTAAATCTTTTTCAATTTTGGTGTTTTGTTTTATATAGAATCTATTTAATAAATACCCTTTGATTAGACTTTATGCGTCGTGTACGTTAAGAGACGTAAAGTTGTACGTAAACTTGTACGTCAACAGAAGAAGTAGAGATGGCGCATATGATTAGAGAGAGATAGCAAATATATGACTACCTGATGATTTAAGCATGCTGTTCAATTAATTTACCTTCTTAATTGCTCTTGTCTTTTATATAAAATTAAAAATATAAACATATTTCATACTGTCTCTTTTTAAAATCCATTCCCCTAATTTATTTCATCATATCAATAAAATTCAACACTTCCATTGAATCATTTATGAGCTAGAACATAAAAATCCTTTCTGAAATCCTCAAAATTATTATTTAGTGTTTGACTTTAGAGTGAAACGGTCATTAATAGTGCGAATAGAAATTATAAAAAGAAAATACTTGAAGATGGAATCTTTGAGTAAAGATTTATTATTGGAGTTATTTGATTACCTCGACGCTGATTCCCTGCTTGCTATTTCCGAAGTCAAATCATCGTAAGTTAAATTTAATTTTTCATAGAATTATATTGTTAACGATTATTTTTAAAACTTTCTTAAGATGGAAAAAACTTATAATCAATTCATCGTCTACAATGAGAAAATTTCCATCGGTTTTAAGCGCAACAAAAAGGAAACTTCCCTCAGGAGATTATCGAGATGAGTTTATTCCTGTTATCAAATCACCCATCATAGGACAACTTCATACATTGATAATAGATCAAATGATATTGTCGACAAACTATGACAGCGGCGATTTTGAATATCACAAAAGGTCATTACGGCAGGTGGAGATTATCAACAGTCGAATCACACATTCAAGCTTTCAACGTTTGTTCTCTGATTGTCCATTATTAAGCGATCTTTTGGTGTTTTCATCTTCATTTCCTGGCCCTGCTAAAATTCTTACTAAATTACCAAATCTGAAAGCAATCAAAGTGACATCAGACAATTTTACTATATTCAAAACAATTCAGCCATCTGCAAGTATTCAAACGATTCAAATTCTTGGAGTTGCTGGAAGACATCCTTATCAACCCAGAAAAGAACCACAGTCGTATGTAAATTTTCTCATGAACTGTTCAGGACTCAAAACATTGTCGACAATGATTTTTTCTAAAAGCTTTTTGAACGAACAAAGCGATTTTCCTTTCAAACTGAATCAATTAAGCTTGGAATACATTTCTGAGAATAATCCACATTCAGAACAAATCGCTGAATTCCTTCGCAAACAAAAGTCATCTTTGAAAGAATTAGAAATAAATGCAAGCGATGAAGTTGTGTTGAAATGCATTCTCTTCGAAATGCAATTGGAAACACTTCGACTCGGAATCAATCGCTTACCACAAGAAATCAATTTCTTTGACTGGAATCCACCGAATAAATTTCTGAAGAAGCTTGCAATGTATGGAAAAATACCAGATCTGAATCGAATCAAACGATTGATTTCAAATTATCCTGGTAAATATTCCGTGAAATTTATGCTGAATGTTAATCATCATTAATTCAAATCTTTTATTAATTAACAGCTATCGAGACATTGCTTTTCTATGAACAGTATCGAGTGACAGAACCGATCATCGGAGATTTTATCTCACATTTATCCTTCAAACTTCCTAATCTCAAACACTTGCGTCTTCCTTCGATTCGAGGAACGATAGCTCCAACAGCTCATTTCAACAATTTAAAAACACTGCATGTAGCAAAGATAAATAACATGGAGGAAGGTGCAAATTGGATGCTCTTAACTGCTTATAGTCCCAACATACAAAAGCTTGCGATCGGACGAGTTGAAAATTTATTCCTTTCAAATGGAAGATTGGAAGTTGTGCTTTCAAGGTTGCCAAATCTACAAGAACTGTGCTTGGGATCAGTCTTTGATATAGACGAACAAGTGAGTTTGTTACATTTAAATTATTTAACAATTTTACTCAAATTTCCCGTTCAATAGGCTTACAACATCATCAATACATCCGCAAGAAATCTCCGCAAACTCACCGTCTTCACAGATGATGAAAAATCCAAAACAATCATTCATAGAATTATGAATCGTGGCCTCAAATGTTTCCTTTATCCAGTAGAATCCTATGAATACTATGATCAAGAAGTGTCTGAAGTATGTGACAAAGGAATCAACAACAACTTCCTTGCTCGTGGAAAACATTATTATACCATCTTAAAATATCATTTTCAATAATTCCTTTAATAAAATATTGATTAAATCTAGTAGAGGTGTAAGAAATTAATTTTTTTTAATAAAATTCTTATAAAATCCAAAATTGTTGATTTTCCATTGTCATGAGTTTTGAAACAAAACTTTTATTTCTTCTTCTGCCAGATGTTAACATTATTTAAGATGAAAAGAAAATAAATTGATGGAATTAGGTATTTATGAAAAATAATCGAAATCTGTTGATTAAAATCATGAAACTTCACGCATACGTATTAAATATTTGAAATCTTCAACATGCTTGAAGATCAGAAAATTTTTAATATGGAAAACTTTTCACTTTCAATAAAAATAAGATGATACTAAAACTATTCGAATTCTTCTGCTTTTTTCCCATCATTTCTTCTCAGAAATGATGAAATTATCTAATTGTAATTAAAAAAGATAAGTAAAATGTAAGAAAGGTCATAAATGGTACTTACAAAGCAATTAATGAAGGAAGAATTGGCGACACTCATCTCTGCTCAGGTAGTAAAAATTTTAGGATTATTTACTAAATAGAAAAAGGAGAAATATTTACATAACAATAAAATAAAATTTTAGTGGTGTTAGAAGATCATGAAATATCCTTTTGCACGTTGTCATTTCTTCATTCTTTACAGTCGAAATTAGTCGTTCGAACCTTTAAGATGGAATTTCTCAGCGATGATCTTTTATTGGAAATTTTCTCCTATCTCGACAAAGCATCACTCAAGGCTCTCATGAAAGTGAAACCATCGTAAGTAACAGCAAAAAGTGATTTCAGTATAAAGTTCTTCCTACAAAAAAGTTCTTTCCAGATGGTCTCATCTTATAACAAACTCAGGAACCACAATGCAGAAATTTCCAGCTGTGTTGGTTCCCAAAGGTGAGAATGAGGAAAAAGGTCTTGCAAAATTCAACCTGAGTGTTAGAGGACAACTTCATACTTTAGATGTTTTCATGACTCGAATACGTTTGCCATTCACAAACAAAGAATTTGAAGAGCAATTGAAAACATTGAGGAGAATATTTATAGTGCGAAGTTCATGGACACAAGAAGCTTTCTGCAGCCTCTTCAGAAACTGTGAGCTTTTGACGGATCTGAAATTGACGATTAATCATATTTGTTACCCTTATCGTGACGGAAAAGAAGCTGACATTAATGTTTCGGTGCCAAATCTCAAGAATTTGGAAATTGAAGGTCTGGTTGATTGGAGTGTCTTTAAACTACTCAAACCAAGTGCAAAAATGCAATCAATTAAAATTTCGAACGATTCAGTGATGACAAGTGCAGAAGAAAATTTCTTTGAAAGGTTTTTGATGGAATGTCCAGGATTGAAAACATTTGCGCCGACGGTCTTTGTCAACACTTTCTTGAATGAAAAAGGATTCGTTTATCCTTTCAGACTGGAAAAGTTTTGTTTCGAATATCCATCTCATCCCAAAATGAATGTAAATGAATTGGTCGATTTTCTTCGCCAACAAAAGTCAACGTTGAAGGAATTGGAATTAAGAAATCCACAAGACGATTTGGTTTTCAACTGTATTGTCAATGAATTGAAGTTGGAAACTTTTCGTGTTGGGTCCAGTTATCTGCCTCGGGTTCTTCACTGCCTTGACAGAAACTCAAAAAATTTATATCTGAAGAACTTGATATTTTATGGAAATGTTTCTAGAATTGAAAGTGTGAAACAATTAATTTCACATTATCCAGGTTTGTAGTCAAATTTGGTATCAAGGAATTGATTTAAATATTTTTTATTAAATTACAGCCATCGAAACTTTAAAGTTTTATATGAACTACGATTTTGGACTTCATCGAAAACATAGACGACGAGAAAGGTTTGGCAATGTTTGCGAGATTCTCATACACATCTCGGAAAACCTTAAAAATCTCAAGCATTTACGAATTCCATCACTTGAAACATGCATTTATGGCATGCCAATTAAAATTGATAGTTTGGAATCGTTGCACATCAACAGAATAAAGAACGACTACGGTACACATCACTTGATGATCTTATCGGCTTCTTGCAAAAACATTAAGAAACTCACAATAGAGAAAGCCTCCCATTACACGATTCCTGAAGAGTTGCTATACATGATATTGACAAACTTGAAAGATTTAAGAGAATTGTGTTTGGGATTAGGCTACAGAATGGATCAAGATGTATTTAATTTAAATGTGATGACAATTGAATTATTCTTACTAACATTTGAAATTTTCTTTCCAGATTTTCGACATCATAAAAGCAAAATCGAAGAATTTAAAGAAACTGACAATTTTCGCTGAAGATATGACAGCTGACATTGTCAAGGCGAATAATCTTGAGATTCCTGGATTGAATTCTTATATTTATAAGTCTCATAGATTGAGTGCTGCAGATCTACTTGATGATGTCGATAATCTCATTTACAATGATACTTTCGATTTCTTTTCGTATGTAAGCAACCGTGAATCTAATGAAGTTTTCTCCAGAGAAAATAGACGTGACCCTATCGATGCACTGCCAATGGAACGATTGTGTCTTTCGCAAATAGTGAACAGAATATTTCACAGACAATAAACAACAACACAAACAACAATATTTGAAGTTAAACACAAATATTTGGAAATTTGAATGCAAATTAATTTATTTATAGAGAAATAAAAAAAAATTTAATAAAAGTTAGTTTTAACAAGTATCAACATTTAAGCTTAACTGTTATGAAAGTTATTTCATTTCAGGATGGATAAGAAACTTGGCGAAATAAGAAGATGAATCGAAGTTTCCTTAAGCAATAAATATTCACACAAGCAACAATAAGCTTATGCAATGCTAGTTACAACTCATCACTTGATCATCTTAGAAAAGAAGAAAAGAAACCTTTTAATCCTATTGAGATATCTACTTATCTTAAATAATTTTTTGATATCAAAGACGTTCTCGCACTGAAGAATTTTCTTTTTGATTATTTGGTTCTTGATTTTTATTGTTGAAGCACGGAAAATAATGAATGAAAATAATGAAAAAAATCAATCAAAGTCTTTCTGTCTAATCTTTTTTTAAATTTTATTTATAATTTTAACTTTCAATTTTCTGAGAATTCCTTCTGACATAATTAAGTAACATGAAATTTCCTGTTGACAGAGTTTTGAGTTGTTAAATGATAATAGAGAAGTTGGTAGATTTCTGATAAGAAAGAAAAAAATGAAACTTGTGATTGGTAGTCATTTGCTTTGTCAAAAAGTTCATGTTAATGATTAATAATTAATTAAAAGAAAAAAAATTATCACAAAGTAAGTTTCAAGCGAAAAGAGTATATAAGCAGTGAAATTGAATGAAATTTATTCAGTTTCTTTTTCAATTTAAAGTGAAACAGTGAAAATCATAAAGAAAAATGAATTCACTTTTAATGAAATGTTTGTGCGTTCTTACAATAATTGGATTAGCAGCAGCTACAAGACCAAAATTTGAATTAACAAGTTTTAATTCTACAACTTTCGTACATAAACCGTACATTCCTCGAAATGATGCAGAGCCATTTTGGGATCCAAATTTTTGTGACGGTTGGCGAGATAGGGATATATTCGTACATCCAGAAAGATGTGAAGGATTTTTAATGTGTTGGGGTGGTGAACTTCTTGAATTCGATTGTCCTCGTGGCATGATATTTGATTTCATGGATCTGGTATGCGATTTTCCTGATCAAGCAGTTTGTTGGATGGATGCTAGGCCACCACCCGTAATTCCCGATAATCATTGCCCTCCGCCGGGTAGTAATGAAGTCAGATTCTTACCATCCGTAAATTGTGACGAATACTATATTTGTATGAATGGTCGGCCAGTTCTTCTTCAATGCGCACCTGGTCAGCATTGGAATATTCAAGAAAATTCCTGCGATGATCCGGCAAGAGCGGGATGCGCTGTGAGTTGATTTGAAATATGAAAATTTGTTTCTTATTGTCTGTCATTTCTTAGCCTGTTCCACCACCTAATCAACTTCCCAACTGCCCACCTGGAGTAACTCGATATCTTCCACATCCAACTAATTGTAATTGGTTCATCTATTGCAATAATGGCAATCGAAGTGTACAACAATGTCGACCTTTGCAACACTTCGATATCAATCTTGAACGTTGCCTTGTCAAAACAATCGCTCGATGTATTACAAACACAAGAACTCTACATTAAACAGTTGAAGATGGCAAATTATATTTCATTAAAGTTTATCACAAAAGCTTTACAAAATATTTTAAAAAAATTCTTTCAAGCTAGTAACGTTAACATCATGCGCAATAAAATTAATCTATTTTATTGACAATTTATATAAATAGTTACAAGTGATAAGGTTTTCCATGATGTGCTGTAATTAAAAAAATAAAACAAATAAATATTGTAACTTTTTCTGTTACCACAATTTTTTTTGTGTTTTTCCTACAGAAACTTGTAGCCTTAACATTCCATTCGATAATGTATTACAAAATGTGTCTTTAAGTTAATCTTAATTCTCAATGTTGATGACAACAGTAATGACATTCAGAAATTATCCCTTTTCATCAAAACAGTCTCACAGTAAGGTTATATCTCTGAGCTGACAACAAAAGCTCAGCAAATATTCATTACATTTTTATTATCAAAGTTTTATGTTTTTATCATAACAACCATCTAGTTAATATTACTGTAATAAATCCTTTACTGATAGCTTGAAAATATACTATATCAATTCTAATCGGCAACATGCGTGGGTGACAGATAAAAAAACAGAAATTAACTTCATTTTATTATGTCACGAAAAATCTCTTGAAAAATTCGTAGGCGAAATAGGTACCTAAATAAAAATTTGTTTTTCACAATCGATGAACATCCTGAAATTCATATTTTCATCAATAATTACTCGTTTCTTATATCTTATCTAAGTCATGATATCGATCAGGTTTAAATTGTAAACATGCACATTGACCCTTGAAAAATAATTATTGAAATTATCCTGTCGTTTCAGTAATCCAATTTTCCTATCAAATCCCGAAAAGAATTTTTATATCTTTATGAGAAATAATATTTTGCTGGAAAGTCTTCCTGCTGGTAATTGCAATCAATCACATCTGAATTTATATTTTTAAGGTAATCAACAAGAGACAAATCTGTTTCGTAAATTTCTTCACGTAGAATTTAGAAAATTTAATTTTCAATGACATGATTCACTGTGGAAGAAGTTCTATAAACAGGTTTCTTTCAAATTTTCCTTTTTCAATACAAGACTTGAAATGGAATCTTCAAGGATATTTTCAAGTAGAAATGAACATTTAAGTGTTAAATAATCAATGAATAAATTTTGAATAATGGAGATAAGTGTAAATCATGTATGTACAAATGAGAAGTAAAACTATTGATATTTTAGTCTTGATCAGTGTAAAGATAGAAATTTCACATGATACATATATTTAGATATATCACGACCCCACGTAAGGAATTTTTAGTTCATGCGCTACGTTACGTTATAGGAATCATTTTCCATAGTTGTACACCTCGTACAAGTAAAAAAAAATTGTAAACATTTTCTGAAGCATTAATGTTTAAGAACTTAAAGTGTTAGAATAACTAAATTAAAAATGATTAATGCACAAAGGCAAAGAGTAGAGCAAGAACTGACGACGTTAGTCGACAATCTTGATAAATCATATTTACGTAGAATGCAGGTAAGATAAATAAATAAAACCGAATTGAAAATGTTTAATAAAACGGTGTGAAAAAAATAATCATATTTTTGAAATTCTTGTTTATTTTAGAGTGACATGCACCAATGTGCTTCAAAATGTTGTGAAGACACTCAATCATCAATGGATACTATTCAAAGATGTATAGAAAGATGTTCTCAGCCTGTAAATAAAGCGCAAAGGTTAGATTAAGTTATTACTACTTTCATGGATTAATCAATAGATGTCGCTACTCTCAATTATATTTTTTTGATCCGTTAAAATATTAAATTAAAGATTTTTCTCTAAGATATGTGCAATCTGAACTGGAACGAGTCCAAGGAAGACTTCAAAGATGTGTAATGGACTGCAACGATAACATAAAAGACCGAATGCCAACAAATCCGTCAGAGACGGAAGTCGCAAAATTCACGACTGAATTTGAACGTTGCGCAATCAAGGTACATGAGATTTCTATTGATTTTTCATAATTAATAACTTAATCTTTTATAATTACAGTGTGTTGACGGAACTGTGGAAACACTTCCATCATTATTCAAAACAATGAAGTCAGTTCTTGGGAAAGGTCCGCAAGCAATTCCTGATGTTTAATTCCATATTATTTCAAGCTTTAGTTGATGAATAGAATTATTTTGAATTTCATTGTAAAGCATTTATTTGAACGGACATAAAATGAAATGAAGCTTTAGAAAAGAAAAATCGATGCTATGCGTATTATTCAATTCAGTTTGCTAGCTATCATTTTGCCATAAAAATTTTAAAACAATTTTAACGCTTGTGGTCTTGTTCGAACGTAATAATGACATGAATAACGAACAGATCATCAAATTTAAGCAGATTTTCAATACAAAATAATATTTTTTATTTTAGTTTTCATTCATATCACAATAGTTTTGCATGTTATAACTACAAAGTTTCAATGATTTTTATTCCACTGACAACTATCTTCTGTGAATAAAACTCCTTGATCCCCTTCCACCGGCAACTTATGATGCGGACAAAACGTCATGAAAATGCTTCTCTCCATTGATTCTATAGCGATATATTGAATATATACTCTCGGAGTAAAAACTCGCCATGTTAGAGGATTGAAAGTCGATTTGAATTTGTATTCAACGAAGACAGTTTTTATGTCTTCCATGTCGTCACCGATTGCGATAAACGTGTGATTGCTATTTGGTGAAAAGAACACTGGCATTGGATTGAATTGAATTTTTCTCGATTGTGTGTTGTTTGAGCCTTTCAGCATAAAATATAGAAAACCAAATTCACCACCATGCATAACACTTTCTTCAGATCCTGAAACTTTTACAGTAACTTTAAAATGAGCTGCGCAATATGGTTCTTTGTCATTAGTTAAAAGATAAGTAGCAATCGGTTCATGACTGTAAAATCCCATACTAAATATTCCCTGGAAGTATCTTCGACTATGAAACCCAAAACGAATGCAATAATTTCCATCACGATTACAACTCGGACATTTTCCCTTTTTAAAAGCTTCATATGAGTCACAAGAGATCGACATAAAAGGACATTTTGAATGAATACTTTCTATGAAAAGCTTTACAGATCTGACATGATTGCATCCGATTTGTAATGACTGCAAATTACAAAGAAATTGATTACAGTAATTAAAAGAAATAAATGAAATATTGACCTTTGTAGAACATCCCGGTTGTTCCCTTCCCCCATTAGGATAGAAATCGACGTGACCAATTTTTTGCTTCATCCCAAAACCGCCATTGACAAAATATGCGATATCCGAATGAACGACATCCACGTAATTAGCATCTGTTTGATCTAAGCGAACAATAGTGTCAGTGTTGGCAAAAAATGGCTCGGCCGCTGTAAAACGAAGAATTTTTCTTTTATCTTTTGAAATTAATTAAATTAAAGAATTCAACTCACGATCCAAAGCAGTGATTCTGTCAAGTTTGAGTCCGAAATCTCTTTGAAGATGAAAACCAGCGTACCCAGCCAGATGTGCGCCTAAGCTATGACCAATAATATGAACTTTATCAAGATTCTTCATACCAGTTTCTTCCTAAAAAAATATCGAGATTTCTTTCTTTAATGAAGTGCTTGTCTAATAAATTACTTCTTACATATATGCTATAAATAACATGAGCTGTTATGCTTCCAATGATTCTGATGTTGGCAACAGCTTGATAATATGGCGGCGATGAGCCTCCTTTCCAATCAACAACCACTACTGTTGCATCTTTCTCGTAATCTAGTAAAGCATTCATTATTTGTCTAAGCCATGGTCGATCTCCCGACTCAAGAAAACCATGTGCAACCACGTAGAGATGAGCATTGGGATTGATTCCAACTTTTATGATAGTTTCGGGATCATTAATATCGATGAATATCGGAACATTTCGGTTTTTGTCTGTAAATGTTGGATATTTTACGTTGATTATTGAAGGGCTGAAAGGGCTGCGAAAGTAAATTAGAAAATTATCTCCTAATTGATTTCTATCAAAATGTTATATTACTGAGCTTGTGGTCGATTCTCAATCATCCACGGACCAGTCACGGGAAAGCATCCATAAACACCAAAGCATCTCGTATCCAAAGGATCTTCTAAAGGTTCAACTTTCTCATTGTAAATTGTGTTCATAAGCGTCGTTGAGTTATGATTAACAAGATACAACATTGTCTGCAGCATGAAGCCGCCAGTTGAATTCGAATTCATTTTGGCTGGCAATGCTAAGTTATATAAAATGTGTTTAAGAGAGATTAAAGGAATTCCAAGTCTGCTACGTCGTTTCCTCGATCACAATCGTCGTTCGCTTTATCAGTTACGGTTGTGTGAATCTATTTAAAAATAGATGATTTGAAAGTAATTATCAGTGTGTAATTTTTGATGACTCAAGTTATTAAATGCACCCTGAAATTTTTCTTGAAAATCTTGACATAAAACATATTTAAAAATATCGATTCAGTTCTTCCATCATTCATCAACTCTCAAGTGTTCTAATTACTAATTACTCGACATCAAAGTAAGTTTGATTGAATGCAAGCAATCTTTCTTTTTCTCTTTGAAACATTGATGTTCGTAAAATTGTTTTGTTTATAAAAACTCGTAGACTTTTTTTCCTGGCTGGATTGAAAGAGATGAGAAAAAAAGTTTTTATGTCATCAAGCACATGTTTGTTTACGTCGGAACTTTGGACCTTATCAGTTATCAGTCTGCACTTTACTCTCAATATTCAACTCTGATTAATTTATTTACACCGAGATTTTTTTTTCGCGACTTCTATTAAGTATAAAAGCATTGAAAACTTGATGTTGTTGATGGAAAACGGGTTAACTTTGTAATGTTACAAATAAAAATGCCACAAATTAATTTGTTACAATGTGTTACTTCACGTTGCTTATATATCTAAATTACTAATTAAGTAGCTCATCTTACTTTGATCTAACTTAGCAACGAGATTAACGTCACAAATTTATTGTTATCAAAAGATCTAGCACGTGTGCACAAAAATCTAAACACAAAAAATAATAACACAAGAAAATCTCTAAATATTTAATGAAAAAAAAAATCTCGTCTTATCAGTTTAAAGCTCAAAATAGAACTAAGTGATTCCTCATGAGGGTATTCATATAGACATAAATTTTTGAGTTGATATTTAATGTTGAAAAAATAATGAGATGAAATTGCAAAAATAATTTGAGAAGACATTTGTGAGAAATTTTACTCTGCTTATGTACATCACTCTCACTTGACATAATCAAAATATAATTTAGAACGTTTAACATTCCCATCAGAATGTCCATTCTTAGTCAGATAATCTTTTGTCCAACCGACTCTAAACTCTGAATAACATCAATCAAAGTCATAAATCATCTGTCTCTTCTTCTCATGGGATTGTTCTGCCCACAACAGAATCAATTTCCTTTTTCCTTCTGCCTTCAATCTTTCTCGCATTTAAATTTTCACTTCTTGTTTACACGAGAAATTTGTTTACCTTCAGGATTTTTTATGATTGATGATGCTATGATGATGAAATCGACGAAGAAAATATGAACAAGAAATTAGCTGCACAAAAAACAGAAAAAAAAGAAAAGCGTAGGAAAATTTCTTGTTTTCTTTTCATTGTCATTTTTGTTTTGGTGGAAATAAAGTCTCTGAAATCGAATGAGGGAAGTGAGATAAAAAAGAAAAGTTTCATCAATCATCTCAAAAACAATTTCCTTAGAAAATCAACAAAAGTTGAAGAATAACAAAAGATACGATGGAAAATCGAATGACGCTTTGTTTGACTTATTTTTAGTTGCTTTCTTATCATAAAAATATTCAGCACATCATATTGAACAGATATGAATGGTAAAAAATTATTAAAACGAGTTTCTTGTTACTTTTCTTTCAATTTTCATTTAAAGCTTCAAATTTTCTATCTTCTTCGACATCTGGTGAATCTTCCAATGGTAATTTAATCAATCAGTGTAATTTTTTTTTCTACCCTGCAACCCAATTTCAACTTCGCAGTTGAACATGCCACGAAACAATTTTTTCTCCAGCTAAATTTGAGACGAAATAAAAAAAAGTTCCGTCACTCATAAATTATGTTGGATATCAATGATTTATGTTGATAACTATCGAGACATCACTCACAAAGCTGTTCCGTGGAATCCTGGAGTCTAATATGGATTAATTTTAAGTCTTCTCCGTTTTCACGGCATGTAAAACAGGAATCGGGAGAAATTCAATTATATTCCTACTAAAGCAACAAAAAATGTAAACGAAAATTCGAAATCAATTTTTGATGGTTTATCCAGGGGAGAAGGTAGCTGAAAAGTAAAGTAAGCGAATCTATTTCTATGTGTGTGTGTGTTAGTGATATCTGCAAGTATTAAGAAGAAGCAATACGATCCAAATGGATGAACATCGGCCAAACAGAAAAAGCAAATGAAAGAAGACGAAAATTGCCAATTAACCATGACGATGGAAAATCGGAAAATCATTTGCTTCTGTTGTTTTTTTTACTTACAGCTTTAACTCCCTAGGGGTTTGATAGAATGTTTGATTTATAAGAAGATGGGTGAGAGAGAGAGATGAGTTTGAGGGTAATTAATACCCAGTGGCAATGACTATCAAGTTGCAAAAAATCGACTTATCGTGACTTTTAGCTATCAATTTGTATCAAACGAGGGGCAGAAGACGATTCACCCGTAAATGAGTGCTTTATGGGCGGAAATCAAGACAAATCCACTTTCGTTCCAGTTTAAGTCTTTTGCTAATTGATTTTCTTCTTTACTCATTTTCAGTCAAACTTTCAATTTAATTAAGTAAATTTCAAATTGACTTTAAGTACCTTTGATGGTTCTTAGCATCATCTTTAATTTAATTATTCAGGAACATTCTTGATTTCTCTATTTCAATCTGCTCAACCTGTAAAGCTGTAAAAGCGAAGATTCTTTTCACGCTTGGAAAAATTGCGAAACTAACAAAGTGACATGGCAACTTCTCATTAGTCGAGTAAAGAGTAGAAAAAGTGAGAAGTTGGTAACTAATAAACAAACCGCGAAATATTTCGAGAAATATTTTCCATGTAACATTTTAATTAACGTGAATATATTTAAGATGAAAAGACTTTTCAGATAAACGAAAGTTTTCCTTAACAAATAATTTCAGACTTGGAGATAAGAAAATTAAGAGTTGCTGTTGATGATAAGAACTAACAAACTTTCTTCACTTTACTGAAAGAAGTGAAAGAAAAAAAAAGGATTTTCCATCATTATCAAAGAACATTTCAACTACCTGCAGATCCTTGATAACGGGATTACATTTTCACTCAAATTGAAAACTTCCTGATCAATTTTTCTTCTTTTTTTCATTTTCTCTTATGGCTTCGTCACAGTTTCTAGATTGTATAAAAACTCGCACCATGCGTATCATCCGTTGGACCTTTTCCAATTTCCCATTATTATTTTCCTTCTTTTCTCCTTCCTCCGACTCGGAAAGTTGTTCGTTTCTACATCAAATTGAGCTTGAAGAACCCATCTCAATTTGTTTACCTTTTTATTGATCTGGAAATAAATTGATAAGTTAGGATCATGTCTTAAGGTGTTTCGGAATTTGGGAAATCAGAAGGCTTTTAACATCTTTTACAAGATTAATTCATACAACATAGACTCTTTATCTCGACTCTACATCAATCATCTAATCAAATGAAATGAGTCAAAAACGTGTCGCATCTGTTTTAATGACCCCAGAAAGTCATCATCATAAATTACCTTCTGTGTGTCATCATTTTCAATGAATTTAAAGATAAATAAAAATCCACCCCCGTGTGACAATGATAATTCTACGCAAGATATGATTACACAATGACAAAGCAAGCTTTAAACTTCACATGGCGGCATGAAAAATCCATTTGTTTTTCCCATTAATGGCATTATTCATCAAGAGGAATGAGTAGATTCAACGAGTTTTTCCCCGACTTTATCGAGACTAAAGCAGAATGTTTTCCGTATGCAAATATTATATTTTCCTTCTTGTTTCCATCCGTTTGTTATGCGCTTATGAAAAATTAAGAAAAGTGGCTTGAAGGAAGACTGTGTATGTAAATGTAACTGCGATAAGCGTCATTACGCTGTCAACGGAAATTTCCATAAAAATGAGCTTTTTGCTTCTGCTGCTACTGTTATGTGTCGTCGGTTGGCGTGGTGGTTAAAAAAAGAAGAAAATAAAAGTTTCAAGCTAAATTTGGGTCACATTAAACAGGTCATATTCATTAACGTAGTGAAATTGTTAAGGCGAAAGTTTTTCATTCATTTGTGTCAATGTGCTTGAAGTATGAGCCAACCATGACTAATTATCATTCATGAAAGCTTTTAGTCTCTTAAGTTCTTTGAAAAATATTTCTTTTTTTAATATCCTTGGTCTTTCTTTCTCATTAATCATATTAGAATTCAACTCGTCTTTTGTGACACGATCGGGCTTAAAGCATATACATAAAATTTACAGTTAATTACTTTCAGAAATAAGTTAAGCGAATCGAGGTAAAACTGAGGTAGTTGTGAAAATTTGTAAGCAAAGTTTATCATTAAACGTTTCACGTTTTAAGGAATATCTTTTATGAGATCATCTTTTAAGTTCATATTTGCATTCAGTTGAATGGAGCCAACAACATTTTTTTTGTATTTACAAAAAGCTTTTTAGTATGCTAAACAAATGTTTCGTATATTAAACTCAATTTCAAAGCTAAGCATGAAAAATCTAATTAATTGTCATCTCATGAATGCCGATGAGCTAATTAAACTTTTTTTGTGCGTGTGCACATTTCATTTGTTTTTTTTTCATCTCTCTTTAAGATTCTTTATTTCATTTATACGAGAAACATCTTGTAAAAGAGAAAAATCAATACAAACAGAATAATTTGGAGAGTTGAGATAATCGAGAAAATTAAAGAAAAATATTTAAAGGAAGGAGAAGTTAATTAAATTATCTCAAAAGCTTCCCCACACCGATATCTTGGAGGCATCGTACTCCAAAATCATTCTGAGAGTAAAGTAGGACAGGAAAAATTTTAGGATCATCGTTTTCATTTCTTTTTAATTGGTTTAATGGCTTTGTGAAGAAATGAAAACTTTTGTGCTTAGCTACAAAAAGGAAAAAAATAAAATTCCTTCCTTTACTCTTTAGAAAGTGAAGAGGGATGAGAGGAAATAAAACCTTTATCGTGTACCTAAGAGAAATAATAAGAAGAAATCGTTCTTGGTCTTAATCCTTTTTGATGTAGTTGAGAGAACAACTCGTAACATTCTTCCAGCGTTACTTAAACCGTTAGCAACGAAAATCATCTCGTTGCCAAAGAGCTTATGCTTCTGAAACGTAACAATCATTCTAGCATTAATTTTTTATGCATTTAAAATATTGTTGAAAATATTTAAAAATACTTCACTTTATTCATATCTTCATATTTCATAAGAATATTCAATTTTCCTATTTACAACGTGAAAATATTAGTTCAATATTTACCAAAAGAAAAAGGAAAAATCCTTACAAATCTTGTTCATCTGGAAATCAATCCATAAGTTTATTCTATCTTACAATTTCCAGCTGATTGAATTCGTGCCATGTTCTCAATCCTACATCAATCCTTTTTTCCGTTTTCTTTTTCACCAAAAGCTCATCTTTCAAAGTAGAAATTTTCTTACCTTTACATCTTATGTTCGATCAAGGAAAACTGAACACATTTGAAAAATTGTGGATGAATGTACACAAGTGAAGGAATTTTTTATTTTTATGAAAAAAAAACATTTTCCATGTCGATGTTTGCTTTAAAAAATCGATATAGTGAAGCGCTGAAATTGATACGATAATGGATGTTGCCATAATTTTCCCCACAGCTACAAGAACACAATAAAAGCACATCCATCATTTGAAACAAAGGCACGTCATAGCATACACGCTCATCCTGACGCGCATAAAAGCTTCAAAGATTTAAAAAAAATCCACCCCAGCATAACGCATTAAAGAGTTTGAATAAAAATCATGAACTTTTTATGTTGTTGTTATGCTTAAAATTCCTTCACTGACACTGATCTGTTGTGTCAGGGCTTTTAATAAATCGCTGTTAATATTTACTTTAAAACTGGATAAAATTACGCGGCTGTGAATATTTATTTCATTTTATAAAAAAGTAAAGCTTAAAGGCTTAAGGTGTCAGCAAGATGGAGGGTAAGTTTTATGTAAATCAGTTCAACAATGAACAAAGTATTTCGTTGGGATAAATATCCTGATTTACATCAGAATTTCTCGTTGTTCCATCATGTCTTTTTGTTCATCCTTCAACCTGTGTCAAGAGTGAAAATGATTATGATTTATAACATGTTAAGCATTTAGTCGAACGTATTTCAAAAACACTGACCATGATTCTTATGAAAAGTAAAGCGAAACATTGTGTTTCATCAGTCTTGCACAGTGCAAGACCAGAATTAACGTCAAAATCATTAACAGTCATTTAAGTCGTCAACAGCATGAGAAACAATGTCATGGCATGATCTGAAAAAACAAAACTTTTTTTTCCAAGCTCGTGTCATAGCCACAACATGTAACAAACGAAATAAAAAAAAGCCATTAATCATTTCCAGTATTCTTTGTCCTTCATTTTCATCAAGATTGAAAAGATTTTCCTCGCTTCTCCTTTTTTTTCCTTATGTAAGTTTGCTTATCATGATAAGTAAATTAAATTGCGTAGGTTAAGATAAAAATTTAATTCAAAACTTATGATAAAAATCGTTCGCCTTTTATTTTGATGAAATTTAATGTGCTTTTGATTATTTCTTATCTTTAATCTTAAATTTTCCTTCATAAAGGTAAGAAAATATTTTCTTTTATTTATTATCACAAGAACTCTTGTTGATAGTTTTCATTCATATATGAAAAATATTTTCTTCCTTTCAATTTCTCGATGGCAAAATAATCTAAACGTTACCTTATAATCGTGTGATGTTCAAAGAAAATAGTGTCAATGAATAGTTGTCAAGCAATCTAAATTCATGACACAGCACCTTTTCCTATTGAAGAGTTAGAACGAAAGGAGAAAAGATTCCATTAAGACATAATGAAAAGTTTCGTGTTCTTGCTTCACCCTTTTGCCATCACCTTTTACTCATTCCCCTTTAAAGACATCGATGGAGTTATGTAAACATCAATAAACTTTAGATTGTGATATGTTCATTAAACGGAGAAAAGCTTTCAGCAAGACGACTTTTCAAAGTGTATTTAACATGAGGGAAATTACACGCAAAAATCTCTGCTGACATAGAATTTAAGTTGACTTTTTTCCCTTTCAAATCCTTTTGTTTAAGCAGCTTTAAAATGGAAATGAAGAGAACGTTTAAATGAAGTGAAATCAAGAGGGAAAACGAAAGAAAAATATTCAATTTTTATCCATCTTGTGCTCAGTTACAAGACTTTTAGATATGCTCGACTCCTACCTAAGCATCAATCACAAGAATAAATTAATTTTTTTTTCAATTTCCGGTACTTTGTGGTTTTAAGTGAAAAAGACACGTGGGACTCTCCATCACGACTTTCCAATCATTTTTTCTTTACAGTCACGAATCAAAAGCTTTTCATGTATAAATAAAGAAATTGAAAATTGGCTTCCATAAAATTCTTCGAATTCTTTTGTCGTCTGAAATCGAAAAGCAATTGTTGGAATGTGATGAGAGTGAGAAGCATAAAAGTCCCGTCTGGTGACGCTGAAATACAAAAAAGAAAGAAAGACCGAAAATTGTTTTCGATTTATGGAAAATTAATTTATGGACGACGGAAAATTTTCCGAGATTAAACTTTAACCATTTTGTTGGTGAACCTTTCAACCTCCGCCCCCTTTCCCTCCATCACCATTCTTCTGGCAGTGTAAAATGATTATAAATTATTAAAATTGAAAACGCTCGCCGCAGATTTTCCCAGAGAGGGGAAAGGAGATGGAGCTTGGGGAAACAATCAAGATGATTTATTAATTAATATTTTCACCTATTTATCGCGTTTAATGTCTTTTTCACTTAAAAAGTTAGAGCGCGATGAGATTTTCATTTTTCATCCACGCTGTAAGAAGCAAAAAACACATTAAAGGAAAAGAAAAATCGTTTCCGTGACGCATTAGAAATGTAAGAAACAAAAATAGCGCCGCGACAAAGTCGAGGAGAGAAACTTTAATGAGACATAATAAAAGAATGAAGACGTTCTACACATTTAACATCGTTTCAGAGACTTAAAAGCAACAATAAATCAATAACTAAGTTAGAAAAAATGTTTATAACTGTTTCAGTGCGTTATTCATGCCACAATACATGAGACATTCTTGTTTTGTTGTGATCTACTGCGATTTCCCAGAACAATTCTAAAATATTCCCTGACAAATTGAAAATAAATCCTCGAAATTCCTTTTCGTGTTTGCCATATGGTGACCAAATTTGTCGTAAAAAATGAAAATTTTCCAAACTACCTCCGATAATGAAAGAAAAGCCTGAAGAATCCTAGAACACGTAGAAAACGTATCCCAAATTTGTTGTGGGATAAAGATAATTCTTATCGAATGTTTTAAGATCTTTTCATCGTTTTTGAAAGATTTTGAAGGATCTCCTAACACTCGTGTTGAGCCTTAAGGCTTTCGGAAACCTTAGGACATGTTTTCATGATAATTCTCAGGATGTGTTGAAGATTTTAAGATCGTCGAAGGATGCTTGGACGAGAATAAAATTTTATTTCAAAGAAACGAATAATTAAAAGACTTCCAAGTAAATCATACTTTGGTTGAACGTTTAAAAGGAAAGTGACGCGACGGGAATTGCTCTAAATTTGAAAACAAATAAATCAATAAGAAAAATGGAATTGAACTTCGCTGAAGCTTAATGGCGTGAATGAAAATGTTGAAACTTGCTGTTTTCAAATAAAAAGCAATAGCATCATGAATTCTTGTGGAAATAACGCTTAGAAAGCTTTGAGACATAAAACATTGCTTTCATTATCATAATTTATAAAATAAAATTCAATGCTTATGCGCTTCGATTGAAATCTGTTTTTGATTTAATTTGTAAGAAGAAAAACAATGGAAAATAAAAGATCGCAGTTTTGATTGTTAAGCAAACAATTCTTGAATTGTAGACAAAACGCGCATTAGTGAGACATTCAAGCATGAATAATCGCTTAATTTATCTCAGACATTTTTTGCTGACGAGAATTAATTCCTTCTTTCGCTTCAAGTTCAAATCTGATTGCTTCGGTTAACATGAACGAACGCTTTTGAAATTTAGAGCCAAAAAGATAAGAGAAGAAACATTTTTAATGCATTTAAGCAATTTTTCCAGCAATTTAAAGAGTTTCCTTCATCATCTATGTAGTGTTATCTTCTTATTATTAATAATTATTATTTTCGTACGTTCAAATTGAATTTAAAGTTGAACGAAGTTCGCTAATAGAAATGGAGCTTTTATGAATTCACTTTACAAATATTGAGGGAAGTTAATTAAATTTCCTCTCTCTCTCTCTCCATCTCTTTCCTACCTTGCCATCTTTTCTTCCAATCTTATTCAGAAAATCTCGTAAAGAAAAGTAAAATTACGGATCATCATCTTTTCATCTTTTTTTCCTAATTGCTTTAATGGCTTTTTTAAAGATGGGGGAGTTTGGGAAGATTTATTTATATTCAGGGTGGAATTTTTTTGTTACAAAGTAAGCACATTGAAAAGTTTTTTTTTTGGCTTAAGTAAGAACAATTCGATTAATTTTTTTGAATTTCTCATCTTAAATAGAAGTAAATATATGAAAGTGAATGATGTTCAAATGTAAAGTTAGTCTTCCATGATGTAGGAAAACACAAACAGAGTTTCACCATTAATGTTATTTAATAAATTAAAATGGTGCAATCTTGAAAGAAAACACAAGGTCATCATTTTTGTAAATTGATGAAAGACTAAAAGAAGACATTTTTATCCGACCCCAACATCATGAAGTTAAAGATGCATAAGTCTGGATAAAAAAACGCTTCCTTTTTCAGGTGCTTAAGAAGATTAAAGATCATCATTTCTGCTCTATTACGACATAGGGTTCGATATAAGGGAAAAGCAAAAGTAAAATTGTTGGAAGTAAGAAAAAAGTTGAAGGAAAAATTCTGCGCATTAAGAATGTCGACAATGAGACAGATGAAAATTACTTGTGATGTCCCTGAAGATAATTCTTTTCCTAATTGAAATTGACATTTTTATTTTATCATCAGCAGAGCTTTCGCAATGTCATTGCTCTTGGAACGAAGTGACTTTATATCATTCAATCCATTTCTGCTGTCTTACGTCTGTCGATGAGAAAACTCAATTTGTCTTCAAGGGAATTGTACATATAAACAATAAGGAAACAAACCAATATATTCATGTTTTTTTTTGTTTTTATTTTGATTGATGACGAAATTTCTTTGAGAACAAATATATGTTCAGTTGTGGAGAGAGAAATGATCGATCGAGAGAGTGAATGAGTAGATGGAAAAGTGGCTTTCAATGTTGGGAAGTCGTAAGCTATTTACAAAAATTTATCATTTTACTGGACATAATTAGGCCAAACATTTATTGAAAGATGATAATTGAGGTCGCAACGATGTTTGTAAAACGAGTAATATGAATATTAATCAGAGTTCCCTTATCAAACTTTCTGATGGAATTAATTATAATCCTCCACTTTATTGTTGAATCATTTATAAGTCAAGGGTAGAAAAATTTTCATTTATTCATTGACACTCAAAAAGATAGAATTTTGAATTTTCCATTTACGAAATTTCAGAATGAGAATCTCATTTTCAATAAGGAAATGTTATGAGTCAAAATATATTCAAACTTCTTTATCAACTTCATATGTTTTTATTAAATTTTTTTCTGTTCATAACTTATGAAGTTTAAAAATACTAACTCGAATCCACATCTCACATAACACATATCTGTTCAGTACTGTGACACTAAATTTGGAATTCCCAACTTTTCTCTTTTTAAATTCAAGACAACATCTATTGGAAAAGCCATTAATACCTCACAAAGTTCTAAAAGACAGCAGTGGTAACTTTACTATCTTTCTAGTTTCCACCTCATTAAACATTTCTCTCCCATATGATGTATCATCATGAGTCATGATATTTGAATTCATTCTCACCCTTTTGTGAATGTTAGCATTGAAAGTTTCGTTGTTTTCTCGCCCCACAATCTGCTAAGAGGGTGAGAGTGCGGGGGAAATGTATCATCATAACAGAGATTTATAGCTATTAAAGAAGTAAAGTTTCTATAAGAGCTAAGAGACTTACTCGAACTTTCATGTTGTTTCTACTTATAGAATAAAAAAAAACTTTAAAGATAAACATCACGAATCATTGCACAACGAGTTTCAATTTCACTTGAGTGCTGAATTCATCTCAATTTCCACTTCCCCACAAATCATTAACTGAAACAAAACAATTCACTTACACTCAAACAGCCGATACCAAAAACTGTTTGCAATCAATTTCCCAAAGCAAATACGCAATTTGATATGATAATGGATGCTGTTGCGGAGATGCCACAAGAGTGGATGCCATAAATTTTCTTCTTAGGGTTGTGTTATAAAGCGATGAATGCAAAGAGATGGGAAAAAAAGTGAACAATAAAAAGCACATCCATCATCCACGAAAAAGACACATCAAGCTTCCTTTAATGCTAAACTCAACTGTTCGTAATAATAATAATAGCAATCGAAATATAGAGAAATTAAGCTTAATTCTTTCCTTTAAACATCAAATGAATGATTGCGTGATGATGATGATGCATGTTCGTTCTTTAATTTTCTCCTTGTCTCGACTCTTATTTCAATTAACTTTTTAATCTCCTTAGAAGAAAAGAAAATTGTTAGGTGAAGAAAAAAAGGAAAAAAAAGTTTCCGCTTGGGGTAACACTGAAGCGGAAGAAAAGCTAAAAAAAACTTTTTCAAGCGTTCTTTGTTTAGAACATAAAAGCAATAAGTACTTATTTCGATTACAGACTACAATGTATGTTTAACTACGTACCAAGTTTGCGTTGAGTTATCCTTTTTGAGTGGTTTCCACCCGAAAGCAAAAGGAAGCGATTCTTTACATTCTACAAGAAATGGTGGGTTGTGTGGGAGTAAAAATATGATTTATAGCCAAAAAAAAACTTTTACTCTTTCACTTTTCTCTTCCACGTATGTGACTTTCGTGTTTCCAAGCCACTTATTTTCAGCTCCTTTTTCCATCTCAGCTCGCTTTTCCCCTAGAAGAAGCGAAATATTTTAAAAATTTATTCAGAAATTACCGCAATTAATTTTTTTCTTTCGTTCACTCTTCAATTTAAATTCAATTCGTGATACAATTGCATTAATGAGGGAGAATCGAATCGAAATCCTTGAAGTGGATCCTAAAATAACAACAAGCGTGTAAGCGAACGTGGAATGAAGTTGATACAGAAGTAAAAAAAACAGGTCAGGTGAAAATCGAGCGAAATCACGTTTTGTCAACACATTTTTCCGCTCGAGGCAAATTATATTTTCCCTTCGAGGTCTTTTTTCGCTTCGTCAAGCAGATCTGTTAGATTATGGAAACATTTAACAGTTTGGAATCGAAAATTTATGCCATCAACAAACAATATTAGATTGTGTAACTGACCTCGCTAGCCTTGGTGCATTTATCAACCCGAGGGTTAATTCAATTGACCATTCTCCCAATCTTTATTGTATTGAATTGTTTTTCATGCCTGGGACACTTTGAAGACTTTTATTATCGGTTATGAAAGTATGGAATAGTCATCAGGGTGGAGTTGAACAATTTCAAAAACACTCAACATTTAAAGGAACACCCCAGCAAATCATTACTTAAAGTTCTCAATTCCTCCTGTTGAACAATCAAATAAATGCTTCAGAGTTTAATAATATAAAAGTCCACATCCCTTCCTGCTCGAGTTCAACACTCTTTTTAGCATGTCACCGCTATCCCTAACTTCACTCTGCCCACCTCTTCTCGGCTACGGCTTCAACTTCGGTATCTACGCAATTTAATTTATTCTGTCATTTCCCTCGCTCTAAAAATTGTTTCTTAAATGCTGTGATTATTGTTATGATGTTTTTATGTTCTGCCGATTTTTTTTCGATATGATTTTACTTCACGGTTCACCCTCGAAACGACGGGGAGAGAAATTTCATGGAGTTTTTATTCACGACGACAAAAATAGGGCGATAACAAGGGTAAAAGATTCTTATTGAATTCTTTATTTCTTGTATATCTTCTATTGAAAAGTGAGTAAGTTTCTTTTTATTCCATTCGTTATTTGATGATGCAATTTCCGGAACTTTATGAACGAAGTTAAGAATAAATTCTGCTACATTCTTAGAGATTCTTGAAAATATTTTTCACTATTTAGGTGGAAATTAATTTATTTGATAGAAATTGAGTTGATGACGAGAAAAGTTTTCCAGAAAATTTATTTTCGCGTAACAATGAAGAATTTTTCTTTCTTTTCTTTCCGGTTGTTCGTTTATCAGGGTGAGTGAAATGGTAGCGTGTAAGTGTTTCTTTCTTCCATTATTTTTTATTCTGCAAAAGTGAGACTCAGGTGTCAACAAAAAGAATTGAGTTTTCCATTTTGGCATTAAGAATTTTTCCTGCCGTCAAGAAAATTGAAAAGTTTCACATCAATGAAGGGAAAAGTGTCAAGAAATATTTTCATCATCGCTTGTGTGTCAAAAGTTTCCTTCTCTCCTTTCTTCTAAATGCTTTCTTTATTCTTTTTCTTTAGGATAGAAATGATTGAAGCTTTTTTATGGTAAATTGCAAACACTTCTTTCCTTTTCGGAATAAGAAGAGGTATTAAAGATAATTGAGCATCACCATAAGCTTCTCAAGTTTAATTACTTAAAGTGTTTTGCAAACAATTCTCGTTGACGAAAAAAGAAAAGAAAGAAAATTTGTAGAGACAAAGAAACGAAAACATTCACAAAGAAAAATGCGCCAATCGACAACGAGAGCACAAAAAGAATCTGCTTGTGGATGAAAAAAAAAAAAATTGCTTAATGAATGAAGAATTTTTGGCTAAACGAGTTGCAATGACAGTCAGTATTTCCTGTTCATTTACTTCTCTCTCTGTTCTGTTCCCATTCTCAACTGCTTGCTTCTGCTTGTTGTGTAAATTTGAGAACTTTTAACACATTCGAGTGCAATTTATGCTAAAATGCTTTCATAAGAATTAAACGTTCATCATCACTTCTTTGTGTGTCGCTTCGTCCCAGGGCGGTTTCGGGTTACAAAAATCACAGAATTCTTGTTCTTTTTTTCTCGTTCTTTCAGATGCTTCTTGTTAGTTATTGAAACGTCGGTACATTCACAAGACTTCTTAAAGAGAATGAAATTACAAATTTCACAGCAAATTAAGTGCTAAAAAGGGTTGAAATTAATTAAAATATTTATGCTGAATAAACTTGAATGCTACCTATTTGTCAAGATTGCTTTATATTTTAGGCTGATTTTCACACTGTACGATACAACACTCGAGAAAAGTTTTTCGCTTATAAGATGTTCGCTTATACTTATAATAAAAATTCTACTCACGCACTTTCATCTTTTTCTTATATTTTTCGCATAATACTTCCGAAGTAATTGGAGCTGAAAGTCATTGGATATGTAGAGATTTCATAGAAGTGTCTGAATCTCTGCCAAATCTAATAATAGTTGCCAAAATCCCATTAACTAGAACATTAGTTTCGGATTATGTAAGAAGAAGATTTACAATTCAAACGTTTTGATCATTTTAATCGTGTTGATTAGTCTCAATATTACGAAATCATTGGTAAGATTATCATGGTTGTATTAAGGATATCTTTTTCAAACTATTCTTCCTACTATTGGAAATGTAAACATCAAGAAGACCGCACTAGTGATCAATTATTTCAACGTAAACAGAAACTTTTGCTATTTCATTGAGACAATGTGACGCCTTTCAATGGTATCGATGCCAACAACATGATGACATGATTTTAGTCTTCGAATGAATAAATCCAAACAGTTCTAGATATAGTTGCTATCATCATGAACTGCTGCTGATAACAACAATGACCAAGATAATTTAATGTAAAAAATTTCTAGAAATCTTCTCATTCAATGAATTCTTATTTTTAGAATTATTGAAGTTTCGTTTGAAGTTTCTCTGTTCTTAGAATTATTTACAACAAAGACTTTGATATCAAAAATAATTTTCTCGCATTTCACTTAAAGTCTTTCATCTTTAACGTTTCGTAGAAATAAGCAAAACAGTTTCTTTCTTTTATCACTTAATGCTGATGATGATATTTCATGATTCGCTATTGAGAAAATCACCATCAACGTAATGACGACAAAAATATTAAGAAAGGTTTCTTTAAGTAGCAAAAAAGAAGAAATAAAAGAGAATTCGAAACCGCAGTAGTGAACAATGAAGAAAAAAAAGCAGAAAACTGAAAAATGCAGCGAACTTGAATTAATGACCGGCAGTAGCAACAACAGAAGCAGCATCACTGAAGCTGAATAAAATGTCTCGAATTTCATTTCATTCTCGAATGCGAAAGAGAAAAAAGACAAAATTACAAGCCTTCTTATTGAGTCTTGATTAAGAAAGTTTTGACATTGCTTCTCCCAATAAATCTTTTAAGCTTCTCAATTATTGTCACAATTTTATCTTGCATTTCTGATTTCATCAGCGATATTAAATATTTTAGAAAGATTTTTGGCACTTAAAGTAATCGAAATCTCTTCTGTTATCTATGGAGAAATGCTTGCTTGAGTGTTTGCACACGCATCTCTATTTAGGTTGATAAAAATTGTTTTTCAAAATACTTGATAAGTTCAAGTTTAATATCAATAACATAAAGGGAATTTTAAATCAAATGTCACATTACTTTTTCATTATTCAGCATGAAAGTTTCTTAGATGCAGCTTCATTGAAAGCAACTCTTGATTGCATAATTAATTGACAAGGTACTTGCTCTAAAGTCTGTTACAAATGTCATAAAAATGAATTGCCATTGTCGTCATTCAAATCTGTATCAGGTCATTCAAGCAACTTTAATCTTATCTGCATAATTTAAAAATACATTTAGGTCAATAAAATTAACCATTCAAGTATTTACTTTCTGTCATTTACCTTCAGTGGATCAAGAAAGCAAGATGGTTAAGAAGTATTTTTCAAAATTGTTATTAATTATTTTCGTTTTACTGTCAAAGTGCATTCCGAACGTACAAAGTTGTCACAATCCTGAAGCTGTTGATTTAATCTTGTTCAACTTTTACATCAAGTAATTTGTTAACATTAAGTTTAAACATTTAGATTTGTTGCTAAAGACTTTCTTGTCATGTCCACAGCCCATACCAGCATCAGGTCTACAATGTTCACAATTTCCATGAGATATTCAACCATTCATCGTTCTTACGGAATCGGAACACTGTCATATATCATTACGGGTCGTCTCAAACAGCAACTTCTTCACCAATCGTTGAAACTATTGACACTTATCTGAGTTATGGGAATGTAAATTTTGTTCTTGTTAACTATGAAAGCATAACGACAAATGTTAGCGGTGTAAGTAATATAAATTCAACAATAAAACATTTTTAAAAATAACTTTATATTAGAACTCTTGCACTATCGGAGAAAACATAGCGGAAGCATTGATAAGATTATTCAACAGTGGTTACAGTCCAAAACAAGTACATTTGGTAGGATTTTCATCAGGATCAACAGTTGTGGCAATTGCTGGAAGGGAGATTATTTCAAGGTCAAATCATCAACATGTCATTGAAAGAATTACTGGACTTGATCCTGGTCAGGGCCGAGAAGAAATGCGACTTCGAATAGGAGATGCTAAATTTACAGATACAGTTCACACTGAAGGTGTTGGATTTGGCGATCTTAACACACGTGGTGATGTTCAATTCTTTGTTAATGGCGGAGTCGTCCAACCAATGTGCCATTCACTTATCCCTCATATCGCTTGGACATGTTCGCATCTGTTTGTCATCACACTTTGGAATGAATCGATCCGAACACAACATTTGTCATTTGCTTCACTTCAATGTGAATCTTGGGAACATTTTTTGCATAATGATTGTAATCATAACGCACCTGTTGGACATATTGGTCCATTTACGTCATCAGCACTCCGTGGATCTTATTTTCTAGAAACCAATCTTCAACCTCCTTACTCTAAGTAAAACATATTTTTAATGATAGCTTTTAGAGGACTTAAAATGCATTTCAATGTTTAAAATAATTCTTGAAATTGTAAAATGAGAGAGAAGAAAATAAAACTTTTACATTTCTCTTCTGTCACTCACTCTGTTAATCCTTAACTACATCTGAGATAGAATTCAGACACTTTCAACTATTTAACATGCAGTATTGACATTTTGGAATAAATCAATGTCTAACATTGAATCATTGCTTTCGACTGTTGATCCATAAATAAAGTTTCTCACTCAACTTCATATCGACGGAAATTTAAGATACATAATTGACTTAACGAGCTCTTTTCTAAACGTTATTTGCTTTCTTGCACGTCATTATAAGGATTTAATCAAATAAGAAAGAATCAGCAAGAGAAATGACGAAAAAGTGCAAGAAAAATTAAAATTCAAAATGCACACAAATGTGCGAGGCTAAATTTGAAAGTCAAAGTCAGTTGTCGTTTTAAATGGCGACTAGTAAGTTATGTTGTGCATTTCCTGAGGTGACTTCTTATGCAAACTTATTTCTGTCTTGTCACCATTGCCATTTATCATTGAAGTAGCCAGCACAGAGACATGAAATAAAATAAGAAATTTTCACAAAAGACAGAGGGAAGATTGCAATGTCCTTAATGATCTCAAGAATCTCCCTTCTTTGCTGTCTTTAACTTACGAATTTGCAAAATTGTCGTTTCTTTTTTTGTTTAACAAATTTTATTTTAATGCAATTCATTTTATATCTTCTCGAGTTTTTAAAAGAGGCAAACAGAAAAAAATTATTTTTGTCTCTTGATTGCGATTTGCGAGTGCGAGAAGCGAAAGAAAAAAAAAGAAATAAATTCTTTTCCTTTCAATTTTTTTTTCTGTCTTCCCATTGTTTCTTGAATGGAAAATTGAGGATGAGACTTGGAATGTTCGTTCAAGTTCTTTCATTAAAAGCAGCAAATTTGGAATTGAGAAAAGAATGGAAGCATAAGGAATGCAAGAAATGATAACAAACAAACGGAGAACAAATGACGATGCTTTGATGCTAACTAATTTAAAAGTTGTCGCCAAGTTTGTCTTGTCTTCTTCAGCGGTTTTCATCTTTTTTCCGCTCCATTGTTTCAACAATTGCGTTGAAAGCAAACGACGATAAAAGCAAAAGCTTTTGAGCTCCTTTTTTGGTGACGAAATTTACGCTGAAAAAATAAAACTTTCTCACCAACAGTTGAAATCAAAAAACAGACGAAACGCAATGCGACGCGACAAGTTTTTTTTTATTAAATAACAAAAACTGACTCACATTTAATGGACGGAGATCTATTGGTGGTCTTAGATGAGAAAACCCATTTTAAATTAATTTGTAAGCTTCTTTTGTTATCGTTTTCCTTTAGTCTACAAGCGGTAGACTTCACACTTTGTCACTGATACCATAATGACAATGATTTCTAGGTGTGAGATGGTTTGATAACTGCTCGTGAGGTCTTCTTCGCGCTTTACGGCGGGCGACACTATGAATTTACGACTTAATTGATTTCTCTTTTGACGCCATGGAGCGTTAGAAAAGGAAATGGATAAATTGCCTTGGTGGTCGACACCGAAGAGGATCAAGTCGTTACCTTTAATCAGAAATTCTTATCTTTATGTCATCATCATTTTATTGCTTTGAATTTCTTCTCGGATCGAAAGTATGTTCAGCTTCGTTGTCGTTTTATGCGGTATATCGTCTTCGCAAGCAAGTGAAAGGGAAAGACAAAGACCAAATATTTGTAGGATAGCATCAACAGGTTGTTACCGTCCAATTGAACCATAAAATAAACACAAAAATTGTATCGAGGGAAATTTTAACAGGAATGAAAATGCCTTCAGTGTCATCTGCAGACAGACGTGTTGTTTTTATTTCTTTTTCAAGTCGCCTGCTCTCTTTCTTACCTTTTTAACGTCATCATCAATTTTTATGCTTTTTTCACTTTTATTTCTCCCTGCGCCTTTCTTATCTCGAATAAGAACAACATGACTACAACATGTGGTTTTCTTCTCGATGTTAAAGTTGCAGAAAAATGTGTTTCACTTCAATTTGACTTTTTTTTTACCTTTTTTACAAGCATAAGAAGATTAAAAAGATATTTTTTGTTTGAATGTAAGAAGGTGCGCGAAAGAGACAAGACAACGACAATATAAGCCGTGAAAAGAGACGATATTTGAAAATAAAACGAGGCGAAGAATGACATCGAAAGCGACTGATAAATAGTTGAGGAAATTTCACCTGGCACTCATTAAATATCGAGAAAGGTTACGATATGTCATGGCAAGGTTTCGTTGGTTCCAACTTGAATGAATCTTTAAATAAATAAGCGACATTTTCCGAAAACAATTTCTGGAAGAAATTTAAGTGAGAAGATTTAAAAGTTAATTGTCACCAATCAATAAAGAAGAACTAAAAGACCGTTAAACGTGCCGAAGTCTTCCTCGGAATGCTTTGAAATTAAATCCGATTTAAGTATGTATTTCATTTTCATGCTATCTTGAACATGAATTTTGACTGTCAGATTCGGATGTAGCAGTAATTTCTTCTCTTTCATTCCTTCTCTGATCCTCTGATTGTCTGTCGTTAGTTATCTCCGATCTAAACAATCATTATCCACAAACGAAAACATCACAGCAATTTCCCCAGCTCAACGCCATCAAAATCGAATTTGTTTCTTTCCTTTCTCGGTTTTCATTTCATGAAGGTGACAAATAAATACATATTTTCGAGGATAGAGATAACAACTTTTGGATTGCACGCTTTTCAGATGTCGAGCAATGAAGAATGAAAATAATTTAAACATAAAACTTTTGGGGATACAATAAAAAGCGAAATTCTGGAAATTATCAAGATCATAGAACATAAATTTATGTTTCAATTTGAATTTTTGTTCGAATGGTTTTTAAGAATGAAAAAAATTTAAGATCTTTAGTCAAGTATTTCTTTTTCTTCACGTTTTCAAATGAAATTAATGAGTTAACTTTGGTTGAAAGTTAAAGAATTTTCAAGTATGAAAAAAGTGAAACTTTTCCACTGCAATTTTCGTTAGAATTCAAACTAAGGGAAAAACTTTCTTTTAATTCTCTCGGGTTTTGTTTCTGTTGATTTTCTAGAGATCATGTCATGTCTCTGTAATGTTTATATCAAAAGAAAATGTAAACAAGTCATAGGAAAACAGAAAACTACAATATTCTGCCATCTTTTAACTCATTCGTCGTTACCTTTTTACTGATTCCTTACGCATCGCATGTTTATCGATTCATTTTCGTCTCGTTTTTCAATTTTCCGCCTGCTTCTTCTTCTTATTTTTCATCTTTTTTCTCCCCACAACTAGCAGCATGAAAACGTTTCATATGTGATGTAAAATTACGTGATAATGTCGGTGCTTCAAGTCAGGAATTTTTATCCTCGATGGAAGCTTGAGGTTTGAGGGAAATGTTTGAATGTTTACATGAGCGGCACGAAAAATCGCAGTTGACATCAGGGAGTGAGAGAGATACAGAATGATATGAGATAAATTTATGTATGTAAAGCAATGATTTTATTGCCGTGTCACGTACTGAAACTATCGCTTCGAGGCATTCGGTTCTCATGATATTCTCACACAACTTGATTCATGTTACAAATGTCGAGAAATAGCAAATTCATTTTGGGAGGGGGTTTTTGCATTTTAAACGCAGAGATGGTAAAGTTGCAATAAGTTAAGATGATGCAACAAACATTGCTTTTTGATGGTTCATTTCGATTAAAATACTCAAATTAAAATTGCCTCCAAACATTATTTTCCTTCATGAATATCCATGACATTAAACTCGGAAAAGTTTCAAGCACAATTTCTTCCTTCTATTTACACAATTTTATGAAATAACTTTTCATGTTTCCAAAAATATTTTACAAACACAAAGCTTTATTCTAAGAGCCTCTAAAAGTTTTTTTTTTCCATGAAATATTTAGTTTTCAGAAATGCAACGGACCATAAATATTAATTTGGCATCAATGAAAAAGATTTTGTTCAACAAGCGAAAGAAATAATTTTTATTATTCCCGCAAAAAGAAAAAAGAGAAAGAGGACTGAGTAGAAAAGAATTTTACAGTGTTTGGCGATGGAGAAATGTTTGTTTCATAATTCATTCATATGTAACGTCACTTAAGTGTTCTCTGTTGAAATTTGTTGTTATAATTCATGCAAACCTCTTAAGGCAAACATTCCCTATTCGAATTAATTGAACGATTGTCGACTCTCATTCCGCTATCACAACAATGTTCTCTCTAAAACCCAGGACGCCATTAAACGAAGCCACCAAAACTGAAACTTTTAGTGCTCGTCGAGAAAGGAAGGAAGAAACAATGAATGGGGAGGTAGAAGGGGGGGGGGAAGAAATTACCATATAAAGTACTCGGTAATGGGCAAAATATTCTTTTTGCTTTTTCTGCGCAGCTTGAATGAAAATCATAGCTGTGAAGACTGCGAACAGAGCGTGTAAGTAGAATTTCTCTATTCTTGGTACATGAAGAACAGAACAGAAATCTGCGATAAGAAAGAGAACTGAGAAGGCGAATTATCATTGAAAATTTATGCTAATTTACGTCTTTTATGTGTTTTTTAACTTTAACGAGGTTTTTCTGTGGAAAAATAAGTATAAACGTCAATTTATATTAAATAATGTTTTGGCTGGGATTTGAATCTCACGTATTTAAGGCAAAACAAAAAAGATTCAGTGTTTAAGATGATCATAACCCTTCCTGAGAATTGATGTAGAAGTGTGATTGTGTAGCGATGATACGACTCGCGAATTAACGTGTTTTCAATGAGATAGAGACCGACAGAAGGAACATAACAAAACAACAAATTAGAACAATGCAACCTCATTTTTAAAGTTTTGCGGTTTATGACTAAATATTTTAAAGCAAAACAAAAAAGGAATAAAATAAAACAATTTTTTGTTTCGCCAATTTTTCTCTGAATTCCACACTCGAAATGAAGCGAAAAGCCGAAGAGAAAAATTATCACACAAAGGCCACCAGAAATCGCACTTTGAATACCAAAAAATTGAGAAATGTGTTCGCATTGTTGACCGGTGATTGTGTGAGACGAAGTAAAAGACGAAACCGCAACAAAAAATTTTTTCATCCATTGGAGCCTCTTTTGTTATCGCATTTCGTGATTCATTTCTTTTCTCTTTTTATGGCAGAATATTGTAAGTCGAGAATAACACTTTCCGCTTAACTGGCACCAGTCTTTCATTGTTAAAATTGGAAGAGAATACTTATGAGATTATGAATCTCGATGGAGTCAAGTTAGCTCGTAGATTTATTAATTGTTAGTTATTTTATTCATTGTCTATTTTGCATAACTTAGATTGTACTACTTTTATATTGTATGACATATTGCTAAACTATCCAACTCATGAAGTTTATTTTCATGCGAATAGACGAAGATGTTGTCGATTTATGAAGCTGGCAATTCTTCCTGATTATTTCTCTTCTTTAAATTACAAAATGAATCATTATTTAAGTTCATCTTCATGTACCCCATCTTATAAACTCCAACTCTTAAGTATGAAGAACAACAGAAGAAGGAATACGAAAAGATTTATTTCTCACAACAGACGAAAGAGAAACGAGATTATCATTACAGCATTTTTCACAATTCTCTCACTTCGAGATGCTTTTTCTTTTCATCTTTATTTCCCTTTTTTCACGTTCTCGAGACGGCAGAGAATTTCTTTTATAAAAGAGATGAGAATTATGAAGACGAGAATAGAAATAAATGAAATCTCCATTCCAGAAAGTGGAGTCATAAATTACCAATCAATAAACACAATACGGCCTTAAAATGCGCTTAAAAATATTAAAAAATGATGATGATATAAATCCACAACAGCCAAAGAGGTTTCTTTTAATCCTCTTGTTTACTAAACACGATTTGAAGGTTTATAAATAGAATGAAACTTGATTATGTCATTACTTTAAGGTGACTAAAGAATCTTTAATTCTTTATTTTGAAAAGAAACTTTGTGGTCAACTAGTCACCGATAATAATGATCGTCCGACTAATTCTAACGACGTGTCATGAATTATAAATTAAATATCGGACATCAGAAAATCAAATCGATGCAGAGAACTATAAAGCACTTTTAATTTTCGAATTATATCCAAAAGTCCGCTTGAACATCTGATTTGAATATTTGATGAGTGAACTGCGCGTGATCTCCCCGGATCAATAGCAAACAATTTACGGAATGTTCCCGATAAGTTTTCAACCATGTTTCTCACAAAACCTGTGATTAATCAGCTTTGAAGCCTTCGAATTCGTTTCGTTTAAAATATAAATTGTGAATCACTTAGTAAAGAGAACTCGCGAGAATGTTGTGATTTGTAAAGATTTGTATTGATTGGCTCGTGAATTGAATCGTTGATTAGCGGAAATCGTCTTCAACTTAACTTAATGTTGCGTCTTTTGAGCCTTACCGATAATAGTTGTCGTAAAATTTATCTTTAGACAGACATTACCTGCCATTACTCAACAAACAGAATTATGGCTCGTCTTAAGTCGTTGAAAAAAATCCAATTCCTTGCCATTTTAAAAAAAGTTGTTTAACTCATTTCTACTTTTCTACCTTATTGGAATTTTTATTAAACCTGGCGTTAATGTTTTCCTTTCCTTCTTTCAATTCTCGTATTTTGCGTAAGAAATCCAATTTTCAATATGTGCTTGAGATGCATGGAAGGTGATTTAGGGTCTTTTCTTACTTTGTAATCTTCGCCGATAAAAAGAACATTGAGAAAGAAGAGAATGAATATGGAATTCATTGCCTAATGACGTGACATTTAAATGCTTGTGAGGTTTCAAAATCAAGTTGTGGTTAACCTAAACACAATGATGATTTGTAAATGACTCTTCCTATAGGAACAGTAACACACGACACATACAGATCATCCCAACGAACTGCCAGAAAAAGATCTGTAAATTTATGATGTATTTTGACCTCACACAGACCCCCAGAAAAGTGCGAGAAGATTTACAATCTTTTTTATGCCTTTTTTTCTTCTTTCGTTTCACATTTGATTCTTCTTTTTGGATTCCCTTTTGCGTTTCGTTTCCATTCCAAGATTTCTACACTTCAATGGAATAAAACGAGTTTTTTAAGGTATCAAAGGTATAAAGTGATGATGAAGATGATGGTGTAAGATATAAATGAGTGCTGATGCTTGAAGAGAAACCAAAAACTGAATTAAAAGGAAATACAAAAATGACATTGTTTCTGACACATTATTAAATAAGAATCTGACCAACATGTAGATAAATAAAAAATTCAAAGTAATGAAAGATTAGAAATGAGACGAAACTTGCTGCTTTTCATAATTCGGATCAATTGAATGAAAAACCCCACGGGGTAGACAATTTAAATTCGATCCAGTTCTCGCGCTTGCTGCTTTTTCTTTCCATTCAACATTTCATCAATTCGAATCAAATGGAGAAAAATAAACATGTTTTAAATAATATCGAAGTCGAAGAAGAAACTACATGGTGTTATAATCCGACGCTGTTACTAATTTGCTTTAATGTTGAATCGAAATGAGAAAACAGATATTTATGAAGCAAAAAAAAATTATAATCATTATAGACTTAGAGATGCTTTCAACATTCTTTTACTTTTGAAACGAATGTCTTTAGGAAAGAGGCAAATCCCTTCTTAAGTCCGACAAAAATTTTTCAACAAACCAAACAAAACGCTCGTCCTAAGTCAACACATTGATAATAAAAAGAAATGCTTTTAACTTCTTTTAGCGCAGTCATTTTTACCATTGAGGGACCTAATCAAATATTTTCCTAACTTCTTCATTCTGATTCTCGTAATTTTTCATTGTTGGGATTGTGGATAGCGTCAGTGCTGCTGCTGCTGGTGCGACTGCAAGTTGATTCATTTCTAATGCTGTCTTATTTAATTATCAGAGAAACAAGATACTCAAGAACTCAGTCGAACGTTGCTCCTAAGCAAACGATTAAACATTGGAACGTAAACATCCTCGAGTGGAGTCATAATGGGAAATTTTTTCCATTTGCTGCTCTTATTTATTTAGAAGTAAACCATGAAAATTGAAATCAAATGGATGAGTCAAGTTTGCTTAATTTTTTGTGTTCGTTTTGGTTGTGGAAGTATTTAAATTGTAAAGCATGTAATGGATTAAAATTTTCAAGCATCTGATGGTTTTTCTTCAAATGGCGATAACAAGGCGAAGAATGAAGTTCAATTAGGAATTCTAAAAAAAGCCTTAAAACAATAATTAAGCTCAGTTGTGATGATTTTCAGTTTCTTTTTCTTTTCTCCCTTTTTGATTTCAATGAACAAATGACGCTATTTGTAAAAAAGCATCACATTTATTTCCTAAGAGACAAATAAAAACAAATTTCACAAAAAGCTTCAATAATTTTTCATTTTCATTTCTTTTCTCTTTGTTCAACATCGAAATATCTACGACAAAGGGAGGAAGAACATTAGAAACGTTGAATGACAGAAAACACCAACTTTCTTCATCATAGCAGATCTAAGTTAAGAACAAGGACAATAAACGCCGAACTGTAATTGAAGAAAATGAGAAAATAAGAAATGTAGGAAAGAAAGAAAGAACGAATAAGAGCTTTCCAGTTATCCACTTATTCAGAGTCATAAAATGTGTAGAATTGCAATGAAAACTGTTTTCTCACTTTATACATTTTTGAGTGCTTTTACATTTTACTTATCAAAAGCTTTTATGAAGTTTTAAGACGTTCAGCTTCACTAAGTAAGACATAAATGTATTGATTGCAAATTATATATTTTTATATGATGGGGAACAAGTTTCTACTTTGTGCGTAATTTTTATGTCGTATTTCTTTGTTGAAATGGATGGAAGATTTATGTAGGGTGCTTTTCCTGTTTTGGTGAAGCCAGAGTTATTTTTTAAGCCATTGACATTCACGTCTGCCAATGTCAGTCAACCCTGCTAAAAGCTTAAAGTAAAACTTTTTTTGATGACTCATAACAGCAGACCCACCCTATGTAAAGATCATAAAATTTCTCATAGAAAACGACTGAAATTCTTATCTCCAGAAAGTGAAAATTTGTTTAATGGTAATCCGGAAATCTAAAATCTTTTCCAGTCTGCAACTTCCAACTGCTTCGAAGTCGTTAGCTTATAATTTTATTATGTTCTTTAAAAAGCAGTTTGTCTCAAGACTATGTCATAAAATTCTCGAAAGCAAAAAGCCATTTGAAATGATGACATTTGATGAGCTATTTGTGGTGGCTTTTAATATTTTTGTAAGAATAAGCTTTCAAGGGAAAGTTCTTGCATTTTTCTTCTTTTATTCAAGACTATTATCATTGTTCGATTGAGTGCTGCCATTAAAAATCTACAAAAGCCTGAGAAATGAACAGACGGAAGCGAAAGCAAACAGACAAACAAACAGACTACGTAAGAGAAAAAAAATATTTGAGGGTGAAAGAAAAAAAATGTGATTGTGGTTCGTTTGCAAACAATGTTTTCTTCTTATACTCGTTCATTTCATATAATGGCATCAAATGCTGGTATCATCCCTTAAAACGAATTTTCCAAATTTCAACTGCTTTCAACTCTCAGTTTATGCAAACTTTTGGTGAAAAGAACAGAAAAAAAAGAAATGTCTCTTGGCAGCCGGCGACAAGTGAATTGTGAAAATGTCGTTTGTGTTTGAATAGAAAGGAAAAAGAGAAGAAGGATGATGTAAAAACATCGACATCAAGGTCGAAGACGGATTTTCTACATCAATGAACAGTCAAAAAAATGGCTTGGAAAATCTAAAAGGAAAGCTTAAGAAATCTTTTTGTTGTTTGTAAGATGGAAACAAGAGAAGAGATTTACGAAATGATGGGAGTATAATCGTGAGTAAGTCGACGTTGTCGAGTTTTATTCCAATTTATTCCGCGTTGTAAGTGGGCCAAATGGGCATTCACAAATTGCACATCCTCTTTGCAATTTTACGATTTGAGTTAACGAGACTCGTTCTGTTGAAAGAGGCAGAAATGTGTGAAACGTGAAATTGGAAATCGAGAAGAAGAAAAGAAATGAAAGATTGAGTTAAAGATTTGTAGCTGAGAGGTGGTTACTTAAAGTGATAAAATGTTGAAATCAAATTTAGCTCGAAGCGCATCTTTATTGCACTTTTATTCCACTGCTCTTAATTAAAAACATCACTTTTATGTATTTAATTCAATATCTTATTCTTCATTCTCACTCTTTCTTCTTCAACGATCAACTTCTGTGAAACATCAATTTTTAATAAACTTTGTCTTTATGTTTATGTTTACCTTATTAACGCTCAAACTTTAAACATTGCTTAGAACTTTTACCGATTCATGTTGTGTCAAGGAAAAAGAAGTGAAACATGAAATAAATAAGGAAGAAGATGGCAAGAAATAATTGCATGCTAACAAGAGTGATGAGCGATTAGCGCAAATGAATTGCACGAAAACAACGGCTGATGCAACAAAAAAGAAATGAAAAAAGAAAAAATAACAGAACGGCGCTGTTGAAGGCCTAAGTCTTTAATTTTCTCAATTTCTTCTTCCTCAAATTCACAAAAGCCACTCACACCGTTCTGCCTTTCGCCCTTTTTGTCAATCGGTGCCGTGGCGTTTCTCTTTGCACAAATTCCCATCTCTTCTGTTCTTCTTCCTACCTTGTTATGAGGAAAGACAGCGCCGAGTGTTTCATGTGCATGATGCAGGCCGCAGAAATGAAAAGACGCACATAACATATAATTTTCACTTTAAATTGCTTTTGCTATAAATCCGGGGTATTTTCAGCATCTCCGTTTAGTAAATGCCGCGCCACGACTCTTTCAATTTTACTTTTAATGTATATGTAAAAGAAGCAAGCAAAAAGCTATTGAAATTGAACAGTGCAAGGCTTAACGAGTTGAACTATTGAACAGATATAAAGATTTATAAATTCTTTGAGTACTAAATATCATACATCATGCTGAAATTACCTTTCGCCTTTTATACTTAGATAGGACCGTTCCAAATGAATGTATTCAACATTTTATATGTGAATTCAACATTCCTTGTTAATCAACGGTATCATAATATGATCAGACAAAACTTCCAATAACTGCCTGCTTCACTTACTCAACTTGAGAAAAGCGAACAATAAACCTCAATTTTTCTTTTCCCATCGTTTTCTTACCTCTCGATCGACTTGAGTCGATTCAGCTTTGAGTCCGACAACGACCAAAGCATTTCTTGAACATTTTGGGGATTATCAAACAGATGAATCGCCATTGATGGGTAATAATAAGCACACGAAGATGATTTTATTTTATTTTTTTCACGCCAGCTTCGACGCTTCTCCACGACGGCTCCATAAATTAACACCGAATTCTTAAGAAATCTTTCGCGCTGTGTTAGAAAACCATTTGTATTCTCGGATACCATAGAATTGAATAAAAAGGTTCTCATTATTGTTTGAAGAATTATTATGAAGCGAGAAACGCAGTTTTCTTTATTTGCGAAATCCAAATGAAATCAATGTGAGATGAAAAGACCGGAGATTCGGAATTCGACACGATTTGGTCGCCACCGCGAAATTTCTCGCTCGATGATGAATTTATATATTTGGACAAAGCGAAAAATCTCACTTTGAGTTGGTTGAACAAAACACTGACATAAACTGAATACTCATGAAATCAATCTGAAATGTCATGCTTAGTTTTGCGACTTGTCGTTCGATGAAAAATTTTCTGACTTTTTTTTTCTATTCTTATTCTTTGTATCATGTCAAATGTCTGTATGTACTTCAAAGTTTCCCTTGATTTCTGATTATATGTTAGCTACAAAACATCGTATTCAGCACATAATTTATCATCATCAATAACCATGCTTTGTCTTCTTTTCCACTGTCGACTTGTCTTTTACATTTTTCGCGATTTGTTTTCCAAGATTTGTTTCCTCTGCTCGTTCATCAATCGATGAACAGAGTTCGATATTGTGTTGTAATATGAAACATCTGACGATAGAAATTCTGCAACTAGAATACCACAAAATGTAATTAAGTTTTTTATTTATTCAGAAACAATTAAAATTCACCTGCAAACTACAAAATTATTCGGATTTCAACATTCCCATTGAGAAACGTTGCAATTTTTCCCGCATAGCTTTGCTATGTGTTTATGTAATTAAACTGGAATTTGAAGAACATTTGCATAATTTTGTTGCACTTTAAAACATTTTAATTCTATAGATAATTAAACGAAAGAGAATGCTGATGATGAAGTAATTTCGTAACTTAGACTTAAAGAAAATATTTAAAATATGAGGAATATCGAGCGGCGCTAACTCGTTAGTGAAAACTTATCAAGTTTCTTTTGCCTTTGATTATTAATAAGTAAAGAATGAACATGAAGCTGTGAGGTGCCACACGCAGGGTTTATGATGATTTCTCATGGCGGGAAGAACATGAGCATCGATATAAAGATATTCAAAGGTATCTCTAATGAATTCTCAATATTTATAGTCGAATAAATATTTAAATGTGACGAAATATTCTTCAGATTTACATACATATATCTTATAACGCTAATAAAAATATGAAAAATAAAAGATTACAAGCACCGAACAAACTGTTTCGATCACTTACATATTTGAAAGATTAGAAAGCAAACAGATTTAATGACACATTGTCACACCTTAGCACCTTAAAACCATTTCATCTTTACAGAGCTTCTTAAGACAAATTTTATTCCTCCATTTACTTCGTTAATTTACGGATTAAGCGAATGTCAATTAAGTTCGACTATTGCTTGCTAAGTCTTTTTCTTGTATTTATTTTCTTTCTTTTGCTTTATCGTGACAAAGCCTTAAGAGAGTTACAGCAGCGACAGTTGACAAACTCTGACACACTTATTAGCAAAACTGTCTGCACAAAAAAATAAAAACGATTCGAAACAAACGTAAGTCTTAAATACCAATCTTTGTTAAGTTAACAAGACTCACAAGTAATGAAGAAGAAATGTTAAAACAGAGAAAGAAGAAAAACAGACACGAAACCAAAAAATAAGAATGGAAAAGTATAATGAAACTGGTTGTTGTTCTTCAAACCATAAGAAATGAAAGAAATAAAAAGAAAAAGAAATCAAACGGAAGATAAGAGTCACGAATATGCAGAGAATCGCAAACAAGAATCATATTGTGTTCCTTCATGTTATAATTTTTAAAGGTGCTGCGAATGGGATATTCATGGACGTGAGTAAACTTACTACTGTCCAGTGTCGATTTCAAATTCTATTCAAAGTTACGTCACTTGCACATGAGCTTCTCTGCTTTTTTGTTCATTTTTGTTTAAAACTTAAAACTGATTTTAAACGCAACACATCACACATATATATTCGATGAGAATTTGCACATTTTTATTTCAATTGCGATAGCAGAAATAATTTTTAAGAAGAAGCAACTAAAGACAGACGCAAATTGCATGGCACGCATATCTCGATTACTTTCGGTTTGTGCCACGTCGACTTGAATTCTTTAATTATTGTACTCAAAGCTTTTTTTTTGTCTTGTCTTCATCGCAACTGCATTTTTTGTGTTCATTCGGTTTCTGGTTTAAAAACATTTTATATTATAAATATGTTATGGAATGAGCTTATAACGAGGGGTAATTAAGGCAATTTAACTAACTATTTGACGAAATGAGGTCTTTAGCAGTTTCAAGTGGAACCTTTAAACGTCTAGGTATTCATTAGTTGTGACATAAACTGCCGATCGAAAGAATAATGAGAATGTGAATGTTATATATATTTATGTTCACATGAATGGCCAATTTTGATTTAAGTCATGCTATGCTTTCCATTCTTAAAGTTGTCCCAACAAAAAATATCTTTTTTCGCCCATAAAACGCTCATAAATTTCAAAACCAGAATCTTGACACCCGCAAACTCGATCCCCTTTTTCTTTTACAGTTTCCTCAACACTGCTGTGAAAATGAAATCTCTTCTTGCAATCTCTCAGTTCAGATCTCAAATGTTTTTCTTTCTCTAATCCTGGCCCACTTCTTGAATCCATGGCTGACCTTTTTGTTTTGGTGCTTTTTTGAGTAGGTGTCGAAAGGTTCTTTTTATGATTTTTCCTTCTCTCTCGTTTGTTTTTCTTAAGCTTAAGGCGAGTAAAACAAAACCAGGCGAGAAAATTAATTTTTCACATCACATAAAAAGATTTTTTGTGTCTTTTGGTCATCCAGAATTATATTTTGAAAGGGAAGTTTGTTTAGCAAATCTTTTCATGAGCAATAACAACGTTCAAGTATTTTATTACCTAATTTAAAGATTAAAGCAACCTTCATAAATAATCATTTAAATTTCAATTGAAGAAGTTATTAATTATGAAAAGTTTTAAGAAGATTCTTCTCATTAAGGTATATAAAGTTTTTGAATACTTTATTAGCAGTTTATTGGTAAACAACATTTAATCATCATATTTTTCTGAAATCCTCAATTATTCACTTTACTCCATCTCTTATTCGACTTTTTTTCCTATAACTATCTATCAATCTTGTTAATGGCAACGACTCTATCGAACACGAGGATGAAGAATAAAGATTTTGTAACATGAATAAAATAAGAACTAAAAACGAACTTGAATTTTGAATGACAGTCAGTGAACACGAAAAGAAAGACGATTCGAATGAATAAGAAAAAGTTAATCCGATATCGATCCAGTTATTAGACGAGACGTCGGTTGACAAGAGAAACCAATACGATAATAGCACAGAAAGTTCTACGACCTCTTAATTATATTATTGCAGTATGTTTATGTTTGCATGAAACAAAGAATATTGTTGTTTGTTATGTTGAATAAAATTTTTGGATTCTCATCTCATTAACAAATAAATATTTGCATTCATACTGTAAATTGTTTAAACACAAATAAATATTCCATGAACATGAAAACGTGCATTGTGCTGGCAGATGATGTCAAAAAAGAAGCATGCGGCTGATAGTTTCAAGTTGAACTCCAATGTAATGATCATGGCCTGTTTTTCCTGCAATCATCATCTCCTAATTGTTCTTTTAGTCTGATGGATGTTGAGGTCATAAGAGCTTTATAAATCTATTTCTATTCATTTGATTTTTCTGTCATATCTATCAATGTAAACACACATAAATAAGCATGTGGAGTATCTGTGGTTTCTTCAACTTCAATTATAATCTAGACAGTTCCATTAGAGTTCTATATCAAGTTAAGTAATCGATATGATAACCAGTGGAAGCTCTTTGTCTATTCATCATCTCCTACTTGCCTTGGCAATTTCATTATTGTTTTCTTATCAATAGGCATTCAGAGAACAAAAGATGAGAAGAAGATATGTATGTTGAGCTGTAGAGAATAGAATGAGCCGGAATGTCTTTATTTACACAACAATTACATTAATTCATAATGGATTTTCCTTATTTTCGTAAGGTTTGCGGGTGTGTAGAATTATCATGATTATAACGGAGGCTTCTTTTGTTGTTATGTTTGCGTTGAAGTAATTATTTCCAATGCAAAACAACACTAAAAGTTAGAAATGTGAAATTTGTTTCCTTCCTTCTCATGGGTTACATATAAATGAATTATAAACTTTTCAAATCCATATTCCGTATGTGTTTTTCTTTTAGATCTTCTCATATTTAATTGTTTACATTTTCCAAGAGTAAACTGTATGGTGTCTCTTCAAGAAAAGCTTTATCCTAACACAAACATAAACAAAGGCAAAGAGAAGAAAAAAGTTGCCTTGTCAGAAGGCACATTTCTCTGTCACATAGCGAGTTTCATTAAAAAAATTAATTAAAATGATGTTTTCATTAAGGGTGCTGTTACGCGTTTTTCCACTTCTACTTTTTGTGTTTCTTTGCCGTCGCTTCTGATTTTTCCTCCAATGTTATTGCTGTTGTTGTTGACTCTTTCACCATGGTAGCGCCTATTTACCGTTTTTGCTTTTGAGTGAAACATTTCACGAATATAAAAAAAGAGCTTGACGAGATTTTACTCAGTCCTCAAACCAACTTTACCTTTTTCAATTTTGTTTTCATTTCTTCTGGTTGAAGCCCCCCAAACGCGCGGTGAAAATTGTGTGATGAGCGGTGAAAATATTTATTTCATATGAAATTTTATGTTATTAAAAATTAATGAAATTTTCCTCCTTCATAGCAATTATGTGGAAATAAAATAAGAAAAATATTTGAGAAAATTCTTGAGACTTAATTGAAATGGGAATTAAATTAAAAAGTTTAACAATGATGTAGCTGGTGAAAAGAGAAGTAAGAAGATGTAAATTGCCTGAAATAAGATTAAAAGTCAATTTGCTTACGAATTAATAAATAAAAATAAATAAAGACAATTAATTTTTCTTTCATATTTTCTTTTATTCATCGTAATGATTTCTTTTTTCCATTTCACGTGTTTTTTTCTCTTAAACTTTTCATCATCCGCATTAATGTATATATATATATATCAATTATTATTATTTTCCATCTAAATTACACTTTTTTTTTCAATTACTCGTCGATTAATTTCCCACCTTTTCCAGCAGTTCCATTCTAATCAGATTTACGTAATTACTTTCGCTCATGTTTAAACACATATCGCTCGATTATTCTCGTGCGTTGATTACATCAACTTCAAGACATTTATCGATTTATTTGTGGGTAAATGTTTTGAAAATTTCAAAGCTCCACGTGATTTTGCATTGCTTTTGTAGCTTTTCACATTCTTTTTCGTCTCAGAGAACATTCTAGTAACTTTTGGGTCAGGATACGTAAGGCCTGAAATCAAAGCCTTCCTCACATGTCAAAAAAACATTTTTAAAATCACAAATTTGACAATAGGAAAAATTGTCCATAGTTTTAGTTGAAGACGTGATGTGACATTCGACGTGGAGCTCTCTTATTTTCATGTTTACCCTTCTTACTCATATTTATATTTACTTTTTTGTGTACATAAGATCTTCATCAATTATTAAACGAGTTTTTCACATTTCCAAAAGTTTGTAAAAATTTATTTTTCTTCTCATGTTAACACAAATAAGGATTTTCTTACATCTTTTCATTTTCATTTACATTTTACATCGACCTTAAAGTAATCTTTTCATGAGGGTTTTGTGACTGTTTTTTTTTTCTCTTCTTTTTCATTTTTATTTTTCCATCTTATGCCAAAGTCATAAACTATGTGCATCATATTACAGAGGATGTAAAGGGGGTTGGTTTATATTATGTTTTGGGAGTGAGAAGGATATGAGCGTGCATCATGGAGTTTTCAGAAAAATTATTATTCTTTTACGTACAAAAGATTCTTTTCAAAAAATATTTTCCTCGATAATTTTTTGACTAGGAACGGAGAAGGGGTCTATGTAGTTTGACAGATTACTTCAATTTGTATGCTCAGCTGGAAGTTTGTCGTGAAACATTATGAAAATTTATTTTAATCATTAAATGACTACAAATGGCACTTTTGAATCGAAGGAGAAAAAGTTTTCACGACAAACTTAAAGCTGATTTTAATTTCAACTTTTCCACTTTTCCTCGATTTCTTTCCTTCATCAAATATTGAATTTTCGTATAAGTATATTTTTTTAGGCCCAATGATTCAGTTTGCAATGACGCAAATACGTATTTCATTTCTCTTCCAAATGTTTATTGTATGAAAACCAATCAAGAAGTTCATTCTTTGAAACGAATATATTCTTAAAAAGGGCGTACCGGGTTGTGCTGTGAACTCCACATTAAAACTATTAATGTTGTATTGAATTATTATTTACTAAGAATTTAAAAACGTCGGTTGCCGAGAGTTTTTGAAACTTGTCATGATTTAGTTGCATTTTATTGTTTCTTCTCTCGTTACTGAAATCACGAATTTTTTAATTGTTTTTCTCCAGAAAGTTACGATGCTCTCTTAGTACGTTTTATTTATTTTTTTCCTTATAAAATCGTATGCAGTTTTAAAAGATTTCATTTGAAAATCTTTATGAGTTTAACCGTAATGAAGTAGCGCTTAAGATGCTAGAACTTAGTTTATTAAAACACACATAAATGTTGCATGAATTGTGAGTGGAGTTGAATAGTTTCTCTCGGGGGGTGTTTTCACTGATGTGAGGCTTTGTTGTTGTTGCTGTTGGAATGAAATTTCTAATCGGCTAAACTATTTGATATATGTTGCTGATTACAACTAAGAAATTGATTGTATGCAAAATTTCACATAATTCAACTGCACAATTAACGTAAATCAGATCATGAATCAAAATTCTGTTTGCAGATAATTTGATTGTGTGATGAGATTTATAAATATATTTAATAATTTTATTTGTTTTCCTGTTTAAGCTGCAATGGAAACATCAGGTTGAATGAAATTATTGTGAGGCATATGGAATTTGTGTAACTTAACAGTGTTGATTAAATAAATGTTTGCCAGCTGATTTTGATATGGAAAAACATACAAAAAGGATGTCTGAATGTGTTTCATGTTTTTGCAAATCACTAAAGTCAAAACTTATGTGTGTTTAAACATTTACCTTGAGTATTAGTTAATGAAAAGTATTTAAAGTTAATTTCTCTATGTACAGACTCAATTTAGAATTTTTGCGAATGAAATGGAAATTTTTTTTATCTTAAAATTTTAGTCGTGAAAAGTCTTTTTGTTTTCTTGCAAGTTTTCTTTTTTTACAAACTAAATAAATATTTTTTTATGTCCATTCCTTTTTGAAATTAAAAAAAAAAACAAACAAAAACATTTCATCTAAATGAAAGAATAATAAATTAAAATTATAAACAAATTCACATGATAGCAGTTTATCTAACGTCTGCTTATTGTAGTTTGGACGATGTTCAAACATCAGATAAATTGATGACTAAAGAAATAATAGCGAAACTTTGATGGGTCTCGGCTACAAATTTCTTGTTAAATCATAAGATTTATTTTTATTTCCTTCATGAACTTCTGCCATTACGCATAAGAATGATGACGAGACTGGTAAGAGCAATAAGAGGCGTGTAGCTTTGAAGTCTTGTCGACTGATTGTTGTATGTTAGCTCTTCATTCTTCACCACTTCATTCTGTCGGCTGTCATACTCATCTGCTTTAAAAATAGAAAGAAAGTAATATCAGTGGGAGTTGCTAAATTTTTAAGTGTAATTGTCTGAATAACATTAATTAAGGTGCGTCAAAAGTTTGTGTCAAAATTTTTTAGTTTGAATTATTATACTAACTTGTCTTCTTTGTGGGCTTGTTGATATTGTTTCCACCATTATTGTTATTACTATTAATGTTATTACTATGATTATCTCTGTTCACGTAAATTGGACGTTGTGTTGATGGATAACCGAAGCCATTGTTTATATTGAAATTTTTATTTGATGACTCATTTGGCTTTATTACCAAATCGCTATCGCTGTTTGTACTATCACTAGCACTACTAGCATCATCATTATGATGATTCTTCCAAGCGGTACTTGGCCAAGTGTCAATGCGTGGTGGTCGATCATTACTGATGGGTGATGGCGGCTCTGTAGTTGTTTTCGCTGCGTCATTTCCACCAAACACTTTAAATATCACTTTGGTATTGCTTGATGAACAGCGACCGCCAATTCGCCGATGCAGATCGTCTCTTGATGATGTTGCTACACAAACAAATATTTTCATTTTAATTTCATTAAAACAATGCGCGATAATAAAATACTCACAAATAAAATAGTAATCGTTGCCCGGTTTGAACTCAAGACCTCCAGGCTGTGGTGTAAAAGGTCGAAACGAGATCGTCACTAGCGTTGTGTTAAATGGTTTATCACAAATGGCAATTATCCTAGGATTCGGATTTGTTATACGACATGTCTCGTATTCAACTTTCGAGACATTATAAATGATGTACTTCTCCGTCTCATTCTCATTTGTGCCCGGCTCGTAATATGGGCAAATGATGTGAACCTGGTCGTATTCAAATTGTAGATTGCCCTTGTTCACATCTATCACGTGATCATTGTTATCTATTCGAAATCTGTAAAGATAAATGAAGAAGAATTTGTTAAGTAATAGAATATTGAAGCTGTAAGTTTTTCTTTTATTTTATGTTTCATAAAGCCATTTAATGCCATCACGCACGCGGTGTTTGATGTCAAGTTGTATAAATATAAATAAGTGTGTAGAAATAAAACAAGAAATTCACTTGGCTTTCAATGTCCAATAAAGTTCGCAAGAATAAGTTGAGTTAAGCAAGTCCATGCCATCTATGAACATAGAATGTTTCTTACTTTTTCCCATAAAAAAATGGATGAACGCAAAAAGTAATTCCGAATGCGAGACACACTCGAAGCAAGAAAGAAACTCTTAGTTAAACCTGTTTACTTTGGCAACTTTTTTTTTGCTTTTCCGTTCGATAGAGTACGGTTTTTACTTGTTTTCTTCCAGCTTGCTGCAGCTTTTATCGTTTATTAGGTTCTTTGAGTATCTTTCTCAGTCTTTCGAGTGAAAATAATGGACTCAATGCGCATTTGAAACAAAAACCATCTGTTACAATCATACACGAGGAAACTAAATTTATTGGTGAATATTCAAGCACTAGAAGAGAAATAAAGAAGAGAAAGAATCTCACTAAATTAACCCTTTGTGAACTTGCAACAGTTTTTCGCACCTCTTGGGAATGTTGGTAATAACAAAACCTGTTCAATTCCGTCAATCAGCTATAAGCAATCAGTGAAATGTGTGAGAATTGCACGGTGTTTGTTGCTTTGACCTCATGGAAAAATTCTTTTTCTTTATTTCTTTTCTGTTCTTTTAAAAAGAAGATTTCAATCAGCTCAGTTTAAATAAAGCTAAAGCTTGAGGCACACGCAGAATAAAGAGAAAATTTCTGAGAAAGTAGATCAACAGTGACTTCTTCCTTTGAATAAATAATGCACAAAGGCCTGAGCACAGCACTTCATGACACTTTGACTATCTACTTAAAGCTACAGCACAAACTACATTTCATTCGATGCCTCCAACTACGGAATTACATTCTTAAGCCTACACACATCGCAAGTGGACCCAACAATGAACAAAGTTAACTTTATTTTTCGATAATTTTTATCCGATAAAAATTTCAATAATTTTTTTTTTGTTCTTTTCTTCAATTTTTCATGTTTCTTTTCTTTCCTTACTTAAAATCCAAACTTGAGTAGTGGAAGTTGGACTCGAAATTCAAATTCCTTTTCTGAAGTTTTTTCTTCTCTTTCTTGCTTTTATTATAATTTCATGAGATTCATTGAAGCTGATTGTGGGTCGTTGGCTTAAATAACAGCAGTTTTCTGACTAAAGTCGCGGATTATTTTATTTTTGCGTGACTTGTCAAACGATTTAATTTTGTTCTTCCTTCTTTATGTGGAAATTTTGTAATTATTTTTCTTTTTTCTTAATGCCGAAGTGCACTTAAATGGATTCCTTGCTTGTCATTTCGTTTTTCATAAACCTGAGATGGTTTCTATGACAGCTAGAAAACTCTCGAGGGAATGATATAAAGTACGAAAGGAAATCTACACGCATCAAAAAGTAGTGAAAGGATTTCTATGTTTAATCAAAAAAAAAAAAGACGTAATGAAAATGAAGAGGCAGAATGAAGGTGCACGTGTGGCATCATGTGGATTGATGAAGACGTAACTCCTCCAACCCTCTCTTTCACTTTCAGTGCGTAGCAATCGAGAATCGAATTTAATTTCACAAAAGAAATAAAAAAAAGTATCATAAAGAAAATCCTTGAAATGAAATGAAATCATCATTTCATATTTTCATAATTGGATGAAAGCAAAAGCAAAAAAGTTGGTATGGCAACACCCCCGAACAGCTTCTTGCCGTCATAGCGTTCGATTCCTCAAGTCCAAATTTGTTTTCTAAGCTCAGGTTGCTGTTGAACGTATTTTATTCTATTTTATGAATTGAAAACGACATGATTTCTTGATATTACATGAAATATTATGAATCCTTGAAAACCTAAATAGATATGTTTGATGACGATCTCCATGACAAAATTTGGAACAAAAATATGATGCTTAGTGATATTTCAGAGATTGTCTTCTGAGTCAAGAAGCTTCGAAAAGATTTATTTTCGAGCTGAGAACAAGCGCATGACTAAACACGGGCTTGAGGATAAATTTTCGTATCCGATGGTTTTATATACATATACATAACGTAAACAGAAAATATGTACTTTGTGTATAAGAAGCTTACTCCCAAGGGATCGAAAATAACTTTCAATATGATGATCTAAATTTTTATTTTTCATTTATCTTTTAAAAGTGATATTTGTTATATGTCAGTGGATTCTTGTGTCATAAGGATTCAAGAAAAATAAACATTGATAATGTTGCACAGAAATGTTAGGAGATACATTAATGTTATTGGACTGCATAGCAAATATGTGAATGTTTTAAGACTCCCTTACTACTTGCATCAGTTTGCTCTAGAAAAGTAAAAGACCAATAAATAATTTATTTTATTGATTTCCATCATCAAGTAGATGAGGAAAAAGTGAAATATTTTTTCCTCCCAGAACAGACGACCGAGGAAGTTTAAAACTGAAAGAATGAGGAAGAAGACAAAAGGGGAAACCAGGAAAAACAACAAACAACATAAAACAAAAAAGAATTGAAAATTTTTAAAGTGGAAGAACCAAGGGGCAGATCATCGGAAAAAATTGGAGGGCAAAAGCACTATTGCTGCATTGAAGCACTAGACAAATTCCAAGAAAAAGTAAACAAATTCTTGGAAAAAGGCCATTTTTCTTGAAAAGCACTAGTGATTTTCGAAGCATCACTTGGAGGCAGCGGGCAGAAGCACTACCATGATCTGCCCCTTGGGAAGAACAGAAAGAAAAATATCCGAGAGAAGAGAAAGAGAGAAAAATTGAGAGAATATTTATGAAAACCTGGAAAGTCTCTCATTTTCCAATGAAGGAAAAAAGCAAATCTCATGACTGGAACTGGAAGTAAATTGAATGAAAGCAAGTCAAAGGCAATAGAAAAGAAGTAAAGTAAAGAACATTAATCATTTTAAGAAACCCAGAAAAGTTTTTGATAACTGTTTCTTTGGCAATCGTTTGTTGTTTCTTTTTAGATGAAGAGGGAAAACAAAAGTTTGACTCATGGTGGTTTCTAAAAGGGTTGGGTATTAGCAAAGAAACGAGCCAAAAAGGAAAATAAAATCAAAAGAGATGTTGCTTTTCAACCATTAAGTCAACTTCCTTTCAATATTTCCTAAGTGCTTAAGCTTTACATTTATTTTTAACTTGACAAAATTTCATGGACAATTAATAGCACTAATAAACCTCAAAGCGATGTTTTTTTTGTTTTTCTTCCTTTACCATGTGCAATATCGTTCATTCGTTCTTTGATGCATCAAATAACACATAAAAAATTAAATGGAATGTTGCGAAAGAGGCAACGAAATGAAAAGAAGTGACGAGAAATCTCGTGAAAATCCGAAATAAAGAAAACAAACTTATTTCCCTTTGATGTTGCACCAATGAAGAAATAAAAAATAACACAGAAAAGCGTTTTTTATCCCTTTTCTTCCGTCACGATTTCTTGTCTCTGTTTGCTTCTTTGAATGTTTCACGATTGCAGCAAATTTGTCTTTTATCGTGGTGGCAAAGTCGCATGGAGCGGGAATTGGGACATTTTAAGAAATCCTCATGGAAAATAAAATGATCAAAACATTAAAAATTCATTTCCTTAAAGTAGAGATGAATGTTACGAGAAAAATAATGAATCGAAGAGACGAAGTCTCACATGACAACACGTCAATCATCATCAAAGGAGATTTCTTCATGATGCCGATATAAACTCTTCAGAAGAATGTCATTCGCTTTTTTAGTTGTACATTTCTATCTCTAGTGTCAGCAACAACGATGAACAGAAAAAAAAAATTAAAACTGACAAGAACAGAGTGTGGAAGTGAAAAGGTAATTAGTGAAGTTGATGAGTTAAAAAGTGATTTTAATTAAAAAAGTTTATCTTATTGCGTGGCAACTTTAACGGCTGAGATTCAATCTAGTTGATCTCGTTTGAGTTATTTAGTATAGTAAATAAAGAATCGCTCAAATTCGGTATTTGTTGTTGTTAATCGTTAAACCGCGTTGTATAATCTTAGCGTTGATTGACAAACTACGAACAGCCCATTAAGTGTAAAGTGACATGTATCGTGCCTGTGTATGATTCTTCATCTAACTCCCATGACATTCTTCGCTGTCATTTACCAGTCATTTGTTAGTGTCTGTTAGTCAAAACAATTTTAATCTTTTATTTTCCTCATCCCAATTCTTTTCCACATATTTCTTAACTAACTTTCTGATAAAAATGTTGGAAAAATTTATTTTGGAATATTTTTCCCCTCACATCGTTTCGCGCGCGCTTAAAGTTGCTTAAAAGACAACAAATCACTTTGTTCTTTGAAATAGCTTCATTAATTAGCGCGCGATTGAGGTAGCGTAAGTTAGAAAAGTCATTCATAGTTGCTTCTCTATTTAGAAATCACTTCTAATCTCTTGAGACATCATTGTCAGATGATTCCGTTTATCCCCCGCAAATGACGTTTGTCGGAAAAAAAGAATCTTATTTATGTGACACATTAGAAACACAAGAGGAAAATAAAAAAATTTCCTTGTCATTTTCTTTCTACGATTTCTTTTTCTTCTTACGCTTTTTTCTTCAAAGCAAACGACTCACATTTTTCTTTTTCGTTCACATTTTGTGAAAATCTACTAACGTTTTTGATTGTGATATTTTAAAAAACATTTTCCACATAAGAGAAAAAAAACATACGGCAAAACCTTTTAAATGAGAATTATGAGGCGAAAAATTTCCAACAAACAAGTCGGAGAAAATTGAAATGGCAATAAAATCGTCATTTACAGTTTTTATTTCAGTAGAGTTTTATTTGATTTAGTTGTTTGTTGAGTGAAAATTGTGCAAGCTGTGCGTTTCATAAAATATTAATGTGAAGAATTAAAAAATAAATAATAAAAATCGAAAAAATAAATCACAGATTTGAAGCTCAGACAGAATCAATTAAAATCACTAATTAAAAGGCAAATACTTCCGATGCCCCCAGATATTGAGAGCTAGCTTTTCATTTTCAATTTCATCTCCATAAAAGTCTACAATTTCATATTCTGTTATCTGTTATTGATCTATTGACAGCCCCAAATATTCAAATTTGGACGAGTTGAGTGAACCGATTTGGTCATCGCAATCGAATTTCGGTTGAATTTCAACAGTAGACCAAAAACTCGAGGAGTATTTATTTAAATCATCCACACAAGCTTTAATGTACACATTTTTCGGTTTCATCGAAGCAAATTATTGGCGAAAGGTCGTTAGAGAAAGAGTTAATGCAATTTGCATGTAAATCAAAATGTTTGTTATTTGACTGAAATGTAACTTATGTGGGAATGAGAAGGTTAATTGTGATGAAAGTCCGAACCCACATCACCTACTTATTCAAACATTCATTCCTCCAAGCTATTTAATTCAGGAAGCTTATAAATATCGATTTATTAAGGAAAAACATTCTTAAAAACTTTTCAACTGAACTTTAAGACTTTTTAAACAAATACAAAGCTTAACATTGGTTCATTAAGTGAGCTGTTAATCGCCAATTTGATGTCTGTTACACCCTCTGAGTTATTTTTATTATTATTTGTTCTCATTCTATGACGCAGCACGAAAAAATCAATCATTCGATACCCTCGAGGGTGGTAGATAATTAATGAAAAGAAAAAAAAACCTAATGACCATTTTAGTCCATTTGTTTCAATTTCATTCAATCGATTCTTTCAACTAAAGCCGACACGTTTTTCAGCTTTAAATGAAAGCTCTTTGAGTTTTCTATTTTAGTCCTAATTAAAAATGAATGAAACTCAATTATCGACAACGGGAAACGAGAAAGCTTCATGCAAATCAAAATATCTAGATTACTTAAAGCTTAAAAATAAAAGCGAGTCGAGTAAATTTCTTCAGAATTGTGAGCTTTTCATTTCAGAGGTTTCTCTTTTTATGAAAAACAAAAAGAATATTTTTAATTGATTTAATGCTTTCACTCCCTTGACATCGTTCGTCGTTTCTTTGAAGACTGGAAATTAATTTTCATCCCCAACCACTGAACATACAATTCTTTCTTGTGTTCTTCTCATTAATGTTTAATTTGCATTTTTATGAGCTTATAGCGTGTGAACCTCACCATATTGTGTAGGTGTTCTCAGGAAAAGTGGTGCGGGGGAAATAATAAGATGGGAATTACAACATGTTCTCGTTTTACGATAATTTCCAAGGAAGAAATCGAAATACAAAGAAGGAAACAGCAGGAAAAATTTATTCATATATTGAAGGATTCCGTCACGTAGACAAATATCACAGCGGAAATGAAACACATTCATTCGCCACCCTCAACTTTCTCATTTCTGATGACACCGAAATCATTGACAATCTGGAAAATTTTTCTTTTGTAAAATTATGCTGAGAGTAAATTTTAGGCATGATCAAGTTAATTAAATTCTTCAATCTTTTGCTCTCGTCCCTTTCGAATTTGCTTGAGATTCCTTTCGTAAGTAAGTATTTATATCAAAGTGAAAAATTTGGGTCATCATCATCATCATCCTCTTTTATTTCCTATGCTTGCTTTCTAATTTCTTTAATGGATCTGTGTGAGAAATTTCCCTAAAGAGGTTTTTCTTATTTTTTAGAGAGAAAGTGTGAGAACGACGATCCACCTCGTGCGAGGGTGGAGAGGAATAAGAAAAAACGGAAACCTTTTTCATGTCAAAAAATAAGACATGTTAATCTATATTTTCAAGTCCTTTCTTACTTCGAGGACACGAAAATCTTGCCTACATCATTGCCACTTATTTTTCTTATAAAATTTAATTTAAATTCCCGACATTCAAACTTTTTTTCATTCTTCTTCTTCTCTTCTTTATCAACGGGAAAGTTTGTCGTGATTCTAACCAGAAGTTTTGTAATGAAGGAAAAAGTTCCGTGAGACCAAGTCCATGTCAAGCTCAGCTGGAGTTTGGAACCGTGACTTACTGGCAAAAATGTCAAAACGACTGTGCATGGAAAAGTGCACAGCATGTTTATGTCGACGGAGCCAAGCAGCAAACGACTTACAAACAGTCAAACCGTGATACAATTTTACAAGCTAAACCTCGATGGGAAGCAAAAAACATTGAATGTATACAAACACACACAAAAAACAGGAATAAATATTCACAAAATGTGACAAAGTGAAAACAAATTTCTTTAGAATACAAGAAAAGAAAGAAGCGAATAATAAAAACGCGATTTTACATCACAGTTCAATGCTGCTAGCTGATGCTTTTCAACACTACCGTGAGATGCTATGAGAATATAAAAAGTTGAAATAAAAATCTCTTGGTGGCATCGTAAATGGGAAAAAGATTTCGCACTAACAGGTACTGTAGAAAAAATCATTGATTTACATGCTTTGTTGATTTTTTCATGCTGTGGAAATTGCGACATTCATTTTCCATGTGAAAATGGTTGAATAACCTTAGTAGGAATCTAAAAAATATCGTTCAGGAAATTGTCAGGAAATTTAAAGCAATTCGAAAAGAATTTTCTTTTTTATTTACATTTTAATGCCGACAAGAGCTGTCAGGAAAGTGTGATTATGACTGAAGAATGACATAAAATCCTTTTTTTATGTTCGTATATTTTAGCATTAGCCAGTGAGCTCCATTTAACAATTTAATTAAAAAGCAGCTCATGCGTGAATGACATTGCTCTACTTTATCAGTAACAACATGCTTTTTTTCAATCTCCTATAATTAGTTTTCTTTTATCCTTTTCCGGCCTCATGAGAATAAAAGTGAATTGATTCTCAGTCTGCTAGTTCAGAAGTCGTAAAGCAGTTTAACGCAAATGTCAGTTGTGACATTCGAAATGACAGCAACTTAAGTTAAATCTCTCACTTGTAAGCTTTCGCATTGGCTAGGTAGGTTGGAAGAAAAATTGTGGAAAACTTTACATAAGTATTTTACATCCTAAAGGCAAGAGAAGCGATTGCCATTTTTGAGACTATGAGACTATGAACATAAAAGTAAAGCACACAACGGGCGGTAAAATTATGATTTATGGGCTCCAATGTTCCTACAATGTCGCAATTTTCCCTCCCGCACCATGCATGTAACTTTTCCCTTTTTTCTTCTTTCTCTCTCTCTCTCTCGCCTTTTTTTTCCATGCCATTAACTTTGATTTTCTATTTTTTCCTTTTAACTCCCAACACAGCTTGAAGAAATTTTTCGACTTATCGTCGTTCCCAGCCGAAACGATAATTTTGTGCTCGACGCAAAAATATTTAATTAAAATTCAATTTGTGAATTTATCGTTGTAAGCTATGACGAAGATTTTCTTATACTCATTTATGGTTTGAGGTGAAAGCAAAAGGAGATTTCCAGACACTCGACCGGAAATCACAAGCCATAGGGCGTCCTATAGGTATTCAATTCTTGGAGAAGGAATATTTTCGCTTTAGAATGTAATTTAGTTTTTGCTCAGGCTTGAACCTTTTACCATTTATTAAATTTTTCATTTCTTTTTTTCTCTCTACAACATTGGATACCGTAGTGAAGACGATAACTTCATGTTTAATATAGAGAGACATGAGGGTAATGTAAGACATATTATGATCATGCACGTATGGCTCCTTGCGACTCGTAGGTTTCATGTCGATGTTGTGAGAGTTTGGAGCTGACTAAGCGAGCGTTCATTCCCAAAGGTAAAATTATGGAACGAGTTACAACGACCAGGTTTGTTTTCAAAGCTATTAAAACTCAACGTATGTAATTTTTTGTCAAATCAACAAAAAGTACAAAATGGGATTTGATATTTGAAATATGAATTAAAAAGTTTCGTAAGCTATAAATAAAATTATAGCTAACATGAGTGTACGTAATTACATTTGTTTAATACCAAAGAGATAAATAAATAAATAAATAAATAAATAAAAATAAGTATTCTCTGATGAAATACTGAGAAGCGTGACTGTTCCCCAGGTGAAACTAATTGAGTTAAATCACTGACTTATTTAGCTTAAACCTCCGAAAATATTTTCAATTGCACGGAAAGTCGTAAACATTTTTATGTTGCCTCGAAATCATCGCACATAACAACATCATCAACAACAACACGAAAATAATAAATTTAATGAAAAACGTATCATCAACATCATCATTCTCATTAAACGAATATAAGTGAGGAGCGTTTCTTTTAACCCCAGCATCCATTTGAATTTCCCATCCATGTCTCAGTCCGGAAAGTGTTATTCAAGCAGCAGAGAAAACGAAAAACATGAGTTAGAAAGAAAAAAAAAAGACGAGAACGAAAGATGTGGAAATGGTGAAAACACATCAAATTACATAGAAAATATGATTATATTATGTAGATTTTCTTTCTCTCGCTTCATAAAACTCTTCTGCCGCTCTATACATTCACATCACACATGCTCAGTTGAGGAAGTTGAACGTCGCACCATGGAAATGATTAGGGTGAGGTCATGTTTTGTAAAAGTGTCTCATCTCTTCAAAAATAGTTGTATCAGCCCTAAAATCAAGCTCACACTCATCAGATACATATTCTTTCCATCACATCAATAACACTCACCCTCTTCTCACATCTATAATTCACCCACTCTAAGTCGTCCCATACGGAATAAGGATGAATGGGAAATTATTATGTTGTCAACATCACCCATCCAACTGCTTGTATAGTTTTGAATGAGATAGACACTGAACGTAAAACAGTGATGAATATGTTTGCAACATTTAGATGGGTGACTGTCGTAACTACACGTAAACAGGCAACATGTGAATCATCACCACCACCCACACGGAAATCTATTCACCCTGAAGCGTATACATAATCAACCTCATCATAACCTCATGCAGTGTTTAGTCAAATGCGATGTGATTTTTCCGCACTCATCGTTTGCGTTTTATGGTTTCAAGTAATTCGGCTAAAAATTAATTTTTTTATGTGTCGCACTCCGATGGATATCTGCGTGAACATCGTACACATTTCATGTTCCTCGTAGTCGTACTTATTTTTCATGAATGGCTAGCAAGAGAATTGTGCTTACTAAAAGCAAAAAAAAAACCTTTTTTCCACTCCTAATTCGTTTAAAACCAACCAAGGCACTTCTAAGCTGATAAATGAAGCTTTTTTGAGGCTTGATGAGAGACAAAAAGGATTTAAGATAAATTTCATTAAAACAGGTCGCTGTCGGATGTTTAAAGCCCCGAGATAAACAGACGACAGGGGATGAAATAAAATATAAACCTTTTTTCAAATATTTTTCATTTAGTTGAACCAAAAAAAAACAAAATAAAAACTCTCATGTAAACAAAATAAGCAAACGAGTAGATAGATGAGAAATAGGAAAAAATAAAGCAAATGGGGGTGGTCTAATTGAAATAATTTTCTTGTGACTATTTCCGCACGACTTCATCAAAATGCCTGAGATTTGATGATGAGATTGAGTTGCCAAGTGTTGAGTGAGATAATAGGAAACGTGCTAATTATTACTCATTTCTCATTCATGATGGTGATGGTGCTTTATGATGGATTGATGAAAAGGATGGAAATGAATTAGAAGCTTTTAGGAAGGAGGTATTTAGAAAATCCCTTGGCATCGTAAAGCGTGTTTAATGTGCGAGGTAGAAGTACCCTTAAAATTTGTAAAATTCATGATTTTTATTTGCGAGTAATTTATGGTCGATTTAATAAATTTTTTCTTCTGCCTTTCTGTTTTTGCCATGTCCATTGAAAATATCTTGAATGCTTTTTTATTTCCCAATTTCTAACGACTCTCTAACTAATAAAAAATTGCACAAAAATGCAAATGTTTATCTGAAGTGGGCGCATGTGGTAGATTTATAGTTTTCGATGTGAAAAATTACGTTTCTATATTTTTTATTTGGTATTTTGGGAAAAGGGAGAATTATTCACGAGTCCTTGACTGCATCCTGTACTTTATTTCATTTACTTACAAACACATACAAATTTTTATCGATTTGCTTAAAATATTTAATTCAGCCCTCGAGAGATGAATCATAAAAAAATTATCCGTGACGATGTTTCTTTTTATTATTATTTAGACATCATTTTTATGAGAACAAGACGCTTTGAGCTTCTGCTTCTGAATTCGAATTGTTGTTTTGTGTCCCTTCTTTGATTACGAATCACTCAAAAATTCCACCCTCGACGTTGATCCTTTCTATGTATAACTCTAAAGTATTCCCACCCTCAAATTGTTTTTTAAGTATTGCGATTACAATATGATTATTTAGAGATTGTTAAAGATTTTTGTTTGTCGTCTAAATTGTGCTTAAATCGAGACGAGATACAAGGGTGACCATGCGGAAATTTCGGATGATGTTTTGGGGTTCATTTGAATTTATGGTTGACAGCACTAAATTCATGACAAGTTGTGACATTTTCCGCTTCTCTCGTTAACACATTTATTGAAATTTGCTGATGCATTTTTATTTTATTTTATTTTCATGTTGCGATTAAGAAGTATTCGATTTCGGCACTTTGTTTTAGGATGAAGCGGCAATTGAAACTCTCGGGTTACACGCTAAATGATGAGAATAAAACGCTTCTGGCATAAAGACCATAATTGGTGGAGACAAAACTGCAATCTGACGTTGTTAGCTTCTGAAAATAAGTGTTAAAAATGCATAAAGCTTTCTCGTCGATTTACTGAATGTGAGTTTTTGTAGTTTCTGTATTTTTTAAATAAAATTCTGCTGTTAAAACAACAAAAAAAATCGCTTTTTGATCCCAAAAATCTCCATCGAAGCGTAAAAATAAAGAACAAACAGACAACATCATTAGTGACAGTGAAAAAAAAAAACGAAATGAAGACTCAAGAAGCGTAAAAAATATCGAATAATGAAATGAGAAAAATAAAGTATCAAATTACGTAATCGAAACAGTTTTTGAGGACTACAGAAATGAGAATGATATTAAATGCGACGGGGGAGGTCAAAAGATGTTGAAGACAATGTTGTGTTATTTTCTCGGTAAACTTTTATAACATAAACTAATAAGAAACGAGAAATTTCAAATGAAGAGAATTTTAATCATAACATTCTTCATCTTTATCTTGTTTCGTCACCATTGACAATGAAAGCATACAGGCATTGAGTCAAATCCTTCATGCTGAGTTGGACCGAGTCTTGATATCAAAAAGAATTCTTCATAGTTAATATCAGAAAATGCTTCTGTAATGGAATAAAATGCCAATGAGAAAGAATTTTTTCATTAAATAGCATGATAATAAGGAAAGACGTTTAACATCACTTTATACATCATTTATGCAAGAAAGACATCCGCTTAAAGTAAATATCTTAGGACACTTTTAAAATATTTCCGCTGTCTGTCCTCGGGTCATTCCGTATAGAGTAAAATAAAAAACAAATACGAGAAAATTCTGCTGGTCTAACCATAAATTCAAGTGCTGCCCAGAAGAGAGCAAATTAAGTTAAAGTTGCTGAAATGAAGATATAAATGGCTTGAAATCTCCAAAACACAATGTTCACGCCCCCGCATCCCTCATTTATTTGCTACTTCTTGCCGAGAAGATTTATTCTTAAGTTCTCTTCTGAAGTTCCAATTTTCGAAAAAAAAATAGAACTTTTTGCAGAGAATAATTTATTTATTCTTTTTTTGCTGGCAAGTCAGCAGTTTTCTATCTACATACATGAGGGTTTAATCGAGTCAAACGATGTGGTGACTGACGAATTCGACATTTTGGATGGTTTACGAAAAATAAAAAAAAATCTTTCAACACAATAGCAGAAGTAAAGCGATCGATGGAGGAACGAAGTGTTTCTTAGAATTGGAATGTTTTTCATTGAATAAGCAACATAAGTGAGAGACAAAGCATGAAGAAATAAAGCAGTTCAAAGCACCGGATGAAGCTCTCTTTCTCTCACTCACTCACTCTATCTTTATCTCTCACTTCATGTTCTCGTATGTTAAACAAACTCTTTTTTGATTTCATTCTTTTCCGTTTCGTTTGTTTGTCTCGTTTTATGTCATACAAATTTTTGTTCATTTCGTTTCGTTTTCTCAATTCTATGTGTGTCGCCGTTTCGCGCTGTCGGCGGCTTCTGTATCCACTTTTCACACTTTATCGTTAGATTTCTTTACTCCTTTTCAACTTATTCTCTTGTTTAACTGGTAAACCAGCAAACGATTCCAGATCAGAGTTTGATTTCCAAAGAAATCTGATTTAGAGACAATTGTCTTAGAGTTTATAAAACATAATATTTAATTCAATTCGACGGATTAAATTCTTCTGTACACAATTTGAGACATTTAAGAGTTATAAAGAAATCTCTCAATGTCAATCGAAGTCAGCTTGAATTAGACTTATCTGAGATGTGAGACTTGCAATGAATGAAAGAGAATGAAAAATTGAAAAATGATGAAGGGAAAAAGTGTCAACGAAGAGATTTAAAAGAATTGATCGCAAAAAAAAAAGAAATAAACGAAATGAGAAAGAAAAGTCAACTGTGAGAAATTTTCTTGGAATTACGAAATTGATTTCAAAGTATGACAGTGGATCTGAAAATATTGTAGATATCTGAGAACTGGAACAAGTTTTCAACTCAATGAAGAATTGAATAAATGTAAACGATCCACAAACAGATTTTATTTTTATGAATTATTAATGAGTCATGTTTGAGTTTTATTTTATCTGATGCAATTGTAAAGAATTCGAGGAATGTTTGCTTGTCTGCTGTTTTCGAGTTCTCGTTTTCATCAATTTTTGGATATCTCAAAGTTTACATTTATTTCAGGAATTTAATTAGCATTTAATGAAACTCTTTTTGGTGATTCAAATGATCGAAGCATTCAAGCTTACCCAGTAAGAAGATATGAACAACACAAATGGCAATGATGGTAATTCTTGCTTGAAGCATCACGATGGTGTAGCGAGGCACAACTGTGTGCTTTTATATATGTAAAGTAAAATGATCCGCAAACCGAAAAAGTGCAATGAGCATAAAAAATGGAAGTGATTTAAAAGCAATGTCCAGTAGCTGGAAAACGTATTTATTCATGTGCAGTAAAGAGATGTAAAAGAAACAACAAAAAATGCTTCTGCTTAAAAACAATGCGCCTGAGAAGTGAAGGAAGAGATAAAAAAAGACCTTTGAGAAGGACTCTCTAGACTGTTAGTTTGTTGCAAAGTTTCAAGTTTCATTTGCCTTAACGTATTTATATAAGTATGCAAGCCAAGTTTATTCGAATAGAGAATTATGAAAAACAAGAGGAAAGTTCAACAACAAAGTTTTAATATTGCTAGCGAACAAGTTTGTGTTTTGCCAGGCAAAAATTTCCCTCAACATAAATACATTCACTGAAGGAAACTATTTCTCGAGGTTAAAAAAAATATTTAAAACTTTTTCTTCTTCCGGCACAGCACATCCAATAAGAAAAACACAAAAATATTTTGATATCATTTTTTTTTTTGTCATCGGGGAATGTTTAGATGGGAAGAGTCATAAAACTTTGCATTTTAGTTATTCAAAGCCTTTCTTATGAATATTTTACTTCGAATGGAAATTGAGTGATCAACGTTAATATCAAATTTATTTTTTGGCACTTTGAGAAACTTGAAAAACTGGTTTATGAGTGTTTGGAAATGGACAAGAGTCGTTGCTGTTAATACTAGAAGTTTAAAAGGTGAAGGCTTTTTTTGTGGACAAAATGTTAATTAAATAAATATTTCTATGTCTACGTGTCTAGTTTTATGCTTGTACAATAATGGAAAATTAAATTATTTAAATGTTTTATGTGACATGATAATAAATTGTGGATATTTTGTAGATAGAATTTTAATCAACAGGTTTTTTCAGTATACCGAAAGTTATTCACATTTATAATAAATTAAAATGTACTTTTCAATGTCATCTGCTGCTTGGGGAATATAAATGCGGTTCTATTAGTCTGACGTCTTTTAACTTGAATTTTATGATTCAGCAGCACTAACGAGACGAAATAAATTTTATTTTTTGAAGCGTTTCTCAAAGACATTTAGAAGTTTTTTATTCTTCCTTAGAATCTCTTCTTCTTTTTTGCGTGATTTTACGAGCTCACGTTTCATTCTGAAATGCAGTTCTGATAACTTCTTTCGTATCGTTTTAACTTTTCCTTCAACCAAATGGTAAGTCAGTGGAATAATGTGTTTTGTGGTTGTTTCATTCTGCTTTAAAAGACATTGAAGGAAAAGCGGTCTAAAGTCTCAACTGTCGATGTTGAAAACACAAAACGACAGGCACTAAGTAGATTAGGAAGCAACATAGGCAACATTAAATTCAAAGTCGTCAAAGAAGGAGAAATGTGTAATAAGATCAAATTTATAAAAGTGAAGTTGGAGATTCTCCAAAAACTTCATTATTTTGTTTTTTAAATAAATCTAGGGCGACAAGTTTTTCATGACGTCGCTAAAAGCAAAATTAACTTTAAAACTTCCACGTCAACCACAACTCCAAAGCTTTGGTTATTTTCTATTATTAACTCTACCTTAAATCTATGCTTGTGATAGCTTCTAGACCACAAGTGGAGCTCATTTTCTCTCTGCTTTTAATTTTGAGCTCAGAAAGCCACACGAGACAATAAAGAACAAATTATTTAGCTTCACCTCCCCATAACCTCACCCAACGTTGGCCTTTACTAGACTCTCTGCCATTTCTAAAGCAACAGCAAATGAACTTTATACCCCTCACCTTCTTTGTTTTTATAACAAACATGTATGCTTTGCGCTTTGTTTCAATACTACCAGCAACGAAATGTTTTTTTAAACTTTAAAATTTGACATGACATGCTCACATTTGAATAAAGTTATTTCATTTTGATCACAAAGACTGAAAACCACAAAATAAAATTTGCAAAATTTAATGAAATTTTGAGGGTTAATTGAAGTATGAAACAATATTAATTACATAAATTATCTACCTTTTGTTCTTTATTGATTTTATTCCTATCTTCTTTGAATACCTCATTACATTCTCATTATGAGTGTTGATTGCCTTAATAACTTAATGTTGAACTTTAAAATGTTATTTTTGTTTAAGTTGCTGCTTTACGACAACATTAAACAAGCTAGACACAACATGACAAACACAGACACATCACATAATGAACCCGCCTTGCATTCTCAGATGCTTTAAGGCTTCTTTGTTGTACAAAATATTTTTGTGATGCATCACTGCACTTAATCCGCACTTTATGTCTGACTTTGTGCTTTTTTAGTGCATTTTTTTATTCCACCAGCACTGGGAAGGAACTTCAGAAAACTGTAGGAAGCAGAAGTTGCAAAAATCGATAACTATGGAGAGAAAACATGGGAATTATGCAGGCTTGCAATCGTTGATTCAGACTCCAAATAAATTATTTCTTTATTCTCCCACTGAAAAGCTGAAAACTTTCTACATCAGAAAGCAATACAAAAAAATATTAACGCCAAAGTTCATATTACTAACATCAGGGAAAAGCTTTCTCCTTTATCATAAAGTGTTTTCGTACAATTTACATAGTTAACAGTTGAAAATCCTTGAAGTGTTAACTTTTATGTAAGCAAACAGAAAGCTCAGCGATATGAAACGATTTGGCTTTGTTTCAATATTCATGTCTTTAAAAAGAGATTTTCTCTTTCACAAAATCATCAAAAGTGAACTTTGTTAGTTTAACAAAGAAAGACAATGATTAAAAGCAGCATTTAATATTCGACAATGCTCAAAAAATTCTTTTTTGGTTTGCCAACGGTATTTGTTTTAATTAGTTTCATTAAAGTATGTCTCAGTTATTCTCTTGAAAAGTTTTCTTAAAATTTATGTGCGAAATTAAGAGTAACATGAAAGTGCATATCATTATAAAAGTTTTCCATGTTCTTATACTTAACACACAATCGTAGACTTTGAATACGTTATCAATTAGGAGAAGAGATTAATGATTATCTTCATCAAGTATTTAAATTAGTGAAGCGGCTTATTTAATGAGATTTTATCAAAAGTCTATGAACATTCTTTAACTCACATATTTTCATTCCTGTTGACGTCATGTTTCCAATATTGAACGTTTTGTGATTTATGAGTTCATTAGAGGAGATTAATCTGACAGCTTATAATGAAAAGAATGATTAGAAATACTTAGTTGATTAACTCATCGAATCTGCTTATCGATAAAACTCAAATAGAGAAAAGAAATGAAAAAGAGACAAAGAAAGTTAAATCAATGTCAAATGACGAAACTTTCTGCATTCACAATCGAAGATGAAATCATTTTTACAAATTGATTAAAAATTGAGTTTTGAATAATGTGAAGCTTAAGATTTTATAAAATTAATTTCTCGTTTAAAGATTTTTTCCTTTACGAGTGTGTTTATCGGCTGATGATTTACGATGCCACATTTAAGAGTGGAGAAATTCTTTTTATCTTCTTATTTATTCACAACCTAATGATTGTTGTTTACTTTTTTCATTCAAGGAAGAAGCAAGAAGATTCAGAAAGAATGCTAAATTATGCAACGTAACGATCATCTCCTTACACGTAGAAATGCAAAGTGAAGTCCTCCCAATAAGTTTTCTATCTCTGAGGTGTAGTAAGATAAATTGGCAATTCAAATGAGGCTATGAGATGAACTCAATGAAGAGAAAGAACATTTTTTTGATCAAAACCCAAGACCATACTTGTGAAGACTTTGAACACATTGATTATTCTGCTTACAAATTACTCCACTTAAATTGTTTTAATTTAATTAATTATGTGAACAATCATCCAAGTGTTTCTTTCGCTTAAATACTGTTCAACTCTTTCCATGAAAGTTAAATGAAATAATTTAAAGTGAAGTAAGTCCGCAAGAAAACTTTTTTTTTTCTCTTCTCACCCAAGGAAATCATAAATCATTAACTGTGCGCTCATCTAAATCTCGATACCCAATTTTTATCGATAATGTTTTACACGGCTTTTTTTCTTCATTTCTTTCTCATTCCAATTTTCGCTGTTAGCAGCAGATGAAGAGAAATTCCATCAATATTTCATTTTCATATTCGGTTTCAAGAAATGTTGAAATCTATAAAAAAAGGCGAAAAAATATTCAACAGATAATTCAACAGAGCATATGTTTTAACATTCTTCTTAATGCTCTTCTTTCCACCTCTTTTTCCTCTTTCACTTCTCGTGCGTCTCAAAAGATTTTTCATCTGTAATCTGGTTAAAGACACCGGCTTTTGGAAGTTAACCAGAAACCAGAAAAGAAAGAAAGAGACTCTTATTGAACATAATAAAAAAATTTAATCCTAAGGTGTGGGATGAGGGGGGATTATCGTGGTCCGACTACGGCGCTAGTTAGTGACCAGCTCAGAAATGAAATGAAAAGATAAACAGAAAATTTATTTAATCATTAACATAAAAATGATATTTTTTTATTCTCGCCATCTCTCAGCTTGTTTCTTGAATTCTTTTCATTTTTATAATCTTATTTTTACCAATTGTTGTTCCGTAGCGATTCTTGCGCAAGAAACTAAACTTAAGACATGTACGCGGGGGACAATAAGTGTCTCGTATAAAACTGGAAATTTATTGGTTTTCTTCGCTTTTTAAGTCGCAACATTGTTTTCGCTTGCTTTTAGTATTTTACAACCGTGATTTTACCACCGAAACAGAAAGGGAATCGGATTCCTGAAACGGTGGAATGAATGGTAATTTTTATTCAATAAAATTCCTCATAAATATATGACGAGTTTATGACCTCACACAAAACAAATTTACATCCACAGATTCTCTCCGCAAGGTTCATTGAAAACATGTGTTAAACTTCGAAACAAACTCATTTTTCAACACCATTTAAGAATTGGGATGGAAACAAGACGTTTTATTGTGAAACATGATGCTGGGTTTTGATGTAAAACAAAGACGTAGATTGTTGTAACGACCAGCATTATGAGCTGTGAATTACAGTCCCAAGAATGAATCAAGAAACAGAAACTGATTTTGATGAAGAAAAATGATATTCAAAGGAAATTAACATTTTTGAAGTGCACGGTAATCTAAAAAGGGTTTTATTCGTTGTCGGATTGGATTGAAAGAGAAAGTCGATTCAATTTCAATGATTTATTCTGAAATCCAATAAATCGGCTGATACTGTAATAAAAAAAAGTAATTTAATATCAATTCAATGCAATATGATTCCTAACTTATTCATTCCCAATTGTCAACGTGGCTACTATAAAAACAATTTATAAAGTCATTTGAATCTTTATTTCCGCTACTTTCATTTATACCATTGCATTCGTTTGAATGTCCGATCATCTAGAAATTGCAAATTGCAATAGAGAATTTATTTATTAAAACGTCGGAAAATTGGCGGAAAGCTAAGTGGAAAATGTTGTACCATTTTACTGAAGCAACGTTGGAAACTCATCATGTGAAAACGATATCATTCGATTCAGGAACATAGCAGAGATTGACGTTTCAAAAAAAAATAAAAAATAAAAACATACACAAGAGAATGCGGAAGCTTATTCATGTGTGAAACGTTTGATAACACACACACACACACACGTATAAAAGAGATAAAAGCAGGAATGGGGGATTATCGGAAACAGCACTGAATGACAAGTAGGTGGAAGGTGGAAACATCCCAGCAGAGAGGCGCTAACAAAAACGATGTGAACACACAAAAAGATCTTTAATCAACATTCAAAGTGCTGAACATTTCTGTAGTCAGTCGTCAACCATCGTAGCAAGCTTTTCATTTATATTGGCAATGTTAACATCAACCGTCAAACAGTCTCAACCGGAAATTGAAAAAAAAAGTTTGAAAATGAAAAATGGAATTTTTAGCCATTTTTCAAATGATTTTCATTTTACTCGTCTGCTTGTGCTCGTTCACTCAGCTTTCGTGGGTAGTCACCTCAAAGCAGCTTTCTTGCAGGAAACTGGAAACTTTTTTCCCCGCTAAAACATTAAATTCAGTTTTTTTCGTCTTCTTTTTCTTAGCTGCTGCTCTCGTTTATTATTCGAAAGCGAAGAAAATTTATCGCAGTTTTCATTTCATTTAGCAATTTTCGAAAATAGAAATGAGAGACTCATGGCGGCAACGCAAGGAGAAGGAAAATTGAAACTTAACATTTCTTTTTCCTTGGCACAGTTGCACAATCGTTGGTTCAATTGTAAATATGCAGAGTTATGAAAATGAGAAAACAGAAAACTCAAAATAAATGCAACGTTCGTTGTTGGTTGTGTCGATTTGTTTCAAACATTTTCCTTCAACCACTTCACTAGAGTTAATTTTTTTTATCGAAATGGGTCACAAAACTAATGGAAATGATATCACAATCAGCCAGTTGTAATCGTCTATGACTATTTTTGCTCGCATAATAAATGTTTTCGAAGGAGTTAACAACACAACATAATAATAATAATAGAAAATGTTCTGCTTATGGCATTAAAGCTGTTTACAGCGTTTGCTATAATGGTTATAGCTATCGGCAGGTAAATATTTTTGAATAAAAAAATGCCTTGCTATTGATAAAAATGGAACGCTTTTCAGAGCAAGGACGAATCATTTTATCGATTTCTATTTCACGAATTAAATTTGAAAATCATCTGAAATTTGAAATTTCATTCACAACAAAATCAACTACACATTGTGACTCATTAAATCACTCTTGCAAATCTCCCTCTGAAACACTTCCCGAATGCTTCATCTCATTTGATTTGTGCTTAATTGATTGCGTAAAATGAGAAAGGGAGGATTTTCCGAAACATTAAAAGTCATCATTTCAACAATCTTCTCTCTGACTTTGTCGTTTCATTCTACTGACTTTTTCTTCACGCTCCATCAAAGAACGCAAATTCAATTGCCGATGATTCACTTTATCGCTAGTAGTAAGATTTGTATGTTAGTTTCGTTAGCATTTCCCAAGAGACAACATTAAGGTGAATTCCATACGAAACTGCTAAACGATTCCGAATTTCTCGTTTACCGACTTGATTTCCTCTCGAATCTTCTTTCCATTTAGTCGCTTTATCGCCTCATCCCCTTGTCCTGAGGGATTACGAAGCAAATCTGTGACTAAATTTTTATTGAGTCATTGAGAGAGAATCAGATTTCCATCTAAAAGCGCGCGGTTCCACCCACCGTTGACAAAACAAAATAACAAATACAACAAATATTTTCTTTTAGTCTTTTAATGACATTTATCGGTTAAAAGAAAAATATTTTTCTCTATCGCTATCGAACATTAAACTTAGTTATTCATTCATCTTTGATTCCATTGAAACCCTAGAAATATGTTTTCATTCAATGGATATTTATAAAAGTTTTCGGTTTTCCGTTTGTTCACTCAAACTGACACAATCGAGGAAAGAAAGGAAGGAAATCGAATCAGTTTTCGTTCAAAATGTACATTTTTGAATCAGACAAAATTGAGAATGTGAAGAATGGAAAAGCGATTTTCTTCAATGTCTGTAGGAAGAAGCAATGCAAGGAGGAAATTTTCCTTGTCCAAGCATGATAATTCGACCAGACAGCGAACATTTCCGGTGAGGAAGAAGCAGCGGCTTCAGCCACCATTTTTTACATGACTGAGGTTTCCTTTTTTTAGTTTCTCTTGAAAATTTACTGTATGGGTGTGGACGGACATTGAAAGGCATTGAAATATTTGAAGAAAGAATAAAAGAAAGAAAGTTCATTGGAAAATTTCCCACTCTGTCCGGAAGCTCGCAGAAAATTTTCCGGAAACCAAACAAAGTTGAAGGAACGAAAATGCTAGAGCGATTCAGTGATAATCAGCAACTTGCCTTGTCGGTAATGTTGACTTGGCGTGATAAATTTCATTAAAACCAAGGAAAATTCTCCGCGGAAAACTTGCATAAAACTCATTTGTTAAAAATTTGTTGTTAGCAACATGTTGTAGAGTGGGGGAAGTTTTGACCTCGATGGAGAAGGGCTTGGCTGTTTCACAAAGCGCTCACATTTCAACCTGTAACGTGTTATTGCCCTAGGGTAAAAGATTCATTAATTATCATTGCGTTGGAAACGTTGCTTGATGAAGGCTCTCAAAATCATCATACCGATGACTAATTCATTAGTTGACATGATAAACTTTTCAAATAAGCTCATGAAAAAGAATTTTAAAGTTAATGTTAGATTTAACATGCTTGTAGATAGTTGCGAGTGTAGAGAAAGTTCTTTAAAATTTTCAAACAATGTTTTGAATTTAACACTCACTCGTTGTATAACAATTTATTCGAAATTTCTTCAATCATTTCACTGTTTTATGAGAAAAGTTAGTGCTTGGTATGTAGAAGTATAAAGTAAAAACATTGAACATTGAACGAAACAAAAGTTTCAGACTGAAATCTTATTCTCTCAGACATCAAGATTTGTATTTCTTAAGAGACTTTCTTAAGTTACAATTGAAACTTCAAATAATTTCAGCTGCTGTTTAAAAGTAAAGGCGAATGTCTTTCCATACTCAATCGAATGAATTTTAATGAACTGCCTCCGAGAAAGGTGTTAAAACAAGTCACAATCAGCACATGAGAGACTCAAAAAGTTGTCGAAGAAAAATAAATAAGAAGATAATTGAAATCCAATTTGTTATTCTTCACCTCACCCTCTTGTTGCCATCATCTGCTTGCCTGCCTGAATGGCTGTCGCTTCATGAAACAAAAATCTGTTTAAATTTTAAAATGATTAACAAAAGGTAGAAAATAATTTTCTTGAGAGCCAGAACGGATTCGTTGTCCCCCTTTTTACACACATATTTCACATCTTTTTCCCTTCTTTTGTTCGCTTTTTATTCTTTTTATTTTTTGTGGCTCATCAAATTCTTATTCTATTCTTCTTAAACATATCGGTCTTGCTTCGGTACTTGAGGAGATCTCTTCACCCTCTTGAGATCTTCTTTCTTTCTACTTTTTAAATGCACACTCATCATTCTTTCTATTTTATTTTCTAGTTTATGTTAAATTTGAGACAAGCAACGTAAAATTCTATTTTCAATAATTTTAGAGTCCATCAAAGACCTTGGGCAGCTAAAAATATGCATAACAACCCATCGGCAAGGTAAAATAAACCGCAAATTATATTAATGAAAGCTAAAAGTTTTAATTATCTTTCTCTTTTATCTTAGATACGAGAATCTTCCATTGCAAGCGAAAATAAAAAAAGTTTCTTTCTTCATAGGATTATAAAATATTTTCCAAGAATTTTACAACATTATCGACACATTAGACCGCCTTAAACATAAACATCGGCCTCGTGTCTGATGGATATTTTATAGCTATCCCTGACTTTTGTTGTAGATCTTTCAAATTTTTTTTAAAAGAATTTTGTGTGTGTTTGCAAGTTTGTGGTGTGTGTAAATATCAAAATGAAAAGTTTCGTTAGTCTTCAGGTGGCGTCAGGTATTTTTATGACTCAATATTGTTCCCTCGACTTTACTTATCCTCTGAGGTTCAAGAAGATTGAGAATGCTTTTCGTTTCACGAAGGCAAACAAGAAAAATTATTATTTGAAATGTTAGACGATATCGTTGAGCTGTTGCCAGTTTTTTCTTCATTTAATTTCTACCTGAGCTGAGTTCTATCTTCGTTTCTGGGATTATTGGGAATTTCACTCTGAGCCATTTTCAGTTCACATAAAACTTTGACTTTTCTGCTTCAATTTAATTAACAACAAATGTTGTGAACAGGGAAAAATATGATGAAAATAATTTAACGATAATTTTTTGACATTTTATTTTGATTAAAGTGAGGCGTGAAGGGGAAGACTGAAATTTGACGAAAAAATTCTTGGAAATCGATAAAGTTATTAATTGCAAAATGTTTTGGGAATAGAACAAAATTTGAGCTGGTTTCGAGTTTTAAAAAGTCAAAGAATTGAATGTTCGGCAACAACACTGACTTTAATTTCCCTTGGAAATGTCTGGTAGTCCTAAGTAAATGTTAATTCACGTCGTGTTTACACTCCGCTTTCTAGAGCAAATATTGCCCTAATGTCCTTAAATGGCAGTCAAGCTTGGTCGGGCGACAGATTTATCCTCATTTAGGCGCCTAAATGGCTTCATTATTTTCAATCAAGAGTGAATAAAACGGAAAGAGCGGAAATTTAAAGCCGAATCTCCATTTGACTTTAATTTTGATTTGTTTGCTTAAGTGAGTTGAAGTTTAGTTCAATTAAGTAAATTGAAAAGCGTCTTATTTGATTTATGGCAATTAAGTTGATTGATATCAAGATCGATTTTAAGTGAACTTAAAGTGTTAGACCAAACTTGTAATTTGTAAATAATTGAAGAAGAAAGTCAAAAGATTTCAACATACCAAAAACTTTTTTATATTTGCGCAATAAATACTTTTACTCTTAAATCTTCTTATCGTCCTAAAGAAATCTCCTCAATTTCGTTCTTTTTCCGTTGTACACTGCCTTAGGTCTTATCTTTGGCTATAATTTTTCTCAACGCCATCACCGGAGAATAATTGGAGATTGTGCAAATTTAGGATGCAATAAAGAAGATTCAAGATTCTCTCAACAGAATTTGCACAGTAAAAATAAAAAATTAGGGTTGCTCATTGCTGGTACCAGCATGCTGGTTTTTGCTGGTTTTTCCACCAAAAAACCGCATGCTGGTAATCCAAACCAGCAAAAAAACCAGCGTTTTTAGAAAAATGCTTTTTTCAACGATTTCTCAAACTAAAATTGATTGAAACATGAAAGTTCGATTTAAATTTCAAGAGCAAAAATTATAATTTGATTAAAATGATTAGGTAATTTGATTAAAAAATAGATAATTCACTCATTTGCTTACGAGATCTCCAAGGTATTTCGACTTTAATAATTTCATGATTAATATTTTTCTTATTATGTCTTGCAGAATATCATCGATTGTAAGCAGTGAAGCTATGTTCAACGAATGAAACTATCTTACACTTCTTACTATCGAGAATTTAATTTGTTGTTCCTTTGTCACCATTTAGACGTCAGTTAGGTATTTTGAAATCAACATGTTCTTGATCTAATTACTTAGTTGATTAATAGAAGATTCTCTCAATACATACATGAACATAATTAATGCTTCCATCTTTTCGCTGATATTTAACTTATCAAATGCTGCTTCTATTTTTAACGTTCTTGAAGTTTTGTAATTAAATATAATTTTACTAATAATCCACAATTAAATCATTTTTCAACAGATGTTGAACGTGTTTTCTCGTCGACTATTTTTTTAAGATTTAACGACAAGACTTTAAATTCTTTGATCTTCTTGAAATTTTTTTATATTAGAAAACAAAGAGCAAAATAACTTAAAATTAAGTGTGTTTATTAAAACCAGCAAACCAGCGCTGGTTTGCTGGTTTTCCGAAATTGTGACTGCTGGTTTGCTGGTTTTTATTTTCCGCTGGTTTTGAGCAACCCTAATTTATTGTTGGGGCCGACTTTTTTGATATTGATTTAATTCCGTTCATGCATATTTCCAGTCATATTTTCAATCTCATGTTGATATGCAAAGAAATTATATTCAACTTAACAACNACCAGCAAACCAGCGCTGGTTTGCTGGTTTTCCGAAATTGTGACTGCTGGTTTGCTGGTTTTTATTTTCCGCTGGTTTTGAGCAACCCTAATAAAAAATCATTGAAATTGTCGTAAAGTTTACTGCAGATTCTTAAATTGTCTTTTCATTTTTAAAAAAAAAATATATTCAAAGCACTTTCACTGAGTGTATTGTGTTTAAGAAGTTATCTTCAGTTGCAAAAGGCAGACGCTTCAAGTCGAATTTCTCTTAAAAATTGCTACTTCAATCATGAATAAGACGAAAAATTATCATTTCATGTCACTAAAGGAAAAATTGAGAAATCTTCAACTTTTTATTTTTAAAACTTTCTTCTTTTAGTCTTTTATTATTCTCATAAGCGAAAAAAAAGGAAAAGAAAAATGTCACAATGAAACGAAATTTTCCCGTAGGAAATCATCAGCAGAAAATCTCCCCTTTAAGTAGGAATCGAGAATTCAGCGAGGAGAGTTTTATCGCTGTGTCTACTCCCATCGGTACAATTTCTATCGTATAGCTATGTCAAACCATGAAACTTGCAAAAGAGAAAATTCAATGTCGAAAATATGAAAAACTTTTTTCTCTTTCTTATCTTTTCATCGTAAGAAAATTTTCTTTTTTTGTGTTTTTTTTTCGCAAACGACGACACAACAGGAAAAAAGTTCCGCACTTGAGTGTATGCGAAAAGCGTTTGAGGGTAGAAGAAAAGCGTTCTTAAGGAGGAAGACGATAAGAGATTGATTTTATTGTTATTATCGTCATCATTATCATTACTACAAGAACATGAGAGCGATGTGAAGCGCGCGAAAAGGAAGGAAAGAAAAGTTTTTCCTGGGGGAAGCGAGAAAATGATCTTGATTTTGCGTATGCTTTTCCTCGTTGAAAGTGTTTCCCTACAAGGCCTTAGAAGCTTTTCTTAGATCTTGTCTTGTCGATTGCGAAGACGAGAAGCGCTTTGTTGACAACGGAGAAGATTTCGAAGCACGATTTATTGACAAAGCATGAGGCGCTGCTGCTTACTTCACTTCACTTGACTCATCACAATCTCTCTTAGCTTTAATTTTGTTTTTATTTAATATTCTGCTTTCGACATAAGACTTGCTGTTTTCAATTTCCCATTCTCCTGATGCGATTTATGATTCTTGTGAGTTTTGTCGGGAAGAAAAGAGCGGCTGTGACTGAATACGTCAAGGGAAAGAAATCGCATTTTCACTTAAGCTAAACAATAGTCATAAACAAACTGTTTACCCTCAAACACACACACCCTGGAAGTGAATCCCTTTTTTGAGTGAAAATTTTCGCCCCCTGAGGGCCGCACAATCTCACATTATTTTCAATGACATTGCACAATTTTCAAACGCCCCGAAAACAAGAATGGAATCATAAAAATGTGTTTTAAGAAAAGAAAGTTTTTTTTCTTTGAAGCAATTTCCAAGGGGTGGTTTGGGATGGGAAAAATATTTTTCGTTGTGTCATAAAAATATTACATTAAGTGTTATAATGCTTCGTCTTCTCATCACACCAAATCTCTCGCCCACGGTTCATATTTTCGATGAACAAAAAAAAGAAAAGTTTGTGTGTCTCCTTCCTTAAGTTTATTTTCCACAGCACTTTTCACATCCGCTCATGGTGAGTTGTTGGTTGGTAATCCAAAAGACGAACGGAGAAGTGCTGAAGACGCTTCTTAATGGAATAAATGACTAAGAAAAGAAAAATATTTTTCATCCCGCGGGCAGAGCACTTTACACTTCGTCTCTTCATCTCCTTCCGTTGTAATTTTCTTCGCCGTCGTCGTCGTCGTCGTCTTATTCTTTGTCAAATGCTAAAACCAAATGGAATTGAAAATTTTCGGTGATTCTCTTTTGCCGTTAGGTAGAATGAATTAATTTTTTATTTCTTTGCGGTGGAAAACGTTTGCTAGAACCGCTGCAGATGCAAATTAAGTTGAATTGCATAATCAAAAAACGCTCACAATTCGCATTATCCAATTCGAGTTTACAAGCACCTTGAGGCAGTATTCATGCATTTTTTATACATTTCCTTGTTATGTTAAGCAAGGCGAGAAAAACTGCCGGCAAATACTTTGAATGCATTCAGAAATGAAATAAAAAATTGCTGTAACTAACGAGTTTGCTTCAAGTTGCTTATTTAAAGTGTGAAGGTAAATTACCTAAATTTAAATTCGCAATGACATTAAATGTTTAATCATGGTATTTCTTGGTTAGCGCTCGCATTTCTCAAGACATTTAAAACGAGGTGAGAACGCAAAGCCAAAAAGGAGAACGAGGAGAATCTCTGATTATCATTTCACAAAAACCAATTGAAAACGAGCACGAAAAAAAAATTAGCCGACAACCGTCTGTATAAACGCGATTTGGATTTGTAACATGAAATTCATTTTTTCTTGCTTTTCATTTTATTTTCGTGTAATTTTTTGCTTTATTTTTTGGTCAAGCAAAGAGGGGAGGAAATGTGTGCATCTTCAAGCACCGACAGATACATTTAATTTGCAAATTGCAATGTAATGAAATGTAATAAAGACAAAGGCGAGAACATTTTCACTCGTAATTTTTATTTTATTTATTATAAGAAATGAAAGAAATCAACGCAATAAAACGCATTTAAATTTAAGCTTGGGAAATAAATAACATGAGTAAGAAATGATATAACTTATGACGACTTTAATAACCACAATCGCAAACCAATTTCGATTATAAAGTTTTTCGAACCTTCGGCAATACATCATGACAACAAGAGAAGAATAGATTGAAACAACACAAAAGCTGATGCCAACAATAGTTCTTTTATATTATAATTTAGAAACGAATGAGCTTAATCGCAGTGAGAAATAATAATAATAATAAAGAAAAAAAGTGCGCAAAAGATTATGATTGAAGGCAATAGGCATCAAAAAGCGCTTCTCTCGTTCGTTCTCAAGCAATGATTGAAACTTATATGAAATATGAAGACTCATTTTTTTAACTTCTCGTGTATCTGACCTATTAGGCCAATTGTTTCCGTCGATCTTTCTTTCGCAATAGACTTACGAGTGGTTGCTTGCTTGATTCATTGAATGGTCTAATAATAAAGCGAATGAAGCGAACAAAAATTGTTAAAAGAAATGAGAAAACTGATTATTTTTGATAGAAGTGATCGGCCCATAGCGGCTCCATAAATTAACACCATAACTGACTATGTGTGGATTCAGCGTTTGGTTTTTATTCTTTTGCTTCTTTTTATCGCTTGTTCCATAAACCGTAAAACATCAAGCTATACAAGAGACTCTTTGTGTAACACTTACTGGCGATTTTTTCAACGGTCGTTCTTTAGATCAGATGGTGGTTTTCGATTGTGTTGAAAATCGAATGAATGGCAAACTCGATTCGGAGTAGTTTTACTTTTTTTATTTAAGGCAACACAATGTTTGGAGTAGCCTTCGACTTGTATTATTTTCAATCGATAATAATGCGGTTGGAAACTTTTATGTTGTGTGCATTAATTTTTCCTTTGCATGAAAATTGCTGTTAATTTTTCACTCAGTTTTCTTTCATTACACAATTTTACGATCTGGTCTGCTTCTCTCATTCTCTCCGACCCCTTCTCGACTGAAGTCTGAAGAGGTTGATTAGTTGGCCTCAGCAATTTCACCTCAATGAATCGCCTTTGAAGCATCAAACATCTCTTTCCTTAGTTTCTCATAGCTTCGTTTCCATTTCATGCCTTTAAGGCATCAACCAAAGCTATTTATCCGCAAGTAGAAGAATGAAGAAAAATTCTTCAATAATATTTTTATTTTTTTTCTCTCTTTTCTTTTGTTACAGTCGAAATGAAAAAGAGACCATCAACAAATATAAAGATATTTATTGTAAAAATCATGAATTTTTTTATTATTATTATTTCTTCTCTTCGTAGTTACAACAATGAAGAAAAAAGCTCATAAATCAATCATAATTCACATTTTTTTCCATCTCCACGGATATTTCACGCCGCTAAAACGCCGAGATAAAAAAAAAGCAATGAGGAAAAAAGAAGGAGAAAGAGAAAACAAATCTTTAAAGCGATCATGAAATGTTGATGCGGTGAAGAAGATGGAGAAAAAAATGTGAATGTCATTTACTCATTTCAAACGCATTAAGACATGACATTTATTATTTTTATTCATTTTCATGAATTACAAGAAATGAGGAAAACAAAAAAAAGTGCCTTCATGATGACGAGTTTACGCAATTGAGTGTTGTAAGAAAATATCAAACTCAATCGTTTGGAAATCCACTCGCTTACTCGCTCCAAATATGATTCAATCGAATGATGAAGATTTCGTGTCATAAGGAAATATTCTTCTTTTTTCTTTCTTTTAATATGCTTGCCTTATTGGTGTGAACAAAAACATTGCTCGAGGGACCATCAAGCTTTTTCTCTTTCCTTTTCGCACAAAACTGCAGAGACGTAGATAGAGGAAAGAAGACAAGAGATTTGAAGAAATTCACGATTTGGTGTAAAGAAGAGAACAAGAAAAGAACCGCAATTGAGGAAAAAGGTGCAAAATGCGAGACGAAAAAGAAAAGAAACAGCTCGGGTAATTTATAAGAAGTGTTATCAATTCTCGTTTCAATCCATCGTTAGTTTCTTTCATGCTTCTCATCTTTTAAAAGAGTAGAGAAACCACTTGCAAAATGAAAAGGTAAATGCAAAGAAAATTATTGCAAAATGGAAGAGAACAATAAGATGGATTAATGTTCCACTGGACATGTTTATCTTTAATACTTAACCACATGTTGAACATAAGTTAACAAATGAAATTGTCTGGTCACCCTCAAACACATCGCAAAGAAGCGTCGAAAAACATCTCAGGCGTCAATTCTATTAGAAGACTTTAACTCCGTTTAATGAAAACAAAATTTTCGATTTTTTAATCCTTTCCTTACAAGCATCAAAATAAAGTTTGCTTCATTCTTCTTCTTTATTCTTTATTTCACTCTTTTGTTACAACTATCGCATTAAACACATAATTTATCATCATCAACAACCTTATTTGTGAAGTTTTCTCGTTTTGCTTCGCTTTATTTTGGTTCTTGATGTTTTCGTGTTTTTATTCTTGTTTGTCGATTTTTGAATTCGATTTTTTTTTGAATTTTTATTTATCGTGCGGTTAAAAGGCATTGAGAATGGAATCAAGCGGAAAAGGCAGCGAGTAGTTGTTCATGATGGAAAGAAATATGTGCATGTGAATAAGATTGTGTAACGCTTTAAGTTAGTAATGGAGGATTTCTTACAGAGTTCATCAACTTTCCAACCCCTTCATATTCGGTCAAGTTTTGTTGAGATGTGTGATCGCTTTTTTCAACAACATCTTTGTTTGTTTGTGATTCTCTAAACTTTTTTCTGTTCTGTTTCTCATAAAATATCATAGAAAAGAATCATCATAAATTGTGATGTTTATCATCCATGTTGTGATTGATATCTGAACACATTTCAAGTAACACATGTTTCTTCCGTCACACTAAAAAATTGATCTCTCGAAGAAACATTTCTCTTTACTTTGTTTAATGATCAAATGAAAAATTGGTTTTCAAAACAACAATCAAATTTCATTCATTGCGCGGCGAGTCGTGTGTGAGACTCAAGAATCGAGAAGAAACTCGTGTAACATGACAACGAGAACAACAAGAAAGAGAAGGAGAAGAAGGAGAAGAATAAAAATTAATTATTTTGAATTCTTGTTTTGACAGAGAAAATTTTCATTTCTTTTGTTTTTGTGCTTTGTGTCGTTTTGTTTACGTTCATTTAATGATGTAATTTTCCATTTCTTTCCATGCTAATGCTTTATTTATCTTTAATAAGTTTAATTATATGAGTAATATTAAATTTAAAAGATATAATTTGTAGTATAATTAATATCTTCACTCCATCCAATGTTTAATTCATTTCTTTATTTATTTCTTTTATATTTTTTCAACATTTATTTCAGAAATTCTTTTTAGAAAGGCGAGTAATTTAAAGAATAAATAATTAACATTTCAATTTACACATTTCTTTTGCGCCCGGATGATTTCAAATTTACGAATAAGAAACACTTTACCTCTGTCGTGCGGTGGCATAAAAGTTCTCAAATTTCAAACGAAAATTTTTCTCCTTTTTGGAAAATGAAAAACGCGTTTCATGATTATGGGATTGTTTATGTGTGAAAAAATTACGAGTTGAGTATCAGGTTGAGAGAATCCAATTAATTGAAGGAATATTGCTGTGAGGCGCACGCCGTGAAGGTGATTAAGGCGATGAAAACATTGAAAGCGAATGAATAAATGAATACAACTAAGTTAGAGTTATTTTAAAGAGTGTTCAACTTGAAACGATCGTTCGAAGCATTAAAAAATTAAATGAAGAAATAAAAAATCTATGAAATTTGAGTGCATCACTCAGCGTTTGCTTAGCTGTCGTTTATTTTCCATTTTAATTAGTTTATTTTGTTCTTTATTTACACACTATTTGTTCGAGAGCTGATACAACAAGCGATTAGAAAAGAAGCTTGGGCTCCGAACTGCTCGTTATTATTTCGTTCTACTTCTTAGCATGTATTTGTTAAAAGAATTCTTTTTTTCTCTTATTTATTCAAAAATAAATGAATGTAATATTTTTTCTCTTATTTCCCTTTGTGTCCATCTGGCTATTCAACAAACGAACAATCGTTCTTCAAGCGACCGTTTTGTGTGTGTATGCGAGTGTGACTGTTGACTTTTTATTAAGATTCTGCTCTTTTTTATGTTCCCTCAACTCTTTTTTATCTTTTCGAAAAAAAAATGTGTGAATAAAAATATCATAAATATTTTAATCAATAGTCGGATCGGAGAAGGTTGGGTTGGGCATAGCGCGGATTAAGGCAATTGTTGTGGAATGTTATTAATTCTGCTGTGAGACTCATGCGCTGGGAAATCTGATGAAGAAGCAAACGAATCATTTTTTAGCAAGCTTTTTCTAGCGAAAGGCCATAAAACGAATCGAGAAAAATTCCTCATTCAATGTGCAATAAAAATCGAACCAATTTCTAAGCCAAAATAAAAAAGAATTTTACCGTAATTTTTTTCACGACTCTTTTTCTTTATGTTGTCTTTTGGTACCATTCGATTCGTTTCTTCTCCTCAGCCCACGATCCCGAGACTCAACAAAGAAAAAATTCTCTGAGGCTCCGGAAAAGAAAAAGTTTTTCCCCCGCTTAATACGAACTATAAAAATGTAAATTCACTCTATCAATGTCAATTTAGCTCAAGACCTGATTTCTTTCGTCTTTCTTTCTCTCTTCTCTTCTTTTCTTTCCTGGGTGCTATAAAATTGATAGTCAAAATTGTGAGACATGGAATAATAATATCAAAAGACTAATAAAAAGGAAGACGCAAGAAGAAGAAATGAATCTGAAGAGAAATAAACTTTCCATCGCACCAAAAAACGACTTTATTATAAAGTTATAAAAATATCACCTTTTATTTCATTTTATGATATTTTCTTGTCGTCTTTGTCTATTGGAAATATCTTGAAAAGAGTTAAGTCAAGTCGCTTCTGCTTCATGCTATCTTTCTTTCATTCGACACATACTCGAACCGGCTCCAATTGAAATAAAATTTTATTAGTTTTCGTTTTTCTTCACATCGCTTTTAATGTTTTTATGGAAAAATATTTATATATCTGTGAATGATGATAAAGATGAAAATGACCATATAAAGTTTGAGAGCTGATCGACCAGATTGCTCAAATGTGTTAAGATGTGTTGAAATTATTCATACACAGCCCGAGGTGTCAACAAGGGAATGAAACAATTGGAAAGGAGTATGGAGATTTCCGGAATGTTTTTCAACACCTTATGGACGTTATGGGACTATAAATATTTAATAAAATAAAAGTTTCGATCTCGATAAGGCATTCCAATTCAGAAAATATTGAATTGCTGAACAGTTTTCTTTTTCTGTTTCGCTTTAATGAAAACGTGTCGCTAAGTATCAAAAATTATTGAAACAAAAACAAAACGAAATTCTCAAGCTCATTGAAACTATGTTGATTGAGTTGATTCTCGTTGATTGAGCGAGAAGCTAGAAAATTTTACTCCCCGACAAAATTGAATTCGTCACACTTTTTATTCGGCTGCCTCGTTACTCTCGTTAAATTCATGTTCATTTCGTTTTTTTATTTTTGTTTCGCTTCATTCTTTCTTACGAAACTTAACAAGAGAATAAACATTGAAAAGAATTAAAGCAGAAAAGAAATGTTTCAGGAAAAGAAAAGTAAAGAGCCACAACCAGCAAAAACAGAGAGAGATAAGAAGAACTGGTTGTAAATATTGCGAACGAGACCTCAAAAAGGGCAACAAAGCGAAGAAGGAGAAGAAACGGTCACGAAAACCAGAATCAGATTGAGGCGCAATGTGCATCAGAATTGGAATTCTGCAGTTCTTTTTATTTTCTTAACTTCAATGCAGTATTTCGTTTCTCATGGAAGCTAACAACAGACGGTCAAATCAAGAATGAAAAGAAGGAATAAAATAAATGAAAGAGTGGCATGACACGCATTTAGAAAGGTTTTAGCAAGATGATGATTGAATTCCTTAGATTCATTTCTTTTATAGTTTAAAAATTCTCTTTCAAAGAAAAGTTGCAGTGAAAGAAAAATCCAATGACAAAACTAAATCTCATAACGAAGCATAATCTCTTAAACGTTGAGAAAGTCATGTTATGGAACCAAAGTTCTTCAAACGTAAACATTGATATGAGTATGAAGTCAACGAGAAAAGTTTCTTCAGCAAAAATTTTTTTTGTGAATCTCGGAAACCTCAAAGAATTTAATTTTTTATCGCTCAAACTTTTACTTCTGCTCGAGAGAACAGTAAGCTACTCTTAGATGTTTAACTTTGAGTTCAGCTGCAATGTAAAACCTTTTAGAAAATTGAATTTCGGTTAAATTGAAAAAGTCTTCAACCAGAACCTCAGCAATTAATTTCATGAAAATCTAATTTTCAATTTTTATTTTCCATTTGTGTCAGAAGATCGATTTGAGAAATTTTCGTTTAACACACCGCACCATGTGTCCGCAACACTCTTTCCCTTCTTTTTATAAATGTGTCTTATATATATTTCTTATGGCCTTTCTTTTGAGACAAAACCATAGGAAAAAAGAACGAAAAGGAAAAAGTCTCATAAATTTCACAAACAGAATTCCATTAGACACCCCCGCAACGAATGGAGAGGGAAATGTGTTCTTTTTTCTTCATCATAATTTTCTTTTTTCGTTTTCGACTTTTATCCTTCAAAGGTCTTATGTAATCTGATCCGAAATGATCTCTTTCTTTAGATTTGTGCTCGTTTGGTGTCAGTTTTAGCTCCTCGGCTTTAAAGAATGTGTCAGAAAATTGGCCGACGAGGCGGAGGTTTCCTCAAGAGATTTTTTCTTTTATGATATTCGAATGAAAATCAAATTGGACTTCGAGTTCAAAATATGCGAACCGGAAAAAATTGGCCTCAGAATTCAATTTAATCATCACCACGATGCTGGCACAAGCAGCGGTTAAACTTTGAAAATATTGAATATAATTTCCAGCAGGATGTCAAAAAGCCTTGAAAGAAAAAGGATTTTCTTGAATAATCTTGAAGTTTTCTGCTTAACGTTTTCATCACAAGATAACTTTGGAAATCTTCCCGAACCTTTTCTATCCAAATATTTAGTCGACGAGAAAAGGTCAACACAATGTGATAAAGGAGCGCTTCGATAAGAAGATGAAATCATAAACATCCGTGTTTGAAAGATGGGCATATTTTCATTTAATCTCAATATTCTATGTTGATATTTCAAGAGAATTTTCGGGGTGGGTCGCAGAGGGATAGAATTGCTTGCCATCAGCGACATTCTTACATAGCAACTTAAAGAAAGCTCCCGAAAGGAAAATTTGATATCAAACGCCATACCCAACGGAGGTGAAAAAAAAGGACTGTTCGGCATCAATAAACCCCATGCTGTGAATTGTGAAGAAAGAGAAAATGTAGACAAACACCGCTTTTTTGAAGTCACGAATTTTCAATTTTCCATATAACTTCCGAGATGATCCTTTACTCGTTTATTCTTCATATTTATTTTTGTTTATTCTTCGTTCGATTTCGGCCCCTAAATGACGCAATGTCGCTTTATAGTCGGGTGACTTTGCTGTTGCTTTTATGTTTGCTTATTTACTTTTTTTTTCTTTCTTCTCAATTTCATGACTTTGATGCTAAGAAATGAAATGGAAGTTTACTCTTGAAAGTTTATATTTTATTGAAAAGAATTTTCCTTCGCTAGTTGTCAATTTTCAATCGGAAAACGTAAAAAAGAAAACATTTTTGTTAAAAAAGTTTTCGAAACAGCCTCATAATTTATCGAAAAAAATTCATTACAATGGCTGGACATAAAGAAGAGTAATGACGAACGTTGTCACCCTTGTCACCCTAACTGGCCTAAAATTTCTACCTTTGATACACATAAAAGGAATCGAGAGAAAAGAAGCTTTCAATGAAAAGCATTTGAAGATATTTATGGGTCTTTTCTTCGTCCTTCTAAACCGGAAAATTATATAATTTCCCTCTCCTTTCTTCAATTCGTTTCGTCTTACACACAACACAGTCCAATTCAATCGACTTCCCCATACTCTCAAATTTTCGTTTCAATTTTACCAATTTTCTGATATTAAATATTTTATTACCTTATTCCTCCCTCTACTTGTCAGTGAAGAAGAACGATGTGGTGGATGACGCATGTGGCGGCCATAATCACATTGGAAAAATGGTTTTTAATATTGCGGGTGGAATTGAGGGAGACGCTTTGAAGAATGACGAGAAGAAAAAAAAACACAAAACTTTCTCATAATGGACGGAATTTTCCGTTAATAATTTACGAAACCGCAATATAGAAGATTTAACGTGTAGGGGGCGAGTGAATGTTCTTAAGCGAAAGGTATGACGATGATAAACAAGAAACGAGGGCGATTACATCAATAATGTCAATTTATAAATTTTCAATAAGAGAAGTTCTACAAAAAATTTTTCGAAAACTTTTGATTCCTTCATTTGATGTACAATTTTATTTTTTCATGAGTCATTTGATTATTGTAAGTCATTACTTTATGAATAATGCTTCCGAACTTTTAAATGTTAGCTATCCGCCACTGCAGATTAAAGTCTTTTCTTGTCTAATATTGCAAACGGGAGAACCTTTAGAAGATTATATTTATTCAATCTATTGTGGATTGAAAAACACATAAGAGAAAAGACGAAGCTTAAAGCCATAAGCAGAATGTAAAAATAATAAATCCGATATTGATCTCTATTCTGCTGCCTCCTGCTTTCATTCACCGAAAAAGAACCTTCGTACTAGTCGGCTTTATTCATTACTTTCCACTCTGATCCGTTTTTGTACGTAGACGTTGGACAAAAAAAATTGAAAAAATGAAAAGAAAAAAAGGGCTTTGACTTCCTCGACCAACAATACGAGGTCAGAAACATGAGACTACTTTGTATGCATGCGTGAGTGAGTGTGGTTGTTGGTAGATGAAGATCATTATCAAAAAATATGCCCCAAAATGGAACCCGACCCGAAAACAAGCAACAGAGAGTGAGAGAACATATCATTTAAAACTGTTTGGAAATTATCTTTTGTTTAGACTGCACACAAAAGACTCCCTCACACACTCAGACGGTATTTACATGGAAAATTTTGTGGCTTTTTGATAATTCATGATATAATCCCGCTGCTGTATGTTTATATGTTTAATACCTCCGCATGGCATGGTGTCGATGGGATCATTAGAAACTTTCAACACCAACTTCTGAGGTTGATGGTTTTAATTGCGCTCCCTCCCAAAGACCAAACTCCTTCATCTTTACTCTTCCAACAAAGATGCCAACATAAATTTCTTAACGTTTATATTTTTGCGTAATCAATAGCAAATGCGTGCCTTTCCCATCAAACCCTTCACAAACTTGAAGAAGCGCTTTTTGCAGGTCTCATTACTGACTTAATTAGCATCACGAGATATACCAACAGAGAAAGATTGCCGGTTGTCATGAGCTCCTGAAATATTTTCTTATAAATTATAAGACGTTTGGGTAAATTTGGCCCACTTCCTTCTTGTTCAACCCAGCCTTACCCACAATTAAAAGAACGTAGAATATATTTTGTGAATTATGAATTAATGAACTTAATTATCATTTTTTTTTGTGATTTCTGTAAAAGGATGAGTTAGGGATTACATTTTTTGCTGATGGGTTTTTCAAGTAGATACTTACGTACACAAAAAAAAATTGATGATGAATTTCAAACCGTCAAACGCATACACTTAAGTAAAACATTCCGACCCTGGTCGTTTACATTACTTCCATGGTATGAGGAATTAATTAAAATGATGTTTTCATTAAGGGGCGCGTTTCATTCTTATTTCGCTTTTGCTTTGGCTGTTTAATTTGCCTTTTGCCATGTTTGTTATTGCCCCGTGCAACCCCATAATATAATTCGCAAAGAACACACACACACATATCATTCTTGCACAATCACACACATTCTTATGCATATGGAGTTTTTTCTGTAGTTTTTTTTACATTTCTATGGGTTTAATTTGCGTCCCAAACCATTTTTCTCCACTACTCGCTTACGATTGGAAACACCCACTTGCAGCGTTAAAATAGAAGAGAGCTTCACACAGTAAAGAGCAATGTGATGAGTGGTGGCAGAAAATAAATTCTGCATCAAATTGAAAAGTTAATTTCGCTAGGATTCTCAGCTATGCAAATGGGATGGTTAAAAAAAGACGAAGAGAAGAAGGAAAAAAAAGCATTTAGCAAGGGTAAAAGGCGAATGGAGATGTTTTCCCGGAGATCTTAATTGATGCAAAATTTAATTACAACATTTTATAGTCTCAGAGATAGTCAAATTAGAAATGGTTGGCTGAATGAAATCACGATAAAATGTCGCCCATTCCAGTGATTGTTGGATGCTATGCATACGACATCATCAACAAAAATAAATATCATGACTACCATCATTTGTCAAGAAATGACTTTAAATGACTTTGTCGCTTAGTAATGGCTGCAACTCGGAGAGTCGTTTTCCTTTTTCCCAAACTCTCTCCTCGCAAGCAACCCAAGCGGGCCCGATGAACAAGTCGTAAAACAAATAAAATTACTCACAGTGGATTTGTCGTATTCCAGTGCAGCACATAGGATTTGGCATTGGCACAATGTGACACATTTGTAAATAATAATAATTCAATAGCGACTATAAAAGCGACCATTAATAACGGCACTCGACACTGATGACATTTGTATGATGATCCATATGTTTTCGATTTCATTTTAGATCGCGTTTGATGATTGGGCTGATTGTTGTGATTTATTTTATCCATTGTGTGGGTGGTCGCTGACTGGCAATTATATTGCGCAATAGATTTTCTCATTTCTAATTATTTTAGATCTATTTTTTTCTTATTTTTATCCACTTCGATTCGATTCTTTATATTTTTCTGAAACTTTTTTAAGCACTCAACGCATTTTTTTTATCTAAAATTTGAGAATGATGCGGGTTCAATTTTTTTTATTTATTAACACTAAACACATATGAACAACTCGAATCAGCTAGCTCAGAGATAAAGAAATTTGATTCAATTATAATCAAGAGCACATAAAAATAATTAGATTCAATTAAGAATGTGTTAATTCACTTTTTTTTTATTCAGATAATTCTTTCCTGCTTAAATGCGGCGGGTTTTCAATTACTTTTTTATTATCTGCTTAAATCATGCAAAATCTAGCAGAACAGAACTTGAGTCATTTATAGCAAAACGATGGAATTAACTTCTCAATTAATTTACACAGTCAAATCAGAATAAATTAACACAAGCAATGTTGTAGAAATGTTTAACGAGTTATCAATCGAAGTTGAGAAACTAATTTGGATTCACAATTGAGTCGTTATTACTCAATTTCTTTCTTCTCGATTGGCTTTGATAGAAGTTTTGTGTTCGATATCATATGTAGCCAATAATATCTTTTATTAATTGTTCAATTCTCTTTATCCTTCGCTATTAATATCACTTAATTTATTTTTTTCTGGTCTTCTTTGAGTATGTGATTTCCGGAATGGTCTAGCTAGTAGTTAAGCATTACGATCAGGCTACCGACACATGCAAGCAAGCAGTCGTTGAATGGCGAACGGGGATAAGCTCTAATTTATGAATTAGAGAAAGAACATAGAATTAATTTGTTTTTCTCAGTCTTTTCCCTCGAACTTCTATCTTCTCTTTAATTGATTGCTACTTTCTGCAGGCCTCTATCGATTTTTCTATGTTTTTTATGCGATAAGTTTTTGTAGTAAATAAATGACAATCTACAATCTTTCTTTTTAGTTTGTAATTCAAAAATCTGTTGAAGAATAAAAATTTCCTTGACAATTAAAATAACACAAATAGTTGGAATTTGACAGCGTTTATCCGTCGCTGCTGTGTTTTATCGCTGATTGCATTTAACAATTAACAACATTCTCATTTCTAGCAATTTTTTCCCTTCTTTTACAACCTTTACGTCTTTTAGTTAACGTTATTTGTTGGATTTGTAAGACTTTTCTGGGATATTATGTATTATTAAATTGTCGTTTTTCTTTCTTTCTTTAATAAAGTTTAATTCACTGTTGCACTGTCACGCAATCGGGAGAAGCCTTAGATTACGCTCTTAGACGTACACTTTCAAACAAAAACTTCTAATTCCAAGGGATTCTATTTTGTTTTCTTTTCCATGTAATTTATGAGTTGTTATACCATACTTTCGTCTCGTTTTGATTACAACTGAAACCTCTGGTTTGTTGTCGTCATAAATAAAACACTTTTTCCCCCCGTGGCAAATTCAATGAGTATCCCTTTCCTCTATTTTCTTTCACTACCGCCGGGGTTATCGTTGCATATGTTTAATTTGTTACACAATATGCCTCTTGTACACATTTAATTACAAAGATATACGATAGAAAAGTCACTTCCGTGACTTTAAACGTTTGTTTTTATCGGGATGATGTTGTTTTTAATATTTCAATTTTTCATTGTGTTTTTGTTCGTTTTTTTAATTGAAATAATCCACTACTTAAGATATGGACTTGCAAAATATAAAATCTGTAGTTGTTTTTTCACTGTTAAAATGAAGATTCCCGAAGAAAAAAATATTGTATACAGTTCCCGTGTTGTTAGTTGCAGACAATTCTGAAGACTGAATAAAATATTTGAAGCGTTCAAAGAAATTCAACTTTTTCCAACATTTTAAATAAAGAGAGCGTTGAGAGAGGGAAAGAGAAAAAAATTCTTCTCACTTCCAATGATTTCGTTCCAGGCTGCATAAATGCAAAGATTTGAATGTGTGAGTGTAAGAGGCTATCACAGCTCGCATAGAACATTCAAAATACTTATCTAGCTTTGAATATGAAAATGAAATTGGAATTAATTATAAGATGATTTACGAAGGGAAACGAGCGGCTTATTTTAATTTTCTTCAACATAAATGATAAGAGAATTCAATTTATAGTCACTTTTTGATACATGTGATTGTTCTTTCTCATCAGTTTTATGTCATCTTGAGTGAACTTTCTTTTCAAGTGCATTTTTTATTTATTAACGGAAATGCAGCTCTACGGAAAATGTTCTCTTGAAAAAGCCGACGATGTAATTACCAAGATATTTATTATCTCTGAATGTAGTTTGAAAAATATAAATTTCTACCTTTTTCATGTGACTGTCTCGTTGGCTGGTTAAACGATGTTGTTGTTTCAAGCTTACTTCGACGTCTCTTGGGTTTCTGACGATGTGATTGAAATAAATTAATTGAATTGTAGATTTTACTGTGTTGTTTTTGTCACATTTTCAGATGAGAAAACTTTGTTCGTTCTCTACGCTTATCGTAAATTAATTCAAATTTTATCACGTCACTGTAACACAAACTTCTCATGAGCGCAGCACAAAAAAAAAGCCACAAAATAAACAAATTAAAATGTTGTTAATGAGATTTTTGGTTTCAGAGTTTTTCCATTTTCCGCATAAGTTTCATGGTACAACTCAATTGTTATGAAATTAAAGGAAAAAGTTTAGCCATCGATTCGTACTCATTTCCTTATCTTTATAGGATCAACAAGCATTTGTTACCATTTTAGTGTATTGAAATAGTTGAACGCGATGTGAATACATAAAATGAAAGGAAATATCGGCAACTATCTTCTCTCGATTTGGATAAATATTTATATAGTGATCATGATCGAGGAGTGATTTAAGTACATTTTATGTTAAACAAAAATTTAAACTTTAAAATTTCAATTTACATTTAGAAATGTTATATTTCCACAGCTTTATTTGGGTTACGAAATGCACTTCAGTTCAAAAGTGAAACTAGCTTTTGTGAACCAATGTGGTTTAATATGTTCTGGAAATTTTCAGAGAAGCTATTTATAATTTACTGAATTCCAGCTTTTGAATCATTTTTGTCCTGAAGTTGTCCTAAACTCTGGAAAATTCAATATTCAATGTTTTTTACTTCATATTTCTGAAATATCAACCATACCATCAATAAAAATATTTGCTACAACAGAATGTACAAAATACCGAACATAAAAAGAAATAGATTTGAAGAACTTTATTTCAAAAACCAAATTATTTCTCGTTTGTAAAATTACATATATGGCTAATAAAATTTTAAATAAAATTTGAAACGTTTCCATGATAGCAGTATTAAAACATTAATATAGAGAACTTTCCGAAAGAGAAACTTTTAATTATCACGTTGCAAACTCTCCAACTCTGAAAGATTTTTATCATCTCCTTAAGTGGATTATAAAGAAATTATAAATGTATGAACAAGAAATGTTTTTTGACTTAAGCAAAGATGGAATGAATGAGAAGAGAGAGAATAATATTTTCATTCTTGAACTAGTTTCCAGCTCAAATTCGAACGATAAAGTTTCGTTTTTGTTTCCCCGAACTCCAAATGTAAACGACTGCCGAGTTCATGTTTGTTCTAGGAAGCGGCCTTAAATTGGACTCATAAGAAACCCTGAAGAAAGAAAACAAAACAGATAAAAACTATTTCAATTGCAGTAAACTATTATTATTGCTTTTTTATTGCAGTATGATTCATAATAAATGAAATAATAATAACACGCTCGCTTCGTTTTCGAGACACAATGTTTCTCGGGCAAAAGATTAAAAGTAAGTCTGACTCGAACGAGAGAAGGAGGAAAATTGAGAAGTGCTTCTCGAGTCTTTTTCACGTCACGACAATAAATTTTATTCGAAATAAAACGAAATCGGGTTTTGTTGCGCGAGCTTGTTCAATGATTAGTAATTCAATTACAATTCTTTCTCGATGTGAAATGTAATGTCTCAAGATTTTTATTAATGTATTAAGTACATGTGCGAAGGAATTGATTTTAGTGCCATTAGCGACTTACGTAAGCCTCTCGTGTAGTCAATTGAATGGATTTATTAATAAAGTTCTTAACAATTCAAAATGAGAGAAAGGAAAGGCATAAGTGGTTTAAATGATTTAAGATATCATTCATTCATTCATCGATTAATATTCACTCATAAGTTTCCAGAAACAATAACTAAATTGCACTGCTTAAGTGTATGACTAATCTTTTCTCCATAACATGTTTTCTCAATGGTCCGAGGAAAAGAAAATAAAAAGGCAATTGAATAGGTCCATGCATATCAACATGAATGCAGCTGCAGAATTCCATTGTGTTTTGTAATTATTACAATATCAACTCGAAGTTGTACATGTGGTCATGAACTGGAAAATTGCTCGCTATACTAATTGTTATCGATTGCAGAACCTGCTAACTTTATCATAAAATGCATTAGCTTTATTAATATGTTTTGATTTGAATCTCAGTAAAATCTCAAACAGTTAGAAATGAAAATGTTGAAGCTTTAATATTTTTTTTCAAAAAGATTTTCACGCATCATTCATCCACTTCTAACACTTCATTTTTAATTATCGCAAAAAAGTGAGAATAATCTTTTGAACATCGTGATTCCATCCAGCCGCGTTCTTTCACAACAAAGCAGTTGCACAGTGCACTTTTGTAGGGAAATGACAGCCGTTGAAAATGTGTGATGACAAAAAGCAGCACGCTAATGAGGGTAAAGCATAAAAGTTGATGGGAGGAAAACTCTTTTACATAAAAACTGAATGCACATAAGTGCATAGAGAAATGCAATATCTGCTTGCAAAAATGCACTTTTCATAATTATTTTCTTCCCTGAGTTCGTTCAGTGGGTTGGTAGGGCTTCTGTCTGAAACACCAACGCATAAAATATTCCTATTCGTCTTTTCCTTTGTGCTTTTTAACATGTGGAGAAGAAGGAGAAGGGATTTGTACTTTAATGACATAAAATCATGAAATATATTCTTGAACAAAGTGTTGTACATTAAATTTTGATCGATGGCTTTTAATATGACATTACCTTTATCTATGCCACATCATTCGTATGAAGATGTTGTGAGAAGTTATTTACATTTGATTTATTTTCAACCTTTTTTGCAATGACAATGAAATGTGTGAAAATTCGAGAAGACATAGAATTAGGAAATGCATATGTAAATTAATTAAGGTGCGTTGTGACATTCGAATACCGAATACTTAGAAGATTATTCGGAACATAATCTGAATTCATTGGAATTCATTTATATTCAAACATAAGCTTTTGAAAAGCGATCAAAGTTAACCATTTTCAAGTTTAAAGCATTTCGTAAAGTTCCCTCGAATAGCTTGAAGAAGTAAAGAAAATAGTTGGAAATATTATGAATTTTGATTGCTTTCTTTTATATTGAAGATGACTTCATTACTCTGCATGGTAAACTTTTCAACCATTTTCTATCTAAGTTAGTCGAGCTTCTCAACACTATTCCTGTACGTTTATAAATTTTTTATCGTGAAATTGAGAAAATTTTATACCAGAACAGCTTTGACTGTTCGTTCCTGGATCGAAGAGAATGGAAAAAAACTTTGAAATATTTGATTCTTCTCTTATAATGCCCCAGTTCTAGGAATTATGAAGATAAAGTGCTTTTGTTTCCTGCAGTATTATGAATCATATGAAATTTATATTTTATGTTTTAACATTCCTTTTTCCTTGCATTTATTTTATTTAATAAGAAGTACCAGGATAAGAAAACAAATAAAACCGCTGTCATCACCCCTTATTAACACTCGTTTGAAGAATGAAGAATGCTTACAAATGCATATTAAAAATCACGACCCATTGTGCACTGCAGCTGAGAAATGAGGGCTGGTATGCTACAAGGTTCAATGTCCTTAACATTGCACAACGTTTGAAGAAGAAGAAAAAAAACTGCACAAAAATGAGTAAAAAAACCACGAGGAAAAATGCATCAAATTTCCGGGCGCTCATATTTCAGATGATGGAGTAAAACGGTAGCCAAAGTAATTGCAATTTGCAAACAAAAATTCTTTTCAATGGCTTCTCCAAAAATGAACCAGAGGTCAACGTTTTGATACGCTGCATAACATTTTATTCCGAAAAAAAAAAAACTTGTAAGGAAACAAATCAAACATGGCTTTCATCACCCTTTTTAAAACATTGCATGTTATCCGCCATTTTCCAAATGGGGGCAGAAATTATGCTTGAGAGTTTCCCTCATGCACGCATCAATTTCTGCATAAGCAATAAAAAATACTGCAATTTAAATAATTCATCTTTTGATCGCCATTTTTTCCTCGTTATTAAATTTTAAACAAAAAATAATTTCACTGTTTATGTTGTCCATTAACAATTCTGAAATTGCTTATTATAAATATTCATAAAAATGTCCACAAAATTATGCTTCCGAAGAGAATTTTTATTCTTGAAAAGAAAACAAAATCTTTTTGTACCTTGCTTGTAATGTCCATAACAGTGAAAGCCGTCAGAATTAATAACCATTACAATAAACATTGCTAGCAACCCATATGGAGAAATTATGAAAGTCCTTTTGTTTCGCGCTAAGGGAGAAAAATCGCAGTCACGGTTTACAATTAATTACCATTTTCTGTACATTTCTGTTTTATAGCAAACAATGTAATGGAAGAGTGCGGGTCGAAAAGCGCTTTAGCTCGCAAAAAGCTCACTATTGTCCTCACAGCTATTCAGTTTACCTCTCGTAGGCATGCACAGCAGGGAGTGCTAGTGGACGAAACAAAACGAAAATTAATTGATAATGCCATATGGCTTTCGATTCAATTCGTTTATTTTATTATGAGAAATGAAAAATATTGTAAAATTTTGATTTACGGAATTTGTTTTATTTGTGTGTTCGGAAAATGTAGAAAAAAGACAATAATTGGTGGCAAAATTTATAGAAAATCAAAATATCTCTGAGATTATGCAAAATGTTGTTTTTATCAAAAATATTTGAAGTTTTAAAAGCATTTAATCATCAATATTCTTAATTAATTAAATTTTACTACTAACAGATGTTTGAGATTTATTCAATGGAACAACAAACAGCAAACAGATGAATATTCATATTGAAAGCTTTCAAATTAAATGAAAAACTTCTTTAAACACCTTTTCTGAGAAAATATTTTTAGATTTCAATGGATTTACATTTTAAAATGCTATCAATATCATCTAAATGTGCATGCTGATGTTACATTTTCCGAACGGAAATGAAAATTGATTCACATCGTTCAAATAGTTTCAAATGGCAATTGAAATGTTTGTTTCAGAATTGTTTATTTCAACTCACAATGTGCGCACATCTCTCACGAAAGTTTAAACATAATCGAAACAATTGAGTTTCAGAATTTATCACTAAATTGTTAATTATTTAGTACACAAATGGGCATTTGGGACATTTTATTGATAAATGATTTAGGAAGTTGGATGAAGGTGAAATATATTTGTTGATATCATTCAACTCGAATGTTTGTTCACATTTAATTCTCTTCAACCTTCGTCAATTATTAAAGCAAACCACAAAACTTATGAATAAATAAATAAACTCAACCTAATTAGAACATTTCTCTGAAAAAAGATTTAATTCCTTTATCAAATAGGATTAAAATGAAATTGTTTACAATTTTCCTAACGATTTTTATTTCTCATTTCTCATCAATGTCAATATGCTCATTCATATGTAAATTTACACAGATGCTTGTGATTATTTTCCTGTTATCGAAGATGTACAGTGATTATTATTTTCATGTTTCTACACTTTTTTATGATAATAAAAGTCTTGAAATATGAGTTTTTATGAATCGCTGAGCTGGCATTTCCAATGTTTATACATGAAACTCATTTTTATGTTGATATAAGGTAAACAAGAACAATCTTTATCCATCTTTGACTTTCAAACTCTTCAGTATCATCATTATTATCAACGGTGAATAAAATTCATGAGATCTTTTGTAGCTTCCCCATTCTTTTAGTTGAATATTCGAACAAAATATATGAAAAAAAAAACTAACAATATTTACCTCAGATTTCGAATGTCTTCTAGATTTTGATTTGGTAAAATTTTTACTATTTATGTTGTCAAAAGCAAAATATTCAGCAATTCGTAATGTTTTAGAAAAATTTATATCTGGTCTTATAAGGAATAAAAACATCTCTTAATTTAAGAGAATAGAGTATCTCGATGAAAATTTAAACTAATTTGATCTACTCCAATCCAACACTTTCTATAACGCTACGGTCGGCAGTTATTCGTGCTTGTGCTAATCAGCAAATTGTTATCAGCCATATGAAGAACTTTTTCTGAAAAGTGTAATTGATATTATCGCTTTCATTTCACGTCCTCAAGCCATGAATGCTGTAAACATTGTCTTGCTGATGCTCTGAGTAATGGATTATATTCTAACATTGGAAGTAAGAAATCAGTGAAGGAACGAGCGTCGTCTAAATTCCATTCATATTTTTCTATCAATACGTTAAACAAGCTCCATGTCTTTAGTTTAGTTATATGACGTAAATTACCTGAGAAGAGAAATAAATTTCATAAATCAATTGAAACAGTTAAATTCTTATTCTTCATACCATAACTAGTAAAATATTTTAAACCATGTTTTCCTCTCATTATCAGGTTTGGCGGGATCCCACCGAGAAGTTCAATGATGTGTGCTAAATGATCTTCATCTCTCGAATAGTTTTCTCCTGAATGTGGATCGAAAAGGTAATCACCGGTTGCTAATTCAAAAGCTAAACAGGCTGTGCTCCAAATATCTGCAGAGTATGTGTAAGGAACTCCAAGCAACACTTCAATACTTCGATACTGTCTTGTTTGAATGTCATCAGTAAAGTGATAATGCTGAAAGAATCAATAAGAATCAACTTTGTTTCCATCATAAATCATCTTCAACTCTTATTACATCGAAACAAGCATTTCCAAGGTCAGCAATTTTCACTTTAACGTTTGGATTGTTGAGAAGACTTTGAAGAACACTGGAGTACGAAATCTGCTTGCTTGTGAATTTCGAGAGCTTTGGCTTTGTTTTTGTCTAATAATAAATGGATAAAGAATATAAATTTATATGTTTAGCAGACGTTCAAACGAACAATGAATTATTTATTTTATAAATATAAAACAAATCAGTTTTAAAAAGATTTTCTACAGTGAGACTTAAACATTGTCACTTTATTACAGATTCGGGATAATTGATCATCATTAAAAAGTCATCAAGCCAATGATATTTAAACAGCAAAAAGCTTTTTACCTTATTTTCATTTTTATTTTGATTTGTGTTCACATTTGGTATGCTTCCTTTTCTTTGTTGTTCAACTCGATATCTTGTCGCCGTCTCATTTCCAATGACAACATCAATTTCAGATTCAAGTTTATTCAATGAGGTATTTGATGCTTTTAACTGTTCAATTAAGCTTAAAGGAGCAATTATAGGTTTCATTTCATCATCCAAAGACGCGAGTCTTTTATTTTCAAGGAAAGATGACGAAGTTGTTGTCGTGCTTGAAGACGCTCCAGTCAACTTCTCCAAATGATCATCATCCGAGGATAAGTCAAGACTGTTTGCTAAAGGAACAGAATGGGAATCAATGGCAACCGACGTTGGTAGAATTTTATCTTCATCAGCATGATCTTTAATGGGATTAATGGCTGATAATGTTTCGGATTGTGCCAATGGTGACGGTGATTTTTTTGATCGTTTTTCTAAAGTACTAACTAAATTTTTACGGCGGAAATATTGAAAAAAACAAGAAAAAGAAAATAAAATTGAATGAAGTAAATAAATTTAATTTTGATACAAATAAGAAATGTGAATAAAAACCAACTAATATTGTCATTAAAAATTTGAAAGCTTTTCGATAACGTTCGACGATTAAGCTAAGCAATGGAGAGTCTATCTAGCAGTAGCTGGTAATGAAGTACAAGATGAATGATTGGTGTTATGAAAGTTCATTAATTCGAGCATTAATCAAGCAATTGGTCTTAATTAAAATAAACTCTCTCCAAACTTTGTTACTTTGCGTTATTTTAATTTATTAATTACCATACGAATCGGGAAACCAATGCGCGCCATATCCTCGTCCTATAATGTTACAATTTATAAAAATTGAGAGCTATTAAAAGTAATTTCAATTTGTCACCTTTAAGACTTGTGATGGCTTCATCAATTTGTTGATTAATTGAAGCAGCATTATCCATCACAATCAGAATGTTCTCAGGCTTGACGTCGGTGTGTCTTTAAAAACATTTCTTCATCAATATTTGAATAGAAAAAAATCAATAATGCAAACTTACATGATGTGACATTTCGTATGAAGATAATCCAAACCTTGTAATACCTTTTCAAAATGAATTCGTGACATGTTTCATTTTTATCATCACGAGAAATCAATTAACTTAACTATACCTGCTTAATTATTGATTTAACTTGCTGAATAGCTAAACCCTGATAGTTACTTTTGACGATTAACTTATACAAACTACATCCTAAAGCTTCGAAAACTAAGCAAGTATGCACTCCGTTGACTCCACGAACTGTGAAATGATTTAACAGCTTAACAACTCTATCGTGATTATGATCGAATGGATCAGCATCTCGAATCACTTCCAAAAGTCTAATTTCATCTGCCGCAGTTTCTGTATAATGCTGTGCAGATTTCACCACTTTCAATGCAACATATTTCTCTTCTTCAAGATCACGACACAACCAAACAGTAGAAAAATGTCCCCAACCGACTTTACGAACTACACGATAACGACTGTGAAGAACATCGCCAAGATGTATCGGATGATATCCTAAAAGAAATTTTTATTACATAACTTGGAGAATGAAAGAAATTTTCATATAAATTTCTTACCACCCCGACGATACTGTGAAACGTCTTCTTGTTCTTCATCTTCAGATCCATAAAGACTACTGTCAGGACTGTCTGCATAGATGATTTCATCGGGAATGACTGGCGTGGAGCGAGGTTCGGATCTAAAATATTTAATCATTAAATATTTACGATTTAATTCACAAAATTTTACATCTAATTTTTATCAATATCATGTTAAAGTTTTGCGTATTTAATAATAATTGAAATAACGTCATAACAACATTTGCCTTTCATTCTTTTCTGACACATTTTTTTCCTCTCTAATTGATGATTCTAGACATTAAAATATTTTTAAAAGAGTTTAAAAATAGAAAATGTGGATTTGCGGTGTCTACTGAACAAGAAAAGTTTTTCAAAGTAAAAGAAGAGAGAAAAAGTGAAAATTGTGCAATGAGAAAATTCTCAGAAATGTTTGATAAGCTAGGGAAATTCTCTTGGTCATTGGTTTGTTTATTCTTTAGTGCAAATAAATATAAAATAAAGCAATAAAAGCTGCATGGTACACACACATTCTCCGCAACTTCTCCTTCAACTGTTTTCACCGTGTCAACAGGAAGAATATCGTAATGATAGCGTTCTTCTCTGTCCTCTACGTTTAAAGTTCTGACAATTTGTGAGTTTGGTGAGAGCATTATGGGACCAACACTCATACATTTTCGTTTCAACTGTTTTTTTATTGTTTTCGCTGTAAGGTTTGACGAAGTGATTTCGTGACATAAAATTCGCGGTTCATGAAGCGGTTGACTTTCCCATCCCGATATTTCTCTTTCAGGTGATTCTTGCTTAACTTCAGAAGAAACTTCTGCAGAATTTTTTAATATTTCTTCTTTAATTTCAGATTGTTGTTGATCTTCCTTGATCTCAATCTTCTTCTCTTCAACCGGCTTAGATAACAAAGAATTTAAAATTCTTCCTATCAACAACATTGATACAAGACAGAAAATCAGTCCGAAAATCTGCTTCACTGTTTGTACAACAAAATCTATCGATTTATTGATAGACAAATCGATGAAATCGAAAGTTGAGTTAGCAATTGGTGGTTCCATAATTTTTTGTATTGCTTGCACAAATAAAACAAAAAGGAGACAACAAAAGTTCTGGGAAGAAAGATACGGAAAACAGATGTATGTAAGTAGCAACGTTATGCGATCACGTGGGACAGATACCAGATGATGCTATAAATATTCCATCGCGTTTTTCGCTTTCATTTTTTTCTATTTCTTTTCAACACAGTCACAATAATTTTATTTTTTTTCTTTTATACTTTCATACGATGTTAAAATTTTCTTAGCGTAGAAATTTTCTTTTCAAAAATTCTTTGTGATTTCATTGTGATTTTTGTTAAGATTTTCTTCACACAAAGTTCTTTGTTTGATTAAGTTGTTAAAATTTTCTTCGTTTCCTTCTTTTTGTTACACGATCCTTTTAGGTTTATCACCCACGCATTTCCTTATTTGCAAATCTGATTACACGAAATTTCATTGTGGTTTGCGTTCCTTAAATCTACTTTCTACTTTTTTAATTCCTTTATCCACATCACCCCGCACGGTATAAATACAATACTGAATAATCCAACATCGAAAATATAACTAAATAAAAAAAGCAAAAATTCCGTGCTGTGACGTTCAAAATGTTGTCGTGAGTAAAAAGAAAATGAAAATGAAGAAAAACACAAATTCGCTCAACTAAAGAATATTAGAATAGTTAATTAAGGAAAAGGAATCTATTAACATTTCTTTTCAGATATTTCTTTCCTCATATAATGCAAATGTTTATATGGGTATGGTCAGAAATATTTTAAATTATTTTAATAAAACTTCTTTCCTCATAAATTTTAATGTTCAATGTTGGAAATCTCAAAACAAAAATTAACGGCTTTTTAAATTTCAAAATTATTGCAAAGCGACGCTTTATATTCAAATTTCATTTCACCTCAACATGCTTCAACAGTCACTCATATTTTCAATTTTTGTTATTGTTTTTAATTTACTCACAAACTTGAGCTGCATCCTTTAAGCGCTGGCATATTCATGCTTCTTCTATTCATCGGTGGTGATAAAGATAATGACAAAGGATATTCTTGTCGCTGCTGTTGATTCAATTCAATTTGAAGCTTTTGTTTCTCTACAAATTCATTATATTTTTCCAACGTCGTTGATCTTGTTAAAGTTTCATCGAAAGACTTTGCATGATTGTCAAGTGTTCTTGTTGGAAATTCTGGCGCTGTTTTCAATTCCGTGGAAAAAGAGTAAGTTGGTAATTTGAACGTTGGATATTCTAGTGCACTGACAATTGGCTTGATTGCGTTTGGATCACCAAAAGTTAAACGACTGCTGCTATTCAATAAACCTGTCAACTTGGACGTTGTAATTGTAGTTGAAGTAGGAAGTGACGGTATCCATGATGTTAAAGGAGCTATTGTTGCTGTTGTTGTTGGAGTCATAAGTGGTAAATTTGCCAATGATTTATGTCGACCACCACTGATTGGATCAAGTGATGTGAAAGCTGCCTCATGATATGTGTCGATGGAATTTGTATCAAAATTAAAATTCGTTTGAAGCACTTGAAAAGATAAAGGACGTGGCGGATCACTCGTTGACGTTGGTATTGGTTTGAAGTGGGCTTCCTTTATCAAATCTGTAGAAATTGATGGTGTAGATTTTGCTAGCGAGGTTGTTGTTGGATGTGACATTGTAATTCCACTTAAACGTCGAACCGAACTGTGAATTGAACTCAAACTTGTTGTGGGCGATATGGTATTGAGTTTAGGTGGTGCTGTTGATGGCATAAAACTGGAGAAACTTGAAATTGGTTTGAATATCTCATCGTCTGAGTTATGCGACAATTTCATGACATCGGAATTTGATCCGAGATTGTTGTTTTTAGTGGTTGATAAAAAAGGCGGTGAAATGGAGGACGATGCCGAGAAAGGTTCATAATCAGTGCCAGAATCAGGAGAAAGGCTTCGTGGGATTGAAGTATTATTTAAAGGCGATAAATTCTTTGGTGGTGCTGCACTGTCACTGTAACGATGGTTTAAAATGATAAAACTTTTTGTTGTGCTTGTGCTAAAAATTCCATCGTCTGATGACGGAGCGCGAACGGATCTTGAAAGAGTGAAGAAGGTTGGCGATTGACTTCGATTTTGTTGTTCCAATTTTTGACGTTCTTCTTCCTCTTTTTGTAGTTGAATTTTCTTTTTAATATCTTCCAATATTCTCGCAGTTTGTTCTACGACTAACGCTACGGGAAGAGTCGATAGCAGCGATGGGACTTCAGGTAATGCATCGGTCGTGGACTCCTCAAACTCTTCCTGATATACTTCAGTTCCTTGTGACGACACCATCGTCTCTTCTGACGGTGGTGCTGTAGAAATGTTTGATATTGGAGAGATAGGCGCCAGCTTGAATCACAACTTGTGGTTAAACGCGAATATAAATTCAATGACTGATAATGGTGCTGTTGATAGCAACGAATGCTCATGATCTATGACAACAAATTGAGATTTGTAAAACAAATATTAAATAACTTTAAGAATTTAATCAAACCTTGGAAAATTTCGATCTCTGAAGGAGAAAGAAAAAGAAAACAAGCAAAAACAAAGAAACGGGGTAGTAACAAAGAGGTTTTTCCAACTACTTACTGTTCCATTTAAGCTCAAATTTAAGTAGGATTTTCCTTAGGTATGACGAATAAATACTGTAGCTTCTGCAATCTATTTATTGGCAATTCCTATAACGTCACAAGTCGTAAAAGTAAAAGAAAACTTTTTTCTTCTCAAGAGTCGAATCAATTCATGGCAGAAAAGATTTGCGTTTTAAATTGTTTTTCTTTTTACATCGAGTAATTCCAAATTTTATTGACTTGCATATAAATTTTCACTAGCACGTAAGCCTAATCGATAATACTGATAGAAAAATTTGATTAATAACCTAAGGGAAATCGCCTTATAAAATTTTTCCGCGATATCAAAAGTTTTTCCAGAAAAAAGTTCTTTATGAAAATTCGTTCGTGTATGTTGAGCGCATGTGCTTAAGTGTTCGAAAGAGGCAGAGCGGGATTAGGAGAATTCATCGGGAGTGAAAATGACGGAAGTCAAAAGTCTAGATGCGCTCATATAATCAGCTGATTTCGAATTGTAATCATCACAACAATTTTCCGACGCATTAAATCATTGTAAACAAATTTTGTTTTCACTCTTAAACTTTTTTTTATTTTCATTTTTCAACAACTTTCTTTACATATTTTTTTTTGTTTTTTACTTTCAATAGAATTGAAGGGTAATGGAAGTGGAAAGTAATTTAAGACTAAATCGCTTTGAAAGCGATGAATGTTTATCATGTTACAAATGTTTCCTGTTGAGATACGAAACTGTGATCGGTTGACATCTGACTCGTTGCATAAAACAAAAATCTTCGTTTTTCTTGAATTGCATTTAGATGGAAAGTTGACAAACAAATTTATTTTTAATTTGCATTATGTTGCATCAATAATTCTATTCCAAAATCTACAATTGTTTTTATTTGTCTTACAGAAGGAAAAAAAATTGTTACGTTTTGATTATGTTTCGATTTCAGATGTGACATTGATATCGATAATGTTTTTAATTGACTGAAACACCATCGAATTCGGCTAAATATTTCCTTGTTAATTCTAATTTGGTTTTCTTAATATGAACTGATTCTAGATTCTTAAGAAATAAAGCCAAACATTTAGTCAACATTTACTATAAAATTTCCTTCCTTTTTAATTATTATGTAAACGTGAGGTCGAATCGGACAAATTGGGAGTTAAACAGTTTTTATCTCTTTAGAATCTAAACACAAACTTTTATTTTTTTATTATCCATTCTAGTTTTTGTTTTTCTTTCCTTTTTCGTTTCATTAAATGAAAGTCTTGGCAAGGATACAACAAGACATTCACAAACATCGTCTTAGTACATATAGTTTTAAACGCTTTTCTTTCTATTCTCAAAGTCATCATCATAAATATTTCAAAGATGGTTATAAACACTTTTAAGCGGCCCAAACAAATTTAAACGTTTGCTTGTATAAAGTTTTCATTAGCTTTTTGTTTTGCTTACGTTTTTTGTGAAAAATTTTAAAAGTACATTTGATTGATGTTTGAATTAATGGAAATTGATGAAGCTTCATGAACTAATGAAGAACGGAACAAAAACATTTTTAAATCTTGATTGAAAATGTTAGATATCGGAAGAGTTACGATATCCATAAATATGCTTATAAAAGATTACAAATATTTTTCATTTTTCCCGAAAGAAATTTTCTTCTATTTACATTTTTTTGTTTTTTTATTTTCGATCTTGAAAAATCTTTCAATCAAAATATATTTTATCTCTTTCCAAAAAAAGAATTCTTTGTTCAATGTTAAAGTTTTTCATCGCTTGAAAGCGATTTTCATGTTGTTAAGGTCGCAGAAACTTCCTTGATGATAAATGATCAACTTTATCTAATTTATGCTTGATTTTGTTGATGTGAAAAATGAATTTAAAACATTTGGCTTAATTATCTTTGTTGATGTAATGATTTGCTAGGGCAGCTAATTTCATGGAAATTTTCATGTGTTTAAATATGCTTTGGAGGGAAACATTTACAGATTTCTTTATGACTTCTTCCATTGCTAAGTAACAATAGTAAATTTAATTCCGTTTGCTAACCTACTCAAAAATTATTATTCAATTTCATTAATTTTTTTTCTCATCAATTAGGATTTTTTTTTAATTAAACTTCATAGAAACTTTAAATAAACGCGATAACTTTCCAAGAACAATACTTAATATTTGGCGATACAATTGTTTGGTGTCATGAAAAATATTCAGTTAAAATACTTTTGTCGTGATTGCTGATTCGTTTTTTCACTGCCGTTGTTTTATTGATTTTCAATGTCATTTACTTATGGCAGTGAATGAAGAAACAATGTCCTGTTAAGTAGCTTTTAAGCATAGAAATTTAGAACGTCTCTTCAACCAAATAGTCCAAACTTTCTTCGTTTTGTCCACTGTTGTCATTGCTGTCATTATTGTTACGATTATTGTGGATGACTACACGGCTACTTGTTCTCGCTGGAACGTACTTTCCATAGCCCTGCTTATCATCATAAGTTTGTCGATACAATCGCATGGATTTTTTTTGTGATTAAGAACAAGGAAAATTTAAAGAAAGCAGAAGGAAGTGAAGATGGAATAATAAGAAAAGTTAGATCAACATTGTTCATAGGAATATCGAAACATGTAAAAAGTACATATAATTATATTTGTACACAGTTAAATACTTATTGCCAATGCTGATGCGAAACGATATTAATAAATTTCAACAAACAATCACAAACAACAACAGTAATGAAGATATTTTCATAAATCTCTCAGCCTGATGAGGAAAATTTGTAAAGCATTCCACATTCCATAAGTTTAATATCTTTCATTGTATCTTCTACATGCTAGAAACAAGAATCAAATATTTTTGATGAATAGCTTTTTACAAAATTCAATAAATTTATTAAACATGTCAGTAATTTGCTTTCATCAAACGGTGGGAAAATCTTTCTTCCTTTAAGTTTAAATATCAAATCAGTCACAAACTACAAACATATAAAACATCAATTTACCTCAAGAAATATTCAAATATAAGTTATACATACATTGAATATCATGGCATGTAAGAAAACAGAATCTCAGACGACAATTCCACAAACAAAAATTAAAATTTCAATTTTTCTACCAATTGCAAAATGCAAAATCAAATGCAAGGAAGAAAATATTTTTGTTCATGCTTTATTTGCTTTTCATTTTCTTTATTCTTTTTGGTTTCTTAATTCAATTTTGAAAACAAAATTTTTACAGCCACGAACAAAATTAAAAAGAAAAGGAGTCAAAAGTAAAAACTAATTAATTTTTTTCTATAATTTCAATTACGTTTTGGTCATTAAAATCAAAAGTCACGAGTTTTTAATACACATTTAGTCAACAGTTAACATCAATTATTCTTTTTTCTTTGTTTTTCCATTAGCTTATTAGCCACATGTACATGTACATTAATTATATTATCCAAGAAACTGTCACGAAAAAAAAATTCTTGTAGGTTTCCTTGAACTTTATGGAAGATTTTCTTTTATTTTCATTTATTTTCTAATCATCTTCAACATCGAAGCTATTTATAAACATTTGTCATCAGAAAAATATCATTTTTAGAAAACTTTTAACATTTACTTTATATAATGATGTAAACTTTTCTTGGACCTCAATAAACTTTCAAAAGTGTTTAGATTCGTGTTTGTCAGTAAATTTACATCATGATTAAAAATATCATAATAATCTAAAACAATGACAAGGTTCAATAAATGAAAACATGTACAATTAGGCAAAACGAACATAAATTTTATCACAAAAGTCATGAGATTGACGACTTTGACATTTGACAACTATCTACTATTCCTTTTTTACAAGAATCACTTGATTTATAGATCAAAGAAATAGAAGCACAGGAAACACAGCAAGAAAGGTGAAGAAAGAATAAGAAAGAATCTAATTTTGCAAATGATAACAACATGAGGAACATTGTCCAATCAAATCTGAATGGATAGAAAAAGTATTTCGAATACATGTGAGAGTGTATGTACTTTTGGAAGAATTAAAAGCTGAGTAGACCGAAAAGCAGGCAGTCACAATAAGTAGGTAATAATGAATGTCTAATGACTTAGTCACGAAGTGTTGTTGATAACAAAAACTTATTACAGTTTGTGTCGCGAATATTACTTTTTTTTCTTTAAACGACTAAATTAAAGTCACGTTGTAGCATGTTATTTGGATTAACTGCTTCGGTTCATCGTGATATAATCAAAATCACTTTTTGTTTTTTCTAATTAGTTGAGGCACGAAAAGTTTGATTGCGATTTGGAACTGTTAGACTGTTAGTTTGTCTATTGATATGAACTATCCTGCAATTAAGCAAAAAATGGACAGTTGGTTTCTGGTATTTCTCTGTGTCATTAAAAATACAAACAAATTATATATGTAAATAATTGCACTTAAAATAAGTTCAAAACAATAACAGAAATATTGTTCATGACAGAATATAACGAAGCAAATAAAAATACTTGAATAAAAAGAAAAATTTTTGTAATGTTTTCAAAAGACTGTCATCAGGGAATTAATCATAAATATTTAATTCATGCTTTGAAT